AGAGAAGGTCCTTGCTTATTATCGCGCTAAACCCATTCTACCTCCATTATACGTTTTATACTATTACCAATAGGCTTTTCGCTCTCTAGAGTCAGCAAACGAGCGACAAATGTCTTAGGAGGCTAAGAAGGCAGATATGAACAGTGTTTTACATTATAATATACATGCTGGGTGGTATGGAAAGCATAAGTAAATGGCGAGTACCGCAGAAGGTTCTGAATGGGACGCAGTCAAAGAGACTTATATGAAATAGAGCGAAATTGAGCCTGCTCGGTTGCTCACGTACAGAAACTCGAGGCATACCATGTTGGTGCGCACCACAATGCCGAGGCTGTGAGATCTTTAAGAAGTGACCATGGGACATAGTCACACGTATAACTGAGATCCAGATAGAGTTGTTCCTCGATCTTGCGGCGCGACTCCTATTCCACCCTAGGCTGCGTCGTGCCCCAGCGCGTGCGTACTGCACCCTCAGCCCTCCCCGGGACGTTGTCAATCAGGAGGTCGATAATCTCCAGGTTTCCGCCATCAGCCGCTAAATGCAACGCCGAGCTTCCTTCGAGGTCATGAGCAGATATCATGGCCACTTGCTCTAAGAGTACTCTCACCGTCTAGACGGACGTGCTCTGCACTGCCAAGTGCAGGAATATCTGCCCCTTCCTACTCACAGGCGATATATCTGCGCCTTGCGAGAGAAGCTCCTCTGCTGCGTCTGCGTGCCCACCCACGGATGCCCAATGCAACGCCGTTTGGTGATACCTCTCATGCTCTGATATTGAGGCACCATTTTTTAGTAGCAGCCGTATGGTCTCTCGCTGGCCGTGCTGCGCGGCTCGCAATCGCGCCACATATATACCCACACCCCATTTGTGCTCTCAAATATGCATCGCAACATACCTCTCCTTAGTGCGGCTAATCCTTCGATCGGCTTGCTGGTGGCTGGTGGGAATGGAAACTCACTTCGGCTACTTCGTCTGCAATCTTGCGACACTCATCTGCTTCTAAATTATGCGATTTCCCTGCAAAATGCGTGTTGATATGGCTAGGCAACACAGCATACTTACACTCTTCGCAAATAATAACATGAAATTCGGCCAAATGATTAAATTGATCCATTGTAAATATTGTACTAGTTATTATTCTAAAATATCGAAAATATCGGGAATCATTCCAATCTACTCAAGGGAGTACTACAGCAAGGAAGTGATGACCCATCATTTGTCCACGCTTAGACTATTTTCCCCACTTTCACACCATCGAGTAATGAGAAGGCGAGAACAAACGATCCAGTACGAATTACGAACGCAGCACAGTAATATAGAGAAAGGTCACAGTATCTAAAACCAACAACCTCGTATACTTTAATGGCTCGTGATTTGTTATTAAGAGCCAATATTCTATTTTTATTTAACGTGGTCCATAAGCACGCGGCGCACTGCATTTTGCACCAAAAATCGGGAATTTTATCTCAACAACCCTTTAATAATAAATTATAGAAATACGTAATCAGTCTTTTATAAGTACTTGAAATACTCTATTTAAGTTCTAAAGGAGTTAGTCTTGTAGTTATTAAGGTACTAAGATCTAAGTAAAAAATGGGGCTAAAGTAGGGGCTAAAACATAATATCTTAGTAACTATAAAGCCAATTGCTCTGGTGCAAGCCACCCTTCAAGCCTGACGGGACCTCGTTCGGCGAATACAGAGTGGTGTCAAGCCTAGGATAGATGTCGAGTATTTTTACGGCGAAACTTTACAGGCTCAGTTGCTTTTTGAGCAGCATAAGTCACCTATTGTTTCCTCTTTCTGAGTCTGTGGGAAGTTGAAATAGGGTGCCTCATATGACAATTAGTAAATATGAAACAGCATGGAACTGTTTACAGATCTGTCTGTAGTATCACATTGCTTAACCTCAATATAGAGCTTGTATGTACACTTTTCAGGACATAACGATAGACATGTTCGATTTAAATATAACAGGTCTTAATATCCCATTTACCGGACCTGCCCAGCTCGTGTTGGAAACGATAGCAAATCAATGTTCTAAGTGAGCCCTCATTCGAGTCGAAGCCGGACGTAAAATACTCCTTTGTAAAAAGGTAACGGACGTGATGAATTCGGGAGAACTCAGGAAGGATGAATGGTGTTGGAGAAGATGCAGAGGAGCAAGCTTCACCATTAGTTTTGTACGATAACATATTATCCTGGACAACTCTAGCTGGGCTCGTTATTTGTGAAGTCCTAGAATCTTTGCAGCAGAGAGAAGAAGTGGATAACGCGGCTGAGAATCCTCTTTCCTCTATATCGATTATTCGTGTTGCAGCGCGTGCCAACAATGATCCTGTCCACAGCCCTTTAATCTGTGGGCACCGTTGCAACAATGTTACAGCTTGTCGTCGAAGATGCGGAACTCGACACTTGAGGGCAGTGAAGTAGAGTGGTGGGTAACAAAACATGTCGGTGCTAAAACAGGATCCCTTTTTGGAATCGGCGGGTTTATGACCACCTTCTCCTCTGATTTTGGTTCCGGGAGTTGCATTGGCACCAAGGGCAAAGAGCTCCTCTGAATACCGAATGATAGACTCAAATTCTGAGGTGAAGGCGTCATAGACTGTTTCTTTCATGGAGAAACAAGACGACAGCATCACAGTGACAACATCACTATAAATTCGGAGAATACAAAGACCGAGTCTCTCAAATAATGAGGCATGTAAAAGAAGAGACGGAATAGATGTCTCGAATGCAGCAATCCAATCGGAGACGGTGACTTGCAGATTTTTTTGCTGACCCACGAGGATCGGTGGCGGTGGAGAATGTATGTTGGTGGTCAAGTACTCTTTTTCAATGCGGACGATCAGGTCGACGACCGAGTTGAGTATAGTATCGAGGGAATGGCGTACCGCACTTACAGTTGAGAAATCCTTTGGGATGGTAAGAGGTCGAGTGTGCCGCACATCTGGAGCGAACAATGGACCACTGTCCAATGGATCATAACCAAGCATTAGAAATTGCACACGGAGTCGGGTGAATACATGGATGAGATGCTCATCTAGTGGCTGAGGATCCTGCATCATTAAAATGCCACGGTTCTGTTGATGACGTCGGTTTCTGCCTTGAATATGGCGGATCAGATTGATTCCATGCTGGAAATGAGTGTTCATACTCTGAAGCTCCCCTCGCAACATTTCTAAACAAATAAACAACATACAGGAAATAGCAGCAATGTGAATTGATTGGGGATCCCGAACTGACGTATGCGAAATCACGTCTTTGATTGCCTTGTTGTATTGCTTCAGCGCAAAGGAGTCATCATATTTTAGACTGAAGGTATTTCCAGCATCTCCAGTAGTGAAGCGAGATCGATGGACCGAAGCAAGCGCAATAACTGCATACCTGACTCCAGGTGCCGTCTCGCTAGCCTGAAGAACTAAAGAGTCCCAAAATTCACATCTGAAGATGCCGCCCATTTTGAGGTTCGGAGCCTTTTGAAAGTAGTCTAAAAGTGCCCGCTCTTCTCGAGACACTCCGGGAAATGGCTCTGGGCTGCCATTCAGGTGGAGATCCATCGATATGTTTCTAATGGGTAGGCTTTTAGGCTGAGGCTTTTGCGTAGATCGGAGTTTGCCTCCATAAGAGATTCCATAGCCTTCGCAGGCGCGGCCAGATTTCAGACACCTTCGGCAATTAGGTTTCTCTTCGTCACATTTAACGCGTCTAACTCTGTATCGACACTTAATATCATTTTTTCTATAGCTGTTGTGAGCAATGCAAAGCTTACCTGCACGTACTACAGCCAGACTTCACATGTTTCGCATGTTTCACCTGCTGAACATTGGCTTCGTGAGGTGTCGAGCTAGACCAGCCGCCGGATCTCGGAATCGACATATCCGCTCAAGGCGTTACGAGCTTCACAGCATGAATCATGTTACTTTAGGCAAAGACATGAAAAGATTCGAGATCTGAGTCTGCGGTAAATGAGCACATTTAGTCCGCTTTGGTTAGCTAAATCGAGAGGGGCCGAGATAGATTACAAATAGATGGCCTCGGAACTTCTAGTCTTTGATTGGCCACGAGTCTCTCGAGGCGCCTTTCCTAATTGAGTAATCTCCACCATAGGTGGCGATAACTTCGGACTTATGGCCTGGACTTTGTACTTTGTGAGATCTAAACCAAACTTTGACCCATTATTAAGAATGTATATCTCTTCTTAGAGATATACAGCCGTTGCAGGGTACGAGTAATGCCCACTTTGCTCCCAGGCCATTATATATATAAGCTTGAACAGTTCCCTCCTTCTAACGATTCTCTCTTTCCCTCACTATTTTATCAGTCCCTAATCTTCAGACTGCTTCTAAAACATAATGGCTCTTCCTACGAGAACTCTTGGTAGACATGGCCCTCAAGTCACAGGTCTTGGCCTAGGGCTCATGGGCATTGGTGGCATATACGGCCCCGCCGGCAGCGATGAGCAACGCCTAGCGTTATTGGACCATGCTCACGAGATCGGAGAGCATTTCTGGGATACAGCTGACGTCTACGCTGATAGCGAGGATGTAATTGGCAAGTGGATTCAAAAGAACCCGTTGAAATTCAACGACGTTTTCCTAGCGACGAAATTTGGCCTTGGTTTAGCCCATCCTCAAGTCATCGACTCTAGTCCCGAGTATGTCAAATTAGCGTGTCAAAAGAGCCTTGATAGGCTTGGGGTTGAGACAATCGATCTCTATTACTGTCATCGCGTGGATGGAAAGACTCCCATCGAGAAAACCATCGAGGCTATGGTGGAGCTGAAGAAGTAAGTAGACTTACAATTTTTCCGTGTCAAATCGCGCACAAGTTTCATGCATTTTAACTAACATACTTCAGCGAGGGTAAAATCCGCTATCTCGGCCTCAGCGAAGTCTCCGCGGCAACCCTCAGCCGAGCACACGCGGTGCATCCGATCTCTGCGGTGCAAGTGGAATATAGCGCCTTTGCCATGGATATCGAGGATCCGAAAATCGGTCTGCTCCAAACCTGCCGTGAGTTAGGTGTCGCGGTCGTCGCCTACAGTCCCATGGGCCGTGGATTACTAGCCGGTCGTTATAAATCTCGTCAGGACCTCGCTTCAGAACAACCGTTCCTGGTCAATATGCCCCGCTATTCAGAGGATAACTTTCCGCGTATATTGGAACTGGTTGATAAGCTCAAATCAATGGCGGCGGGGAAGGGTTACAGCGCCGCTCAATTGGCGATGGCGTGGTTGATGGCTCGTGGCCAGGACATCATTCCAATTCCGGGTACACGCAGTATCAAGTATCTGGAAGAGAATGTGGGTGCGCTCGAGGTGAGATTGTCGGCCGCTGAGGCGGAGGAAATCAGCAATGCCGTAAGGAAGACAGAGCTGCAGGGCGATAGATATCCTGACAGGTAAGTGGGAATCGGCAGGTTTTCTTGGCAAGAAAATACTGACAAAATTTACAAGTTTCCCCTCCTCCTTTATTTTCGGAGACACTCCCTTGCTATCATAGGCTTCCGATATAACCGATGCGGCAGGCCTCAAAACCTCAGCGATATCACCGTGGAATCACCCTAGACATCTTACCCGAATATTTGTCTCACGGTTGCCTTCGTTCTTCGTTGTGGCTATTTAAATAGAAGTAGTGCTCGCTACCAGACTTATATATCAAGCCACTTACTTCAACCGTTTATCCGTGCTTTATATGGCGACTGTCCGCACACAGGAGGAGGCCGCTCACAAATGGCTCTACCGCCATGGGCTTTCCATCCGCCCGAGTATCGCGTATAAGAAACACACGAAGGCAGTGAGACTCCACGCTGAACGTATTCTCCCCATAGTAGATCTCCCGTGCTTCCTTCACAATCTGCTTTCCACTCTCATCATCTCCCATGAAACGTTCCCGCCGCAGCAAAACACCTTCTGCGAACTCCTTATTATAGTTGTCGTCGTCATCAATATAGCCGTCCTCCTTCACCAAATGTCTCCAGAGGATCTTAGGGCGTTCCTCTATTACAAACTTTATAAACTCAGACGGATGGCACCCTAGCATTTGATGAGTTTCGTTTCCGTGATCCATTATGTCGGCTGTAGAGAGGAAAACTGGGTAATATAAAAACACCCCTTTCTAAATAACCCATCGAGCTTCCAACCCTAACCCTCGTACTCCAAGCCCAACCCATTCTGCTGCTTCGACCCCAGTACCTTGCGTAGTTATGGCATTCATAGTTGAGGCCTTATGGTTGGTATTAAGGAGAGGGTAAAGTTGGAGTAAAGTTTGATGTTTAAGTGTGACGTGTTTTAATCAGAACTGCACAATTCCACTGTTATGAGAATATCCATCTTTCACTCTAACAAATCCACCAAACCAGAATTCCTCCCCATTATATACACTGCTGATGCGCGATGCCTTGCGCGGTGCCGTCCATGGCACCGTATGCACTGCAAACTAACGTCAAAACTCTACTGGTTCCCCTAAACGATAGGCCCTATAGAAAACCTCGTCCAACAACCCCTCACTAAACCTCGTACGGCACCTCATGCAGTGACCCATATGATAACTCATCGGGAACCTCATGCACTAACCCGTAATGCGACACCTATACCACTTGACATTTTGCGTAATCCACGACGTAACCTGTATTTCCTCGCTCGTAGTCAGTCACCTTTTGGACTAAGCAATTTTGGCTACTAGCACCGTCGTTCCCCCTACATTCCCCTCCAGTCGCCCCTTACCTCCCAGCCCCCTTCTCAACCCTCTATCTCAACACCAGCTCGAAAACAGCCATTGCATTCGTCATCTCCTGCCCGCACACCAACTTAGGATGCTTTTGCTCCAGCCACCGCCTGTACTCCGTCTCCTCCTGCACCTCTCTCCCCGCAAGCTCTTGCACCGGCCCCATAACCCCTCCTCCGTCGTTGCCGCTATCGCCGTTAGTATCATAACGTGCTTTTACTAACACCCTTTCCCTCCCTCCTTGTACCCATCCTGGCATAGCTCCTACGATACATAACAGTAGAAGCAGCTTAGAAACTGCGCCTGTCTGTCCCGTCGATAATTAATCCTCCCCTAGAATTCCATGCACCCTCGGAAACTCAGGCACTCCTTAATCTCAGTGCACTCCATCCACTTATGTCCTCTTGCCTCCTTCGCCCCTTTAAACATCTAGCACATCCGGCAACCCCACTGCCCAAGCTCCCTTACTTCCTCTAGCGCCGACTCCATCTGCTCCAACCCTCGCGCCACCCTTCGCCCGTACGCCTAAGACATAATCATCCCTTACGTAGACAACTCACTCTTCCAAACCAATTCCTCTCGCCTGCAGTTGTTGCACATCACTGCTTCAATTCCCTTGCAGTCCCGCAAGTCGCTGTCTAGGCAACACCCAAGAATCCTACGCCGACACCCCTTCGTCCAGATGTAACTGTTCACCTCGCGCCGTTTCACCTCAAGGCAGCTATCCTTTGCCGCGTCCTCCTCTGGCCAGTCTTTATCCTCAATTACCACCACAGCTGCAACACGCTCTCCACCCCTTCTAGCACACCCAGCTTCCTGCGCATAGTCAATGATGGAATGTGGCGCTTCGAGGTGAATGACATGTGTGATCCCGGGTACGTCAATTCCCGCCCAGCGCCTTCATCTCCCATACAACCCTTCCTTGAACACCTCTACCGGCGCTGCAATACTCATGGCTGCCACGGCTGCGCGCAAAATCCCATCGTACTGACATTCTCCTCCTTCGACCTTCCAGAAACGATTGCTGCCCTCTCGCGTCTCTGCCCACCGCGTACACACCTTCTGCGCCACCGTGCAAAACGTACAACTAGCATATGGCTCAAATCGGATCGTCTTTAATGCCTCAATCTCTATAATCACCTTCGTCCGTGATTCATCAGGGCAATTCTCTAATGTATGCCGGACATCAACCTCCTAACCTTGTCACTGTCGGACGTAACATAACGGGCAATTGCTTACCCACGAATCCAACCGGGTCTCTAGATTCCACACCTCATGCCCTTCCCGCTGGCTGTCGGCCTCGATTCGCCATCGTTGCTGGCTTCGCTGTTGCTTCTAGGCCTCGAACGTACGGCTCTCGCCAACCGGATCTTGGTCGGCCGTAAACCCTTTATCGAAACTGACCGAACTACAACGTGAACGGTGTATGGACTGGCCCTCCTCCTCACTAGACGTTGCATTTTAACCCGTGAATGGCTGGGGACTGGCAACAATGACACTCCCGGGAACTAAACGTCACTGCTCGGCGCTGGAATATACATGCTGCTAGGAACGTCAATTCCGCTGTCCACCCACCGGCCCTGTCTCTCACGCTCGGCTTGTGCTGCCTGCTCTTAAATCGCTCTCTGTTCTTCAACGTATGCCGCCCGTCGTGCCTCTCCGTCTTCAACTATGGCATCATCCTTCTCGCACACATCGCACTGCTCCTCCCCTACCTCGCACCTTTTCCGATCCTATCAGTTGTCCATCTCGCTATCCAAATATATCCGTCTACACTTACTGCCACTCAAAAACCTCTCTATCTTCTCCGCTCCACCTGCTTGGTCTCCCACGGCCGCAACACGCGACTCTGGATCTTCCACGGTTGTGTCCGCGCTTTGGCCCGTGCTATTTGCAACTCCTCCTGCTTGCCGGCTGGCATCACGACGATGGCTTCACTCCGATTACCATCCCTTCCACCACGGCCGCTCTCCTGACTATAACTCCGCATCTAGTAAATGTCCCCAGCATGGACCACCACCTAGACATCAGGGGCATCAATTCCCAACCCAAACGCGTTCGTCGCTGCAATCAACCGCCCATCGCCACGCTGCTACCGTTCCATAATCGCACCCTTCTCGTCTCGGTCGCCTACCTCGCGGTAATACTAGTGACAACCTAATGCCTTGCTCAACTCCTATGTCCGCTCGATCGTGCCCCCGTACACAATGATCTTGGCGGGCGCCGTATACTGCTCTAACTTCTCACCTACCAACTGGCAAATGGCCTCCGTCTCGTCGCTCCCCTCGGCATACTTATGAACGGAATACGCAATGTTACGCCGCGTCGTGGGCCCCTGAAACGTCTGCACCTCTTCCAGCTTAATCTTCATAATTCGCATGAACTCGGGCTTAGTATGCTTCGGCAACGTGTTGCCGTCAAAAACACCATCTGCACCTCCCGCGTGGATAATGCCCCTAACTGCTGCATCTAGAGACGGAAATCGGGCGTGCTGTCCATGACGGTGTGACACTCGTCAAACACGATGCGGACCAACTCCTGACAACCCTGCATATCATTCAAAAACGTGCTGAACGCCTTGCTGACCGCTGACTCGGGTGTGACGATGACGATCTGTGCTTGCATTTCCCCTATGCGCTGACTATCCCACTTCGTACACGAAATCCCAACCTGCTGACACCGCTTAACCATATGGTCCTGCAACGACACTAACGGCGTGAAGACAATTGTTGTCCTGGATGACACGCTCTTTGCGGGAATCTGGAACAACATCGACTTCCCCACCCCCGTCCCCATCACGATCAATATGGGGCTGTCGTGCTTCATGATTGCCTCTAACGCCGGCTTCTGCAACCCACGGAACTGCGTGCCGGCGCCAAACATAAGTTTATTGTGAAAACTAACATGCCCTACCTGGCTGTAAAACTAGCTTCAGCTAACAACTTAAAAGAAGACGCGGGAAAGGCTAGTGTCGGCCCATCAAGAACATATTCAGCACACATCATATTTCTCGAGTCCACTGTTCCATCACTTATAAGTACCTGGCCGGCCACAGCTGCCCCAAATTTGACTGGAAAATTATCGTCACTACCATATTTCTCTATACACTCATCCACCGTCACGTCCGTAATACATATTACTACTTTGGTATTAGTCTTTAGAACTTCTTCAAAGTAGCGTCCTTGACCAGATAACAAGGTGTTCATAGTTAATCCAATAAGCCCCTGGCCTAGGTTAGACGTCTCGCTTTCTAGGAGTGATCTAAACTCTGGGCTGTTTCTAAGCCGAGGAAGATGGAGGTAGACCTGGTCCGCGAGAAACTTGTGAATATCGAACCTGGTTTCAGGGATGCTCCTAACAATATGTTCGGCAAGGGCAATTAGCTCTTTGGTGCCAATAGGGAAACTCTTCAACTTTCGAAAGCTCATTTCTACCAAATCTTCAATGAGGTAACGGTCTGCAACACACAGAAGTTTTGAAACCATCATGAACAGCTGGTGGGTTTCGGCCGTAGCAAGGTATGTTCCCGACGCCATTTCAACGGCGAGAGATGGGACGTAATCTTCCTCTTTACTATCCAATGCTATGCCTTTAACTCTTAGTGGTACCTCAAAGCTAAGGGATGCTTCGGGTAGCAGTTTCTGACGCGGAAAGTAGTCGCCTTCATATATAAACTCAACGACTCGACGGAACAAGATAGGGTCTCCGTCCTCGAAATTGACCTCGCCTTGGTGGCCTTCAGCAAAAGCATTTTCTCGAAAAGCCGCTTTGAAGAATGGTATATGGGTGAGTTTCTCCTTATGAACGTGGAATAGGACTGGGTTGTCATCCTTTGGGCCTACGGATAGGACGATGATTGGAGACTCGTAAGGACTTCCAAGGTTAGGATAATTTAGCTTTGGGTTCGAAACGACTTACGTTGTATGAGCCTCTAGCTCAGGAGATACTGATGCTTCCTTACGCTCCATTACAGATTAGAGAAATGAAGAGATAGAAAAGTATACGTTTCTACCCTTGCCCTTGCCTTATACATATTCGAGTCGCCTAAACGAAGAAAGCGGTTTCTAATGACTAGTCTTAACAAGGCCTAGCCTAATATCACGTGCGTTAGTAAGCTCGACCCCCGATTGGCTGTATCTGTACCGTTTAGGGACATATACTAGTTTAATATTAGGTAATAATTATATAAGTTAGAGTACCTAAAGCTAATCTACTTCTTTGCCTAGCTTATCTACTACCCTCTCTACCTGTTTTGTTTTATAGTAAACACTATAGTATAGCATGTATAGCCTATAATTAGTACTATAACACGCTGTAATTAGTACTATGTACGCTATATTCTAGCATATACAGCCTATAATTAGTACTATAATTACTATAACTAGGACTATACACACTATATTCTAGTACTTATAGCCTATAGTAGGCACTTACTATAGCTTATAAGACTACTATAAGTTAGTAATTATAGCTTACTATTATAGTGCATTTAGTAGCAAGCTAATTATAATGTATATTATAGTAGGGGCCCTATAGGTATTCTATTCTTTTTATAAAGGATATAGAGTAAGTACATAGGCATTTACACGTTATTGCTTTTAGTAGAAGGTAGTAAGTACTATAGGGTATAATTTTCATTTACTAAAATAAGTAAGGTTATAAGGATATATAGAAAAGAGAAGGAAAGAAGTATAGAAGTAGAAGTTAAGTATAATACTTATAATAATTAGGGGTAACTATAGTAACTATATAATAAGGGGGGTTATAAGACCCCCTAATAGGCATAAGCCTAATAATAATAATAACCTTACCTTATATATAAGTAAATAGACTAAATAAGCCTAAATAAGAGGTATAACTAGCTTTAATCTTTATGCTTAGAATTAAGGGTAATTCCCTAGAAGAGGAATTATAAAGGGGTGTTATATAAGGACACCTTTATATATAGGATATAGTAGAGCTTAGTAAAACTAGGAGCCTTAATATAAAAGGGACTAGAGGTATAGAACTAAGGCCTTTAGTTAATAGTTACTATATTAAGGTAGACCTATTATTATACTATATAACCTTATTATCCTACCTTCTAATCTAGTTCCCTAAACTCCTATATAACCCTAGACCTATGTCTTTATATTTAATTATACTATTTTTACCTAACCTAGTATTCTTCTATTTTTAGCTACTCTAGCATTCTAATAGAAAGAAACTAAAAATAATAAAAATGCTTCTTATAATAGTAGTAGGGATAAAAACTAGTAGAGTAGGGATAATAATAGTAGTAATAGTAAGGGTACAGATTATAATAAGTAGAGAGAATATAATAGTAGGGAACGTAATATTAGGGAGGTAATAGGGAACGTAACTAAAAGTAGGGTTCTAGGTAGTAATAGCATGAACCTAGACGAGACAATAGCATAAACATAGTTATATTATAAATAGTAAACAAAAGGCAACGTGAAGTATATGGTATTTAATCTCCTACTTACTACTCCTATGCAAAACTCTAACAGCGCTCTTTCACGCTCGCTCGCGCGCTAAGTAAAAGCGCGCGCGCCATTAATCCAAAAGGTATACAAAACAAAATGCGCCCGTGGCTATCTATCTACAATGCGCGCTTCTCGCCAGCCCTCAGCGCATCCTCATCCGACGCCGCCGACGAGGCCACGATCTTATCCGGCTGGGTGGTGGCGGTGAAGTGGTCGTGGATGTGCTGGCTGTAATCGTCCTCGGTATCGAAGACGCCGCCGTTCACCTCAGCCTGGCGACGAGCCTCCTGCTTCTCGCTCCAGTCCTCGCGCATGTCCTCAATCTTGGAGGCGTAGTCGAGCTCCGGGTCGTAGTACTTGCCGGCGCCACGGAGACGCTCCCAGAGCGAGAGATGCTTGGGGTGGACGGCGACACCGTGGTACTCGGACTCGCGTCCGCTGCGGATGTACTTCCAGCGGCGCTCCTGCTCCTTGAGGTCGAGGCCGGTGGTGTCTGGGAGGAAGAGGAGGGTGAGGAGCATGCCGGCCAGACCAAACCATGGCACGACGTAGAACTTCATCTGGGTGTCGATGTAGTTGTACAGGACGGAGGCGAGGAGGGCACCGAGCTTGCCGACGGCGGCGGAGAGACCGTGGGCGGTCGCGCGGACGGGCGTGGGGAAGACCTCGGCGGCGATGAGGAAGGTGACCGAGTTGGGACCGAACTGGTTGAAGAAGGACGACAAGAAGTACATGGCCTGGAAGGCGGTGACACCCTGGATGGAGGTGTAGTACTTGTAGTGGAAGGCGGGGACGACAAACAGGATGAAGTCCATGAGGAAGCCCAGCTGCATCATGTTCTTGCGGCCGAACAGCTTGTTGTCGATGAGGAAGCAGGCGCAGTAGTATCCGGCGAGCGAGACGACGACGTTGACCAAGTTCCATGTCCAGCCGGTCATGATGGTGGCTCCGTGGGGGGAGAGGACGCTGATGAACTGCGATTGGAACAGCTTGTTACCGTAGAAGAAGACGTCGTTGCAGAACCAGGTTCCGGTGGTGGCGAGCAGGCGGCCACCGAAGTAGGTGAAGGTCAGGCCGAGCGACTTGGTGTCGTAGCCGGTCACGTTGATCTTCTTCTTGGCCATGTTGAGCTGCTTGCTGGCAAGCGGCATCTTGTAGGTACGGTAGTAGACGAGCCACAACGTGCCGAGGGCGGGGAGGGCGAAGGAGACGCGGAAGGTCCACTGGGCCATGGCGACCGAGTACGGCGGGTTGCCGCTGTGGTTGAAGATGAGCATGAGGATGATGAGGACGACCTGGTTCCAGAATTGACCCCAGCCCTGCATGAGGAAGGCCATGGTGACCTTGCGACCACGGTGGAGACGATCCTCCTTGGTCGACACCCTGCCGGCTCCGGTGGCGTTCTCCATGGCGGCGGTGGCCGTCATCGGGTACTCACCACCAACACCGATACCGTAGAAGAAGAGCGAGATGGCGTAGCAGATGACCCAGCCCTGGAGATCGAGACCCCACGAGGCCGTGAGCATGAGCAGACCGCCAAACATGATCAGCGCATCCTGGATGAGACCCCATCTGCGACCGAACCTGGTTGTGTGTTAGCGATTGTCCCAGTACAACAATCGAAGCGAAGCAAGCACTCACCAATCACCCAACACACCGACAAGAACCTGGCCAACGATGATACCGAGAATCTCCATGTACGTGACAGCGGCGATCCAGTTCTCGCTGCAGACCTGGTACTTCTTCCAGCACGAACCCCAGGCGGCCTGGAACAGCGGGGTCAAGTTACCAATGGAGAAGAGCACGTAACTAAGTATCCGTCAGCACCACGCGTAGTCACAATGGAAAAAATCGCAACATACCCCTCGAGACCCAGACCGGCACCTGGCAGGACCGCGTTGCGGAAGTACCAGCCAATGGGGCTCAACGGATCGGCCTTCATCATGGTGCCAATGGCACCGAGCTCCTTCCTGGCCTCGGCGGCATCGACGGCGCTGACGAACGCGGCGCGCTTCATCCACGGCAGATCGGCCCAGTACACACCGTCGGAGTTGTAGCTGTCATCCGGCTTGATGAGGTAGTCGAAGATGGCCTTCTCGTTGGCGGCATTGCGGTCGTATGGGAGGGTGGCATGGTCGGTGCCAGTATCCGGGCCATGGGGGACCGGGATGGTGCCCGCGGCCGGGTCATGGACGCGGGGGTGGTAGAGGCCGTCGTCGTTCGACATGTTGAGAACGTCTAGCTCTGCGCTGCGCTGAGAAGTGCGGCGAGAAGAGAGATGGGCCGGGGGCGTGTTGATGGAGAGGAAGGGAGAAAGAAGAGAGGAGGACGGTGATACAGCGATGGGGGGAGGGGATTATTATATGATGATGGGAAGAGACGGGGAATGGACTGGGATGGGCCCTGGAGCGAGTGGGGGTAGGAGGTGAGGTGCACGACTGTCGCTCTCGCCGTGTGAGTGGCGGAATGGAGAGGATTAGTGGCATAGTGGACATGTGTGGGAACTATTTCCTCGTGGGAGGGTTTCTTTTTTTTCTTTCGGGGTCGCCTATAGTGGACTGAAGTGGACTGAAACGGGTAGAGCGCGTGTACGATGGAAATAGTGTGAGTAGTGTGAGTAGTGTGAGTGTAGTGGGGAGTAGTGCTAGTTGATTTTGGAGTGTTATTGGGGTGATATTGGCGGGTAGTACGAGTAAGAAATGGTCACCAAACACACCTTAGTGGTACTAAGTGAGTGAGTGGTGGTAGAGTGGGTTGCTCCTGCTGGTTTGAGGGTAACAGTGAGTGCAGAGATTCTTGCTCCGGCGATCGAAACATTTTACTAGCGGCCCCTCGCGTACCGTTGCATGTACCACTGTCTCTCTGCGCCCCAAAGTGCTTGTACCACAGCCAAGACACAGCCAAGACACAGCCAAGACAAAGTACCCATTTGCCGGTGGCACGGTGGAAGGGGTACTCCAGCAAACGTGCTCGATGAGGCATTTGAGCACGCGGGCACTTTGATTTTCGCCTGTTCGAAGGGTCGGAGCCAGTCGGAAAACCGAAAACTATACTTGGCGATCCCATACTACCCACCGCATATAGCCATGTACCCCGCTCTTCGATCCGCCTCGTCCACCACCGCAGCAACACCACATCACCACCAAATCAATACCCTACCTACTGGGTATTATAGCTAATATAGTGAGTTTCGTGGTACTTCATCCCACTCCGTCTACCTCCTCTGTATACTTTCCCATTACACCCACTACACACCCATTACACACAGCATTACAGTAATCGGACCCTCTCAATCGCTCTAAAGATGCCCACTTCGCCCATCTTACGCCCACCTTTCCCGCCCCGGTTCCCCCTTCGCCTCTCCCCGTATCTTAAACCCCCAACTTCTCTCCATGCACACGCGAGCAAATCACAGCGCCGGAAGCAGAACATGTTTCTCCATCACCACGCCTCATTGGCTCCTCCTGCATATAACCACATGGCGAGATGTCAACTACCACTACGTCTGTTTCCCCTATCGATTCCCATTCCAACTTGCATCGCTCTGTTCGCTCTGTTCGCTCAGAACGCCTCCGGATACAGCGGCCACCTGAAGATATGTCAGACTTCCAATCCCTGTGTGCTCAGCTCCAGATATGCCATCGAGAGCCAAGAGATTTCGGACGTGGCGGCCGTGTCCGGTGTCTTGGAAGTCTTGGAAGTCTTGGAAGTTCAGCCATCCCCCTCCGTTGACCACAGCTGCCCACCAGACGGGAATCATCCTGAGCATGCTGAGCTGCGCCTGCCTTTGAAGACTCGTCGTTGCGTCGACGATTCTCAGCCAATCATTTAAGAACGTGGTGCTGCTCCCGTCGCTAACTGGGTCTCCCCACCATTGCACTCCTTGTCTGCCGAGGATTTGTGCTAACGCGCTAGTGACTAGCGGGGAAGCCACAGTTTTGATGGAGATCTGGAGTGGGATGGAGGTGTGCTGGGGTGGGGGTACACAGACATCGCTTGCTTGCTTCAATAATGTGAGTTCCAGTTCCAGATGCTCTTGTTGCTCCTTTGCACGAGGGAAGAAAGACGTCGGAGATACGGGAAGAGACGTCGCACGAGCGTAAGATGGTGGTATCAATATTATCTAAACTCATCCACTTATCCACTTATACGTACTCCACTCCATGATTCTATTGTTAAGCTACCAGTCCATCATCCATTTATCTCCTCTCACACCTCACACACGACTCCTGCCGTCGTGACAACAACGAACAAACACCGTGCCCTTCCCTCAATGCTTGATCCCCCTTCTTCCCGTCTTGTCCAACACGATCGAGATCATCTCCACAAATCAACTCGGATCAAATCAAATAGTCATATATCGGAATCCTTGGGTCAGCCAGGGCCGCCCGGACTCGGAAATTCCCCCCCTAGAGCGACGCCTCCTACACCTGGTCTCGCGTGTCACCATCGCTCTCCTGCCATCCACCCAGCCCACGTGCGCGCTTCGGTCGTTGCCGTTGCACGCGTCTCCCTTCACCTTCGTATACACAAACATACATAGGATTCACCACAGACATGTCTCAACGCGCCATTCAGCTGCAGAATATCATGTTTCCCTCACTTCCCTCCTTCCTATCTCTCCGTCGCATCCGTAATCTCAGCCTTCCCGCCCCGTCCCGGCCTCATCTACGTAGCACACCCGCTTGTATCACCGACCAGCATCTACAAAACGCGCCACAAAGCTTGCTCGCACTTGCCGCGCCTGGGAGCCCCTCCCATCCATCCCAGCGACAGAAAACAAGCCTCGCCACAATATCCTCCCGTCTCTTGGTTTTGCTTGTTTCAATGTCGTCGTTGACCCGCCAAGCCTGTCATCTCACCACCCCCTTCACCACGTTCCCCGAGCCGAGCCCCTGATTGGCCTGCCCAGGCGCCAGGGGACAATCGACGTCCACAACCGCGCCCAGGCTTTCCCAAAGGCTTCTTTCCACGCGCATGTAGATGGGCCCAGTATTACCCTCGTGGCCCGCTATGCACGATGGGGAGATCACCTGCATCTCCGCTACACTACTGTACTGTCAGACAAATAGCTCCCTTTTTTTTCCTTCCAGATGTCTCAAAGGCTTCTTTTGGTTATTACTTTTGATTTAGCCCCTGTCTCAACAGAAAAATTCAGACGACTCGGCCAAGCCGCGTGTCCACTGTGACTCGGGGTAATGTCGGTTTCGCGAGAAGAGGGTCCTGTTGGAGTGTCGGCAATGTCGCCGGTGTCTTATACAAAAATAACCATACGGGTATTCGGCTCCCTCACCACTTCACCATGTCCTTGCCCTCTCCAAACCGAATGACCCCTTTCTTCCTCCTCTCGGTCAGCCATCGATCAATCCACACCTTCATCTTAGCGCGGCTGGCGGCACTCCCAACGTTCACCGTCGGCACAACCTTCTCTATCCGCAGCGCGCAGCAGAACATCGTTAGCTCCCGAAAGCTACTATGCTCGGAGTACGGCACGCCAAAGCAGGCCGCCTCATGCGTGCTGCCACGTTGTGGACTCAGGTCCGCCATCGTGTACCTGCTGCGCCAGTTCTCACCCGTGAGCACGGCAGCTACGGATGGACTATCAACGAGCCGCGAGTTTGGCGGACGGTAGTTCCACCCACTCGGCCGGAAACCCACGATCCGTGAGAAGTGCGGCTTCAATCCGTTCAGGTAGTCCTGCAGGGTCTCCGCTCGGATCTCCATCAGCGACTGCATGTGTATCTGTGCCTCATGGGGATTGGTCGTCATCCGCGACGACAGCTCAGGGTCCTCCAGCGCGGCGCAGATCTTTTGTTTACGCGGCGGCGCCCAGATCTTGCAGTTTAGCGCGCGTGCAATACCCAGACAAATGTTCTCTTTCCCAATACTATATGTTCCGCAGAGGATAAGAAGCCTACCTCGGGGCTTCTTCGGATCCGCTTTGGTCCCTGACTCCTCGGACTTGGCCCCAGTGTCCACAAACCTCGCCATGCTTGCTCCAGCACGATCTTTCCCAGCTATTTCCCACGCATTATCCCCCTTATCCTTAGACATACTGACGCAAATATCTGCGCAAGACCGGACAACGTCGTCTTGTGACGGGAATGAATATCGTGGGTTGAGATATGTAGTGTCGAGATAGCAAACATCAATCTTTTGCTGCCTCGTCTTACCAGTAATCGAGTCGACGATATCAGGCATCAGTTGGGGATGTTCCACGTGGGCAGGACATGCTCGAAAATCACCGCAGTGGAGTATCCTCTGGACCTTTGGGTTAGGACCTTTTCCTACCACTTTCTCAAAAAGGAATAATGAGCTCCCTGGACAGTGGTTGGCGGGGATCATCGTAACGCTGACCCCACGTGTATTGGGCACTTCGATTTTATCCTCAAAGTCCAGGGTAACAACCCATTTGGGATCGACTCGTAGCTGCTGCTTGACTAGATTGCCTGTAACTTTGCTGCAGTAGATCGGTCCGTGACACCACGAGGCTGTCAGGCCAATATAGTGGTCGCTGTGAAAGTGACTGAGAAAGTATGCATTGCACCCTTGAACAGCTCCATATCGAAAGGCATCGACACAAATATAGAAGCCAGGCATAATTTTGTAAAAAGGACAGACGCGTTTGTATGCCGGCTTGCCTTTCGCTGAAGTCTCGGCGGCAGCAGCATTTTCCCAGGCCGCATCTTCCGCCTTTGAAGACATCAGTTTGGAGAAGGCTGACGAGGTCGACGGGTCCGGAATGTCCAGCTGGAATGGATTTGGCTGTCCGGATCTTGCAATAGATGCCTTTGAAAATCGGTTGCTTCCATGTTCTACCTTTATCCTCGATACTGTAGACTCTTTAGTCGGAGCTAGTGGTTCAGGATTTCCATCTAAACAAGCATTGACATGTCTCGTAATTTCATCTGCAGTACTTTCCCCAAGACCCGAATCACAAATCGGGCATTTCGAGATTGAAGACTCGTCAGGGATGCCAAAACTATCACTCAGGGAAGGGCCGTTTATTTCGCTTGCGTCGGCGTTTTCGAACTTTTCCTGCTCTTCCATCCACTTCCTCTCCATGAACTTTTCGCCATCAGCAAACTCGTCTTCGATATCGGGGTACTCGTCCATATCTTCAAACGCACCATAATCGCTGTAGCTCGTCTCTTCTGGCTTGAGGGGGGGTGTTTGTTCTTCATCTGCTGGATTATCGGTGGGGCCGTCTGGAACATCTTCGAAAAGGTCATTGCAGTCACCTTCTTCCGGCTTTGCCATTTTGCTCATACCCAGCAGCCCTTCGGTGCTGAGAGCAACCTCGGCCTGCACTGCTGCATTCTGGATTGTTTGACTTCGTACGTCAATTCCCACGGGAGCTTCGTCATCTTCTGAGTCGCTATCGTCGAGGAATGCACCTATCCGCCTCGGCTGAGGGTTGTCTGCATCTGGTGGCGGGGGGGTGCACGCCTCTGATATTTCCGCCCTCGCGGCTATGCCTGTATGTAACGATGCTTTTTCTATAGGCAGCAGCTTACCCCCAGGAGAAACACCTGCGCCCGTACTTCTTGCCTGTGTATCTGCATGCCCGTCGCTTATTCTCCTCCTCTTTGTTGAGTGGCCCGACTCGTTATATCGCTCTGTGCTATCTGTGGCACTGTATAAATCGTCGTAGGCAGCACCAGCAAGGTCATCTGGCGTTGGTGCCCGTACGGCTAAAGCCTTCTTTGTCGGGGAAACCTCATATCTGCCTCCAGACAAAAATAGGCCTCCATCGTCCTCCGCCTCAACCTTTTTGAAGAAGTTTAATATGCTTCCGTTGGGCTTGCCTGGAGCCTTCGCACTAAATGCTTTCTTCGCCCCTTGGGAGCTGACCTTTCGTACATTGGTCTTCGTGTTAGGTCGAGGAGTCAAGGGTTTGGTGGAGGATGAGGGGCCAGCCATGGCTGTCGTTGAGCCAGTCCGATCGGTACTTCGCCCATCCAGCGGCGTTGGAGGCCTGCCTGTGGAGGGTTTCAGAGAACTATCTCTTGTTGCGTCCTCTCGTGGTTTGCGGAACATGGCATTGCGCAGCGGGAGTCGCCATGGGCCAGTGTTGACAGGGTTGTCCGGGTTGCCACCTCTGACGATGAGGGGATTTCGCGACATCGTTTTTACGCGTGGTCCCGTGACCACTTTATTATATACAGATATTTACATTTATCACTGAGAAATGAAAATTGGTTCAATGGCGTTTGCATGATCATTCATATATCAGAGCTTCAAAGGAAGCCATGTCCCGTGAGACTCTGGGTATCCGTTTGCATCCCAGGCGAAATTCAAGCAGCCCGGCCAGGGACGCCTAACTCCATACCCTGTTCTAATGGCCACATTGCCTCACTATCACAGTTCTATCATATCCCAGAGGGTCCTCCTGTGATCCAGTATACAAGCTTGCCACAAGCTATGCAGTTGCAGCTGTTGCCACATGGCCCTTGGATTCCTATGCCAAAATCCTCGCCCATAACCTCATTTATGCTGCTTTCGCTTTCGATGCTTGTTGGGCTGCTTCTGTGTGACGGGCTAGTTATTAATCGCTCTCAAGAGTCATGGGCCCAGGTTCAACATACCTCTTCTTGTTGCATCCTCTAGTAGCTGGGTATCCACGACGGCACCTGGTAGGTGGACATATCTCACCACACTTCCTCTGATGAATACGTTCTTGACGGACGACTACCACCATACCATGTTAGCTTATGTCCTCTGGGCCAAATTGCAAGCCCATCGCTGCTTTGTGCGCTTCCCAATCGACTGCGCTTCGCTTTTGCCAGCTTGCGGGTGGATAGTCGGGCGCGAGGTCCATGCTTACAAGATGGGGGTATTTGATTTCCTCCACCACACTGATATCGTCGAGCTTGATGTTGAGGTATTGATCGACTGACTTCAGCGTTCCGCGGATCTGGATGTCGTTCTTGAGCTCAACCGTTACCTCTTGGTCGACAAGAGTCTTGAAGAAACTATGTAACTATTAGCGCATGTCCTGCAAGTGTTGCTGCAGTATATATCGCATGTGGAACTCGATAGACTCGCCTGAAGAACAGCATCTTGGTGGCTATAAAAGGTTGTTGTGGGAGCTGCAAGCTGGAACACGGCGACAGCATCGCATGGTCACCCATACCCGCGATAGTGGTGGGGAATAATTGTTGCCTTGGATTTTAGGCAGAACACTTCGGTGTGTTCTCACCTTGTGACGAAAGCAATCCAACTTTACTTTACACAGCGGTTGAAATTTAATGGTAGAAAATTACAATAATCTTTAGGATAATATATTTACACTTCTATAGTTATTCTACTATTTGGGTTTTCAAGTTGTAATTTTTTTTTATATTCCCTAAAAAATTAAAATTGTGTAACACATTGTAAGAATGAAAAATAAACACATTTCCTAATTATTTTTATTACGTATCACGATAAACTCGATATTTCTATAAACTAGAGCTTCAACACGTACTATTTGAAGGAAGATAGCGTTGGAAGATCAACAACCAAGTTGTAAACGGAGAAACTTCAACGAATGCTACCTGGCTCATACCTTCATCACATTTTATTGGTATATTTACACTACGATCTAAAATGAGCAAGTACTTGGCCTAGTCTCCTGAGAGCCTTTGGGCGATAATCGACAGGATCTTCTGCCTTCTTGATCTCTTCAATCTCCTCTCTGGCATCTCTCACCAACGGCAATAACCCACCCCAAACCTCGTCGGCGTAGCGCGTCAAAACACCCTCCCACTGCTCAACCCATAGACGGCTTGCTTCCTCTTGTGGCAGAACTTGCCCAAACTGAGAGTAGGATTCTTGAGCATACTCATCTGGCAGCCAGGTGCTCATATCGCTAGACCTGAACGTATCGGGCTGTAGATTAAGTGGGTGAGAGACGTCTGTACCAGTGTGCATATCCGAGGAAGGAAATAGGTCCTTGACAAGGGCCTGGATTTTTGCGGTCTGGTTGTCGGTCAATCTCCATTCCTCTATCTCATCTTCGATGTTCTGAGGTGCAAAGTAGTCTACCTCCTGCCGCCTTTCGGACAGTATGTCCAACACAGCCTCTCCATCCCGACTTTCTTGCTCTTCGACGCTGCGAAATTGGTATGGTTCTAAATTGTGACCTGAGACTTGCGCCGTTGGTGCGCTGCCGAAAGCCTCGGTATCCTCGTCGTCCAACACTGGCCTTGTCCCATCTTCAGTAGATGGTCCGAATGTATCTATGCCGTCGAGAAAGGACGAAAACTCCGCCTCAGCAGATGCAGTGTGCTGTTCTTGGTGTGAACTCCTGAAAACCTGTGGGCCTGGCTGTTGGGCACCTTGCGAGGGCTGTTGTCGGGAGGTCTGAGAGCTCTCGGCCCAAACAGAGCCATGACCAGAACTTGACGGTTGGCCTTGTCCCTTCCCCGAAGTGGCTAATGCTGCTGCGGCGGAGTCTTTGACTTCATTGCTATTCGTTGCACCAAATGCACTTCGTGTAAGGCCAATCGCGGAGGCCGCAACCCTATCGAGGACAGAATCGGATGAAGTTGTAGTTGTTTCGTTAGAAGTCACCTGGTCTTCCGGCTCTCCCGCAGCTTTTGCGGGCCCCTTACCCTTCCCATTGCTCATAACGTCAGTCCGAGATACCACGCGCTGGGAAGTTGGTCGTTGTTATAGTCGCGGGTCCCAGGATCCGACAAGGGCCCCGCGCTTAAGGGTCGGCTAAACTAGAGACCCCACCAACATCACGTGATTGACCCGCGATCAGCGACATACTCGAAGCGCCTCGAGGATCAGGGAAATACGGGACTATTGAGGGCGATATGGATGTATTTCATGATGATATATATGGCCCCTGCCCGAGCGCAGCTTTGTGACTCGAGGATAGAGGGTATACCAATAAATGCTGCAGTTGCGAGACAGAGTTTAACCCAGTCAAGCAGGTTTGCAGCAAAATATGGACAATTTGTAGCTTCCTTGGAACTGAAGAAAAGGTATCACAGTATTTGCGAAAGCGAACACTTTATAAAAACCTCAAATGTAGTATCTGGTAATAATAGGTATCGTAGTAATAATTTTGCAATGCTATATGTACACTTTCCTTGGTTTGGCTATGTTCCCAATGCAGCTGCCTCTTGTCGACCTTTGTAATACAGCTGTTGAGTACCTACGTATTGGCGCGGAGCTGATTGCCGCCAGACCTCTTGGTCACTCGCCAAAACCATCATAACCCCACAATCCCAACTATACTCACCAGACTTTGACGCGCCTAACTACTTATCGCCAGTAGGTCCATTGCTTTGTGTAGATACTACAGATTCCGTGAGTTTTCACCGTTCGACGACCCCGATCCTCGTGTCTTGCGGGGTTTGGATCAAAGCCTTCCCTGCCCTTCCCGCTCACTCTATTGCTCTCAGCACGCCACCGCTGCATTGTACGCGCCTGGTGCACGATGTCGTATTCACACAGCTACTGACTGCTTCATAGAAGACTGTGCGCCATCTAGAATTTTGCTTCCCCTCGAACAACCACCATCCCATCACAAGTTATCCACGCCACGCGCGAATTTGAGGAAGGTGATCCTCAACAGGGCGGGCTGGAAACATGGTAGAAGGAGAAGCGAACTCTCCAACTTGGAAGTTCACACAGTCAGTATTGCCTTGAAGATCAAACAGCAACGGCGAGAAAGACACGCCACTCACAACCTTGACCGCTTGGTTTGGCCGACGAGCCAAAAGGACCCTGCTAACATTCACACAGATGCTTCGGAGATAAGGGAGATGTAGAGGATATCACAGAAGGTTAGTAACACCAAGGGGCTATATATACGCTGTTGCCGCAAACTGGGGATGGGAGCTGCAACTTTTGTCCACTTATTAGATGCGGGCTTGGGGCTAACATGTTCGTTCACAGCCGATATCATCTCAACAGTCGAGTTCGATCACACAGGAAACTACCTTGCCACTGGAGATAAGGGAGGCCGAGTGGTATTATTTGAGAGAAACGAGACAGTATGCAACCTAGCAATCGTGTTCATGCAGCACACACTGATTTCCACAGAAAAAAACATGCGAATACAAGTTTCACACCGAATTCCAATCGCACGAACCCGAATTTGACTACCTAAAGTCCCTCGAGATCGAAGAAAAGATCAACAAAATCAAGTGGTGCAAACGCCAAAATGCATCTCACTACCTCCTTTCGACAAACGACAAGACCATCAAATTGTGGAAGGTGTTTGAGAAGTCATTGAAGGTCGTTGCGGAAAACAACCTTTCTCACGACTTGACCCCTGGCACAGCTGCTGGCGGAGGCGGCGCTCCTCGATCTCGCAACAATGTCCACTTCAACAGCGTCAACGATCTCAAGCTACCTAGACTCACACATCACGATACAGTGGTTGCGGCCGTACCACGCCGAACATATGCCAATGCACATGCATATCATATCAACAGCATCTCAGTGAACAGCGATGGGGAGACGTTTATCAGCAGTGACGACCTGCGTGTAAACCTGTGGAACCTGAACATTCAGGACCAGAGCTTTAACATCGTTGATATCAAGCCGGCGAACATGGAGGAGCTGACAGAAGTCATAACCGCAGCAGAATTCCATCCACAGAGCTGTAACTGGTTCATGTATGCAAGCTCGAAAGGCACAATCAAACTGGCAGACATGCGCGAAAGTGCTCTCTGCGATCAGCACGCCAAGCGTAAGTCAACTCCCGTCATACCCTTGATTTTCGTCTAACATTATTTTAGAATTCGAACAGGAGGAAGATCCCTCTGCACGCTCTTTCTTCTCCGAGATCATCTCCTCCATCTCGGATGTCCGATTCTCACACGATGGAAGATACATCCTGTCTCGCGACTACCTGACTGTGAAGATTTGGGATGTCAATATGGAGCGCCAGCCGATCAAGACCATCCCCATCCACGAACATCTCCGACCCAGGCTCTGTGATACATACGAGAACGACAGCATCTTCGACAAGTTTGAGGTTGTTTTCTCTGGCGATGCTAAGAACGTGATGACTGGTAGTTACAACAATAACTTCATGATTTACCCCTCAGACCCAGACAAGGAGGTGGAGGTGGTTCTACAGGCCGATAAGTCGGCTTTCAAGGCAAAGAAGGTTGGAGTACCGACGCCAATCAACATGTCAACAAGCCCTGGCGCAAATGGAAAGAAGGGTGGCTCAAGAGCTGGCAGCCCAGCGGCTGGAGCAACCGGGGCAGGCCAGAGGATGAGAAAGGAGACTGACGCGGACCAAATTGATTTCAACAAGAAGATCCTCCACATGAGTTGGCATCCATTTGAGGATAGCATTGCTATCGCTGCAACGAATAATGTAAGTTTCCCACAAGCTCTCCTCAGCCCGTATAGCTGCTAACAAGCCTCGATAGCTTTTTGTCTTCTCGGCATTGTAGACAGCAGGAGAATGAAGGAGGCTTTTGTGGCCAGGTTGCGTTGACGTCAGATTGCGACGTGATGAGACGATTCCCAATCTTCATATCTTTAAGGTCAGATTAAGAGCCGGCTGACGCATACATTGATGAGAGATGAGCATATGAGAGAACTATAGACCAGCCTCTCATGACATAGGTGGGCGATTACTAGGTGAATGATCCATTGATAATGAAAGTTATGTGGGCAATCCAGTGCAGTTTCATTTTCCAGCGGCACGGCACTATGCTATCCTGGGGGCGGGGGGCAGAAGGGTCGTCGTTATGACATCGAAGCTCACTGCTCAGATCTTTTACGCAAATTCATTAGTCACTCCAGAGAAATGCAGAGAAGTACTATGGTCTTTTAGCAAGATGTTTCAGTGATTTAATATTTGTGATTATCTGTGTCTCCTGTCTCTCCTAGCTTTAGCTACCTCCCTCTGTTGTAATGCCGTAGTTCAGATTGGGGCAAAAGGAGGGGTTTTCACGTGCACTCGGGCCAATCTACAGCCAATCTACGCACGTCCAAAAAAAGTTTATGACAGCTCATCGTTTAACTTCCCTCCCCTCCCCTCCCTGTTCGTTCCCGTACCCGTACCTATCTGCCTACCCTAACTCTACCGTAACTCTACTACGCCCACTACGTAGGTGCCTGGTTCGACAATTATCCAGTACCTGGCCTTTATACCTTTATACCTGACAGGGCTGACCACCCAAAACCCACTTCGTACAACCCTTTTGGACACATTTGTACACGTTTGGGCAAATACACTCTCGTTATTTATTCCGGCAGATCCGGTACTTTCCTGCTGCAACTATAATTAACAAGGACTGGTAAAAAACAGCCATGAGATCGTCGCTCCAGTCTCGTGACTCCACTTTGCCCTCCTCCGTTGTTGCCAGCTCTTAAAAGTCGTGGCATCCGGCACTTGCCAACTCAAGGTGAGACAGAACCCCTCCTGTCCTGAATAGCACCGCAGCGTGCGTCTATCTTCCATCTCTCTCTCTGTCTCTCTGCCCCTCTGTATCTCTTGCATGCTATATCATCTAGCGTCTAGACCTTCACCAGGCCCGCTCTGATCTTGCTTGGCGGAGCCGAGGCGCCACTCCACCGCGTTCAAATCTCTTTTGGTGCTTGCGACACGATGGCCAGGAGACCCAGAACTGACAGTGGCAGCGCGCCTTCCAGCTCTATGACCGGCCAGGTCACGCCTCGACGACGTGCGACTTTACGAGACCTCCAATCGTCGACAGTGGACGGGATCGAACCCCGTCCAAAGGAAATCAACGCCGCGCCTTCGCTCGAAAAGGCGCAAATGTATGGGATAGACAATGAGAGGCCTACGTCTTCCAAAATCATGGCATTGATTGGACGGATATTCATCGAGACTATACCGCAATGGCTGGCTGTTGGGGTTATGCTCGGGCTGATCTTTGGCGGTTGCTGTTCAAATGTGAGTGCGAAGTGCTGCCGGATTGGAATTTGGAGACAGGAGAACTCATAAAGAACACAGGTTTTCGCGTTGGAAGCAATTATCAAGTAAGTGGTATCCCCGAATGAAATGCGGATCCATCAAGCTAACCTTTGGCAGACCGAATCCAGATAGTGGTATGTGGAAGCGCATCAGACAACCCCCTCATCGCTGATATCTATAGGCACCCTACTCACCTTTGTCCAATTTATCTTCATCGCATCGATCGGCTACACCTCGCAGTTCGATATCAAACGTCCCCCCCTTTTCCTCAAGCCAAACCGCGTCCCGATCAAGCGCTGGCTTGTAAACATTGCCCTATTCTTCACAATTAATGTCCTGAACAATCATGCATTCAGCTACAACATATCTGTGCCCATACATATCATATTACGCTCCGGAGGGAGCATAACCACAATTGGTGTGGGATATCTGTTTGGAAAGCGCTTTTCCCGCATACAGATTGTGTCCGTACTACTACTCACTGTTGGTGTCATCATTGCCGCATGGTCAGATGTTCAATCCAAGGTATGCCAGTTTCTTCAATGCGTCGTATCACAGTACTGACCTTTACAGGAGAAGACAACAGACACAAAGCAAGGGCTGCCACCATTCAGCGTCGGCCTCATTATTCTGTTCATCGCACAAGTCCTATCGGCCATTATGGGACTCTACACCGAAGAAACCTACCGAGAGTATGGCCCTCAGTGGAAAGAAAACCTCTTTTACTCACACTTCATCTCACTACCACTATTCATTCCGTTCTTCCCATCGATGATGAGGCAGTTTCTACGATTGGCCGCCTCCGAGCCATTGACCATGCCTTGGTCCGATCCAGCTGCCCTCGGGGGGTTGCCGCAAGGCTTCAAAGCTGGCGTATCCGGGATTTACATTCCAAGTCAGCTTGCATACCTGGTCGTCAACGTGTTGACCCAGTACGCTTGCATCCGTGGAGTCAATCTTCTTGCTTCTGCATCCTCTGCATTGACAGTGACCATCGTCCTCAATGTGCGGAAGCTAGTCAGTTTGCTGCTCAGCATTTGGTTGTTTGGCAATAGACTGTCATTCGGGACGCTCATTGGAGCCACGATTGTTTTCAGTGCGGGGGGAATGTACTCATTAGACAAAGGGCCAAGGGGAAGGCTTAGACCTGTCACTGCCAGTGTCAGCATCAATGGCAAGGCGGGATAAAGGGAGGGCATAACGCAAATTTAGACTTGATTTAGAATTTGAACGATTTCAGAAATGAACATTTACCCAACGTTTTGAACATTTGATGCAAGGCTGACCAATTGGCGCTAAAAGTTGGGGTAACTCCTCACGCAGCCTTGCCAAGAGCTTCAACAGCGACAGAGACACAGTTCCATCTCTTATCAGCGACGTGCCAAAGCAAACTCTACGCGTTTAAGACTTCACATCACACAGCATTTAGACCTTGCATAACTTATATTACCATTGCCCACTTTGCCTGTTGTACTGTGCGACTGCTGACGCCTTGCTGACCCGTGTGGAAAGCCCCAACGGTCGACAAGTGATAAGCCTCGACGAGTCATACAAGACTCGACCTCGCGAGCAATGTCTGGTGAGCTCAACATTAACTACCTGGCCAATGGAAATAGCACCATTCGAAACATTATAACTGATTGTTTTCAGGCACCGTATTCCAAGGAAACCACCCATCTGGGCTGAGCTCTCCACACCTCGAACCAACCCAGCTATCTGTTGACGACAATTCCGACGCTGACGATAACCCCTACGACGACCAAGACCTAGACGAGGGCTCAAACAGTACCCTTGCAGATAATAAGACAAACAATGCACTTCCTGGGGCGGCTTTAGACGAAGAGGGAGACGAAGACGCTACTCAGGACGGCCTACTTCCGAGAGACTTCCAGAGAAGAACAACCTTCTACGATTACGCTGCTGAGAAGCAAATAAGCTTCACGGATGCCAAACTCTTCTATCAGAGAAGCCAGGCCGAGGCTCAGCGTAGTGGCGAAGGCGGATGGGGTTCCCAGCAATCGCTGCCCCCCGACAGTCCACGGTTGAGTGAGAGAAAGTATTCAAACATTTCCGGAACGGAAGCCGAGAACCCGCAAAGAAGTGGCAGCTTGAGATCTATTGGAAGCGGCCTAAACATGGCTCAAAGGTGAGTAAGGCTATATCTATGTTTTATTCGTGTGTCTAACGTGGACTAGCCATGGCAAGTTCAAATCTGCCCAACCTACCGGCCTTGTCAACCCAGAGAAACTCCCCGAAAGCAACACCATACAAGAACCAGTTTTTGGTGGCAATGATGGCGTGGGGCGGGCAGGAGGTTTTCAGCGTCAGGAAGTTCGGCAGCCAGAGAACGCGAAGCTACCAGCTGAGCTCCATGCACCAATAACGCCGGAAGGGCTACACGGTGCGGGAGCTGGTATTGGTGTTGGCAATGGTGCTGGAGGATTTGCAAATACAGAAGCCCATGTCACTTCCGAGTTGAGCGCAATATACTCGAATATTCAAAAAGTGCTAGACTTTCGTCACAAGTATATGCGCCTGTCGCTACAAGGCCCAGAAGATAATCCAAAAGATGACCCTAGTTGGAATATCTATCCCCCTCACCCTCAGCCGGCATGGGAGGAGGAGAAACGAAGGGCGACAATGGCGAATGGCGGCGATAGCCTCTCCAACAGCACAGTGCTGCCCACAAGTTCATCAAAGCCCACGCGTAAGCCAGGACAAGATATTGGCGAGGATTTCGACATGGAAGACCTCTTGCCTCTTCCAGAGGCCGGCGAGATGACATTTCGCCTGGATGACAATGGCGTATACCAAGTTTACCAGCATTCTGACGCTGGTGCATTAGAAGAGCCGGTGATCAACATCCCAACTATTCGTGAATTCTACATGGACCTGGAACAGATCCTGGAGATTTCTTCCGATGGCCCTAGCAAAAGCTTTGCGTTCAGGCGCCTCCAATATCTGGAAGGCAAGTTTAACCTGTATGTGCTTCTGAACGAGTATCAAGAGATGGCAGACAGCAAAAGTGTGCCACATCGAGACTTCTACAATGTGAGGAAAGTGGATACCCATATTCACCACTCGGCTTGTATGAACCAAAAGCATCTGCTCCGATTTATTAAGAGCAAGATGAAGAAATGCCCAAACGAGGTAGTTATGTTCAGAGATGGAAAGCATCTCACACTAAGCGAGGTTTTTGAGAGTATCAACTTGACGGCATATGATTTGAGTATCGACACGCTGGACATGCACGCCCACACAGACTCTTTCCACCGATTTGACAAGTTCAACCTCAAATACAATCCCATTGGAGAGTCCCGTCTGAGAACCATCTTTCTCAAGACTGACAACTTCATCAAGGGACGATACCTTGCAGAGATAACAAAGGAAGTTATTACCGATCTCGAGTCCAGCAAATACCAAATGGTGGAATGGCGCATTAGCATTTACGGCCGAGACCCTGATGAGTGGGATAAACTGGCAGCTTGGGTTGTCGATAACAAGCTCTTCTCGCCAAATGTGCGCTGGCTCGTCCAAGTCCCGCGACTGTACGACGTGTACAAGGCGTCAGGTCTAATGGATAACTTTGAGCAAGTCGTCATCAACGTATTTAGGCCCCTATTCGAGGTTACCAAGGACCCATCGAGCCACCCGAACCTGCACGTCTTCCTGCAGAGAGTCATCGGCTTCGACAGCGTCGATGATGAGAGCAAAGTCGAGCGTAGACTCTTCCGCAAGTTCCCCGTCCCTAAAGTCTGGGATACGAAGCAGAACCCGCCGTACAGCTACTGGATCTATTACATGTTCGCCAACATCGCATCTCTGAACGTCATGCGTAAGCAACGAGGCTTCAATACCTTCGTCCTTCGTCCCCACTGTGGTGAGGCTGGGGATTCCGACCATCTCGCTGCTGCAGTCCTCACCTGTCACAGTATTAGCCATGGTCTTTTACTCCGCAAAGTTCCTTTCTTGCAATACATTTTCTACCTCGAGCAGATCGGCGTCGCCATGTCCCCTCTCAGCAACAATGCTCTCTTCCTTGCGTACGAACGCAACCCCTTCCTTTCCTACTTCAAGCGCGGACTCAACGTATCCCTATCGACCGATGATCCGCTCCAGTTCGCCTTCACCAAAGAGGCGTTGATTGAGGAATACTCCGTAGCCGCGCAAATCTACAAGCTTAACGCTGTGGACATGTGTGAGCTAGCGCGCAACTCCGTCCAACAGAGCGGCTACGAGGCGTCTGTTAAGCAGCATTGGCTAGGAGATAACTTCAACAAGCCCGGCGTTGCGGGAAACACGATGGCGAAGACGAATATCCCGAATATCCGCCAAGGCTTCCGTCACGAGACGATACTACAGGAAATGGCCATGTAAGGTCCCCATGCCGTCATTAAACGGGAAACTAACAAAAGTAGGATTGACCGCTACACGTCTGCATCAACGCCAATACCCTCGGCAGATACTAGCTCATATGAAACTCCTGTTGGGCTACAATCACCCACCTCCTCCATGAAAACGAACCTCTCCACAACTACCATCCCCCATGATCAGTCGCCTTTCCCTGCCCAGGCAGCCCGCTTCCCCCACGCTCCCCCTACAGCCAGCCTGTCCTCGACAACACTCCCTCCTGCGCCAACGAACGTCTCGACTGATAGTCTGCAGCCGATCAATGCTGGACTACAGGACCTGCACTTGTCGGGACATGAACCTAAGTTTTTCCCAGGGGTGCTTAGCCGCTCGCAGAGGAGGGATGGTGGCGAAGGGAGACCCGGGACCGAGAGGAGTGAGAAGGGGTGGGGAGGATCCGTTAAAGAGGAGAGAGAGGATGAGGATGGATCAGAAGAGTGGGCTTAAATGTGATAAGATCTTGGGTTTACGAAAGGCGCATACAACGTTAAACAGCTAGAACGGGATCATGTTTCACTTCACGTAGTAGAGATAGCTAGTATGAGGTATTCAAAGTCGCCATGCAATTCAATTAGACGTCTCGACATAAAGAGATGTTAAATGAAGGATTCTGCTCAGACCAATTCGCCGTCCGAACCAACGCATTGCGCGAAATAACTGAAACTCCACAGCCTCCCCCCCTCCTTGTACAAATATCCCGCGCGTCAAAATACATATACACCCCAAGGCTCACCACTTCCCAGCCAGCCCTCACATAAACAGATCCGCAGCTTATCACCGTCCACCATCTCGGCCATGGGGTATTATTTAGCAGCATCCCTCGGCGCACTCAGCGCAGTCAGCGCAGGCCTCGCATCCCTCCTCGCACACGCAGCAACAGCAGAGCGCGGCGAACAGACCTGCCAAGCAACCCTTTCCTGCGCCGCCCCCGCTGCTCTTCTTTGGAGGAGGACCCTGCTGGTACTGTTGCTGGGGTGGGTATTGCATCTGTGCGCGCGCGGTTAGTTTGTGCGACATTTCAGTATTTTAAAAGATAGAGAGCGCTTACTGGAGGTGGCTGTTGATAGTAGCCGCCGCCCTGTGGTGGGCCATAGGATTGTTGTGGTTGCTGGGGGTATTGAGGTTGGCCATATGGCTGTTGGCCGCCGTACTGTTGTTGAGGAGGGGCACCGCCGCCATAATAGTTTTGGTTGGACATGTTTGCGCGAAGAGGGAGTTTGAAGCTGGTGTTGGTTGAGTTGGATATTCGAAGAAGGGTTTGTAGATGTTGACGACGACGAGTGTCAATGCGCGTGGGATCGAAAAATGGACGATTAAGGTGATGGATCGCGGAGATGCAGATGTTGAAAGGTCTTGGTAGAGTCTTGGTAGATATTGAAAGGTCTTGGCGGAGACAATGAGAGGACGGGAGAACGGCACGATATTTAAAGGGCTGGGGGCTGGAAGGAAAGGTGGGAAGGGTGGTGGTACAGGTGGTGGTGGGTAGGGGGTGTTTTAGGGTGGGGAGGTGGAGAACGGCAGGGGGTTTATTGGGATTCGATCAGATTTTCATGGGATTTATTGGGGTTCGGCGAACAAATGCGTGTGGAAGCATACGCAATCCAGCATCGAACAGCCCAGATCGACACGAACGTCCACACGTTATCGCCCCTGCGGCGACGCCGTGGATTTTTATACTTTAATCGGTCTGGCGTATATGCCAAGGACATACTATATATATGCTAGTAAGCTACTGACTCTGGTATTCTCTGTCTTCAGCCTCTTCTGCTCGCAACGCAACTTGCTGTGGCGCAGTATGGATGGCTGTGCCCTCAAAACGCTCTTAAAACGGCTTGCTGCCAGGGTTGTGTTGTTGTATGCGGCTTTATTCCCACCTCGGCAATCTGGGAGCGCCTTCATCAGCCTTGGCACCAGTGAAAATCATCTTTATATACATGTGCTCAGTCATATACAGTATAGCATGCACTCGATCATACGCTTGTATGCCGCGACTCTATTAACTTAACCGTGAAATGCTGCGCAGGGGACAACGGTGGCGCTAACAATTGCGGAGAACTGTCGAATTATCGAACTATCCTGCGAAGGAATGACGCATGGGGGGTGGGGGTAACACTCGAAGGGTATCTGATCGCAGGGTTTGATATCATAAAATCATTGCATACTACATGCAATCGCAGTCTATCTGCATTGTAAATGTCGAGCTGCTAGGCCTATCCCACCGCGAAGCCGCCAGTCACGACCGCCGAGTTGATTCTCCTCAATCAAATAACCGTGAAGTTGTGTCTACTATCATCATCCCATACTCCCTATTCAGGCCTTGACGACCGCGTACTCCTTCAAGAAATCCGGGTCGTTTGCAATCTCTTCCTTGATCTGTATCACGCTGTTAGCCCAGTCCAAAGCACCCCCCAAGCGGAAGTCGCATCTCAGGTAAACTTACAATATCCAACCCACCCACCAGCTCTCCCCCAACCCACAACTGTGGGAACGTCGGCCAGTCCGCAAACTCCTTCAAGCCCTGCCTCACCTCATCATCCGCCAAGATATTGAAGAACCCATATCGCACCGAGTTCTCTCTCAGCAGCGCAACCAACTGCCGACTGAATCCGCACTGTGGCGCGCTTGGCGTCCCCTTCATGAACAACATAACCGGCGCCGCCTTCACCAGCTCCCCCAGCCTCTTATTCAGGTCCTCCTTCCCCTCTCCCGACGCAACAGCCGTCCCATTCGCATCCGCATCCTTCTCTCCGCCTGCAACACCTGCCGCATCAACCCGTGGTGCTGGCCCCGTAGTATCACGATAAGTGACATCTTGCTTTGGTGGTATCACCACATCCTCAGCCTTGCCCTCCCCACCAGCAGCGTGTCGCTCAATTGCCGCACGCACCTTCCCCGCATCGCTCCCCGATACGGTCTCGAGTGTTGCGCCTGCGCGTGCGAGCACCAAGAATGGCACAGCGGTCACGTCGTATGCGTCGCTCACGTCAGGGAGTTCCTCAGCGTTGACGGAGAGCCAGAGGGTGCGTGGTGGGGTGGTGGCGGGGTAAGACGCTGCGAGGGTCGCGAGCACGGTGTTCATCTGCGCGCATGGTGCGGCCCAGGGGGTATGGAAGGAGAGGACCAGGAGGGTCGTTGGGTCGAGAGTCGTGACGTGCGTGTTGAACTCATCTTCGGAGGTGACTTCGAGGATTTTCGACATGGTAGGCTGTGAGGTGGGTGTTTTGGTGGTGTGTGTAAATGGTGGGGTAAATTCGCACGCTCAACCGACGAGCTCTACTTGATGCGATGAGGGGTTGCGTATGCTGTTTCGGATATTCGATTTGATTCTGTAGATGCGAAGAGGGGACTCGTTCGTAGAGTTGATGCTGTTCTGCCCTCGGAGATGTTTATCTGATCGTGGTCGCTGATTAATATTCAACGGCCGCCACCAACAGAAATTATTGCCGGACTTCGGCGAACGTCATGGCCACACTAAATCACGACTAACCACGTGATCGTCAATCAAATACAGCGACTCTCATTGAACAGATTTGAGAACAAAAGGAGCGAAAGGCAAGTCGGAATCCACACTTGAATTACTAGAGAATTGACGAGATAGCAACAGATCACATATAATATATACTGGTATTTGTTTATGTACGAAGGATTCTAAATCCAAGAATATTTACAATCAAATGTTAAGTCCAAAGCAATCGATGTCCCGCTAACGCCCTTTTTTCATATCAACAGAAATCGCGTTCATCCGTGAGCGAGCCATCACCAGCTGGTCCATCAGGGGCCATCTGATCTTGTCGCCAAAAGTATATGCAAAATTTGTTCCAAGAATTGAAGTGATCTGTTCAAGCGTCCACCACAGCCTGCCTATACCAAAGATGGCCTTGGCACCATTCAGTTGTTGGTGTATACCTTGACGGAGTTGACAAGCCAATACGCCTCTTCATACACCGCTGGGTTCTGGCTGACAAAGTCTTCGCAGGTTGCGGCCCGAGCACCACACTTATCTCCCCAAACGCCGCCGGCCCAGTCTCCACAAAACGTCGTGTCGAACACGATATAGTGATCCCTGAAGTGGGAGCCAATGTCGCAGCTGTTGCCGACGAAGTTGGTCAGGGGTGTGCCCCAGGTGCTGGGATCGGGGTTGCCAGAGTTGATGTCGTCCGGAATGGCATATCGTGGGAAGAAATATACTGCAATAGCTTCATTTGTCCACTCCATCGCATAGACTCCACCACCGATGCTGTTGAAGCCGGTCCCGTAGTTTGACGGATCGGTGGTTGTCTGGCCACATCCCCCAATGCCACTGCAGTCAGCGTTACTGAGGACAGAGCCCGGCTGGGAGTTGGGGTTGTTCATGGAACAGCCCCCCGATGTGTGAAGGGTAACGTCGTTCGTCAATTGAGTGTTGACGCCCTCTATAACATCTATTTCACCCCTATTGGGCCAGTCTGGGCCATATGTCCAGAATGCAGGCCAGGAACCACACTCAGCACCAGGCATGTGTTTAATATCGGCAATGAAGAGTCCCAGGGTGTATTGCTTTTTGGACTCGACCCGAACAGATGCGCGGCCATTGGGTGGGCTCATCGTGGTGTGGTCAACTCCCATGTAGACGCCGTCCTGAGAGAGCCCGGCGAGCCCAGCATTGTTTGCTGTCTCAGCATTGACATAGTCAACGAAGCCGTTCGTTGGGTCACGGCCATCGTAGAAATTAAATCCGTCGAAGAAGTTGGTGGAGTCGTAGACATCTTGGAGTGTGTAGGCAGCGCTTGCAGTACCTGCAAGCCAGGCAATGGCTGAAGCTTGAATGAGGGTTTGTAAGGAAGGCATTGTGACGACGATTTAAACTTTTGGTTTCTGCTCCGTAAGATAGGGTTGGTAGAGAGCTCTTATATGTACACTCCGAATAATTGAGATGAACTGAGAATCAGGGGATGTAGGGACTGTTCGTGAATCCTCGAGGTGATGCAAAAGGACCGATTGTTCTTGGTGGCTTCACCCAAGTTTGAACACCTATGTAAGGATTGTCGTACTATTGTTGCAGCAAGAGTAGCACGGCTTTATAACGAACAATGGGTCCAAGGCACCGAACAGTTTCTTATCCGGGATTCCGCACCACAGACGTTTGATGGTTGTGTGAATGATAATGAAAAGATGAATGAAAGAGCAATGCGCCCAAGGAACAGTAGTATTATTAAGGAAGGTATGCTGTCTCGAACATGGGAGAACGGCGGTATAAGGATATAGTTTCGCCGGCCACCATCTGAGTGGGGGGGACTATGAGATGAAATAGCCCCCTGGGCTCGCTGGGACGCACTTTAGACATGGTCTAGAGATGCGCATGAGCGTCTAATAAGAAGTAGCGCGGACTTGGGGCGCGAGAAGGGCATGAGATAGCACGGTGTCACCGTGAATATATTGGACTTCCACCTCCTCTGGACGCGGCTGTGGCACGAGTGTGGCAAGAGTATGGCCGCTCGGCCAGTCATGACCCGTCGCTGTTTCTCTAGTGAAGAACAGCATGAAAGGTTGTCGACGATTCCCCCTTGAAGGTCTGTTTCAGTTGTGGCGGCGATGGACCAATGAACCAGGATCAGCCACCTTTGACGTTCAGCAAGCGAGGGCGCCAACCATAACACCAACGTGATCCGAGACAGACGGGAGAGCTACCCACGACGACGACGACGGCGTTTCGGAAGTTTGGACGAACCAAACGCCAAACAAAGCGATATATGTTCTGTGTTTTTGACAAAGGAAGTTTCATGGTGCGGGATGTGGGATCCGGGTCCAGACCAGTCTCAGTTCCAGTCCCAGCGCAGTCAAAGGCGGTCCCATCGGACATATTTCATCGCAACTCCATCGCAACTTCGCGACATGACAAGTAGGCGCCGAACTTGTGTGAAAGACTCCTCGAGCATGGATGGGATGGACCATGTGATCTGCCGGACAGCAATGATCCTGCCTCGCTGCATGATCGAAGCGCGATAGAAGGCCCGATGAACCCGCATGGTTAATCTCATGGTTTAATGTAAATAGCTAGCCATCCCTTAGCCATCCTTTAGAGTTGACAAGTTCAGTAAGGTGGAGTCCGGCAAATGGCTGATCAGGTCCATGTCGGTACCTGGCTCCGTTGGGTCCGTTCCCCCTCAATTTAGATCCTTTGAATCCTTTAAAAATCGTTTAAATCGAATAAAGAGCCAATTTAATCCCACGCCCCAAAGCTGGCCAATGAAGATGAAGAGAATCAACAAATCATCGTCTGTGTCATTGTGAATGGTGTTTTGCTTTTGGCTGGACTCTCAAGGGGACTTTTATATAAGGATCACGTGACGACCCCCACATCGACCCCATAAAGAACCACAATGACCCCATACTCAACTGTCACTTTGGCTTGTGACGGCCTGACCCCTCAATGGTCACGTGAACAGTAATACGTGCGAACAAAAACCCACATGGTGCACGTGATCAAAGAGGCGACCGCCGATGGACAAGCACGATATTAAAAAGTCTCCCTGCTGCCGAGGCATGACAGGCACACGACGCCCTTAACTCCACGTATTATTCTCCGAAGTAAATAAATCAGAATCAAAGGGAAATTAACAAGTGATTGGGGAAAATAGCCGCCCTTTAAATAATTCCCACCTCCACGCCTTCTTTCTGAATTACCATCCCTAAAACTATTCGGCATTGCTCGGGACACGGATCAACCGCCTTCGCGTTGGTTTCTCCGAGGTTCAGTACCCCACAGTCGACCCCAACTTCTATCAATAATCACCTCCACCATCAGGCCTCGCCACGCCATCATCTCCTACCTTTTGCTACAATATCTTCCAATCTCCTCTCTATAAACTACACGCACCCATAGCGAACCCATTTTTATTCTCATACATCATTTATAGATCTTTGTACTGTTCCAAGCGCCAGCAGCAATGTCGTTTATGGGTGGCGCCGAGTGTTCGACGGCTGGCAACCCGCTAAGCCAGTTCAGCAAGATCGGACAGGATGATAAGAGTCTGCAACGAGATAGGCTCGTGGGGAGAGGCCCGGGGAGTGCGCAAGGGATGCGCAGTACCGGAATGAATGGAAACCAAGATAATGTACTTCCCCTACAAACTTCGCTGCTGCGTTGGCATATTTGGACCTTGCTGACATATCTAGATGATGAACGAGTTTCTACAACAGGGCGGCCAACTACCACAGGCACCCGTCGACCCTTTTATGATGGAGGCAATGCACCATGCCGGCCCTGGAATCCAACGAGGCACATCACCACAGGCTCAAGGCTGGGCGCAGGAGTTCCAGCCCGGCATGCCCCAAGAATCACACATGCAACCAAACTTCCAGACGCCCCAGGCCGCCGGATTCAACCCCGCCGAGTTTTCCCGCTTCCAGCAGATGAACCAACCTGCAGCCGCACGAACAGCAAGTCCGGCGACCCAGATGCCAATGTCGGGCTATAACTCATACCAGAGGCCCATGGGAATGGGTATGGGGATGGGGATGGGCGGCGGCTTCGGCATGGGCGGTGGTATGATGTATCAGAACCAAAGTCAGATGGCCATGAACCAACAACCGCAAGAAGCGATGGACAAGGGCAAGGGTAAGATGATTGAACTCGATGACGAACACTGGGAGGAACAATTCAAAGCCATCGACTTGGCGGCCGAAGAGAAGGAGCAGAATGACACGATCGAGGCGGAGCTGAATCAAATGGACAGGTCAGTTGAAAATCTAGAGTCCGAAACGAATGAGTTTGGGGACTTTGAAGCTATCTGGCGTGGAATCCAAGCTGAGACCGCTGCTGCCAGGGACCTCGTGGCCGACATGCCCTCTCCGAATGAACTCGACATGGGCAGCTTTGACCAGTGGGATGGATTCGATGGCATGGGGAGCCATGCAGCTTTCCGAGATCCACACTTGGGCGATTATACCTTTGAGGCGGACAACATCTTCGCCGACGTCCCGAATGCATTTGAGGAAGGTGTGCGCATCATGGAAGAGGGCGGAAACCTCAGTCTTGCAGCTCTGGCATTCGAGGCAGCCGTTCAACGCGACTCTTCCCACCTAGCAGCCTGGGTTCATCTCGGTTCCGCACAGGCGCAGAACGAAAAGGAGACCCCGGCCATCCGGGCGCTCGAGCAGGCCCTCAAGATTGACCCCTCGAACCTCGAGGCTCTCATGGGCCTCGCCGTCTCCTACACAAACGAGGGCTACGATAGCACCGCCTACCGCACCCTCGAGCGCTGGTTATCTGTTAAGTACCCCGCCATCGCACCACCGAGTGGCCTCTCAGCCGAGGCGGACATTGGTTTCACCGACCGCCAACAGCTGCACGAGAAGGTCACCAACCTCTTCATTCAAGCCGCGCAATTGAGCCCCGATGCCGAGACCATGGATCCTGATGTCCAGGTCGGTCTTGGTGTCCTCTTCTACGGCGCCGAGGAGTATGACAAGGCAGTCGACTGCTTCTCCGCCGCTCTCGCCTCCACCGAGTCCGGTTCCACCAACGACTCCTCATCCGTCCACCTCCTCTGGAACCGCCTGGGCGCCACCCTCGCCAACTCCGGACGCTCCGAGGAGGCCATCAATGCGTACGAGCGCGCCCTCTCGATGCGCGGGAACTTTGTCCGCGCACGCTACAACCTCGGAGTCAGCTGCATCAACATTGGGTGCTACGAAGAGGCGGCTGCGCATCTACTGGGCGCGCTCGCTATGCACAAGGTCGCTGAGCAGGAGGGACGCGAGAAGGCCAAGGATATCCTCGGCGGCGACGGTGCGGGCAAGGTCTCCGAGGCGGAGCTTGAACGCCTGATCAACCAAAACCAGAGCACGAACCTGTATGATACCCTCCGTCGTGTTTTTAGCCAGATGAACAGACGGGACCTGGCTGAGCGCGTGGTGAGCGGCATGGATGTGGATAGCTTTAGAGGAGATTTCGACTTTTAGATAGGGCAAGCATATGGGGGACATGGGAAAGGGTTGGATTATTTTGGGTATATGTATAGCGTATGTGCTTACTCCGCTCGTCAAAAGAAGATGTAGTGGTTTCAGGAGACGGTGCTCCAAATATCAAAAGAGCATTATCTTCCCTCGTTTGCTATCTGTCTTGGAAATCTGAACGTAAAAGGCGCAAAAGTCTCAAAACGCCCCCGTCTCGTGATAACTCGCAAAAAATACAAAGCACCGTACCCGATGCTTCGCAGTGCACAGAAGGCCTCCAATCGCAATGCTGCCGTATGTATAAGTTGTATATACAATATAATACGAAAACGACGCTACGCGAAAATAAATGCACAACCAAGGCTATAATTGACTAGAAACCAAAGGGATTGTCGGGAGCTGCGAGGAGTCAGTAAGCAATTCACACAGGTTTTCACGGAAATGATAAACTTACTAGCTGCTGCAAGGTTGGCTCTCTTGCCTGTTGGCTGGGGAGCGAGCTTCTTCGCGTCGGGCTTCACGCCGAAGCGTACTGGTGGGGGAGGTCCAGTCTTCTGAGGAAGTAGCGGCGCAGGAGCCTGCTGAGGCATAGGTGGAAGTGGGGGAACAGGTCCCTGTCCGAAATTGTTCATACCAGTTGGCTGAGAGAACATCGGGCCAGTTTTCTGGGGCTGCAATGCAGGTGGGAGGTAGTTGTTAACACCAGTCTGCTGGGGGTATTGTTGCTGCGGGTTGAATGGGCTTTGGAATCCGGTTGGCTGGCTCTGGATAGGCGAGAATGGCTGAACTCCTCGTGGGTCAGCAAATGGGCCCGCCGAGGGCTGGCTCTGCATGAAGTGCTGGTTTGGCTGGAAACCGGTTGGCTGAGGCATCATCATGTTTTGCTGGTTAGGGAAGCCAGTCATTTGGGGCTGGAACGGCATCTGTTGCTGGTTATATTGCTGCTGCAGTTGCTGTTGCTGCTGCAGCATTCTCATTTGGTTCATCTCAGCTAGACTTTGCCCTGGAGGTGCAATAGACTGGTAGCCCGTTGGTTGATTAGGGATACCAGTCATCTGTGGCTGCAAAGGAGGTGGAGGGCCGAATGCACTCTGTTGGGCCGTTTGTGGTGCCGACAGGGGTCGCGCTGGAGGCGGCGGCATTAAAGAGCCTTGACCACCAGAAAATTGCGGTGCAGCTGGACGCTGGCGGGCAATATTTTGCTGAGGCTGGAAACCCTGTTGCTGTTGCGTAGTTCCGGGCTGTGGGAGATTTGTGAAGAATGACGGACTCGCGCCAGTAGGTTGCGGAAGTTGCTGCTGGGCTTGTGCTTGTTGCTGAGGGGGCTGTGGTGTTACAGGTTCCACCTTTGTAGGCTGTAGCGGCTGCGACAATAGAGAGAGCTCTTGCATAGAACCAGTTAAGGTTGGTGGAGGCGGCTGCACTGGGGTAGGGGCAGTTTGTTGTGGCTGCGGCTGTGCTTGTTTCGCAGGTTTGACATCCCAAGCATCATCGTCGAAGCCACCAGATGCTGACTTCGAAACTGGGGCAGGTGCTGATGCAATCGGGGTGGGAACAGACTCTGCCAGTGTCTTCGTTTGTGGTTCTCCAGAGTTCTGCTGGGAAAACGCCTTTGGATCCACGGTATCACTAGTTTGGGTTGTTGGTGCTGGTCGCCCTTTCCGGGTGTTGTTCCTCAAAGCGCCCCCAGCGCCAGAGAATAGACCGCCTTCGCCTTCCGCCTCATCGGATCCCTTCTTGCCCTTCCGGTTATACTTGGTATCTAGGTGTCTCATGATCTTGAGGATATCTCCTTCGCGTAGCCCCAGGTTCCTCAAGACTGTTGCATCAACGTCGGGAAGCACGCTCTCATCCATGTTATCCCTGTTGAACACTTGAGAGTAACGTTCGCAAAGGCCAACTCCGATATCACACGACAAGAAAAAGTTAAACCAATCATGGTCCGGCTTCTTTTCAATGCTTGCGCCTGCTTTAGACTCTCTAGCTTTCGATTTCTTATACTCCGATAATGGCTTATCTTCGTCAAGGGATACGCCAGTCATATTCTCGACGTATTCGAGATCTTCGATAGACATCTTAGAAACTGGTACGGCAATCTTAACGCCATTCATCTTATGCAGGTTGATCTTGCCATCTTTCAGGGCGAGAAATTGGGCTTCAACACTGAACGACTTTGATCGGTCGGTCCATGTGCGAACTTTCGATGGATCCGGTTCTATACGCGTTAGACCATATTTTCGGTGTAGTATTGGTAGTTTACTTACTAGCTTTGGGGCCTCGTGAACTTCCAGACTCGGGTTGTCTCGATTCGCGCCTACTCCTCTGTTCATCGGCACGGTTATTATTGATTGGGGCATGCAAACTACTGCCTCTCGGAGGCAAAATCATTCCAGGGCCTACCTCTGGCGCTCTATCCCCATCTCCACGGCCTGCCTTTAGCGCTTCCTTGGCAAGCTTTTGCTCCTCGAGCCTGTTTTGTTCGACTGACGACATTCCTGCATTAACCCCTTTATGGCTGTCTGGAACCGCCATAGTACCGGTAATTTCGACGTAGCTACTGGGGACAACGCCCTGCTTGCCATTCTTGAGTCGCCTCACTTGCCACCATTCGTCGCTCTTCGAGTCATCCAGAATAATCACTTCGTCTCCGACAGCCACGGTTACCTCGTCATCACCCTGAGCCATGAAGTCATACAAGATTTGCCCTTTCTTCTTCTCCTGGCCAGTGGCGGCTGACAACACTTCTCTCAGGCCTTCAGCTCTGACGGCACCAGACATCTCGCCAAGAGAAAAGACAATCTCCTGGGCAGTATCTTTAGCTCCGGCGTGAAAGTCTATGCTTTTGCTCGGTTTTACTAATTCAAGAAAGACATGCTTGCCCTCAATCGAATAATGTGTCATCTTGTCCGCAGTCCACTCCTGTTGGGGTCCATCCCGTGTCTTCTCGGGTGCAATGGTTATAATGCCGGTCGCCAGGTTGATTCCAAGAGTAGTTGGCATCTTCTTTCGCTTGCCCATAACCGATACCATTTCGTTAATATTATAAAGGTGGAAGCCACCCGATGTTCGAGGTGCGTAGTTATCATTATCGGGGTGATCGCCAGTAGCGAACGAGACGCGGTTATGAGGAGGAGATATAATCGGGCCGGCAGGCGGTGGAGATCGAGGGGATTGTATCGTCTGGGATTGAGGCCGAGCTGGGAGAGAAGGAGTGGGTGCCTCTTCCCCATCAGATGATTCAGGGGTCAATTGTGGTCGCGGCGGGAGTTGTCTTGGTGGTTCCGCCGCCTGCTGTCTACCTTGAAGCACCCCGGCTAGGGCAGACGCTGGAGTCGCCGCAGCTTCTGGCTCTGGCGCATTGAAATCTTCCGATTCCTCGCTTGGTTGTCTCTGCGCAGGAACGGGCCTCGCAGGTGTCGGAGGGGCTTCCTCTTCAACTTCGATGTAATTGGAAGGTGCAAATCCATAATCACCATCAAGTCCAACCAAAATCCAATCCGGGTCCGAGGTGTCAAACACTTGAAGGTGCGATTCTTCCTTGAATGATAGCTCTTCGTCGGTTTGTCTCGTATAGTCGAACAGAGCTCGAGCTTGCTGTGTTGGTTTGACCTAGTGTTGATGAGTTAGTTGGCTGTAATCCAGTCCCAGCAAGACGAGCAAAGAAGTCGGCCATGCCTTTCCGCGGACTGCCATTGAGAGGGGCACGGATACGGTGGAAAGGGTTCGTTCATACCTCTTCAATGTAATTGCTCGGTATTAGTCCAACCGGCTCATCATCCTCCTCGGTCGTAGCCTTCCTTTTCGCCTTCCACCAATCATCCTCAGTGCTCTTCTCAAGCACATACAGGACATCGCCCTCAGATATAGTAAGCTCGCCTTCGCCCTGAGGAGTGTAGTCGTATATGGCTTTGTATATTCCAAGGAATCCCATCTTGCGATGCGGGGCTAACGCCTACGAGCAGCGCACGACGGCAATAGCAAATCGACCGTCAAGGTAAGTCCATACGTAGACCAGGCGATGCAGCCTACAGCTAATAGCTAGCCGGATGCTGGTTGTGACAACGTCGGGTCGCAATGTAGCCGGATGCTGGAATTGCCACTTGTGGCTTTCGGGGGAAGAACAGCGACGCAGTTGGAGTAGCAGGCTGTGGACGTGGACAGGATCGTGGGATTGGAGACTATGATAGCCTATGAACTTCTGCTTTGGGACAGGAACTCTTTGCTGTTTGCACCCTGAACAGGCCTAGATGTCGATAGGCGGATGGACATGGCTGCGGGATTTCGAAGAGGCTGAACACGCTTATTGGCTGTCTAAGCGACATGGCCATTCAAGTTCTATGTGATATCCTCGACAACGCGTCACACACCTGGATGACGACGCTAGAAGCAACGGTTGCCAGATGACTAATCAATATTTCCCTTCAATGGCTTCCATTGGACTTTCTTTCTTTATAGTCTAGATTACTTGTTTAGGCAATTCAAACAAGCCCTTTGAGACTCCTTCCGTCACTTGTATCAAACTTCGTCGTGGTATACCACCGTTGTATATACGTTGCCCATGTGTCCACTATACCTTCATTGCAGGGGTATGTCAAGAATAAAATACTAGTCTTCTTAGGACCCCTAAAAATGCCCACCAGCAAGAGTCCCTGTTCAAGTAGTATCAAAATACTGCATGTAACGGCTCTGACACGTCCGGTCTAGATTCTTTGCTTCCAAAGGATTTCCCTATGTACAATCTGCCCCGAAATTTCCTATTTACATGCTGTTCTGATAATCGCTCACGTATGTACAGCACAGTATAGGCCTGCTACGAAGCCCATCTGCCTACAAACACTGGATATGCCAATCGCTCCTGCTGGATTTGCAACTTCCCAAAGCACGGATGGTACCTTCCAGCCCATCCTTGACCTCCTATGCGATTGTTGCCTTTGACCCAGAGCTCGCAGCCGAAATTGCAGCCTGAAGTGGCTTGAACCACGCATTTGCAAGCTTCACGTTCCCGTTATCATTTGGATGCACTCCATCGTAGGTATCCGTGGCGGTGTTGTACCCAGTGTAGCAATCTACCACGGTGATTGGGCTCTTGGTTGTGCTCTTCGCCGCAGCCCACGCTGGAATAGCACTGTTGAGGGCTATGATACCTGCTGAACAAGTCGCGCAGCCGCCGGTGGGGTTCATAGGTGTGATTTGAGCAACAACAATGTGCATGGTGCTCTTGGAGGCACGCATCTGATCGACGAGCGTGGAGAATGCGTTCAGGATGGTGGCTGTAGCAATGTTGTTCCAGACATCGTTCGTGGCAAGCTGCATCATCACAACGTCAGGCTTAGAAACTGCGAGCCATCCCGGAAGCTGGTTGTTTGCAACGATGCCAGTGGCAAGGAAGCCTCCGTGGCCGTCGTTCTCGCCGTCATACGCGATACCGCAGCCTTGGCCAGGAAGGGTCCCGACAAAATCAATGTTGGTGACGCCAGCCTGCACTAGCTTTTGGTAGAGAAGTGCTCTCCAACAGCCCTAGATTACTCAGATGTCAGTCCATAGACATCAAACTGCTGACAGGAGAAAATGGAAGAGTCGTACAGGTGATCCAGTAATGCTGTCACCAAGGGCGTTGATCCTGACTGCCGCTGAGAGTGCGGGGGCTATGAGCCCAGCCAGAAGGCTCAAGGCAAAGAGGGGCTTAATAGCAACCATTTTTAAGCTTATGATAATCGCGTTATTAGACTTTATGGGCCAAGACTTCTACCTCCCCGAGGGCCATCTGCCCTATATGTAGTCGACGAAAAACACTCTCATAGTTCTTCCGTAGCGCTGCATTCTGCAATATATTCGGATATTCTCATCAGTGGTGTGTTTTGAACAGATAAATAAAATAATAGATCTACTTGGTTCCAAGCTGTATTAGAACGCGGGGAAATATCCTCCGTCATCTTGAGCCGCGAGGGCAATGCACGAGGTTTACTCTATTTCCTTCACGTGGCACGTAACCAGCGGCCACAAGTATATTAACTGACCATGCGTTGGTGGGGTTCTCATACAATTGAAGGAAAATGCGGGGATACGGTTCCTACGGCCCGGCAGATGTCTTGAGATCGCCGATACGTATCTTGGCAGTCTCATATCATGGCACGCTGTGGAGATGTATACAGTAGATGAGGCAACAAAAGCTTGTATGGCCTCCCTAGTGTGCATAATCACTTGCTTATCTGTTGTGCTCTTTATATTTCTGGAATAGTGCGTGTTTTCATAGAGCTAGTGTCAACAAGTCGAAGGCCTTAAATCGTCACCACTGACACATCCAGTATGCCCTCCTGAGCCACGAGCTCAGCGATATTGTCTTTCCCGACAATGCCATCGACTCCTAGAATCATCAGCGCCTCCTTTTGTATTTTACCGTTTGTGTTCTGGCCTGGAGCAGTATTGCCTGGACCGTCTAGGGCCGCCACGCTCATAAACCTGATATTGATATCGCGGCTGCCGAGAATACCACCCACGTGCCCGATCATGCCCGGCGAATCATAGTTGTGGCAAATAATCAAGGTGCCTTCTGGAATAAAACTGGTCGTGAACCTGTCAAGTTTCGAGATGAAAATCGAGTTTCCTGACACGTATCCCGAGATCATTTGCTCTCCTGTCCCATCGGAATTCGATGATCGCAAGGTGACCAGACTGGCATATGTCAGGCTACTGGATTCTCGACGATGACTTTCGTTGATAACAATCCCCTTTTGCTTGGCAATCAACGAGGCGTTGACAATGTTGACATCACGGCCACCTGAGTCGGAGATAGAAGATGTTAGCCCCTTGACGAGGGCAGCGAACAGGGGTCGAGTATTTGATATAGAAGCCAATTCTCCCTCGTAAATTAGGTCAAAGGTCTTGCCACCGGTGGCAGCTCCACGAGAGCCGAAGTGCTGAGTGTAGAAACTCCCCAGACTTTCAACAAGCCGGACAAACGGCTGTAGTTTCTTGTATTCCTCGGGTAGAATCAAAGGGGCGTTCACAGCTGATGTCGGGAGGCCTCCGGAGAGAATTGTGAGGACTTGAGCACAAACATCCAGACTGACATTTTCCTGGGCTTCTACCGTGCTCGCTCCCAAATGTGGGGTAGCCACGACCTTTGGGTGTCTGCTAAGCTTTTGGGCTGCCGATCCTGGCGCCGGTGGCTCAGATGTGAAAACGTCCAAGCCAGCACCTGCAATTGTCCCAGATTCTAGTGCTTCCAAGAGAGCTTCTTCGTTAAATACGCCTCCCCTCGCAACATTCAGGACTCTTGCAGTCTTCTTCATTTTCTTTAATTCTTCTGTGCTTATCAGATCCATCGTGCTGGCCACCAAGGGTGTATGGATTGTTAAAAAATCGACTAGAGGAAGGAGCACTTGTAAGTCAGAGACCATGGATACTGAGTTTGCAGCCGCAATCTCAGGACTGGCGTAAGGGTCCAAGGCAACGACTGTCATGCCCAATCCGACAGCCATACGTGCCACCTTGAGTCCGACTTTGCCCAGGCCAATTATACCCAGCGTCTTGCTACTGACTTCCACTCCGACGAGTTTACTTCGTATCCATTTTCCTTCTGAGAGGCTCGCAGACCCGGCAGGTATATTCCTAGCTGTGGCCAGAAGCAATGCAATTGTGTGCTCCGCGGCGGCCACAATATTTCCACTGGGCGAGTTTACAACAATAACACCGAGGTCGGTGGCAGCTGCGACGTCAACATTGTCAACTCCCACGCCAGCTCGAGCAACCACCTTCAGCTTCGTAGCAGCCGAGAGAAGCTCCGCCGTGACCTTGGTCTCCGAGCGGATGATCAATGCATCGTAGTCTGGGATGATAGCTTTTAATTCATCGGCACTTAGACCAGAGCGCTGGTCGATATCGAGTGAGCCCTGGAGAATGGCGAGGCCGTCTGGTGATACCTTTTCTGGTATAAGCACTTTTGGGCGGACCGCAATTGGGGCCAAATCATTTTCAGGTACCGCAGTCATGATGCTGGGAATACAATCAAAAAATAATCTATAGGATTTTGGGGGAATTGCAGAATGGCTCTTCTGTGAGTAAGAGTTTATCTCTTGAGATACGGAATATAAAGAGAAGGAGCGGGGATGTGAGACTTCCACGGTTTCCTTTGTATTGCTACTTCCCCGCGACAGCTTGCGATATCGGTTTGGGGGTTATGTACGGGAGTACCAGCTGACAGATGACGACGCATCTTGGGATAGAAGGCAGCAAGTATGTATGGCTGGATGATTGATAAACGCGAGCAACATGTACTCGATTACCCCGCGCTATCACCGTGTACCCCCATGTTACCCCACGTTCGCTGTGTCTTGGAGCGGGCCGACCCCAGTTACCACTAAGAGGATGATATAATAATTAAGGCTCGACGGCCCTATCATGCAGAGAGCGTGGCATGTTAGTTGTAGTTGCGTGGGAAATATGTATCTATCAGAGCGTTCATACTTGTGATAAGTCAATGGTTGGTCTCCCATCAACCATTGGAACATCACGTGCTGGTGATATATTGCCATGAAATGAGAAGCATCAAGCTTCTCATAGATTGACGGATTGCTCTAGGTGACTGTCCTCATGAAATTAGGCCAAAGCAACTGTGCATCGATATGGTCTTTACAATCTTCATGTCGGAATAATAAAGCCCATGAGATATGTTGGATTCATGTCTCAAGTCTCACCATTCTAATCCCTAACTCCGTTGATATTCCAGCCTCAGCCAAGGCCACGTTCATCCGTTTGGCGAGCTCTTCATATTCGTCCAAGATTCTGAACAAAAACCTACTCCGGATCTGTGACCCTTCTCTATGAACCAGCGACATCATCAAGCCACCAATTCTGTTCCCCTTCTTAAACAACTCGCCCTCGACTGTCTGTTCCACAAAACAAATAAACAGCTGCCTCAAACTTTTAAATGGTTGTAATGCTTTTATAAGCGTCGATGGATCTTTAATGTGCATATCGCTCCACATAATGCCCATAGACTCGATCTTAGAAACGTCAAGTCCGTCATTTGCCGAAGCAAGTCGGTCCAAAACGAATTCCCGTGTAAGTCCAATAGCTAGCGCAGCATTCGCAGAAAACATCACGGCTGGATCTGATTGCTGTTGCTGGAGATAATACAGTGGCAAAAGGAATACATAGGTATCGAGTGAGTGCGAAGTCAGATCGAAGGGGTGCTCATGAGAGGACATAAACACGCCGTTTGGTTGAGGCGACAGAGGCCGATAGATGGCGAAGGCTTCAGACCGCGTCTCGCGGTTAATATGAAAAAGGGGGTGAAGCCGCGGGCGCGTGAGAGGGGTCTTGTATAACAGGTCTGAGGTTGCGTACAGGTCGTTGGATGTGAGTGACGAGAGCTGCAGCTCAATCACTCTGGGAGTAAGAGTAAGGTGCCAGATGCTAAGGCGGATTTCGATCGGAAGACGGGGGAAAAGGGGAAACGTTTTGTTGAGAGTGTGCGTTGGTTGATTTGAAGAAGCCATTGTGGTAGGTAATAGGCACGATATATTCGTAAGGCTGGTGGATGATATGGAAGATGCACTTCCAGACAGCGAAGTACTCTATCTATAGGATTTGTCAGAGGGATTGATCTTTAGACTGGACATAATATGAACTATGTCTCTGCCTTGGATGTGATGAAGAATACTGGAAACCTGCCGTGTAAGGTTTGCCTTTCTTATCAACTCTCATTCCCGTCTGCCTGGAGCATGGGGACGTTCCTCCGGCTCCGAAAGTGACTCCACTCTACATCTTTGGCGCCGAGTGAGATTACCAAGCAACACCACCTGCCCCTTCAGTGCTTCAAACGGAAGTAATAAGAAAAAGATGCACAATATTCCAAGTAGACTTTATGTTGTACAATTCTGTTATATAATTTACATAACTGAGCTATTAATCAGGCCCTGAAATGATCTGTGGGTATCACGGTCTCTTCCTCTATGGATGGTCCTTTTTTGGACTCCATTACTTCGTCTTTTTTTTCGGGGTTCCTTTTTGGCTACTTGGGGTCTCCATGAGACGGCTGTTGAGGATTAAAGCGCCCAAACACCACAAATAGCAAATAGAAAAACCTGCTGCTCCAACCACCACGTTAAGCACCACCCACAGATCTGGTAGACCCTTCGGCGCGTCCACAAACGCTTCTAGGCCATGCCATAGGATCATAACAAGATAAAAGATAGTGTGTATGAAGACTGTGCCCTGCTCTAGTGGCCCCTTGCCCCAAGCGGGTTTCCGGTAGACTTCCCAGCTCACCGGTGGTATACCAAGAAGGTATGCCCAAAGCAATGTCAACACTGCATATGGGATTCGTAGTTCAACACGTTGAAGCAGAGGGAACATGGTCCACGCGCCGAGAATGTTTGCGAAACCGACCCACGACCGTGTATACGGGTGCATGCCATTTTTCGATGCGAGAAGCAGCGTCATCGGCATTAGAGGCAATAATACCGACTTTTCATGCACTTGGAAGCTGAAGAGGAAAAAGGCCCATGCTGTCGCCGCCAATGCCAGCGGCAGCAGTTCTTTTCTGGGGTTCAGAAATATAGCCACGCATGGTGGGAAAATAGACCCTAGGGTCGCTAAAAGCGAAAGGCGTTGCAGCTGGACGATCGGAAGATATTTAAGCTTGTAGACAATATTGAGAGCGCACCAGAAGTTGGCAACTTTGTCCTCGAATAAACCACGGGCGAAGGGAAAGACGCGGTGAACCAGCTGCGCAACTTGATGCACCGGAGGAAAGTACCACGCATGTGGGTCCAAGTAAGTCGTGTAAGAAGAGAAAATAGGGAAGATAGGGGCATGGCCGTTCAATTCGGGGATGGCATCTATGCCATGACGTTGATCATAGATTGCACCCGCAATGATGGGTAACAGCAAGAGCGCAAAGGCAGTAACTGTGACCAATGCGATGCCGAGGAATCTAGGGACATTGATGTTTGGGAAAATGCATACACCTAGTAGGTAAGCAAAGATGGCCGGTGCGTAGTAGAGAGCCATTTGTTTGAACCCCAGGGCAAAAACAAAGAATACGCAGCTCCACATGTAGCGGCCTGCCACAATGCTCGACGCGCAAGCTAGAACCAACCCGAGCATCACAGTGTTATACTGGAAATGGACATGGTCGATGAGTATGGTTGCTGGTTGGAGGAGAATTGCAACCAACGCAACAGAAGAATCCCAGGTTTGAACGCCCTGGAGGCGGCTGTATCGCCTGACGAATATAACGGCAGCGGGGATATAGACCAAGTATTCGGAGATGATGACAGAGGCCCGCATGAAAACCTTGAGCGTTTCATCGTCCAGCCCTCTTGAAGTATGCAGGAGGAACCACTTGGGATCTATATAAGACCCGATTTTCCCGAAGACCCAACTGTGATAAGCTGTCAAGGGCGGATAATCCAACCCCCACCATTCTAGGTCATGGAAGTACCATTGAGAGATAGGTAGCTGAGTTGTGATTTCCATCCAATGCCGCTGCGCCTCATAGTCGCCATGCATGGGAGGATTCTGGTAACCTGCCAAACGGAAGAATATTAGCATGAATTCGTCTCGGGGATTACAGCTGAAGTCATACCCGAGTAGCCCCATAGCCCGGCCGCCCAACGGATCATTCCTACGACCATGAGGACAATCGGGAGTACGGTCCATTGCGAAACACCTCCACGGGCTGACCACATAAAAGCTGCAAGAGGATATGTTGGTTTTATTCCGGTAGACGAGGCCGAGAGGTTTCCAGTGGAGTCTTTGACTCGGCCTGCGCTGTGTTTGATGACATTGCTCGCAAAGGAGACTTCGCCGCCAGCTTTCTTCCCCTTGCGTCGAGGCTTGTGGGGTGAAGGCGTAGCCATTCTCAATCAACCCTACAATCTTCACTTTGCATTGTTTGCAAGAAACATATACAGGTCGTGAGGGGCAAAGCTGTCGACTTGTCTCGTACGTATTCATGGTGGTTTCACGCCAAATATTGGGTTGTGGATTATTGTTTTCCCGAAGCCCCGACGCGACCTTGGTGTGGCGGGCTTTGGGGAAACAACCCATCCACTTCACATTCACATCGCTCTTATGACGAACGCTACCTCTGCCTGAAGACACCTTCGCGGACATTTCGAACCAAACAAATGCACCATTAAAGAGATACTGCGACTTCATCAACAACGATGTCGAAGCCCACGATTACCCTCAAGATCGGTGGCGGTTCCACCCCAGGATTCAACCTCACAGGAAGGAGCCCTTCGACAGCGGGCACTCCGACTCCAGGCAGTGCCGCCCCAAAGATCAGGCTTAATATGAGCAATGGATCAAAACCAACGACCCCTAGCGAGATCGTAGTCAAGCCGCTACCTAAAACCAAGGCTGGGCGAGCATCCAAACCTTCTGCCAAAGCCGCAGCGAACAAGAATGGCAAACGTATAAAAGACGAATCCGACGATGGAGATGATCACAAATCACGCGCTATAGCAGAGAGAGCGCCGAAGAAGCTGAAGCTGAGCCTAGGAGGCCCAAAGGCTCCAACCGTTTTAAAGGCGAAATTCAAAGGCAAGCCGCCAAAGAGACCGCTTGGAGAAGGCTATGACTCCGAGGCCAGCGACAGGGAAGAAGACCCGCTTGTGGTGGAAGAATTTATATTGCGCATGATACCTGGACCGGACTGTGACTACGTTCGTGAAGCGATCCAAGAAAAGACTATTGGCGTACCACGACACCAAAACGGGGCAGACATCCAGATGAAATTCATACACCAAGAAGGGCGCCGCGCGATCGTAACGGTACGCAAGCATCACTACGCAGCGACCCTAGTCGACCTACCTTGTGTTATTGAAGGCATGAAAAGTTGGGACAAGAGAGGGTGGTGGAAATCAGCAGACATCTGCCAAATGCTTTTGGTTTTTGCGCCAATAAAGACAGAGGCGGAGGCGGCAACGATAGAACTACCAAAGATTGTTGATCCTCACACTTTCCAATATCCGCATGGATTAACGCCTCCAATGCACTTTGCCCGCAAGCGCCGGTTCAGGAAGCGCATCAGTAGGACAGCCATTGAAGCCGTGGAAGACGCCGTTGAAAAGCTCTTGGAGGCCGATCTGAAGGCAGAGAGTATCAGGCATGAGCTCATTGAACCCGAAGTTCGGAGCCGACAAGGGAGCCGTTCATTTGGAAGCCCACTCGCCTACGACGAGGAGGAAGGATATTCCGAAGACGAGGACGCAGATGGGGATATTGATGATGGCACTGCATATTACGGCCATATCAATGGCAATGGCTTGCATAAACAAGAAGAGGGAGAGGAGCATGACCTTGATGCGGACCTTGAGGCTGATTTGGAAGCTGCTTTCGAGGCCGACTTTGATATCGGAACACCCGCATCCAACGCCATCGCTGAAACGCCGATTGCAACGATTACAAGTGGCACGCCGGATGCAAGCGGCAATGTGAATGGAGACAGTGGTGACGAGTCGTCCGATGCCAGCGTTGAAGATGACGAGGCAGACGGTGGCTCTGACGACGAGATCGACGATGACGAGCGTGCCAGATTGGCCCAGCTCCAAGGTGCCAAGGAAGATATTGACGAAATGGAGAAGCAACTGGCGAGTCTGCAGGCATCATGGGAGATGCAGGTCAATCCGATCCTGAAAACGAGAATTAAGGGGAATATCGAGAAGGTGAAGGCTGAATTGCAGCTCAAGAAATCTGCAATCGGCGAAGGGGACGAAGATTAGATTCGGCTTGTAAAGGGAATGTATAGTGGAAGCCGGCGTTATCAATACCTTGGGAGGCTGGATTCTGATATTTGGCAATGGGCGTAATGGACTAGTTGGTTGAAACCGGAGAACATCCTGGTGACTACAGCATTTTATAATGTAGCAAGGGGCACAGGAACACACGAACAAATTTAATCCTCAACATATAATAGTGCTAGATGTACCTGCAGTGATATGCGCTTTCTTAATTCTGATATATCCTGTGTATCCCTCGAAATATACAATACAATGACCCCACAAATGTTGTTACAGCCAAGTCCATTGACTAGTTCATGCCCTTCAAGAAGTTCGTCTCCTTGATCTTCGCCCTCCTCTCTCCCCTCATCGCCTTCGTCAACTCGTCTCTCTTTGCTACAGCATCCAAAGCACCCTCGACGCTACCCTGCTCGTTGGACGGCAGATCAATTGTCTGCTGCTGCAACGGGACCTTTGGAATGAGAGATTCGGTGTCGCCAGACGCGATCAGGCGGGCTTCGAGCTTCCGTTGCCTCTTCGCAACTAAACGACGGGTCTTCTTGGATTTAGCTGTAAAGATTGGGAGTTAGCTCAGTGATATCGTATGGGTGTTCAATGTGGCATAGACATACAGAACTCATCTCCCTCAAGCTCGTCTCCGTCCTTGCCCTTCTTGTCCACGTCTAAGCACTTCCACAACCACTCTGGATACTCCTCCTCAGCAAGTGCCGTGGGATCATCTCTGCCCTTTAAATAGTTTAACCCCTTCAATATCGTCCCGGCCGGCGCGGCGGATACCGGTAGGGGCGCTTTTGCCTTTGGCTTAGGAGGTAGAGGTGTCGAGATTGTTGGTCCCGTGGAGGTTGCTGGAGTCGCTGGTAAGGCGCTAGGCGCAGAATTCGTAAGGGAGCGGAGGAACGTGTGCTGTATACGCTGTGGCAGAGCTGACGCCCTGTGGAGGCAGCGGCTACAAATCATGGTGATGTCGTTTGGCTGGTGGAATTCCGTTGCGATGAAGAGGTGCTGTAGATTATTGGGATAGAAGTTTATTGCGGTTACCAAAGTAAACCAAAAGCGCAATATCAAAAGCCGAGGACTACCAGTCTATAACGACCAACTTACGATTGGAGTCGCAATGGGTCACTCATTCACACATTTTACAGTGTGTTAATTCGAGAATTGATTTCATTTTGTACATTTCGTACTATATACAACTGCAGAGATTCTCACAGCAGTTTACGGCCCCAGGATGCCCGCACGCACAACACCACCCACCCTCCACTGTATCATTCCCCTCCTTTGCCATTGACTTTGCCTCATTGGTAGGCCATAACTCCCTCCATTCCTGTGCTCGATACGTCTCCGTCTCCATCTATTTCTCGGGGATGTAGTTCTGCTGTTGGAACAAGTAACCGCGAACCTTGGACTCCTTGAGCAGCTCGAAATATCTCTCTGCAATGTTCAATTAGTCTCCGTATCCCAGAAAAAATATCCACTTGTAATCACTACAAACAATAAAAGAAAGGGGATGGGTTTCCGGGTATCCTCACCTCTTAACGCTCCGCACTTCTCGAGGTGGTTGACTCCCTCGCGGTAGTAGCACTTGCCCATCTCCTCTCTGACGAGACGTGCCATCATACTCCTGACCCACTGCTCGCGCAAAATAGCGTCCTGTGCTTGCTTCAATCGTGGCGTATCATCGTAGTCGACACCGTCGAAGCTCGCTGGGACCGTTGGCTTCTTGGCCAGGAACGCGGCTGACTCTGGAGTGGGCGCCATTGGAGGTAGATGAGGGTGCGCAAAGCAAGGTGGTTGATAGAGACGAGGCGATTGCAAATCCGAGATGTCGACTGCGGCAATTGTTCCCAGGGCGTCACCGTTGATCGAGCTGTTCAGATAGATACTTGAAGCTCTCACCACTTCCGAGTTGTGAGGTCGGGCACGTCGATAATACGCTTGGCCCAATACAAACTAGTGTATTCACTGACCGCCAAGAGCCACCAGCGGCAGAAAACCTACCCGCATAAATTTTTGTTATCGGGGCGCTAAGAGATTTTCTCTGATGGACCGTGAACCCGCCCGCCATCTTTTTTATATCTGAGTACAAATACCAGACCGCTACCACCTTTCTTCTCAACCACCCTTTCCATCCTTCACAAATTCTTCTCCCCTAATCACCCTTCATCCTACATAAATCAATCAAAATGGGAAAATCAAAGGATACCAAGACCAGCAAGGTCAAGGCTCAGGTAAATACAACTCTCAAATTGTTCAATCCGGATCAATCACTAAACCATCACAGGCACCAGTTGTCAGCAAGAAGTCTGCCAAGGAGGTCGTCGCAAAGGCTGCCCCTTCCAAGAAGTCCAAGAAGGCCGCACCACCGTCTGAGTCTTCCGACTCCGACTCTGAGTCCGCCGAGTCTGCCGCTAGCTCCGAGTCCGAGTCCGAGTCTGAGGCTGAGGTCGAGGTCAAGAAGACCAACGGCGCTGCCAAGAAAGAGGTAGCTACCTCTGATTCCTCTGACTCATCCTCATCCAGCGAAAGCGAGGATGGTTCATCTGATTCTGATTCTGATGATTCCAAGCCCGCCGCCGCCACTGAGGAGAGTGACAGCGACGATTCGTCCGACAGCGAGGAGGAGGCCGCCCCAGCCAAGGATGCCAAGGCAACTGTAAGTCTTCATCGGTCTAATTTATAGTAGACCCAAGCTGATCAATGTAGGAGTCTGGTTCCGATTCTTCCGATAGCGACGACTCTGACGACTCTGAGGAGGAGGAGAGCACCGAGGAGGCTGCCCCATCCAAGAAGCGCAAGGCCGATGATGAGGAGGAGGAGACCGCCGCCAAGAAGTCCAAGACTGAGGTCGAGGATACCGGATCCAAGAACCTGTTCGTTGGTAACCTGAGCTGGAACATCGATGACGAGTGGTTGTACCGCGAGTTCGAGGAGTTCGGTGAGATCACTGGCGCTCGCGTCATCTCTGACCGCGAGTCTGGCCGCTCCAAGGGTTTCGGTTACGTTGAGTTCGCCAACTCCGCCGATGCCGCCTCTGCCCTCAAGGCCAAGAAGGGTGCTCTCATCGATGGTCGCGAGGCCAACGTTGACTTCTCCACTCCCCGTGACAACGCCGCACCAAAGGACCGCGCCAACGCTCGCGCCCAGACCTACGGTGATGCCAAGAACCCAGAGTCCGACACCCTTTTCGTCGGCAACATCTCCTTCGAGGCCAACGAGGACATGCTCGGCGAGGCTTTCGGTGCTCACGGCACTGTCGTGAACGTCAGACTCCCAACTGATATGTAAGTTATACCGTCTACACAGAAGAAAGTACTTCCCACTAACATTTTATCAGGGACTCCGGAAACCCCAAGGGCTTCGGATACATCACCTTCTCTTCGGTTGAGGATGCCAAGAACGCCATGGAGAACATGATGGGTGCTGATGTCGGTGGACGCCCAGTCCGTCTCGATTACGCTACCCCCCGCCCAGACCGTGATGCCGGTGGTGGCGGCCGTGGTGGTGGACGCGGCGGTGGCCGTGGTGGACGTGGTGGCTTCGGTGACCGCGGCGGACGCGGTGGTGGACGTGGCGGTGGACGCGGTGGCTTCGGCGACCGTGGTGGACGCGGTGGACGTGGCGGCGGTCGTGGTGGCAGCACCAACCGTGGCGGCTTCGGCGACTTCGCTGGCAAGAAGCAGACCTTCTAAATGTCGGTTTGTTAGGGATGATGCACATAATTGCCGCACAGGACTGAGGGCTCCTTTTGAGATACTTTGACACGTTGGCTTGTGGTTCGTTGGCTCTGTGGGTTGTCCGCTCTAGACTTATACTCCCTCTTGGGAGCTGTGGCTTTGAGATCAAGCTTCTTCGGAAGTGACACCAGTGGCTTTTGACATGACAATGACGGCTGTTCCTAGTTGGCTTTTGTGGGCATTGACCAGAAAACGTGGGCTTTTGAATACTACGAAGTCGAGACGAACATTCTTATTTCCCCGTTCTGGGGACATCTTGAATGGGATCGAGCTTCCTGTGGGCTTCTTGAGGGCTATTCCAAAAAGTTTTACTGTGGCGTTAGGCTCCCAAAGTTTCTGGCTAGTCGCCAGTGGCGTTCTCTTGTTTTTATAGTTTGTTTTTACCTCCTCGGAACCCCGGTGTATATCATGGTTTTTCATCGATCGTCGCCGGTAAGTAATACAGATGTGCAATGAAGTTTAGGACCCCATTTACTACATGAACAAATGAAATCTGTTATGACCAATCATTCTATGACTTACCAATGCGTGATCTTAATTGTGATGTGATGCTATCCGATAGTTCGTACTTTTTAATCTAATGCGCGAGCTTAATTTTCCTTCTTATCTAAGAAATTGTTAAAGAAAAAATCCGAAATCGAAATTTACTCCAAGTAGCAAGACCATCAAACCCACCCAACCGTCCTCATAATAAAGCTGCAGCCTCCTAAAAGAGCCTATATTTTATACCCCCAACGCTGCTTAACCCTGCCACGGACGTCCCGCCAACAGCGCTGTACACAACTTCCACATACAACACTCTCCATCCCCCACGCGGCTACACCAACAATAATCCAGTCTCTTGATGGTATTTCCAAATTGAGAGAGGAGAAGGCACCATATGAGACGGGGATTCGTAATATCAGAATTTGTTAGATGGGATATGTCAGCACGTTTATTACATGAGAAATAACAAATGGAATCATACAATAGACTGTTCTGTGGAAACAGACAGTAGTATACTTACCCCACACGAGTATCTTGAGTAAAATTCAAAAGACGGAAGAATCATATTGAGGCTTCACCAGGATGAAGGCTTTGCGCAGCAAGGTATCAAACCGTGCAATACATACATGTGAAGCAGATATGAATTACTATATACATATACCATGCGCAGGCTAGAAAAAAACTAAATGTTATGCAATCTACCCGAACGTTTAATAACATTTAAAACTTATAAAAATCTGCGCCATAACCCCTAGCCAGAGGCCCTCCTCGCTCCTCACCCAATCTAAAAACTCACACACGAGAACATCACGGGAGCTCGCTCCTGTAGTACTCCTGCACCGGCAACTCCGCCTTCGGTTGATCCGTGTAGGTCACCGGCAGTTCCGTTGGGCCCTGACCGGCGAGCGCGGGGTTGTTTGGGGCAGTACTATATTTCTGGTCCTTTTGTGCTGTCCGCCTCCTCCAGAAGAATGCTGCTAATCCGACGAGAGCAAGTCCGGCCACACCACCGACGACACCACCGGCAATGGCGCCGGTGTTTGTAGATTTCTTCTCAGTTGTCGTTGAATCCGGCGACCCGGTTCCGGTTCCGGACCCGCCGGCTCCAGGTGAAGTAGGATCCGCAGTGCTCCCGGTTGTTGTGGGTGAGGCTGGCGCTGTAACCTTCAGAGAGCGGTCGGTTTTGAAAATAGCCTCCAATGCTGGGTCGCCCCAGACCTTCGGGTAGCCTGTGTTTTCGTCATAGTAGGTGTTGACGACGTCCGGTCTCTCGTATGCCTTCGCGTTCGCATCGTAGTCATCGGCCCAAGTAAGAGCAGTGAGGTCGAGGATTTTCATCCCCGAGGTCCAGGCATCCTGGACTTTAGTAGGGCTTACACCGTTGGGGCTTGGGTCCTGTGTGCCGCCGATGGAGATCATCTGTCGCTTGTTGTGCTTTCCGAGAGTCGCTGGGCCGATGGCTTCGCAGGCATGGGATGTGCGCCAGGTGTCGGCTGGCTGGGGGGCTTCGATCCAGTGGAAAGAAGGGAGACTGAGAATGAACACTTTGCTCATCTCGACTGCAGTATTGGTGCTGTTTATGCCTGTGGTACCGCCGTACACGAAACTGGGGTTGTTAGCTGGGGTCTATTGAATCGGAATCCTGACATACATTTCATATGAATTATTCCCCGCATTGGTAGCTCCCACATTGCACAGATTAAATCTTCCAGCTGGCGCGTTCGTAGCGCTCTGGTTGTAGAATTTATCGGCATGGATATCATAGACCAAAATAATGCCCATGTCGCCGATGTTATTGTCTGCCACATTCCGGTCGACAGGAGTCTTGCCCCCAAAGAAAAGCACGACACCCTCCTCGCCATATGTCGGAACATACTGTGCCCCACCTTGGATATAATGCGCAGGGTGTGTTCTATTCTCGAATGTTTGGGTCTCGTAATCATAGGTAAGGAATTGGTTCATTGAAAGCTCTCCGCGCGAGCCTGTGTCCGAGGCGTTGAAAAGGAAGCCGATCGAACCGCCGAGACTGTAATGCTTCTTTTCGGAACTAGCCCAGAGGGCGTTGTCGACGCTCGAGATGTAGGGGTAGGTGGGGGTGAGCGCCTTGGAGTATTGTTCCGCCCAGGTCACTGTCCCATCCGTTTTGTCGTCTGGCTTGAAACCCCAAACCTGAGGCGGCGCATATGAGAATAGTTCGGTGGGGCGGAAGAGTGAGCCATAGACCTGGCCAGCTTGGCTGTAGACCATGTCGTGCGACTCATCGTAGAAGAGCTGTGGGCGCCGAGCGGCAGCGAAGCTGCTATCTCTCGTGTATCCTGTCCCCGTAAGGGTAGAAGTGGTCCAAGACTTTGTAAGGTCGATCACATAGGTGGACCCGTAGAAACCGCCTTTTGTCAGTGAATAGACCTCGCCACCGTCGATGTAGAGACGGTCTTTTACGGTGAGCGCTGGAGGCATTCGTTAGACGGCAAGCTCGCGACAATGGGGCTTCCTAGCCTTACCTGATTGCCACCACCACCCATTGAATCCCGAAGGCAGAAAAGTAGCGACGGCCTCGACAGCAGACAGCTGAACGAGCGCCAAGAGCGATATGGTGATAACCGACTTCATCGCGTCGCTATCGAGATCGTGATGAGATCGTGACGGCCAGACCGAATAGAAAAGGAAACACAACACAGAAAGGAAAAGAGAACCAGACCTACCAATCTGCTAGGAAATGGGAGAATTCAGGAGTTGGCGCTTACGCTAAGCCATGAAGCCATTGGCGCAAGAAGCTGACGGACGCCAAGCTTCCTTCGGGCATGCTTGTCTGACACTGTGGGGGGAAGGAGGATGGGGGATGGGGATAGTAGAGAAACTGTACAGAAACCGTACAAGGGCTGTAAGCAGTGGCTGTGTTTTGATGTCGCCAATTGGCATTTTGATGGTGTAGTTAATGTCGCTAATGTCGCTAATGACTCCTAACGTCAGTGCTTTAATGAGCTGATACACGACTGGTTTGAGCGGGCAGAGGAGAAAGTGCCAGGCGCGGATCACTGCTTCATATGTTGGGGCGCCAGCGGGCTATTGAGAGAGCTGATTCGCCAGAAGGAGCGCTGACAAGCGGGTAGGATTCAGGACCGGCGCGGGCAGTCAACATCAGCCCTGTTCTAACCGTATTAGTCTTAGTGCTGACCCCAATGGCGACCCCTACCTTTTGGACTATTTGTACATCCTCGTATAAAAAGGTCAGAGAAAGACAAAAAGGACCAGGGTCTTGGACCTAATTCTGTCTGTACTCCGTCAGGCGGAACTTGCCTGCGCCACACCCTTCCGCTGTATCCGGCGCTGTGGTTAGGGTGGTGAAGGATGGTTGAGGTTCAAAAATAGAGTCGTCACATCACGTGCTTGTTTGTGGTGCCCGGCACGTGGCACGCGGCAATTTTGAGGCCAGCTGCCGACGTTATCGATTATCGAGGATGTCCCGTTATGGATTATCTGGATCCCCCCCGGGCTTGGCAGACTTGGCATCGTAGACTTGGCATTGTAGTAGGGTTGTTGGTCCTCTTAACTCCACCACAGAGTATGTGGGGAGGGGGAACATATATAGCCTTTATAACATTCCATTTTCCTAATGTAGCGAGGACCACTCTGCTCCCTCAACTCTCTCAACTATCTCTTCTCCGTCACAATTTCGCTAAAGAGACCGCCTAGTTATTGAGGGGAAAGCGAAATCATATTTAACCAAAATGTTTATGCATCAATCTACTTGCCGATCTGTCACTTCACAGCTGTACACTCGACACTTTACATGGAGTCCAAACCCTACAGCTAGTCCTGTATTGGTAGTTGCAATGAACCTTCGGTTGCATGTCCGGCCCGATCGTTGATATTTGGTTAGGAGATCGAGGGTGCTACGGCGGGGTCATAGGCGGCAATAGCGTGGAGGATATACGATGGTAAATTAATAATGCGGGGGGGAAGATGCAAATATATTAAAACTTGCCTACACCACTACTACCCCGCAGACAGAACCTTTAACCGTAAAGTTTGTCGGCGATGTGTCAGCCGAAATTTTATAGTTAAAACTACAGTGAAAATGCCGTTGTGTACATGCCGACTAACAAACCTAGATGTTTATACTTCCTTGGACACGGTACGAGCCTCTAAGTTAATATAAAAGTCCAAACTTTCTTCCTTAGCCTATTGTCATTCCGGTGGGTTGGATGGGGTTCATTTTGCCGGGCGAGTCTTGTAAATACGATATATAGATGGATATGGCGTTGGTGGGAGACAGTTTTTTCAAGCTCTGTATCAGTAACCTGCCATCATGATTTACGCCGCTGCTGCTTTGTTCGTGGCGCTGCCACTCGTATCTGCCCAGGCTGCTGTCTGGGGCCAATGTAAGTGGAACTATCACACCTGAACACGCCGAAGTTAATCGTCTTAGGCGGTGGATCCGGATGGACTGGGGCAACTACATGTGCTTCGGGCTCATGCTGCACCTTCTCGAACGCGTGGTATTCCCAATGCCTTCCGTGCACTGGAGGTGGAGGAGGAGCAACAACTGCGGTCACCACTCCCCCAGCAACGGGGGTTGCGACTTCGACTGCTCCAGGCGCAACATGCAACCTCCCATCGACATACAAATGGACATCGACCAATGCGCTGGCACAGCCAAAGTCGGGATGGGTCTCGCTCAAGGACTTCACGGCAGTCCCGTACAACGGCCAGCACCTCGTGTATGCGACCTTCCACGACACGGGATCGACCTGGGGTTCCATGAACTTCGGCCTCTTCTCCGACTGGTCTAACATGGCCTCTGCGAGCCAGAACACGATGAACGCTTACACCGTTGCACCAACTCTCTTCCAGTTCGCGCCAAAGAACATCTGGATCCTCGCATACCAGTGGGGTCCAACTGCGTTCTCTTACAAGACGTCGAGTGATCCCACGAATGCGAACGGGTGGTCAGCGGCTCAGACGCTCTTCACCGGAACTATCTCCGGCTCCAGCACGGGCGTCATCGACCAGACACTCATTGGTGATGACACAAACATGTACCTCTTCTTCTGTGGAGACAATGGCAAGATCTACCGTGCCAGCATGCCCATCGGGAACTTCCCAGGCAGCTTCGGTTCCTCATCGACCATAATCCTGTCCGACTCCACCAACAACCTGTTTGAAGCCGTCCAGGTCTACACCGTCAAGGGACAGAAGAAATACCTCATGATTGTTGAGGCAATCGGAGCAAACGGCCGTTACTTCCGCTCGTTCACGGCTACCGACCTTGGTGGCTCATGGACCCCGCAGGCGGCGACTGAGAGTGCGCCATTTGCTGGCAAGGCCAACAGCGGCGCTACCTGGTCCAATGATATTAGCCACGGTGATCTCATTCGCAGCAACCCTGATCAGACCTTCACCATTGATCCATGCAACCTGCAGCTGCTCTACCAGGGACGTGCTGTCGGTTCTGATACTGATTATGGGCTGCTGCCTTATAAGCCGGCGTTGTTGACGCTGCAGAAGTAGGCGGGATGATAAGGGCTGTATATAAGTGAGCAAAATGGGGACGGTGTATTTTGCGTTACATACTTTACATTCTTTATGATAGCTATATTCGAATTTATGTGTGAATGTCAGAATGTTACCAACCTAGTTTTGTTCGCGTCCGATACTTTTACCGATTTTTTATATTGATTATTTTTAAAGTTATTTACTTTTCAAGGATACCCCGACAAGATATTACACCAGGGATGCTTAAAATAACAATTATACTCACTGTAATCTCATATGGTCTAAACAACGACCCATCACAGCCGACTGTTCCTGTAGCGGCTGCGCAGAAGCACATCCGCGTGCGTTATGCGCCATCATTAATACCCCCCACGTCCTATAAAAAGTTATCACTTTTCTAACCACAACTCTACAACGTCAGTAATAGCACCTACTATTACATGAACAGGCGACAGTTCTTCCTTTGCCAGACGATCACCACAACAACATAATCTCACCAGTGAGTGCTAGATAAATCTTGGTAAGTTTGGCATGAATACAGAGCTGGTAGGTGATTTTATTACTTGTTACCATATATTTTATTGATCCTAGGGGCACTCTTGATGCCTTTAATGTAATACTGTCGACTTTCTCTCACCCTCACGGCTGTCACTATCAGGGCATAGATTATTACCTGCAAGTCTTCACGGAGTATTTATTTGCGTACCTCTTGTCCTATTCCTCTCGTCTTCCTTTCTTCTTTCTTTCTCCTTCTCCTCTTCCTTTCGTTTTGCTTTTTACAAGATTTAGATACACAAATTACTTTGGTAAGCTATTCAAGAAGGTTGGTGCTCGATGCTGACTTCCATATAGCCTCCTATTATTTCCACCATAAGATCACCACTACAAGCTCACCATCGCCGCCTACAAAAACTCGCAAGCTACCTCAAGAGGTCACTTTTCTACTGTTGACATTCTTCTTCAACTCACCTTTGAGTCATTTTACGGACAGTACAAGCTTCACCTTGGTGAAAACATAAATTCGTAAGACGCTTGAAGCATCTTTTAAATGAACATGGCTTAGTATTCTGACATATATCTAGGCTTCAAATCACAGATTCGCAGTGAATAGCTCTCTGTAACACGCAGTTTTTAATCATCAAACTATCCTCGGTGCAGCCGTTGTCATTTGTCCACATAAATCTTGACGGCACAGCAAAGCACATACAAGTGGTAAGTACCAACTTACAAATATACGAACACAAGCTAAATCATCACAGGTTAATATCACGATATGACTTCTCCTAGGTAAGTCCCATAGTATCCACTCATCACCTATCTGACGCAAGTTAACAGCAAAATGGTCGAGGTCATCGACTACTTTCGATTTCTCCCTGACGGTGATAGTCCGCTAGATGATGAGGTCGCAAAAGCTACAGCTACTGGGGTCGCGCAGTGGGAGATGGTTGATTACTACGAGACGCCTGCAGGATGCCCTATCCCTAAAGAAGGTGATATATAGGATCCCGTCATTGGCGGCGGGCCATTTCGTCCGTATATGGTCCCGCGGGGTGTCCCGGTGAGCGATGGTGTACTGGTAATGATGCGCCTCTTCTCCCTGCTGCCATTCCAAGTTTATGGTGCCTCTCGATCTGACCTCCAAAAAATCCATGGGTTCACCAAAACAGGCACAATGCAGCGCAGAGACTCTGGCGCCGATGGGCTAGCGAAGTTGCCCCAAAACAATGGGAGCACTGTATACGACGCCGGCGATTATCTGATAACGATCGACCAGACTGTAATGCGCGGGGACAAAGACGAAGACGCCACAAACCCCCCCGGGCCTATAAATGAGTGTACATTTATATATCAGCTCGGGTTAAAACATCAGCACTGGTTCAACCGTCTGTTTAATGGCGCTGACACTGCAAGCCTAGAGAAGGGAGCCGCCTTTGCCCAAGATTGGCTCACAAAATACTCATCTAACATTATGGAATATGATAGAGTTCTCGGGATTAATGTTCGCCGCCAGGACAACTCCAAGGTAGCACAATATGAACACTATATCAGAGACTATTATTACAGTGAGATTCATACACGAAGTACAGAATATCCGAAGCCGAAGCTAGCACCGACAATCAAACTAATGCTACCGCTAAAGGCAGCACAGAAGCCCAAGCGTAAGCCAAAACCAGACATGGCTGGGTTGGCGGAATCCGACAAGAAAAATAATGGCGAAGGTAGCAAAAGGGAGATGGCATTGGCTGGTGAGCCAGGAAATCTGCTACCGCGTCCAGAAGTTCCCGCTGTGGCAAAGAAGCCACGAATCTATTCTGCAGAAGAGTCCAACGAGAGCGAAAATAAAGAGAGCGAAGTGAAGGCGGTATCGACTCCAGCGAAAACTGTTACTGAACTAGCTGCAGAGAAATCTCCCCCGACGGTTGAGAAATCGATGCTAGCCCGTCCAAATAATATGGCGCCCACCCCTGCTGAGACCGCGACAGAGAGAATCACAAGGTTGAGAAGAGAAGTCGAGGAGAAATCAAAGGCGCTCGAGGATTTACGAAGAATGGAGGCGGACGCGGCAGAGCAGGCGATTGCAGAAGCGAAGGCAGAGGTAAAAAAAGCAACCATGGAGAGGGCAGCTGTCGAGAGAGCAGCCGCGGAGAAAGCAGTTGCCCAGGAAGCTGCAGCAAAACTAGCCAAAGAAAAGGCCAAGTTAAACACTGGAGCGGCGGACAACTCCCTCAAACTTACTGGAGAAACGGTCAAATACGCGATCGGCGCATATCTTGCTCAACGAAGATCAGGAACAGCTGACAAAACGTTGGTTGGAAAGTTGAATGATGAACTGGCACCTTACTTCCACGCCGCCTTGAACGTTTTTGCGAATGACCCACAGAAGAGAAAGTTAACGGAAGAAGAGAGCGATGATGAGAGGCTGGCAAAGATTGCCAAGAAATAGGCAATTACAAGACGTGATGGGGAAGGAACGATGGAGAAGGAACGATAGGGGAGGAACGATTGGGAAGGAACGATGGGGAAGGAAGGACGGGGAAGGAACGATGAGGAAGGAACGATGAGGAAGGAGCGATGAGGAAGGAACGATGAGGAAGGAACGATGAGGAAGGAACGATGGGTTATGAACAATGGGGAAGGAACAACGGAAAACGAAGGATAAGGAAGGGGCTATGGAGGGTTTACTCGCATCATATAAGCTACTGGAGGAGGATTGACGAAATGCCTGCATCGAAGATCTGAGTCCAATGCTGCCATGGCCGGCCTTGGGAAGCTGTGGCGAACATATTGACAGCGTAACGTTAACTGAGATTCTCACCCACCATGTACTGTGCTTCTCGTTGACGTTGCTTACAGTCGTGGTTGTGATTCCCACAAATTATTGCAGTGATATCGCAGTGATCCTACCCCTTACTTCCCGTAATTTCTCACAAGTCCACCGATGTAGACATGGTCTTTAAGATGGCCCGAACACCTTGTTGAGATGGCGAGCACATTTTGTGGGGATTTTGTAGTCCAGCATATTTCTCGGGGGTATTTAACTCCCCCTCGGTCACTTCACTCATTCTTTCCTTCGACAACATATGAAATGACTCCAGCGGGTTTCCAAGGTGGCGTGTGGGGCCCATAAATTTGGAAAGCTCCTTTTTAAGAACTCATATCACCAATGGCTGCGTGTGTTCGTTACTGACGCTCTGAAAGAACTCTGTGATATAACAACAAGGATCCGCAACAGTGAGAGAGCCCTCGACAGCAAGAACCTACGACAGCGAGAACCTGCGACTCTTAGGTAGCTCGACCCATAGGTTTCCGACTGGTGATGTTTGGTGGCGGATAGGCGTATAAAGATCGCTATAGTAATCGCGCACAATTGGAACACCCGGTCGAGGCGTAGAGTGGTTCTCGGCCTCGTGGAGAAAGCGTGAAGCGGATTGGAGCTGGCTTTCCGGGGTGCGGTCTTGGGGCATTACAGTATGTGAACGTAGCCTTCTCGGTAAGTAAGTTGGCAAATAAGACCACGAGAATGATCCGTGTGGCCTTTGACATACTTTCGCTCGACTTTGCCGATATCTCGGCAAATAAGAGGGCTGTATCGTTGGAAAGCATGGTGGGTGAGATGATTGGTGTGTTGTGATATATTGGTTGTGAGGGAGAGTGGTTGTGGGTGTACGACGTCGGACTCATTTCCCCAGCTCTATAGTTTCTCACAGCGGGCTTCTTAACAATGAAATATACCGACGCCCTCGTCGTGTAAATATGGCAAACAACTGTCCCTTTTGGTTCACCCTTCGACAACTTGGCTGCAAAGACCAATAACCTGCTATTTTAAGTGTTACGATGCAGACTTGGCCATCCCACGGCGGTCTCTCATCTACCACCTCCTTGTCAGCAACGGCGTGCGATATTGGCTCTGATTCTAGTGGCTCCCAGTAGGACTCGCGATGATGCTGATGGTTGTACTCGTTGTGCACAATACCATTGTTCTCTTCATCCCCTCTCGCATGCTCTCGCTCTTTGTGGGTGCGCGCTCAGCATAGTGGGGAGGGACATCTCAGACTCAAGACAAAGAAATCTAGGAGGGTAGGGTGAACAAAGCAGCATATTCAACTTCAGCAACAGAAAAAAGGGAACAAGGAATGTTTATCAACATGAGAGTATGAAACGAATAGGACAGAGAATATCCTCGACCATTCCTTCTGCCTGGTTCCAGCACATGCATCAGCACGAAAGACCTTTGATGCCCATGAAACAGAAGATGAATTCCCCTCCTCTCCAGACTCACCCTTTAAAACCCCGTCTCCTCTCACCACTTCCCCGCAAAGTCGACCATTCCACAGGAAAAGGGAAGGATATACCAAGACAGAAGAAACACCTACCACTTTCTCCCAGACTCCAGAAACCTCGCTTTCAGGTAAGAAAAAGCACAACAAGCATATCACCAGGTAAGTATATCACCCCACCCCATCCCATCCATCAATCCCAAAAGACAGCAGTACAGCACGGCCAGCCAGACAGCTAACATGTGCTACCACCGGCGCCTCCACTTCATCCTCTGCAACCACGTCTACGACCTCCAGATCGTACGATCCTGCTCCCTCGCCTCCTCAACCTCTGGGTCACCACCTCGCAGTTCGCCGTCGCGCAGCTCTCCGTCGTCGTCATCGTTGTCATTGTCGAATTCATCGTCGTCCAGCAAGGCCACCGCGGCGCGCTGCTATCCGATGTCGCATCCGTGGACGACGTATAAAGTGCGTAGGCTGTGCGAGGCGTGTGCGGAGAGGAGGAGGAGGATGGATGAGCGTGTTCGAGAGCTGAGAGAGGGGTTGGAGGGGGTCAGGGGGTGGATGGGGGACAGGGGGTTGTTGGCGGATATGAGAGCGGATGAGGGAGAGAGTGGTGAGGGAGAGAGGAATGGGGAGAAAAGGGAGGACGAGGGAGAAATAAAGGGGGGAATAGAGGAAGGTGAAGATGAACAGATAGCCTACATATATCCATTTGTTCGGTAGTTCGTATGGTATGATTTTGACTTTATTCGACAGTTGGTGCTGGTAATGTGAATATGAGACCTCACCTTCGCCATCTTGCTTCCCCCATCGTCTCTCCTCACGACGTTGAATATGTCGCGCCTGGGTTGACAGATGGAAGGAAAGGAGGGAAACGACGAAGGATAGAGAAAGCTGACAGACGTAAGAAAACCCGGTCCCTCCCGGATGAACAATGATATAACCCGCCAAGCTCCAACCACCCCAACACCAAACACGGTTGCGGGGAGAAGTTCGTCCCCCCAGATATGGGGTAATAAGACGCAATAGATATGGGGTAATATCTCCCGACAAATATGGGGTAAGTCGTCTCAATGCATAGTTTATGGGGGTAATAGGAAACAAGACATATACCAATTATGGGGTAATGAGAAACAAGAGTCGCATATGGGGTAAATACGGAGTACACATCTACGGAACAAATAGGAGCCAGCCGACAGACAGACAGACAGAAACCTATAATAACACACCACCCACTCACCCCACCACGTGATGCGGAGATATAACTTTCCCCCCTCCACCCCCCCCCAATAACATGGAGAGTGTGGAGAAAGTGTTAATTAAGATTACCGTATATTACGTACAGAAGCGTTAGAACGAACCGTTGGCGGTTGGGCGGTTGGCGGTTAGATCTCCAAAAGAGAGCCGCCAAGCTTCCCCACACCAACCCCTGACTCTTTGATTTTCGGTGATGAACGGGTAGGCAGAGTTTTTTTTGGGGTGGATGAGGGGCGGGTCTAGAAGTTTTCGGCGACTTGGGATATACTTGGGATCAATGCGTTCGGAGATGACCTTGGATGTGATGATGTAAAAGTAGATTGTGGGTATGGGGAAAGTCGGGGAGATGTTGGGTGAAGGTGGGGTGGAAGTGCTTACTCCGTACGGCGGTGGTTGCAGGAATCTTCGTCTCCCGTGCGATGATGATCAGCTTGGACGAGAGTCCGTAAAAGACCGTGCCGTGATTCAATAACTGCCCCACGTATATAGCATTCCCAAACGGTTGTGCTAGTCGACAGGTAGCAAAGCTTCTAGAAGGAAATCAGATATCAATCTACGGGCGCATGAAGTGCCAACCATCCATTCGCTACTCCAAACGCCCCAAGGCTTTCGCCCAGGCGGTCTTTCATGCCGTGAGTTAAAGCAGCAGCAAGAGTGTGCGACAGTGAGGACCGTAGCGGCGGTAATGCGTGCTATTGACGGCAAGGCGATAACGGCAGTGGCAGTGGCGGCTGGCGGTGACAAGAATCGTACCAACAGCAGCAGCAGCAGCAGCAGCAGCAGCAGCAGCAGCGGCGGCGGCTTCCACTCCAACCGGGAGAAGAACAAAGAACGCCTTATGCGTTGTCAGGCTGAGGTATTCGGACTTGGTCACCACATACGTGTTGGCATGTAAGAGCATAATTTACACCTTTCTCCAACCTTCACAACTAGTATTTGTTCTTTTGGTTGAAGCCTCTTACCTCTATTTTTATGACCCAGCCTTCCTGCAAGGCTACCACTTCCCAGTCCCCAGTCAGTAGATCAGAGTTTCTCCAAATCTCTTCCCTCCCCCTCCTAAGCGTACCGTACCAAACTCTCCCTCTCCCACCCATCGCGCCCGGACTCCGAAGCGGCCAGATGACAAAGATCATCACCGCCTCTCGCACCTCACCCAGTCATCCGAAACTATTACCCCATCCCATCCCCCCATCTCCATGCCCAATAACCCCCCATATCCACACACAAAGTATCTTCCCATACAATATCCACGCGCACCCGTACCTAAGCGTGCCCCCCCACGTGATGCCCACACGGCATCATCCATCAGGGGCAGGGCAGAAAGCTTGGGCTGGTGGGTGGGTGTAGCAGCGGTTCCGAGATATTCCGGTATCAGAAGTTGGCGTAGTGGAGTAAGTGTAAGCCTTGGATGATATGTGATATGTTTGTAGTAGTTGTAGTAGTGGCGTACCCCGCATATACTGCGTAATCAAGGTCGTCGTTGGGGGGTACGTACCGAGGTGCGTCGTATCTGTATCTCTTATTTCCCCATGGACGAGGCTGGGCACGATGGGGAGGACGGGGGGCTTATCGGGGAAGACGACGTGGGATGGGCTTGGCAGGGGGTGTGATAGGCTTATACGATGATTGTGGTTGTTTGGCCAAGGCTGTGGGATGCGATATGGGTGGAGGTTTGGGGTGTTGGTGGCTGATTTTCTGGGGATTGGGGGAGGTACGTAACGAAGGTGAGATTGAGGGATTTTGTAGGGTGGACGTATTCGGTAGTTGTGACGCCGTTGATGGGTAAGTGTCGGTGTGGAGAAGGGCGGGTGTATGTGTGTGTGCTTGTTGTGGTGAGATGACAGTGAAGGGAAGGGAAGGGAAACGTGATGTGAAGATCTGGCTTACCCGGGTCAGTAAGCACGTTTGAGAGAGGGCCACGAGGAGGAGTGGCAGGCACGCAGGCACAAGCAGGCACTACTCGCGTACATACGTCTAGTTAGTTGATTAGTTGGTCACAGCAGTAGTATGGAGTTCTCCAAACGGTAAGCGCGGGAGGCGAGACGCAGACACGGGCGGCATGAGGAACTTCTAGAAGGAAATGTGGGAATGGAAGGAAATTAGACGTCTACGAGTCGTCGAAGGGATGGGATGGGATGGGATGGGGGGGATCGGTGAGGTGAGGGGAACTAACTAAGCTGATTATGCGACGCTAATCTAGTGCGAGTAAAGGGAAAGGGAAGGGAAGGGAAGGGAAGGGGAGAAGGGAGAGATGCATATGGTCGCGCCGCTACTGTATGTGGATTATGGCAATTGTGGAGTCGATTCCCGTGTGTGCGCGAGTGTTTGGAGGCGGTAAGATCGTACGACTCGGCGTCCGGATTGGCCGAAGTAGTGGCGTTGGCGGGAGGCGCGATCGAGACAGACGGACGGGCGAGATTGGTGTTGGTGTTGGTGGGAGGGAGACGGTTATGCCGGACGGGTGGGTTGGGTGAGAAGAGGAGAGGGGAGGGGAGGGGAGGGGAGGAGAGCTGATGTGGTGGGGGAGGAGCACAGAAGGAGGGAGAGGGGCTGAGAGTGCAGAGAGGGCACACAGAGACACATAGATGCACGGAGAGGGGCAGAGAGGGCACACCGAGGGCACACAGGGCACACAGGGCACACAAGAGATTCGAGTATGCCTTATTATGCTGCAGGCGTGTGCGCGTGTGTAACTAGGGATTTGATTAGAGAGGGGGTGAGTTCGATGCCTGTGGTATCTGTGGTATGGGTGGTAATCTGTCATATCTGTCGTATCTGTAGGATCTGCCGTATCTACTAGATCTATCAAGATATCTCCATTCGGGTTGACAGCACACAGACAGACAGCCAGCCACCACACGGTCAGCAGTAAGCAATCGGCGTAGAGAGGCCGATTATCGATGGTATCGTCGATTGTATGCACGATACACGTGTCAGGCTCTTCCCACTAATACACCCGTCAGGCTCTTTACACGCTCTTCACATCACACCACATACCGTCTGGCCTTCTTTCCTTCCCTCCCATCTCCTCCCCCTCCGCCCATCCCTCCTCTCTCTCTCTCTCGTCTCCCCTCCCCTCTTACTGTATACGGAGGTCAATTCAACACAAATAGCGTCCCTCTAGCGCCATTTAGCGTCCTTTTCCCTTCTTTTCGCCCCATCGCCAACTCCACTTCTCTATCTTAATCCCCACTCTTTTCTCATCCTTCCCAACCACACTAGATCACACTAGACCACCCTAGTCCATCCTAGCATACGGCATATCTGCCAAGACCCTTACCACACCCCGTTGCAAACCGCCACCAGCCAGCCCGCACTAAGCCCAACCCAGCAGCTCGTTACCGTACTTACCTGTAAGCAGCCTGGGGGGCGGCGGTCACACTACCATGAACCACCGCCTAAAGCGACCAGAGACAGGGGATCAGGGGCGTTGTGACCAATCGGAGGGGAGATCGGGAGATCTTGGCGAGATCTTGGCGGGAGACAGGGGGGAGGTGATGTTGTTTGTTTGATGCAGGCAGGGAAAGGGCTGATCTGATCCCAGTTTGTGTGATGTGCTCTCTCCTGTCTCTCTCTTCTGGTTTTTTTTGGGGGGGAAAGCATGGAACGCCCTGATTTCTGTGCTCTGTGCTTTAGTGTAGTACGGGGTGAGTACTTTGATAAAGGTCTATTCTTTCTGGCATTTGTAAGTATCATCGCTGTACCTCCATGCTGCAAATCTTGGAGCTGCCTTGCTCGTGCCGCCCTGGACAAGGCTGTCATAACTTTACAGCACTAGAAAGGCACAACACACGGTCTGAAAATGCAGACTAGGTGCGGAGTACACACCGGGAAGGCTGCGGTCATGGTCTCTCTGCGTAATCGTGTGTTCGTGTATACTTTCCTCCCCCCTAGCTCGATTTCGGTTTTTTGCGAACGGCTTGTGGGGATAGAGTAGTTGGAGAAAAAATGTAGCAGGGTACTTGATATAGAGTAATTAGATACGCACATACCAATGTACCCCCAGTACTCTAATCTGCTATGGAGCATGTAGCACTCGCTCCCTCCTCCTCTCCTCTCCTCTATGGTACTAGTATCATCCTAGTTATCCTAGTATTACTCTCTTCTCCTCCACATCCACCTAAAGAAGAGGGGTGCAAGGGCAAAGGGCAACGGGCAGGCCAACACGGCAATCCAAACTGCAGAGAAATAAATATCTCTTCCCCCCCCCCCCACCTGAAGCATCCTTTTCTACCTCTCCCTCACCTTTCGCAATCGCGTCGCGTCGACCGATTCTCTACGACCTCCTCCTCCTCCTCCGCCTCAACGCGTTCTGCCTCAGTCCAGTCTCTCTCGCTGTCAACGAGATCCCCCAACCATCTACTGAAGTCGAAGCACTGGACTCCCACAGCTCTGCTGTGTATTCAACATCCCCAATAAGTCGCAGCAATGGTGCACTACAACGAGAACATCGTCACTGGCGAGAGCGCATCCGACGAGGCCAAGATCGGATACACTGAGAAGGAGGACGCCCTTCCCCAGGGCATCGTCACTGAGAGATACAATGACGACGACCCCAACCACCATCTGCACCGCGGCCTCAAGTCGCGCCAGATTTCTATGATAGCCATTGGTGGCGCCATTGGCACGGGCTTAATTATCGGAACGTACGTGATTCCCCCCAGTCCAGCGATTCCCCAGCCGTTACCCCGTTCCAGCCACCCCAAGTCCCGTCGCCCACTCATGATTAGAGTGCAGCAAGCCGTGATTTGGTGGCGGTGCCATGCGGCCGGCAATTACGCCGCACCCCGCTTGCCAAGATACCAAGAGCTGACCAACGTTACGTTACAGGGGACAAGCACTCGTCAATGCCGGGCCAGGTTCGCTTCTCATCGCCTACGCTGTCGTCGGCGTTCTCGTATATATGGTTATGGCGGCTCTGGGTGAGATGGCAGCGTGGCTGCCGCTCGCCTCGGGGTTCACTGGTTATGCGCATCGCTTCGTTGACCCTGCGCTGGGCTTCTCTCTCGGCTGGACTTACTGGTTCAAGGTGAGACGAACTCTTGAGAAACTGCCTTCGCGCTAGCGCTAATGCGTCGTTTTTTAGTACATTATCGTGACCCCGAACAATTTGACGGCCACAGCACTCGTTATCAAATACTGGGTTCCTCCGGAGAAGGTCAACCCAGGAGTTTTTATCGCCATTTTCCTCGTCGCGATCGTGCTGATCAATTACTTTGGTGTCAAATTCTTTGGTGAATTCGAGTTCTGGCTTTCCAGTATCAAGGTCGTCGTCATCCTCGGTCTCATCCTTCTCAGTCTCGTCCTCGCCTGCGGCGGCGGCCCCGATGGCGACCCCAAGGGATTCCGCTACTGGCACAACCCCGGCGCATTCAAGCCCTACGCCGCCGTCCATGGCGTCAGCAAGGAAGCGGCGCAATTCATCGCCTTCTGGTCCTGCCTGACCACCGCGGTTTTCGCGTACCTCGGCATGGAACTCGTCGGTGTCACGGTCGGAGAGGCGCAGAACCCGCGCAAGGTCATCCCGCGCGCTATCAAGCTCACCTTCTACCGTATCCTTCTCTTCTACGTCGTGCTGGTCTTCCTCCTCGGCATGATCCTGCCTTACGATGACAAGTTGCTCATCGCTGCCACCTCGGAGTCTACGTCGGCTGCCGCGTCGCCTTTCGTTGTCGCCATCCAGATCAGCGGCATCAAGGTCCTCCCTGCGCTCCTTAACGCCTGTATTCTCATTTTCGTCTTCTCCGCGGCCAACTCTGGTGTGTACAATCTCTTCAAAATATCTCACTGAACTTCTGCTAACCCCTTCAGATCTCTACATCGCATCCCGAACTCTCTACGGTCTTGCTGTCGAGGGCAACGCCCCCAAGATCTTCGCTCGCACCGATCGCCGTGGTGTCCCCATCTACGCCCTCGGTCTCTCCTCGCTCTTCTGCCTCCTGGCCTTCCTGAGCGTCGACACCTCCTCCATGACGGTCTTCAAGTACTTCGTCAACCTCGTCACCATCTTCGGTCTCCTCACCTGGATCTCCATCCTGGTCTCCCACATCTACTTCGTGCGCGCTCGCCGCGCCCAGAACGTCCCCGACAGCGCCATGGCCTTCGTCTCGCCCGGCGGACTCTGGGGCTCGTACATCAGTCTCGTCTTCTGCTGCTTGATCGCCATCTTCAAGGGCTTCAACTACTTCCTGCCCAAGTACACCGGAAAGGGTGCATACGGCCAGTGGGACTACAAGAACTTCATCACTGCGTACCTGGGCATCCCACTGTACCTTATCATGATCTTCGGGTACAAGTTCGTCATGAAGAGCGAGGGTGTGCGTCCCGAGACTGCGGATCTATACAGCGGGAAGGCGCGCATCGATGAGGAGGAGATGGAGTACCTCGCGGCTGAGAAGGCGAAGAATGGAGGGAAGGAGGAGACGAAGTGGGGACGCATTTATAGGCATACTATTGGCACGATCTTTTAAGCCCGGCTTTTTATGTAAAGAGGGTTGTGTATTTTATGATCATGTGTTCTTTTTTTTTGTCTGTAGCGTGGTGATAGGGGTGGGTGGGGGAGAGGGGGTGGAAGTTATGTAGCATGGATACCCAGACCGCGGAGGGACGCGGGAGATCTAAATTCTACCATTTATTAACTCGCGCTTTGGCGCGAGGATATATATACTTTGAGTCTCTGATGCGATTTGTGATTTTGTGCGTGGTTAAGTGAGGTGAATACTATCGAAGAGGTGTTTTGTCGTCCCAGCCACTTCAGCCTTTAGGAAATATGGAGGAGCTGCCATACAGAGACGGGCAATAACAGTACAAGCTCATGACCAGGATTAGACGAGTCAAGAAACGAGGGTAATCATCAACTCATTTAAGTATTCTTTTATCCAGACAAGGAATCTATTCAATCCACCTCTACAAAACAACTACCACGCCCTCCTAATCCGAGAACCCCTCAAACTCCTCCTCACTTCCCTCCTCCTCCTCCCTATCTTCATCCTCCCCCTCATCCCCATCCTCCTCCTCATCCTCCCCATCCTCCTCCCCCTCATCCCCACCCACCCCAAAAAGCCCCACAACATCCCATCTATCCCCTTGCGCATTCCGACTAACATACTTGACAAACCTCAGCACCCCCTCATCCCTCAACACAATACTCATTTTATTCCACGCCGCCGGGACGGTGAAGAGGACGTTATCCTCTTCATCCCCCGTAGCGGCTTTGTAGATCGCTGCGTCTGCCGAGGCGTCCTCGTCGTCGGCGGCCATGTAGACTTCGTGGCCGCCTACGTCGTCTTCTTCTTCTGCTGCGGCGGCTTTGGCGGCAGCTGCAGCTTTGGTGGCAGCAGCTTTGGCCTTTGCGGCGGCAGCAGCGGCTTTGGCGGCTTTCTTACCCTTCTTAGACTTCGGTGCCTCCTCTTCCTCCTCTTCACCTTCTTCCTCCTCTTCACCTTCTTCCTCCTCGTCATCATCAACGCCCCACCCCTTAGTCGGGGTAAACCCAAGACAAACCTCCAGCCTCGACTCCCCCTCATGGCTCGTCGCAAGCGCATAATCTGCTCCCCTCCTGAATCGGCGACCGAGGACGTTGAAATTCTCAATATCGCATCCCGTAGCTATAGCGAGCCATTTTCTGAATTCCTTGCTTGGGAGGAGGTCATCTACCAACTCTTGGACGGGGTTTTTTTCGTCTCCCGAGGTGGAGGGTTCGAGGTAGAGAAAACGGTGTTTATGCGGTGGTTTCGCAACGCGCCAGGGGGAGGAGGCTTCGATCTCTGCGGCTGTGGAGGGGAGGGGAGTGGCTTCCGCGGCTTCGATGTGTGCGCGCAGACGGGCGGAGAATTTCGCGGACAGGATGTGGTCGATGCTCACGGCGGAGTTTTCCTGGAAGTGGGCGTTGACTTGCTCGATTGTGTCGGGGGTTAGGTAGGTGGGGGTGAGATATTTGAGGAGGAAGTCTATGTCTTCTGCTTCGAGACTCTCCTCTTCGTCTTCCGAGTCGTCGGGGGCGGCGGCGGTGGTTTCAGCAGCGGGGACGGGGGTGGCTGTTTCTTTGGGGAAATCGTATTCATCCGCTTTACCCTGTAGTTGGACTAGACTGCTCTTCAGGGCGAGTTTCTCCTCGGCGCCGGGGATGTAACCCTCCTCGCCTTCTTGCGGGATGTGGAACCACCCGCTGATAGCCATGCGGACTCTCCCGCCTTCTTTCTCCTGCTGCGCGGGGGTGGGGGCGTGGTACACCTCCTCCACATCGTGGAAGCTGAGGCCGGGCTGCACGGCGAAGAAGCTGAGTTGGTTCCAGGCTGGGGGGATTGATTTAGCAAAGTCCGCGCTGGGGACTGTTGTTACCCCGCCGTCGCCCCCGGGGAGCTTGGTGGTGGGGTAGAGACGCAGGGCGCCGCCCCATTCTTCCTTCCATGGGATGTCTGGGTCGGGGAGGTAGAGGATGTAACTGATTCTGCGACTTCCGATGACGTCGTCGTGGCAGAGGAGGTGGCAGCCGGGTGTGTACACGTTAATCGCCATATCGGTCTTCTTCCCGCTCAGCGCGCCCGCACCCGTGATAGCCTCGGCGTACTTGCGGAAGGCGGGGGAGTAGAGGGCATCGCGCAGCTTGAGGAGGGAGGGGAGGCGCTCGAGGGCGGCATCGTCGAGGCCGTCGAGGTTGGCGAGGTCGCCGGATTGGTGGATCTTGTAGATGTCTGTTTCCTTGGGGGTGAAGTGGACGTTTTCGCGGACTTCGGTGCGGACGGCGCGGAGGAGGGAGTCGTTCATTAGGTCGTGGATGACGGCGTGTTTGTAGGGGGTGGAGGTGGCGTAGTCTTTGGTGTAGGTCTTGAGGTTTTTGGTGTCGAAGAGGCCGTCGCGGAAGCAGCCGGTGATGTCTACGGGTTTGGACTCTGGAGGGGGGGGGATGTTAAAATGGTGTGGGTGAGAGGTTGAGTGCTGGGGTTCGTACCTTTAGCCCTCTTCTGCTTGGCTGACTTGAGGATGCCATTCTTGGCACCCTCGATTGCTTCAGATTTCCGCTTCATTGCTGTGATATTGAGCTGGGATATGCGAGTTAATTGCAGTATCAAGGTCGAGAGCTGTCGTCGCTGGGGGAAAGTTTTAAGGCTTTCTGCCGCTACACCGCCTTTCTACTAAAATTATATGTGGACTAGCGTCACCACACGCTAACCAGGGATTTGGGAGCTTTACGGTTAACCCCGCAAAGCCGCCCCAACTACCAACCAACCCAATACCAAGATAGGAAAGCGCGGGGAGATAAAGAAGGAATGGCCACAGGTACGACGAGAGGAAGTACAGTCAGCTCAACAAAACAGGCCTCGGATTTTGTGAAGGGCCGATCCGCCCTATGAGGGGTCATTATGGAGGGGGTGTGTGTATATGCGGCGTTGCACTGACTTCACCAAACGTGTCCTGTGTTTTTCGGACAGAAGTGTTGAGAGCCGTGTCCAACAAAAATATATCTATCACTTGATTACTGATATTCGGACGTAAGGAGTCAACAATTCTGTTGGAGGCATATTATTCAAAAATTATTTAAACAGTTATCATCTGCGTTGCAAGGCAGATCTTGATTCTTAGAACTATTCAACCTATTCCCAGCCTTCCCCAACACAGTATCACAATACCCTCAAAAATCACCATGTCTGAAGAAGAGCTCAAGACCTACCACGGCAGCTGCCACTGCGGCAACTTTGCCTTTACCGTCACGGTCCCCGAGATCAAGAGCGGCGCGAGATGCAACTGCTCCCTCTGCCACCGCAAGGGTTACTTCTGGCTCAAGATCGGCTCCGAGCAGTTCAAGGCGGATGAGGGCACGGGCGAACTAGCCTGTTACCAAGTGTCTGGGGGTTGTAATCGCCATCTCTTCTGCGCTACGTGTGGGACTGGCGTGATGGCCGAAAAGCCGGGTGAACCTTTCATGGTGGTGAATTTGAATACTGTCAAGGACCTGGATAGGAAGGCACTCGAGGTTAAGGCGTATGTTTACCCCGCCTTTTTGGATATACTGGGCCCGGTGCCATCTTAGTATAAATCACACGGCTGACCCATACCAGATTCGACGGGGCATCAATCGGCGAACCATACAAGACCTTTGATGTTCCAACAGATGTCATTGACGCCCTCGACCTACCTGGTTACAAGACCTACACCGGTCACTGCCACTGCGGCGACGTGAAAGTAGCCTTCAAGTCGCCCGACCTCTATGACCCGAACACGTTTGTCGTCTCCGACAACTGCAGCATTTGCACTATTGTAAGCCCCCAATTCCCAACTACACTCTGGCCCCTCCCTCAAGCCCAGACTGACCCCCCCCCCAGCACGCCTACGTCATAGCCTACCCCGAGCGCAACCACTACCAAATCACCGGCACCGAGAACACAACCGCCTACTTCATGGGCGACAAATGGATCGCGCACCGCTTCTGCAAGAGATGCGGGACGCCGGTGAATCTGGATACGCAGACCGGGCCGCCGGCGCATGTTCTCGCCAAAATCCCCGAATTCTACCACCCGAGACTCAAGGCGTATCCGACGAACTTGAGGGTGATTAATGGGTTGGATTGGAAAGAGTTGGGGATTAATTATTTGGCGCCGGGTGAGGGGGCGGATGCAAATTGATGGGGGTTGTGGTATGGGGTGGGGGAAAGGGGGGACGGGTATTCATGACTGTAGCGTAGGGGTAGCATTGACCATGTTAGACGACGGTGATGCTCTTTGTATGATTGCTCATGACCTTCTATATAAAGACCCATCTATCGCGCCATGCTCTATGCATCACATAATAACCGTGGATGCCGCCAGCGACATCACCTCCCCGCCCGCGCAACCGTAATCTCCGCTCACGTTTCAATTCATTGTACTCGTATAATCGCCGTCCGGCCCGCCAAAACGCTCAAATTTTGCAAAGAAGTTCCATCATCACACCCGTCGCTATCCGTCCCTTTGCGCCGTTGCGCCTCATTCATCATTTCATCGTAAACTCTTCGCGTATAGTCGCGTCTCTTCATTTCCCCTTCTTTTTCGCAGGTGGTGCGGCTTTCCCCGGTTTCTTGGCTGGAGATCCCGTGCCTTTCAACGTACCCGCTGGACTCTGTGGTGAGGGGTCGCGCATCTCAAACTCGTTGCCCGTGTAGCCGTTTAGAACCTGGCCGTCTGGCCCGAGTCGCGCTGGTGAGCCGGGAGTCGGATGTTGGAGCTGGTCATTGTGCAGTTTATCCAGTGAGTCGCCGATGACGCCGTACTGCGCCCAGTTGATCGGTGGTACTTTGACCACCTTCTGCGGCACGGGTAGAGGAGGGAACGAAGAATGTGTCTTTGTATGCGCCGTCCCGTTCTTCATGCTGGCTTCTTTGTGCTCCTCGACCTTCGTCGCGCGCTCTTCCGTCCCATTCATCTCCACATCACCATCAACCTCGTCTTCATCCTCCTCCTCGCTATCCTCCGGAAACGTCGCATCCGTATCCGTCCTTATCTCCCCCATATCCGCCGCGCGCAAAAACGCCTCCGGATCCTGCATAGCTTGATTCTTAAACCTCTGCAACGTCCTTATATCCTGCGCCGCCTTCTTCTTCTGCAGCTGCAACACGCTTATCGCGCTCTTCACCGCCAGCACATCCGTATTCGAGTCAAAGTCAATCACCTCCACCGGCGCAGGCGGGGGCGGGATAAACGTCGCGTCGGCCCGCGAGTGTGTGTATGTTCGCAACGGCTGCTGCGGCAAGGGAGGCACGATCGTGTCGAGGCGTGCGGCGGCCAAGGTGGGTGTTATGGGTGAGTAAGGCGGCTGGGGCGGACTCGAAGGGCGCAAGTGTTGTGACGAGGCGCTGTCGTGCGGCGCGTACGACGGGGCGCCATTCCGCAATCCCGGATGGGGTGAGGAGTTTGGTGAGGTCGTGTCGACTGTGAGGGCAGGCATCTTTTTTTTGCTTCTGACTGAGGGTTCAGTCGCGAACGCGTCAGTGATGTCGTGTGAGGTGGGTGGTTGATGTGTTGGCGGGTCGCAAAGATGTATTTCCTCCCGAGACCGCGCGGAGACAAGAGTGGCGACGTTAGCCTGATGGCGGGGTACTTAGGGTGGTGGTCTGTGCACGTTGGTGTGAATTTATAGTGCCACGTGACTGTATAAGCGTAAACCCCGTGGACATGTTATCACTTGCTACTCGCCAGCTATTTGTGAGTCACGCCCGAGTTTATGCCTTTTCATATTTTATATTTATATATCATTGATATCATTGATATGCTGTTTTCATCTTTTCTCGGGGTCTGCTGGTACTGCCACCTTATGATCACGCCTTGCCATGGACAATACTCGGCGCTGGCAGTATCAAAAGCGGCCGCTAGTAGCCTTGTGGCACAGCTGACGGTCTTATCGGTCCTGACGGCCCCTTGCCTTATCGTTTATCCCCTTGCGGAACGCAATAACTAGGCTCCGACTCGTTCGCAGGCCAAAATCAATCATCCAGCCAAGGTCATGCACCCTGGTGTACTTTGTACCTCTGTAAATATTTCCCATCCATACATCTCCATATCACCATCGCGTGCCCGCCAACGTCTCCAACTTGTTGCCTGTGACCCCTATAGCACTTCCCTCGTGCTGGAAAACACCCTGCGCGGTGTGCCCTCCTGGGTTAAAAGTCAAATAGACTGTACTGTATGTGAAAGAAAGAAGATTCCATGGTTTTGTTCCCTGGAATTCCAAGGCTGTGAGGTTCGTGGTCGCTAATGGGTCGCCCATTGGCAGGGAAACGGTAGAATTCACGACGTGAGGCGTCCATGGACTGCCTGCAGACGGACCGAATGAACTTCAAACTGTGCCAGCCCATATAATAGAATCAATCAATCCTCTTTGCTCTGCACCGAACAACGAGCTCCCACTATATACAAGCCTGCCCCGTACATTGCTGCGCCTGCGAAGGGCTCCGAGGCTCTGAAGACAACTTTAGAGCCTGGGGAATCCGGTTTTGTCGCAACTCACATCGTCACGGTGATAGAAGCGGGGGATATCTTATCAGAGTCGTATGTGTCTATTCACTAGGCGATCAAACCTTAGCATTGTCCTAGAATATTCGCTAACTTCAGGTTGCCACGGAAAGCCATATTTGAACCCCACGCATTGTCTGCCATTTACGACATACCATACCACATCCAACAACGATTTCGAAGCTTTTGCTTCAGTATTCTATAAAGAACGACGAGCCCTATACGTCCCCGGCGTTCTATAGGGGACGACGAACATACACACGAACCAACCCATACTTCTTCAGCGTTCTATAATGGACGACGATGCTACCCAGCCAGGTAATATAATCATTATACACTTGAGACTCCGCAACGACATATGCTGATGTTATACCTGCAGCGACCCAGCTGGTCATGGACCCGCGTCGTCTTGGAGACCATGTCTCCGATCTCGAAGACGATGATCTCACCGACATCTTCTGTATCCTACACCCAGTGTCGCTGTCGGCATTAAATGCTGTGACACACATTGGCGACGTCGCCCCTGAACATACTGTTAGCCGTGCCTCTGCTCCCATCAAAATTCGAGGCGGGCCAGATATCACAGATCCTAACACTATGGATCTTGCTGAGCAGGGTCTCGTGTCCCGTGACATTGCACTTCGACTGTCTGCAAAACTGATTGATCCCTTGGCTGGGTATACTTTTGGTCGGAACACTCAGCGCTGTGATTTTGTTCTCAGATATCCCACTGTTGAAGGAACGAGCCGTATTAGCAATGTCCATTTCAGGATTTTCATCACCATAGATGGTATAGTCATGATAGAAGATCAGTCAACAAACGGCACTGTGGTTGAGGGTAAGAAGTTGAGATTCAAGGATAAAGAAAATGATGCTCCTCACAAACATACGCTTTCACATGGCTCGCTTGTCAGCCTGTCGATGAATGCACCAGACGAGGACCTTCGGTTCGTTGTCCGCATTCCGCAGCGTGAGGGGATATATGAAGACATTTTTTCGCAGAATCTTGCAGACTATTTTGCCCGCATGTCGCTCCTCAGGAAAAACAGGGACGCCCAGGTCAAAACGGATGTTGCCGGACAAGCTGTAAGCTTCTCTAACTCTTTGCCATATCATAATGTTGGGATACTAACTTTGATAGCCTGATATATTCGCTGTGCAGAACTATCCTGGAGGCAATGGTCATGGTCCAGATCAGACTCTGATTAATAGGCGTCCCAAAGAGTGGCGTGGCGGGGTCAAATATAACAAGTCCCGTGTCATTGGCAAGGGAGCTTTCGCAACTGTCTATATGATAAGTGCCAAGTATGATGGGACTGTATATGCCGCAAAGGAGCTTGAGAAGCGCCGATTCGTGAAAAATGGCATCTTGGATCAAAAGGTTGACCAAGAAATGAGGATCATGAGTAGTATCAAACACGTAAGTTTATCTTCAACCACAGCCGCTTCTGTTGATGATCCTAACGAATTTCAGCCAAATATTGTCCAATATATAGAGCATGTGGACTGGGAAGATCATCTTTACATAATCATGGATTATGTTCCAGAAGGTGATCTTGGTAGCCTCGTATCTTCTCGTGGCACTCTTTCTGAGGTGTCCACGAAGACGCTTGCTAAGCAGATGTTTTCGGCGTTGAAATATTTGCATGACAAGGGTATAACGCACCGCGACATTAAGCCAGACAACATCCTCGTCCAGAGTTTCGATCCATTCCATGTTAAGCTAACCGATTTCGGCCTGTCAAAGAGAATTGAAAACGAGGACACATTCATGCGCACCTTTTGTGGTACACTTCTTTATTGTGCTCCAGAAGTATACTCGGAATACCTCTCTTATTTCCTCGACCCGGCTGATATTCAAGCACAAGCCCGAATTAAGAGTAAGAAATTCAAAAGATACGATCAAGCTGTTGATCTATGGTCTTTGGCTGGGGTTTTGTTCTATTGTCTGAGCGGAAGTCCTCCATATCCGGCAAAGAGTGGGACGACGTACCAACAACTCCTCCATAGTATTATGAGGGGTCCGCTGGATATTCGTCCACTGCAGCTTGCGGGCGTGTCTGAAGAGGGTATCGACATGATCAAGTCGATGCTTCATAATCAGGCACCATATCGGCCGAGTATTGAAGAACTAGAGGAGAGTCAGTGGATAAACCCCGGAAGTACTCGACAAGCAGACGTTCGCTTGGAGCACACTGCTTCTCAATTAAGTATCCAGGACCAGAGCGACTCACTCGGAACTAGTGACGAGATTGACCTTATAAACGCAATGGTAGATACTAAGAATCTTGAGATTCCTAGTAGCTTCATTAGTGGTGACGAGGGTAGCTCCGGTAACAGCGAGAAGTTTGCTGTCAACAATACGACAAGCAACCAGCCACGCCTATTTGGGGAAGTGAATTTATCTGCCTTACGTAGCTCTGGGGTAATTCCACAGGAGCGATTGAACCTTCCTCTTTCGGACACTGGCGACAACAACACTGCTCAGTCTTCATTCGTAAATGTCGATGCTGCTCCACTTGATTTTGAATCACAGAACAACTCCTATCAATCTTCAATTCTTCCCGGACAACACGGAAATATGCCACCGTCACACCTAGGCACCGGAACTGCTCCAAGTCTTCTCGGTGCAGAATCTATGGTCGGAAATCTAGCCATGAACTCGCCATCACCAACAACTGTTATCGACGTAGCCTCTCCACAGGAGACGTTCACTGGTGCAGTGCCAGATTTCAGAGAATCAATGAAGAGTCTCCGTCGTCAACGCGATCCAAACGGCGATGATGAGCCACTTGCGAAGCGTGCCAAATCCTCGCGTGCAATCGACATCGAGCTTTCGAAGACCGTTTTCTGGGACGCTAGGGATAGGTCTACTCACCACCTCGACTATCCCGTCATGAGGAACTCTGAGTATCAAGAAGCCAAAGCTTTGGCGAAGATGTATGGCGAGGAGTTCAAGCATGGGGAGAGTGTATTCGAGACCGTTGTTGGTGCCTACCGGAGAAGTGCGTCTGCCACGCCTGAGCCTCCAACCCGCGCTCAATCAGAACCAGTGGCTGCTGGTGGTCCAGCGAAGCTCAACCGAGATGAACGCGGATTCAGCGAGGATCGTGCGGTTCTTCCAACTGGCAGTTGGATCAACGGTGTTCCGTCACCAGAGATTAGTCAATATCTCCCCGGTCACTCAAAGGCTGCCAAAGCTGCCAGCAAGCCCGAAGAAAAGCCTGTCATCAGCAATGATGTCTTCCAGCCACCTCACAGGATCTTGGCGAAGCTTGTGGGAACCTCAGACTCTGTTCTGCCAAACCTCACTCTCAATATAACCTCCCTCTTCACCAGCTGGGGTCGCGGCTTCGATAACAAACTTCGCCACGCAGACCGAACCGATAACCGGATCCCAAAATATGCCTTGAAGCTTGCTCTCTGGCAGCCTGGCACGAAGCCCTCGGCCAGCCCACCCACCGACAAAGACAACGCGTACGCCTTCTACATCGCCACGAAAGCCAGCCACGGCATCAAAGTCAACGGAATCGTGCTGCCCAGCCATGACTGCCGGTCGCCACAGAAGAGCCCAGCGAAATATTGGGGAAAGCTGCAGCATGGCGACGTGGTGGATGTGTGGACGCAAGACAGCAACTCTGAAGTCGTCCTCAGATTCCGCTTCGACTGCTTCTGGGGCGAGAGCAAGGAGCCGAGACGCAGCGGGCAGTTCTTCTCCGCGATGAAGGAGGGGCCGCTGAAGGATGAGCTGGAGTCGTTCTGCCAGTGGGAGGAGAGCGCATTCTTTCAGGCGAAGTACGATGCGGAAGTTAAGGCGAAGGGGATCAAGGAGGGTGGGAAGTAGGTAAACAAGGTCGTCTGATATGGGGAGAATACGGAGCAAAAAGTTCGGGAGGCTATATTTCTTTACAGGGTCACGGAAATCGTTGCGCCGGGTATATGTGTGCATTGTACTACTATTTTAGAGAGGGGTCTGTTGATGGTTTCATTTTCGATACTGGTGGGAACGGAAGTCGACACAGCTCATATCAATCCGGAATGGGCATTTTCATTATGTTTATATGGGGGGAGTTATGATGAGCGGCATGATACCAGAGAATGGGGAAATGGGGGAAGGGAGAAAAGACTGGATTGGCATTTGTCACCACAGACAGAACACACTGAAGTTGGAGTTGAGGTATAGGAGGGAGCGTGAGTGGTCTTATGGATAGAGAGGTAGATAGAGTTTGAGGTTGAGATTGTGAAGCCAACTTACAGCCAGCAGTCCAACCACAACAAAATGAAGACAGAATATCATGAATTGCAATGGCTTCTTCTTCGTGACTTGAATCTATGGCCAACAGGTCGTAACTTGATCAAATGAAAGAGTGGGCAATGCTCTCTCCCCAGTGGCGAGCACTCGTAAATTCAATCGATATTTGTTACCTTTATCATGAACTTGGAAATTCACGCAGCATACCTGTCGGTTATTGAAACAAATCACCATCACCACAGCACAGAACTTGAAACAAAACACAATACGCCTCCCGTGGAATCAAAGACCGATCTCCACACCCGCCACCCGCCCGTCACCATAACATCTGACAGCTCACATTTCACAGCCCGCTCCGGCTTCTGCTTCAGCCACATGCAAGCCAACACCATATCTTCACATTCGCGGCACAACACGGCAACAGGCGAGGCAAGTCCTCTTCCCCCCGAAACCGGACAATCCTTGGCTACGCCTCTCCTGGGCACTATGTGCGGGTGGAGTTTTATTCGGCTGGGAGTGGGGAGCCGTCGGGTCTTCGTGGGGCACGGGGAAACCAGGCAAAGCAGGGCAGGCAGGCGGGGAAGGGAATTTATCGCGATTTTTAAAAGGAGTAAGAGACGAGGCAAGGCTAAGGCAGGATTGTAGCAAGTGAGTTAAGACGGGGAATTTGCTGCCCCTATATCGTGCGTTTTTTCTTGATTTGTTGCGTTGCCCGTTTTAGAGGTGCTAAGTGCGTTCGGTGCAGCACGTTGTCTGGCGCTTGGGTTTTGTTAGTGCAAGGTCTGTGGTTCTGCATGAAGCTCTGTGTCTCGGGTGCTTCCGACCCACGGGCAAGAAAGGTTGGACGGCCCCGTTGGTGCTAAGTGCGGCTTGGGCCCTTCTTCTAGGGTGTGGAAATTGGAGTCGTTGAATTTCAAAGAGGTTGTACAAAACATGAGCCAAATAGTTTATCTGTCTATCCATTTCTATAGACAGGAGGCATATCAGCTCGGCATATTCAATTAGGGCAGCTGACGCGTTTCACTCTGTATCTACCCAAAAATGTTGACGAAAAACGGGCAATTTAAATCGTCTTAACCTAGGCCGCTTTGGCTTCAACGTCCGTCCGTGGGGCAATAGTAGTTGCTAGTAATTAAGCTTGACAACGTAACACTCTATACGGATATAGCATAGCAGCCATGCTAATGTGCAATTCTGCTAGTATATGCAGGAGAGAGGGTAAAATAGATTAAGTAAGAAAGCACTCACATCTTACGTATGTGCACGAGACTTCTTTCAATAAATCAAGAAGTTATCGTCCTGGAAGAGATTGAATCTCACCACACTCTCCACTATTGCCTATTTTGCCGGCATCATGACATGACATATCTGGAATTCCCAGAAGGCCAAGAACATTCAACTCTATGCGGTGATTTTTGTGTGGAGTAGCCCGCACGAAGGGTTGCATTCGATGGCGACGATCTCTACCCGCTCTTTCAGTGCGAGCAAGAAAACATGCGGATCATAGCCTTATATAGAATCCCATTCATTCCAGACCCCCAGCGCAAACCCAGTCAAAATGCCCCCTCGTTCCTCGCATTCGCCAGTACGAGTACGCCCACAGCGTAGCCGCCTTGGGAAATGAAATTCGCGCACTTAAGAGTCGTGAGACGCCTGGGCGGTCCCGCCAAACGAACCCCTGGTAAGCCGAATTTAATCCCAGCGAACTATTCCTCCGAGTCGTACAAACTACGAGGTGCCCTACCTGGCACCTATTCCTGGGAGAGCGAGGTTCAGGGATAGTAATGCCAGCCCCACAGGTTTGTGGCTGTCACAAGTTTGCTGGGAACTGGGGCCGACGGGTTCATTTGGAGTAGAATCAGAAGCATGAGGGCATGCGTGTGTCCGGAGGGACTATTCACAACAGCAGTGTTTACAGCGACTATAGTTCAAGAAACGGCGTTCAATCACTCCGAATTATGTGGCAGCGGAAAAGGTAACGAGCAAATCGTAGAGTCATTAGATCTTTGTATATCCAAAATGTGCCGTGAATGTCTATTCCTTCCTTCGAGTGAAAACCAGCTCTTGCTCAGGGATACCAGCTGTGAAATGGTCTTTGACGCCCAAAAAGAACTCATTGAGGTCGAATTTGGCGTCTTTGGCGAGGCTGATATCGTACCTGCAAACCGTCTTGGCGATCACTGAGCGCAACTCCATCATCGCGATGGCTTTACCAGGGCATTTATAGGGACCCATGACGAACGGTATGCAGGCATTTTTCTTGAGAATTAATTCTGGCTTCGTAGTCCAACGTTCTGGGATGAACTTTCCTGGTTCAACAAAGTTGCGCTTGTCTGTAATATAAATCAGTTCTGATCATGGAAGGAATAACCAGGGGAGTTATGGATGGGCTTACCATGGTGGAAGTTATAGGTGCTAAATGAAAGGATTGTTCCGCCTGGGAGATCAACGTCGCCGATTCTGATGCCACCTTCAGGCACCATGCGTTGAGGAGCAAACAGGACTGGGGGGCAAATTCGTAGGGTTTCGCTGATTACACCATCAAGCAAATTTTGGGGTCGAGCACAAGTATACGAGCCATCTTCAAAACTCTCATTGACTTCTTGACGAAGCTTCTCCTGGCACGCAGGGTCATTCGCCAGGATAGTAAACATCGTAGCCAATGCAGAGGCTGTAGTGTCGCTGAGATTGGTGAGCATATTTTTAAAGGAGAAATGCAAGGGATATCCATACCTTCCAGCTCCGATGATAACACGAGATTCCGCATCTAGAAGGGCGCGGTTTTCCCGGTTATCCTCCGTGTGCTCCAACAAGTAGCCCATTATATCAGGCCTATTGTTGTTCATCTTTCTTCGTTCGGCAACCTTTTCGCTGGACCACGACTTGAACAGCTTCATCGGGCCCACAAAAGACAGTGTTTCAACGATCGTGAGCATCCATGGGACATGGAGAAACAGTCCAACTGCTACAATGCCTTCCTTGATATTGTTCAGGATGGTAGTGGCTACGTCAGACGATGTGCCGTCAATGAAGCCTGTAGAGGAACCAAATGCCAGAGAGCTCATCACATCGTAGCTGTAATGTATACATAAATCATTGACGACCGTTGCCTTTCCCACGAGGGAATCTATGCGTACGAGTAGAGAATCGGTGAAGTCCTCGATGGTGGGGCCATAATCGGCAAGAGCTGGAATGGAGGGGTAAGTTTGGCATTCTCGACAGAACGTTGTGTATGGAAAGATACTAACTTTGCTTGAATGCCATGTCCCAAACCTTGCGCCTCTGCTTGTGGAAAGCGGCATCTCGATTCGTATGTACCGATCGTTCCATAGCTCCATAGAAAGGGCCTTTCTCCATTCTAGCTCCCAGCATTGGAATCAGAGCAGCAGTGTCGAGAACTGACAGCTCTCGTGGGCCGATTCTAACATAGTCCCCATGCTGCTTGTGCAGTTCAGAAGCCACCCGGTACCACTTAATATCAGATCCAACCACCTGCTTCAAAGACCACAGCTTCGTGAGCTTAGCTCCGAACGGGCCCGGAAATCGGTTCAATGGATGGAAGAAAGCGCGATAGACGAGAATGTTTGCCCATAGCGAAACAACGGCAGTGGAAACGATCAGGAAAGCGAGTCCGTGGGAAGCCCAGAACGAGGCATATTGCTCGCTAGTGCTCTGAAGACCGTATGCAACCGCCCAATGCGATCCAATCACGGATCCAAGAATAGATAACGGGTATCTGTCCGCCTCGACAGTCCTAAAGAATTGGTGGAGGAGGGTGCCGACAGCGGCAGCTGAACCCAGCACAATGGAGATTGGTAGAGGATCCCCGGCAGACATTGCGAATGAACGTGTCGTTTTTACATGCACAGCAAAACGACAGAATTGCCAATGATGCGGACGACATTGGACAAGTTATGTCAGGCATGACTACTGCCCCACGACCACGTTGCTGGGTTCATCCATCAAAAGTACCGGACAAGATTGGCAGTCCATAACGGGCCTGGGGACCGATAATATTTGCAGCACATATTGCACCGAATGCACAGCGTGCATGGTATCTGATCCATCTCAGAACTCTCGAGGTTTTCCCGGCGATCGACATGTCCAGTCAAGTCCAGAGCGGGACTAGTCGTGCATGGTTTCATGGTGCGCCATAGAGCGGGGACGGCGGCGACGGGGCCGGGGCGACGCCTCAATAACTGACATCTGCTCAAAACGACCATACGGAGGCCGCCGCCGTGGGCCGTCCTAGCAAGTCAACCTCAGTTGCCCGCGCATACCCTGCAAATTATAGTGGTGGCGTGAATAGAGGTGGATAGAGGTGGATATGAGTAGGGATGTTGTTTGGTAGCCGAGTCAGTCTGTATGGCGAGTTTATCCCCATGACAGGCTAGGAGAGCGAACCCCAACCAATTTCAACCCTCGTCAAGGGGTTGCGGAGTGGATGCCGGAGGCGTGGCAGAGGTGGGGGTAAGAGGGCAGTTGCTTGCCATGTTTTTGTGACACTCCGTCGGGTGTGTACTCGAATGGAGAAAGGGAGAAAACAGCAGGAAAGAGAAGAAACCTTGGCGATCAAACCGCGCCTGCCTCACAAGAGGCGCCTAGCTTTTGTGACGGAGACCAAAGAAATTGCACTATCCATCATAATTGGCGGGTTCCCAAAGAGAACCCCGGTCTATAATTCGATGATGGTATACCCAGGGATTTGGCCTTGACTTCTGATGCTTTTTTGAGATGTGGGGTGCCATGGCTTTGGTGCCCGTTAGTGACAGAATAGGGTTCGAGGTGGAGAAGACGAGTGATGGATGGATGATGGACATATATCTCCACGGGGCCCTCATGATTTTCCATCATAAGGAGTCCAGTCCTTGGCCCAAATTCTTCACTTCATTCTTGTCGCGAACTTGATATTAGTCCGCAATGGCGAGCAACGCTGCACCGGAAGGCTTGATGCCCGCTCCTCTGGGAGTGATTCCGGATTTTGATGTCAATCACTACAACAGCACTCAAATCCAGTTCATTTTAGCATACAGCATTACCTTGTTCTTCGCAGTTATCACACTTCTGCTTCGCCTCTACACACGAATCTTCCTTATCCAAGGATTTGGTCTTGACGATGGTGAGTTCTCCCTTCCAACGAGCAATTGTTGCACTCCTAACTCGTTGTCTAGTTTTTATCATCCTTGCCATGGTTAGTTCTTCGGAGCGGCTCAAATGTTATTACTCATCTAATATCTACAGATTTCGTCTGTGGCTTTCTTCATTGTTTGTGTGGAGATTATGAAGTTTGGGTTCGGTCGCCATCTCTGGGAAGTCACCGGGCTCCAAATGGCCAACTACCTCGACGTATGTTCTGATCTCTTCCGTCTCAGTATGCTGCTAACTCGGTCATTCTAGAATCTCATTGCTATGGTCACGACCTACATTTGGGCCCCTGCACTCACAAAGATCTCCTTCCTCATTCTGTAAGTCTTCTTTCCAAAGCCCCCCTTATGGTTTCCAGGGAATTCTCCTCCGCGAATTCTTAGGTCATGATCTAACAGCCGATTAGGCTCCATAGATTAAACCCGATCCCATGGTTCCGGGTCTCCCTTTACGTTCTGGGGATGATTATCCTCATCTACACTCTCACCATCAACCTTGTCATCGCCTACCCTTGCTCTCCTCTCAAGCCAAACACCGGTGACTGCCTCAACCACTGTGGCCTATGGCAAGCCATTCTCAACATCGTCACCGACTTCCTCAGCATCCTACTTCCCATCCGCATGGTTCTCACACTCAAGCTGCCAACCACCCAGAAGGCAATCCTTGCTGGCATTTTCTCCACAAGTATCTTGTAAGTTCTCACTCTCCCAAATATAGCTCAGCGAAGGCGCTGACACTTCTCCCCACAGTGTGATGGTTATCTGTGTCGTCCGTATCACCTACATCATGTCCCTTGCGAACAACCCCGACGTCACCTACTCCCAAGGGCGCGCCGCAGTCTGGTCCTGCGTCGAACTCAACGTCGGCATCGTATGCGCGTCCGTCATCGTCCTCAAGCCATTTATGCGCCACCACTTCCCCGGCGTCTTCTCGACCTACGTCATGTCCGTTGACAACAGCGATGCCACACCCATCAAGAGCTTCCCCCGCGGATTCTCCGAGTCGAAGAAAGCGAACCCGAGTGAATACCAACACCCGAACACCTTCCAGATGGCGAGAGTCAAGGGCGGTAGCGGCACCAACGACGATGGCAGCGGGCTGGGCCACGGACGGTCGTCGCGGAAGGGCTCGATGAGCACGAAAAGCGATGAGACGCCGATGAATGGGATTACCGTCACAAAGACGGTGCGGATGAACTCGAGGACGAGGAAGGAGTCGAGGGCGAACTTTTTAGACACGGAAAGCACTGAAGAGATCAATGGTCCGGGTCCCAATTACACGCCTGCGTAAATACGGCGGGGGCTGAGAGGACGGTTGTTTTGATTGTGTTTTACTGAGACATACATGGCTATGGCGTACTGGGAGGGAAATGGGCTGGGTTTTAATAGCGACTACTGGCGTTGCTAAGATTCCCGTGCCTCTGGAGGAAATATCGGAAATATACATATATACATCATTGGTTGGTTACATAGACTTGCCAAACGCTCCGGTGAGCAGGCTCAAGGGGGTGTCTTTGAATACATACACATGGCCCTCCGTCTCGTTCGTCCGGTATCTCGTTCGTATCGTGACATCGCTGCATATATAATATAGGTATAGTTCACTCAAAGAAGTGTTTCGAACCTCTTTAAAATTTATCTAACAAAAAGCTAGATTTCCTCGGAAATATGGCGTCACAATGATAAGCTTTCAATGGTATTAGACACACACTCTTCACGTCTCCACAAACTTATAATAGTAAGTGTTATATTGACTATAAACTACGCAGTTATTCAATCTCAAAGCCCACCATGAAATGATTAAGGCTGTTCCTTATCAAGCTGGCCTATAGGCCCCGTTCCAACGCCAGAAGTTACCCATTGATAAAAAAAAGCCACCGGGCTCACCTCGCCCATCCGTGCCATATAAGAGTATTCCAAACTAAATTCCCCACACCCAGCTCGAGCCAGAGCAATATGCATGCTACGCCCTTCCTACCTTCCAGGTATTTACCTCCCGTCATATCTCATATCTTCATTCCCACATTTTCGTGATGAAAGTTAAGCAGCAATCCCGCTGCCGCCACCCCACCTAAACCTTTTGACGCGAGGGACAGCGATTTCTGACCCGCAGCCTCTCAAAAGCTCGCCTTCCTGTTTCCCAGTCTCGTAGCCCCAAGCGTAGCCTGCCCCAAAGCCAACGGCTGATACGACAATAACTACGCCGGCGCTTACAAGCCACGTCAGTAACGTTGGGCTAAGCAGTTGCTGTGTCTGCTCGCGTCCAGTGTGAACAGCAACTCTTTTCTTCTTCGTTGAACGGCCTTGCTGCGTAGTTTTCCGCCTTCCGCGCTCATTTTCGTCATCAGAGACCGTAGCGCTGCTGCGGGACCTCCTGCTTGGACTGCCGTTCCCCAGTCCAGGTGCGAGATTAGGAGAGGTGGGTGCAGGCGGTGTGCTGATGAGTTCTGATTCGGGGACCAGTCTCAAGCCCTGGAATTCATTCCTATTGTTGATTCCAGGTGTCTGCATCGTAGGTGAAGGCTGTTTGGGCAATGATCGTGCCGCTTTGGCGCAGGAAAGGAGTGTTGTGAGAGAGGCGCGGAGGGCGGCGTCGTTGGCTGCTTGGTGGGTTGGGTGGGGTGAGCGGTAGTGCCGAGGCGGAACGAAGGAGCCTCTGTTACTCGTTTGAGCTTGGTTCGGTGGATGGGAAAAGGCATTCGGCTGGGGAGTAAATGCTGGTGCAGTGATGCCCAGAGCCGTGCCGTCTTCATCTTCGTCGTCCTCGTCCTCTGACGGGGGCGGGAAGTGGATGTCTTGTCTCATTTGCTGTCTAGGAGAGACGCGTCCAGAGGTAATATTCTCGTTTGAGCTGGTAAGAACACGGTCGTCGGAGGAGGACTCGGATTCATCGTATTCATCCTGGCTGCTGGTGCTTCGTTGGGCGACAACCTGAGAGATACGAGATACACCGGCGGGGCCGTGTCGGCGTCCACGCCGTAACGTGGAAGACTGGACGCGTAATCCGGCGGTTACAATCTCGTTGTCGATGGAGGACAAGGATGAGGATGATGGTTGAGATGATATTTCGACCCAGGATTCTGTTGGGACACAAGTCAGCAACTGCCTCGTCAGGATATGGGAACCAAAAAACACATACCTTCATTGCGCAAACGCTGGGTAGCATCAGATGAGCGAGCTATATTGTCCCAGGTACGAGCCGTTCGTTGGGCAGGCCTTGTGCCATCTTCGTGGCTACGGCCATGTCTTGAAGATGCCATCGCGAGAGTTGTCTGTCCGTATGTATATGAGAACTTACCCCGCAATCGCGATACCCTTTATAATCGAAATCAACGTTCTCAAGTTGAATTTGTATCGCGTCAGCTCTTGATGGTGACCCTCTTCTTTGTTCTCGATCACGGTCGAGTTGCTTCGGTGCCGGCCAAATGCTGTTGACCGCTTCTATGATGGTCTTGAAAGGGTGGAGGTTGGCGGTGGGCTGTGTGGTGAGCGATCTGTCAATGGCGTACACCCCTGCTAATCACTTCGAGCGATGGGCGCTTGGTGAGCCTCTTGTGCCCGCCTTATGCTAGTCTCAGTGACCGTATCGTATAAAGCAAACTTGGGAGAATGATATTATATGAATCCATCCGGCATCATATAACAGTATATGTCAAAGTTAAGTAAGAGAGTTGATATATACGTAGACAACCTCTTTGTTTAGTCGAATCAGTCCACCCAACCGGGTGTTGCGTGACCATCACCGAAGTCACATGGGGTGGTTATCGCTCCTTATCGCTTGCCCCTCTTTTTGGGGTTATTCACATATATCACGTGACAATGCATCTGAATGTCTAATTCTGGAGATTCCAAGATTGTATTGTAGCTCACAATATGAGCCACTGAGCTATAGTTACTTACTTAACCGTCACAAACCCAATCCCATTCCTAGCCTCTCTTGCAGCTGCCTTTAATGCCTGCTCTTCCACATCTGTCCACTTCACACTGAGTTGATCCCATTTCTTTGTCTTGAATTCTTCCTTGAAGGTCTGCTGAACGCCTTGAAGCCTTGACATTTCGCGAGGATCCCCAGAGCCGCTGTAGATGATGAAAGCTGTGCAGGGCGGAAGAGAATTGTAGATGGTTCGAATACGCGCCGTGAGAGCAGCTGTCGCCTCAGCAATAGGCGATGCATCTGCTGCAGGGGATGTGGTTTCCGACAACGAGTCTAGATGAGAAGCAGCTTCCTTGTCGGAAGTCGGGTCAATGGCAGAATCATCCACAGGAGGCGTCAGGTCGTCAGTAGTCGCTGGGCCACGCGCCGATGTCTCTGCAAGGATTGTAGGCATGGCAGGTTTGTTAATATTCCACCACCCTTTGAGCGCCTCCAGTTCACGTAATCGGGCCCAAACGAAGTCCACTCCTCCACCTGGCACTTCGAGGCCGTCCTTGTCACCCACAATAGCACGGATTGTCCCCGCAGTAACCTCTTCGTCGCTCTTGCATCCTATGATAACGTTTGCTGCCGCACCTGCGCCCTTCTTTGGGTCGCCCCAGTCAATAGCTGCGGACGTTTTGGCGCCAGCTTGGCCAGCTACAGCTGTACCACCTTGGTTCTTGTAGCGAACACCGGTTCGTGCTAGCCGCTTAAAAATATTCTCACCGGCAGCATCACCAGTACCCCATTGCGGTCCCTTCTCGCACTTCTGCTTCACGAGGTCAAGGCAGGTACGAGCGTCTTCAGTCGAATCGTGCCCTGCGCCGGGGCCTACAGTGCCACCTCCTTTTTGAATTTCGCGGCCGAGATACTTTTTGGCCAGGTATTTAAGAGATGACTTGAGTGGTGTTCCACGAGGGTGCGGGTATAAGAGTGAGGTATCGATGATAAATGGGTGTGTGAGCTTAAGGGCGTTGAGGTCGGCGTTGAGGGAATGTCCAATGAGGATGGTGCGTGGTGTGAGGATCTGGAGAAGCTTCTGTTGGATATCTTGGAGGGTAGTCGTGACGGGCCGGAGCATTTCTTCTGTGATTCCAGAGTATTGAGTGACGTAGTCAATGATAGGCTTCTCTGGCTTAACAAGCTCATCGAGAGTCACCGTTCCATCCCATGCCACGAGACTGATTCTCGTCAATGAGAACTCGCGTTCGCCTGTCATGCACATTTCGCAGTCCATAGCAATGACTTCCCGGCCGGCGGTGATGCTGCCTTGCTCAATCTCCGTCTCAGGTGGTGACCCATCTTCCCATGAGTCAACCAACGTGTCAACCCATCCATCCTTTGTTGCTGTGCCGGCATTGGCCCTCTGCTCCTTCAAGTGTTGCTTTTCGGCCTCCTCCGTATAAACAGCAGGATGTAGAGTATACTTGTTTTCCAACAGCTCATCTGGTCCAGAGATATACTCTGTCACGCGTGTCCTCTTATTGGCCCATCCATGGGGTTCTTTTGCTGGTCTCGCACCCTTTTTATCTTTGTCGTCTTGCGATTTTGACACTGGCGCCGTAAGCATTGCATGCAGTGGCGAGTGCATTTTGCTGAATTTGTCGTCTCCTGGCGTCTTAACAGGCCATAGGTACTCAAACATGTTTCCAAACTCAGCCAGTTGAAGAGGAAGCTTGTCAGTCGCCAACTTGACAGGATAGTATTCATCTGGCGAAGTGTGCCTCCCATTTCCCCGATTCGCTCCATTATTTCCATCTGCCTCCTTCTCCTTCTTGTCTCCATCACTGGAAGATTTGGACCCAAACATCTCCCTTTCCAGTCCAGGAACCATTAAAACAACAACCTTTCGTATCTCCGGTCGATGGCGAACAGAAACCCATTGTGGTCCAGAGCCATCCGCCAGTAGGTATAACACAAGATTTTGTAAATCACTAATCTTGATCTGTGACTGTAGTCTTGAGTCTGCTGAAAAGGTAATAGACGGGTAGTTCAACGAGTGAGGCTTCGGAATCTTCTTTGCCTTCTTTGCTGGACGCTCCTTGACGGTTTCCCAGCCTTCAGCGCCATCTTCCTTCTTCTCCTCACTTCCCTTGCCATCTTTTTTCGGCGCTTCTTTTGAGATCAAATTAAAGGTTGGCAAATCGGGTTGCTGCAGGAGCGCAAGTGTTTGTCCCATGCTGCCTATTCCCGAGTCGGTGTCGTCGCGATCGTCACGTTTCCTCTTGTTGCCTCCGTCGTGTTCTGACTGATGTGAATTTCGGTTTCCCGATTGCTTGTGGTGGTTTTTATTCCTCCTGGGTCCGTCATTGTACCCCATGGTCAAATACCACAAAGTCTGGTTTGCGATTCTTGAGTTGATTGACAAAGGTCCAGATCACAGACTGAAACTTTGAAGTACGAGTCGATTCTGCCACTCTATTCTAGGCGGTGAAAAGGGCGGCATCCAAGACTACCTCCGATAAGAGCTTGAGGTGCATGGAGGGAAGGCGCGTGAAGAGACGCGATGACACGAACCTGCCAGGCACAAGAGTTTCGAACAGCCTTCGGTTTATAACGACCTTTGACAACAGACACTATAATTCAAACTTGAGTAAACGCGTATCAGTGCTCAGTGCTGATGAATAAGCGCCACAGATCTTCATTTCAACCCCACGAACTGTTGATTCTTATCGAGGAACAATTGTCGCAACGAAATAATCGCAAGTCTCACAAGTTTGGGCAACCAATTGATATGCGCCAGGATATAGCAGGTATGGATCCATTGAATCTGTCCCATTATTTTATATCGATTGCTAATAGTTTCATATCTGTAGATGACAGACTCATACCAACGAACACCGAGCCCACTAACCACCTGTCTTCTATAACCACCAACGACGCAAAAAACCATCGGATGACCTACTTTTCAGGCGCATACTAGATACCTGAAGCGTAAAGGCAGCATGGAGGTGGTGAAATGCAGCTGTGCCAAATGCGGTACTTTTATCGGCGACTTTGAGAACCTATGGAACCGAATCGGCAAAAGGCACTTCAGCCCCGTCAGTTTGAAGAGAAATGACTGGGGCGTTGGTCTACAGCATTCTGGCGATGTTAGGATAGCGCCGACAGAAACGACAATCGAGGATAGGTAAGGGAATCTTTCTTTTGTTTGGGCTTGCTACGGAAGCTTCGATCACCCGTTATAACCAAAGCGATCATCTGCTAATCCCCGATAGTTATCTGCAAGATCTCGCCTGTGTAGGATGTGAGGAAAAATTGGGCTTGCTGTGCCATGATGCTCCACCAGGACATATCCTTCGAAAGGATCAGCTCGTTGTCGACCTCGGTAAAATGAAGGTTATCTCAGGATCCACCAGGAAACCATGCGCACCAGTCATCAAACATACATATCCTCTCAAGAGAAGTGGCCCCAAGATTGGGCATGATGATAATACCCAGGAAAACGGCAACGAAATGAATGGCCACGATGGCAATTTGGCGGTAGCCGATAGTGATCAGCCTCTTCAGGCAGATGATGCCGATCGACTTCAGCATCTTACACAATTTGCAGACTGGGCAGAGGGGGCTATAGATAGCCAGAAAAGGGACATTGATCGAATTTCTGTGTCTGTCAACAAAATCGAGACGGATATGCGCAGCTTCAAGGATTTTATGGCAATGGTACGGAGAGAACTGGCAGTACGACCAACGAATATTGAGATGGATGACGTACGTGCCTCAGTGCATTCGCTGCGTGATGAAATCGACGAATCCCACTCTACCAATGTCGCTAAGCCTGCCGAAGGATCTCTATCGTTTGAAAGTGTTGATTTGATAACGGAGAGTATCACGTCGCTGAGCCAAAAAGTCAACGAAATTGACTCCCTCAAGCTCGAGATCCAGTTTTTAAAGATAAAACTTAAGCGGTCTGAAGACATTACGAGGAATGTCGGGAGATACGTAGACTCACAGCCGAGCACTCCTCTGTCTGCAACTACGCGCCACCAAGACGAGTCCTCAGCGTATGTCAGACCACTCGTGGACCAATTACAACGTAATTCTACAGGATTTGAGAAGCACATGTCCAGCTCGCCTGCAGTGGATGATAAACGAACGAAAAGGGCACGTCTTTCAGGAAAAGATATGAGAACTACTGTGGCGCCCAATGTCCAACCTGAGTCCACACTCCGCAAACCATCCCGCCTCTCTCATGTTCTCCTTCCAGTCTCTCAGGACCGCCTTGCAGCGGACGTGGACGAGCTCGACGACATGGCACTCACCGGTGATACCACAGACGATGCATGTGAGCCAAAGCCGGCAGGTATTGATCCTGCAACTACCACCGGAGGCGTCGCTCGGCCAGGATCTCCACTAAACGGAGGGCAGCCTGTGACCTCAAAACCGAGTTGGCGAACTGCAAATCTCCGCACTTCTCAAAATCGAAAGGCCAAGTCCTCGAGGAAGTCTCGCGGTGGGTCGGATGAGCTCGACCCAGATTTCATTCCATTGACAGCCAAGGGGACAAAGGACCGAAGGTTTACGAAGGGGCGGTTGTCTAACAGGCGCCGCGCCTCTGGGAATCCTCAAGGTGGGACCGACGGTATGGAAAATGGTGAAGAGGACATTGTACAGAGCGTAGAGCGAGATGACGCGCCCATAATTCCGCAGGCGGTGATGTTAGACCCAGCTCATCAGCAGCCTATGACTGATGAAGAGCATCAAAAATCGAGGCAAGAAATATTACAAGCAAGAGAGCGGTTGGTCAAGGATACTATAGAGAGGGAGATGAATATGGCTATCTGAGTCTAGCTCACAATTATGCTGCTTTTCCGCACGAATATCTTCCATATCCTGTATATAGGGATATAGGGTTTACAAGTGGATTAGTCTTTTGTTCATAGATGCCTTCCATGTTGACTCGAGTTTAATAAACTCAGGTATATGTACGCGTTTATTGAGCATAGCTAGCAGTATTAAATGTTGTTGTTTGTTTTAATAAAATGTGTAAATAATAACAATAATATTAATTTATAAAAAGATGCCCAAATAATTGACTAGAGACAAAGCATTCTATGCCCTGTAAACTCTGATTGCTAACTACAACTAAAATTAAAATTAGACTTGTAGAAATCGAGCCATAGGCCGAGATTTATAAAATCTCCGAACGATTGAATCAATATTGGTGGTTGAAGATTAGCAGCGTTCAATCAGGGCTCGTCCCGTTGAAGGTCTGGGCAGGGAGGTGGAGGCGCGTCATAAATATGAGTGGGTTGCTGACGCAAGTGGGCACCCCTGTCTGACCTAGACGCAACTGCTGTGTTCCCGTCGCAGCTCTGAAGCCACGCAACCCATTATTTTTGCGCGACGACTGGCGAACAGACTTAGAATTCATATCGGATTCAGCCCACGATTGTTCGCACTGACTGCCTCTCATCCAGAACAGCTCAAGGAGCTTCGACGGATCTTAATGCTTGGACGCCCTTCGAATAAATCGCAATCATGAGGCTGAGGGTCGCAGAGGCCGTCCCAGGATGGCGGAGCCTCCTCCTGGCGACATTGCTCTATGGCACATCCTGTGCAGCAAAAGATGGACCGGTAGTCACCTCGAACAAGTTTGCGAACTCACCGTACGATTTACGCTATTTTGACGATTCCGATGTTCTCCTCATGCAGGACTTCAACGAAGACGCGATCTTCCGATCTTCCAACGCCGGCGAGTCTTGGGACAAGGTAGCTGCCATTCCCGAGGGAGTGTCTGCCGCTCTGGTTATGCATCCGTTCGACAATAAAAGGGCGTATGTCCTGACGGAGGATGTCACGCATTTCCGGACAGAGGACCGGGGGAAGACCTGGACAAAGTTTGATACGAGAAGCATCCCGGATGTACGCGACGAGAATCCACTGAGCTTCCATGCTGGGAACAAGGACAAGATTATTGTGAATGCGCTGGACTGTATGCTGGGGCTCTACTGTGAGCGGACATCAACTTATACTCTGGACGGCTTTCAGACGAAAGCCAAACAGCTTCGAGACAACACTGCGGGATGCCAGTGGGCCAAAGGAACCGAATTATTTGCGGAACGAGGATCGAAAGTCGATGATAACAGGATCCTGTGCATTACGGAAGGGAAATACTCGCGATACTCAAAGGATTATAAGCTCAAGATCTCGGATTCGTTTTTCTCAGATGAGTTCGAACCGGCCCTCGAGGAGGGTCGGGCGGTTACCGGAGTTTCGAGAATTGCGGCAGTGAAGAGCTATATCCTGGCTGCTAGCGTGGCAGAAAAGACGGACGAGATGGCCCTCTATGTTACCTATGATACACTGAAGTGGCACCGGGCTGTCTTCCCGCACGACCATAAACTGGTGGAAGAAGCCTACACCATTTTGGAATCGACAAATTATAGCATCCAGATTGATGTTATGACGACGAAGAAATCGAACCCTATGGGAGTTCTTTTGAGTAGTAACTCAAACGGCACATACTTTACGCGAAATGTCGAACACACTAACAGGAACAAGGGGGGCAACGTCGATTTTGAGAAGGTTGCTTCGATCCAGGGAATCGCTCTCGTCAATGTGGTTGATAACTGGGAAGACGTTGAGAAGTCCCCTAGAGAAGCCAAGAAAATCAAGAGCCAGATCAGTTTTGACGATGGCCGAACATGGCGAGGGCTGAAAGCGGGAGAAGACGACCTGCATATCCATTCCGTGACAGATGCTTCGAATTCCGGGAGAATCTTCTCGAGTCTGGCACCCGGGATTATGATGGCTGTTGGGAACACCGGCAAGCACCTGAAGGCGTATGATAAAGGTGATCTCTATGTCTCTGAAGATGCTGGTGTAAAGTGGAAGAAAGCGCTGTCGGGTCCACACAAGTACGAGATTGGTGATGCGGGTTCTATTCTTCTCGCCGTCGAAGACGCTGTCACCAAGAAAATGAAATATTCTCTTGACCGCGGAAGGAATTGGAAAGAAATTGACCTACCCCATAAAGTCTCACCCTACGTGTTGACGACAACTCTGGATTCTACAAGCCCGAAATTCCTATTCATGGCCTCTGCGAGATCGGCAGACGTAGAAGAATACTATATAATGTCGATTAATTTCGAGGGCATGGTGGAGAGGAAATGCGAGGACAAGGACCTTGAGAAATGGTATGCTCGTGTTGACAAGAAGGGAGAACCAACGTGTTTGATGGGTCACAAGCAGTACTTCATGAGACGCAAAGCCGATGCCGATTGCTTTATGAAGAAAGACTTTGTTGACCCGGAAGCGAAGTCCGAAAAATGTGACTGTAGCGATATCGACTACGAATGCGACTTCAACTTTGTGAGAAGCGAAGACGGCAAAAAGTGTGTCGCGCATGGCCCTCCTTTGGTTCCTGAGGGAGCCTGTAAGAAGCCAGACGATACATTCAAGGGCTCATCAGGATGGCGGCTTATCCCAGGCAATGATTGTATTCCGCCAAAAGAGGGGGCAAAGGACGCGTTAGTCACTACGCCCTGTAAAGACACCATTGCGCCTCCAGCTACTGGCAAAGTATCGCATACTTCACAGTCCCTTGAGGGCAAGATCCTCCAGGACCATATCTACTTTGAGCGTACCGAGACGAGTTCTGGCGTTGACGAGACCGTTATCGCACAGACCGACAAAGGTGTCTTCCTATCCCGCGACCACGGCAAGAAGTGGAAGGAGATTTTGAAGGATAAAAAGATCAAATATGTCGTCCGCCATACATACCTCAATGACAGGGTCTTTTTCCTCGCCGCCGACGACAAAGTATACTACTCCGTAAACCGTGGCGAGGATATCCAAGAGTTTGATGTCAAGGTTCCGCACCCCGCTGATTACGGCTATGGTACACCTATGAGCTTCCATTCAACGAAGAAAGATTGGATCATCTGGACAGGGAAATCCTGCTCAACTGGTGGCGATTCTTGCCATGCCGTAGCTTCTATTTCCAAAGATCGCGGTGATAGCTGGAAGACTCTAGCACGTTACGTTTCCAAGTGTGAATTCCTCTATGCGGCGAAGACTGCTAGAGAAGCCGAAGGGGAGAAGCTCATCTTCTGTGGAGCTCGCACCAAAGAGTCGAATAACCCCAAGGACAATCCGTGGAAACTTATGAGCAGCACGAACTTCTTCGAGGACTCGGTGACCCATGTCGCTGATATGCAGGACTACGCGACTATGGCGGAGTATATAGTCGTTGCGGCCAAGAACGATAAGGGCGAGTTGGCGCTCAGATCGAGTGTTGACGGAAAGACATTTGCCGATGCTCTGTTTCCATCCAATTTCAGGGTTCCGCATCAACATGGATATACTGTTCTGGATAGCTCCACCCACGCTATATTTTTGCACGTTACGGTTGATACTACGACTGATTTGGAGTATGGAGGCATCATCAAGAGCAACTCCAACGGGACGTCTTATGTTCTAAGTCTGAACGGCGTTAATCGGGACAGGGCCGGATTCGTCGATTTCGAGAAGATGTCGAAACTGGAGGGTGTTGCGTTGGCCAATGTTCTTACCAACTACGAGTCCGTTTCAAAAGATGGCCACAAAAACCTCAAGACGATGATCACGCATAATGATGGTGCAGAGTGGCGCTACATTACACCGCCGTCAAAGGACGTCGAGGGCAAGAAGTTTTCATGCAGCGGAAGCCTTCAGAAATGCTCCCTCAACATACACGGATACACTGAGCGCGCGGACAAGTCACACACTTACTCGTCACCTAGCGCCGTGGGAATCATGCTTGCCATCGGCAACGTGGGTGAATCGTTGCAGTCGTTTGATAAGAGCGACACATACATTACGCGCGACGCAGGCGTTAGCTGGACACAAGTCAAGAAGGGATCGTATATGTGGGAGTACGGTGATCAAGGATCGATTATTGTCCTAGTCAACGACCGCAAGGAGACGGATGTAGTGCACTACTCACGCGACGAAGGAGATACCTGGACGGAATACAAGTTCTCCGACTCGAAAGTGCGCGTGGAAGATATCACCACCCTTCCATCTGATAACTCTCGCAACTTCTTGCTATGGGTTAAGGGCAGCGATGGCGTTAGGACTATCAATCTCGACTTCACTGGCCTGTCAGACAGACAGTGCGTGCTCGATGAGACCCGCGATGAGAATGAAGATTACTATCTCTGGTCGCCGCGTCACCCTACACAGGAGGACAACTGCCTCTTCGGCCACATTTCGCAATACCACCGCAAGAAGGCCGGCGCCGATTGCTACAACGGCCACATCATCGAGGCTCTGCACAACATCAAGTCAAACTGCACATGCACACGCCAGGACTTTGAGTGCGATTACAACTATCAGGCATTGGCGGGTGGAGAGTGTCTCCTCGTGCCCGGCCTCACTCCCGTCGACCGCATCCAAGAGTGCAAAGCCAACCCGGACCAAATCGAGTACTACGAGCCGACGGGCTACCGCCGCATCCCCCTTAGCACCTGCGAGGGTGGGAAGGAGATGGATAAGATCGTGGCTAAGCCCTGTCCCAACAAGGAAGACGAGTTCAACGAGAAGCATGGCCTGGGCGGCTTCTGGATCTTCCTTATTGTGCTTTTCAGCATTGGGGCGGCGGGCGCGGCGGGCTGGTGGGTGTATAACAACTGGGCTGATAAGTTCGGCCAGATCAGGCTTGGTGAACAATGTATGTATCCCCCTTATCCCTACTTGCTCCCCTTGATTTCGCAGTTCTACGGCAGATCAAGCATACAGAAACACAAGCTAACTACCAACACAGCATCCTTCGACGAAGAATCCCCCTTCATCAAATACCCCGTCATGGCCGTAGCCGGCGTCGGCGCCGTCATAATCGCCGCCCCCTCCGTCGCGAGCAGCATCTGGGGCTGGCTGATGAAGACGGTCGGCGGGCGCAGGGGCACGCGTTTCACGACGCGGGGAAGCTTTGCCCGGGGCGCGGATTACACGGCTGTGGATGAGGATGAGGGGGAGCTGTTGGGGGAGGATAGCGATGATGAGGTGTAGGGAGGGGGTTTATTGTGCGTTGTGTACATTATGGGTTTAGACCGGGTCGGTGGAATGGGGAGTTTTTTTTTTGGATAATTTGAGGAATTCGGGGAAGAGGGGGGAATGGAAAGGGGGGAGGGGTTGGTGGTGGTGGGTGGGTGGTCAGCAACGCGACAGCGAGGATGTGATGGGGGCGGGGTTTGATATGATGGGTTACTTATCAAATCGCCGCGGGCGTAATGCTGAGGATAATCAGTTAAATGTATGACCATGTTTCACTTACCCTCCCCGAGTCATGCTATCGTTCGTGCTACCTATCGTATCGTATGCAAGTATGTGCGAGTATCTCATGTAAGTATGTATGTCCGAGTATCCCCCCCGAGCTTTTGGGGCTACACATCGCTTCCTGGCAGCGATCGATCCGATAGTGAGGGGAAGTGGGAAGTGGGAGTACAATGGGTAGGTGGTGGGAGTAATAAATCGGCTTATCTGACCACCCACCACCGGAGGGAACACGTCAGGCAATCAATGGGTCTCATTCTCATCAGACTCCCCATCCGTGCATATACTAGAGCCTTTATGTATGTACATGTAGTGTCTCACCTGCGTCCGGCACGGAAGATCTCCCCGCCCGTAGGGAGATGCGATGCGATGCTGCATAGCTAATAGCCAAGGCAGGCGTGCAGTAGTGATGAGGAACAAGATTTTTTTGGGGCATTTTTTCCGGATTCTTGCTGCGTACTACTGTACTTGATTGAATCTGTACCCGATTTAAAGAGGGAGCTATCGATCATGAAAATACCCCGTTTAAGCCGAGCAAGCGGACCGGATGCAGGCACGAGGGCCGCGGTGGGGGGGAGGCGTATTGGGTAGACCCGCGGGAATATTGGCGGCGGGCGGAGGTATCGATAGTAGCTATCTATCTGTCTCCCAACACAACGGCGGCTGGGTATGGGGCATGTGTAGCGGGGTATTGGATAAGGGCAGGCTGATGGGATGATCGGGGGATTTGAGAAGGGGAAATAAAGAATTCTGCTGTGCAGTGCTGCGCATGAGGAGGGGGGGAATGTGGTGGTATTGGGGGGATCATGTGAAACTCGGGCGAGTTCGGTTCTCGCGGGTTTATTTGTCTGGCTGGCTGACTGGCTGGTGACAATCGTGGTGTTCCCATTCCACGACTTGGGGATGATGCAGGAGGAGGGGGGTTATCTTACAGTTACTATAGCACATCATGCTGTCAGATGTGTGGTGTGCCAGGAACAGGGCGTTTGGATATGGGATGGGATAAGTTGTGCTGTCCTTAGGCATAAGATTCGCCCGTTTTGATAGGAACGTGCGTGGGGGGGCAGGCGGGCTGATATGGGAGCTACTATCGTCCGGGGAATGGAAGTGTGGCGCTCAGCCGCTCGTTGATGGACGGACGGGACGGTGTTTGGTGGGTTGTTGGCTCTCAGCGGCTGGTGATACAATCGGTAGGTAAGGTACCCTGACTACGGCGATATAATATAGTACATTTTCAAATTGATACACAGGACCAGCGGTTAGGGCGTTGAACTGCCTGATCGCTCTGGAAATAGGAGATCGAACCCCCCCACCCCCATTCTCGCCCGCATACAGCGATGGCCGCTGGGAATCACAATGGATCCTACCCACGCAATAGGGGATCTCGCAGCGCGTTCTCGCCAGCACAATGGGGTGAGAATGGGACGAAGATCCCTCTGGGCAGCCTGTGCACAGCGCAAAGCGAAAGAGCGATCAACAACACTACGCGTTGAGAAATTGCTTTTTGGGACCGAGATGCCTGGGTCTCGATTTAGAACGTCTTGGCGAATAGCGTTTTTTTGTCCCCTTTGGGTTGGGAGGTGGGACGCGAGAATAGGGGGGGAATGGTGCAGGGGAGGATCTGTGCTTTTTTCTTTGTTTTTTGTGGGCGTGTGTGTTGGTGGTGGTTGAGGGTTCTGAGACATTTTGAGACATCGAGACTATCCCCGCAACATGGCTGCCACGGTTGGGACGGTTGAGGGAGACGGGACGGGATGGGATGGTTATACTATTGACTATTGACTCCAGTATGGATTCTGCCATCTGGTCATCCCATGGCGAGTTTCTCTTGGGGGCAGGCGGGGCAGGGGGGATAAAAAAACGTGTGCGGATGCGGTAAGTAATGATATGTCACTTTGGCGATCTTTGGAACTGATAAATGACAGCGAATGACGGCTCGGAAAACCGGATAGGGTGCTCGCTCTGTAACGAGGTAAGGGAGGGAAAAAGCCACCTGGGAGCTGATACAAACATTGTGAATATGATTGGCAAAAGCAGATGCCAGGCAGAGACAGCGTTTGGGTAAGCTCCTCGCGCTGTCCTCGTGGCTAATTGGCCTCCCGCTGCTCGTTATGCTGGCGGCCGACGGAGGCGGTTTGAAATAGACTCGCGTTTGTTGGGGAGATGGGATTGTCAGCCTCATTGCGTAGTTTTTAGACGAATATCTGAGTTTATCCGCTGTCATCCCTTGATTACTTTGCTTGTATAACTGCAGAGTAATATATCTCGCTATATCACGGGTTACACAATCCGGAGTCTCGAAGGGTGGCACCCAGATTGCCGGAACTTGTGCACAGAAGTCCAGTTCTCGGCCGTGCTGTACATACTACTTGCCCAGTTTGCCGTGTGCCGTAAAGGTAGCGTCGTGGGCACCGAACGGGCGACAACAAACTAATAAGACGGCGTTCGTTGGCGCTGGCGTTGGCGCTGATGCTAATCTAGTGCCTGCTGGCGCTGGTGTTGGCGTTGGCGTTAAAATTGTCCCCAAGCCCCGGAGCGGAATCTGGGGCCGGCCCATTTAGTATGGCGGTCAGCGAATCAGGCTCGTCTTCACCGCCGGCGCCAGTCTGAAACTGGGTGGACGGGCAGTGCCGGATTGCGGATTGTGACAATGGCTTTTTTGGCTGGGTCGGTGTCTGTGGTCCAGGGCGCCAGACCGTGCTGTTTCCGTTCCCGTTTTGCGGAATGGGCAACGACGGAGGTAGAGGAGGTAGAGTAGAGAAGGAGCTACTGCTGTGTTTGTGTGTGTGTGGACGGCGGGCTGTTGGCTGTTGTGGGCCTCGTAGACGCCTCTCTCTACTGGAGCATGCACGTTGGCAAGAGAGCAGTTAGATCGCCGACGCCGTGTCTTACCATGATGAAGCAGTGCGTTTGTCGTGCGTTTGCCGTGCATATCTGCAACGACGCCGTCTTTCTCGTCCTGTCAATGTCGTGGCATACCAAGGGAAACAAGAAGAAAAAAAAACGTACGTCGTATGCTTGCTCCATAAGTGCATCTAGTTTTCTGTGGGATGCAAACGCGTCAGAGTCGCAGCAAGCAGCGACGTAAGCAAGTACCCATTTATTTCCTTTTCCTTTTCCCCTTCCCTTTCCCCTTCCTTCCTTCTCGCCGCACCCTGCAGTGTGGCGTGGCGAAGGGTCATCGCATCCCCTACCGAGAGGTCCTCATGTCCTCATTAGCCTTGCCCCAGCGCGTGCGGGGATTCGGGGGGCGCACACGCGGCGGAGCCCCTACTAGTTCCAGGGGCAGGGCGGATTTGTTGCCGTTGCCGACATCCAGCGAGCGGCTAGGGAGGGGGAGTAGTTGTTCACGATAGATGAGGTATTCTAGTCTAACAAACAGTACATACAGTCAGCAAAAGGGCAGAATATCTAGATACTGTTCTTAGCTGTGGTTAAGGCTGTTATGATACTGCCGTTGGCATTATATGGAGGGTTAATAAAGGTCTAATGAAGGGGCTAATGCCATGATGGGGATCCATTGATGTGCTGTGATGGACTCCTGTGATGTGATTGATGTGATTAATGTGATGTGATGGGGTGGGATGCTGTGAGCACTGGGGATCAGTGGGGATGTTAATATATACAGTAACAGTAATTGTAGCAATCTAGTACTGGCTTGAGTACCACTGAGTACCAAGTGGGTGGGACTAGAGAAAACTAGAGTGCAATCACCACCATCTCCGACCCTAGATTATTTGTGGTGTACTTTGCGATACTTTAGAACCCTGACTCCTCTATAGCTCTGTGGAGTAATGAGGAGAGTGGGAGTAGAGTAGAAAATATAAAGTCATGTGATTGGCTACTAGAGAGAGGGGGGATGACAGGAACCCGTCCCGAAAGTTACCTTTCTCTACCATTTCTGTACCTGATTTGCTGTATTTACTAGGCCGTGTTGCACTATGCGCCGTGTATCTTACTGTATTGACACTATTCTTGAATTATCCTTGAACTATTTTTTACTATTCGTGTCCCATCATCAACCGTCAAACATAATCGTCGCCTCGTCACATCTCATCCTCGTACATTATATCCATATCCATACATAATATCCATAACCCCCCATAACACCAATAACACCCATGCTTCTCTATGCACAAGTACTCTACACTACTCTACACTAATCTTCATTCTGTTTGCAATCTGCTGTGATCGGCGTTCATATACCCTTCTGGATACAAGTCTACGGATAACTGCCAAATCCGCGCTTAACTGCGCCCAATCGAGAAATGAGATGAAAGGAAAACGAATGGGTAGGATAGCCATGAAAGACCAGCATGGGCCGGACAAGGACCAGGGGGTCGTCGTCTCCATTCTCTCCAATTCGAGATACTCTGGACGAGGGAGTATACTATACAGACAGGACTCCATCCTTCCTGCCGCTGCCTGCATATACATATGACTGGACCATTTGCTCTTTCCTTCTGCAGCGTTGTCTCACGGCATGATTTGAACTGATTGACCTGCTTGCTTCAACTGCATCGCATACGCATACATACGTACACTTACACGGCTGGCCTCTTTTTTTCTCCGACCATACACAAGCCAGGCCGTGTCCGGATTCCCTCCTCGAACCTACAAAGCTACATATGCCCGCCGTTGTGAGCTGTCAGTTACCCGTCTCAGCTCTTTCCCCATAACCAGCAACCATCGCTTTGCCACGAGTCGATAGCTTCAAACCAATACTCCACGACTACACTATCGGCTTAAAAAAACGCGGGAAACCCCACATCGTTGCAGGAGAGTCGATTCTGTCAGCCCAGCTTCCTGCTTTTTGGCAGTGGTCATATTTATCCCCAATCATGTCGGTCTTGCATCTAGATTCTCTCGCCAATTCGGGTCTTCATAATACGCAGCATATCCCACTCCGATCCTTTTACACCTCCGCCGCTCTCTCTTTATCCATCCCCTCGAATATCGACTCGAACCGCCCCAGCCGTGGTGAGATGTTTGCCGAGTTCGCTGGTCGACCATATTCATCAAGCGCATCCTCTGTCCCAGCGGGACCACGACTTCCTGGACCATCACGACGAAAGAACTTGAGCGAGATGATCGGAATAACGAGCGAGGAGGAGTTTGAACGCCTCCCAATTGCTGTTCGACGCAAGGTACGTGTTCTGGAGAGACCCTTTCTTGTCAAGTGTAACCTGAGACCATGTGTCTCGGCCAAGCCTCCCCAACGAGGCCCTTACTTCCTTTTCATCCCCATCCTCGATGTCAGGGTCAAAACATTTTTACGAAAGATGGGATGATCACGTTGAAACAAGAGTCCGAGTTATCACACCAGAATTGGTGAATGTGCTGGCAACACGCAGGCACATGTTGATATCTTCCGTGCTCTTGAGGGGTTGCAGGGCTATAGCGTTGTATTGTAGCGTCTTGACTTCATGCACGCTTGGTCTGGCCGGGGCACCAACTACTTGTGTGCCTCGTACCTGCAGATATAATACAACCCCCCTTTCGTTTTCTTTCCACAGCATTTCAATTTTGCAACGCAATACTAATTGTTCATTTCCAGTATTTCTCGACATTAGAAAGACTGCGACTTTCCCAGAATTCTTCGTCGGCGCCTAGCGACTTCGACTTTCCAGTCTCTAGAAAACGCCCCGTTGCACAACGACGACTACGAAAAAAGTCAATCGCGAAATCAATTCCACAACCCTTTACTCTCCTGTCCAACTCCCAACAATTACGAGGGTCTCGATCAAAACCTGTCACTGCTGCAGAGGTTGCCTGGTTTATGTCATTGCCAGACAAGATTCGCAGAAAACAATTCACAAAAGAAGAGCAACTTCACTTCACCAGCCGGCGAGATAGCGTTATCCTCGACGCAGCGGACGAGGCCATTTACAAATCCAGTCGTCGGAATAGGACCGTTACTCCCATAAGCCAACTGCCACCAAGTCCGACACGATTAAGTATGGATTCGTCAATTAGAAGTGTAATGTCGGAACGCCCCACCAGCATCGCACTAGCAATGGAGGAGAGCTTCCGGTGGATCGATGAAGATAACGACTTGGACCTTCGACTAGTTCTCGATGATTATCACGCAAATCTTCCAGGAACGGTCATCCCCGACCCCTCATCATCCGTTCGCCCCTCTTTTCGCCGTCACATCTCCATCAGCAAGAGTCCTTTCGGCCGCTCATCACTCTCATCTCCGGCACGTGCCGCTTCAGTTTCCGGTTCGTCGCAGCCACCGCCAACGCCCTCTAGGGCACCCTCAAGAACGCTCTCCAGAGCAGCCTCCCAAAGCCAAAGCCACACCCGGCAACGGTCTAGGGCCGTGTCTCTCATAAGCCCGAGGTACACACCAGAATCGCCTCGAATGTCCATAGATCCATATGCGACCCACTACCAAGACCCGGAAGCTCGCCTGAAGCTTCGCGTCTACCTTGCCTCTCCCCAGAAGTTCGATGAAGCCATCGAGTTCGGTTTCCCTAGCACAGACGGTGTTTCGGATCCATCTGCGGAAAAGAAAGTAAAACATCTTCCGAACATCCGCGTCACACGGGACCGCGCCCACACGGTCCGTCCCGCAGTCCTCGCCCCGAGTCCGCACACATTCTTCGACGATGTTGGTAGTCTCCTGGACGACGATGTGTCGATGCCCGACCTCGACTCACCGCTCACGCCAATGGATGGTAGCTTCCAAGCTCACCGTGGGAGCCACGGGAGGCTGATGAGCCTCGGCGGTTCCGGTGCTGACGAGTTCTTGCACCTGGGGATCCGCAAGCCCATGCTGCACAAGCACCACGAGAGCTACAGCCTGGCGAGCGCGGGAAGCCGAGAGATGACCCTGCGGATGACTCTTACACGTCCTGATCTCAGGGCAGATGAGGGTACGCTCTACGGATGGCAGGGGCAAGGGCACGGGCTGGGATTGGGAATTAAGGAGAAGAACAAGAGCCAAATTACCCTGGACTCTCTTCCCATGGAGGAGAAGCTTCCCATCATGCGCGGACCCCTAGAGGGACCAGATGGCTGGGGCCTGCAAGACAAAGACGACAGCGTCGTCAAGCGGCTATGGAACCGCGTCCGCAGCAGCCAACGGAAATCAAGCACTGGCTCTGGATACTTAGCCTAGACGGCGCCTCAGAGAGAGTTTTTACGGTGGTTTCTGGTGGGGACAAATTATGAGCATTTTTAGCGAGTTTTTGATTATCTTTACAATTTTTTTTACGGCCAGCGGTTCGCGATACCCCCGATTTTATTTTTGGGAAAAGACCACTCTTTTACTGGGATACTTGTTTTTCCTTGCTGCGTTTTTGGGTAGGGGGGGTTTTGGAGCGGGGTCAAATGCGATCCATTGTACAGTATCAATAGCCAGTGCGGCACCCGAGTGTCATGGAAACTCTCCTTATTTGTGTTTTTTTTGGGGGGCCCAGGGAGGGAAAGCCGATGCGGCAGCAGCAGTTCGTTTGGACACGTCTTTGTCCGTCTGATGGATGGCCATGGGGTTGGGTTTGGGTTACATACCGAACAGCAAGGGGGGGTGATGACATATATAAAGTACATAGTAAAAGTAGTTTCTAATCATCAAGACTTTTTGTCACGCCCATTTTTTACTACTTACTCCTCTTCCCTGCTTTTTGTTTGCTTGCGCTGTGTGCATTTGGATGGATGCCTGTTGTGCGCGGGGAGATGCAAGCGGTGAGGGGTGGGATTGTCGGTGTGTTTCGGGGATGCGAGGTAAGTGGTATGCGAGGTAAATCAGGGGTGATGGTGATGGAGCGGGGAACGTGGGACCGAGGGGTTTACTTTACTTAGCGGGATGGCTCGTGGAGTGAGGGAGGGGGAAGTGGTCAGAGCGATGGTAGAGTGTGATTCTGGATATGTCGACTCACAAGCAGCCTGGTGTGAAGTCACGTAAGCACGTGATAAGGCGACAGGTCACGTGATATACAACGCGTTAAAAGCGACTATCTATAACCCCTACTAACCTTACTTTCCTTCTTCTTTAACAACGTAATGGCTACTACTACTACTATACCCTTTGACAGCCACACACACCGATTTGATCTCAATGGATCTTTCTCAACTTCCGGACATCACTAGCTTGCTTGTCAGGCTAGATAACCCTCCACGAGATGATGTCGAAGGGATGGATTACCTACGATGTGCAGCTTTACACAACTACCTGATCCAATATGCCTGGCTCGCTGAAGGCCGCCCACTAGCAACTCTGAATGCCAACAGCAACTTTTTCACGGCCTTCGGTGATGAAGCGGAAGCTGAGGCTTGTCGTCCAAGGCTTGATCCGTCACTGGCGGCGTTCCTTGACACCGCTATGATATCTCCTTTTCCTTTTGATAATCCTCACGAATACCTCCCATTCTCTGTTTTTGCATGGGGTATCGATGGGCCAAACAGACTTTTTGAGGAATTTACAGCTGATATTCAAGATCAGCCCGTTGACAGCCTGGTGCGCTTGTACGCTGTCGAAACGGGCTTATCGGCTGTGGGCGGTGGTGGCGGTGTTATCTACCACCAACGCTTCCACCGCGTCGCGATCTTCATGCATCTTGATGAATATGACTGTGGGTTTCCAGTTGAGGGTAATCCACACGTTTGGAACCCACTAGAGACACTACTCACCAACTGGATCGACCTTATTCATATTGGAAAAGTTGTGGCTTCGCCTCATAAAGAGCCAGCCCTATTCGACTTCGAGAAGATCGGGCCTTGGGAGTGGCGGCCCTATAGCGAAGCCCAGGTTACTACGTGTGTCGCCGAGTGGGATCGACTGTGTCAGGCCATTGAGGCGCGCACCTCGCAGCTACCAAACCCACCATTGCTAATCAGCCCTATTTCCAGGTCTAACGCGGACAATCCAGAGCCACTAGTCGCATCAACTGTCCTGGACGCTGCTTCGGTGCCTAATCCTTCCTTTGCGCGTGCGTTTCTAACGCGCGCGAGACGCCCCCAGTTCTGCTACATCGCTCCGGGCCTTCTCCTGCCCCCGGCTGACTCGGCTGGATTTGTGGCAGCGCAGCCATTTAGCGTATTACCCCGCTCTGAGTACACCGCACCGCCAGTGTGTCTTTTTCCCGCTGATACCGGAGACCAGCGTCCTATCCAGCTCACGAGAACAACAACTCCATTTTTATTGTCGGACTTCTATTCAAGGTCCACCGAAACGTGTACACCATCTCGCGTCTCTGCAGGCCTATATACTCAGGCAGTGGAGAGAAACGGCCTTGACGTGGCTGAGGAGGGATTTCAGCTGTTGCTCCCGTTCACCTTTAATGATGATTGGGACAAGAGCGTAGGCGCACGAAAAAGCGATAGGTCCCTTGTTGATAGGGGACGCTTTTCAGAGCTCTTTCAGCATGGATATAAGCCTTTTGGTGGTGACTACTACCGCTCCCAGCGGCTGGAGCGTTTGTTAGGTTGTTGGCGCAAGCTGGTTGAAAAAGGCGTCTGGTCTGTTGGGGCGGATGGGGTAGAAGGTACTATCGATACTTTCAAAGATGCTGAGTCGGATCGTTGGGAGGATTATTATATCCCTCCAACATGGTAGATATCCCGGAGCCATCCCGCCTTCAATCCGGAAACGATTTCTACGCTCTATTCTACGGGGATGGAGGTGCTAGGTAGTCACCTAGCAAGACTTGGACCCCACTTACTCCCGAAGACTTTCTAAGTTGGATATGCAATTTCACAAGAAACCAGTCACGAGGATACGCTATCGAACAACTACCATTTTCCTAACTAATAGTGATTTATATACAAATTTAGTCTTAATCCTTTAATTTTATTTAATATCTTTCTAACTAAGCTAAGAGCCCGTCATATATCTTTATAAATCTAAATCTTTCGTTTTTTCCTTGCCTGAACTTTAGATTTAATCTAGATATGGGTTAAAGACAAAAATACTTAATCATGTTCTTTTAGACTTAAGAGACGGAACGTAGCGCTCGAGAGACGGAACGTAGGGCGAATCTTCAGGACGCATCAGCTGGGTTTGTGCACTTAAGTTGCTAATTAGCCGCAGCTGAAAAGTGCCGTTAAGATGGAGGGCATGAAGCAATCTACAAGAAAGAAACCCCCATTGATATGTTTAATGCTGTTAATGATGGTACGCAAACGGCGCAGGTGTCACTACGCTTCCCGATCTCGTCTGGGCCCCAGCCGTACTCGCAGGGAACGTGGGTCGGGACACGTTGCCCGCCAGAACATCCGTCGTGACAGTGACGGTTGTGGGATCAACAGTCACATTTTCCGAATTGAAACTTTTATGCGCCTCCCTAGTCCACAAGCCAGCATCTAGGTCGCCCATATACATGTCCACGACCTTGCCCTTCTCGTCAAGTACGATACGCACTTCGGAGTGCGGGTCGTCGTCCTCGTAGATGATGTTGCATGTCCGACCGCCGACAGGTTTGCCATCCAGATCGACAAAGAGGAGATTATCATAATCAAGGTCGAGATAAGCATCCTGTTTGCCATTGCCAAGTGATCTGAGGTCAGTGTGGCAGACGCCAGCGGCCAAGGTTGGGTTTAGATGGGGATCCGCCGAAAATCCACACAAGTATACTGAAAAGAATTGCAAAACTGATGATGGTTGGTATGCTTATAGAGCTAGTAGTAAGAAAATACAGTAAACCTTAGGAGACGTTTATTAATATTAATTATAGCAACATATAGCCCGTAGCCACCATCTAACTACACACGACCATAGACTCAAGGGAATTAGGCATCCCGTCTGCTCTGCCATACACAAGCTTGCGTAACGCCTGAACGATAGTCTCAATCATACCGATTGGCACGGCGTGTAATCTGAGCCCTTGCCGCCTGGAGGGTGTATTTGGGGTGAAGCGGGGGAAGGAGGGGGAGTGAGGGCTAAGCACGTGAGGCGAGGCAACCCTTTCCTGTCAATCTCCTGTCATTTTGTTATTGTGCCGGAGTATGGCCGTTTTAGCTTACGTACCTCTTTCGGGTGCCCTAGTTATTTTCCATAATCCACTGTCCGCTGTCGGTGCGTGAAATCCAAGACGAAAAGACGAAGCCCGAGAAGAAATATTTGCGTTTCCTAATTGAATATCACATCAAATCGCGGCTTTTAGGATTGGGAGATCCGCCGAGCGGCGGTGAAAGCCAAGCTTTTGGGCGTAAAATGCTTATTCCGTGTCTCACCAGCCTGTACCATATATGCATCCTGCGATTGGTTCGGTGAGCTGATGAAACTTATAGAACCTGACTAAAGTGAGGGGCCGCGCATCCACAAGAACTGGGGGGCGCAGCCCGCATCAGCCTCGCTAGCAACACTGCATTAAAGAGAGATCTAAATATATCTCGGCTGCAATGTTCTCGCCGTAGGAGTTATTGATTAGATGTTGGTGGACGCCGAAATGGCGTCCATGAATTGCGAAGTAGAGAAGCCATGTGGTAAGTTCTAAATATGGGCTTTGAAATTCCGCAAATAGTGCTTTCACCAATTTGGGGTCCGTTCAGCGAAGCGCTTAAATTGAAGTTTATGTGGTCCTGTCATATTACATGTCGCTAGTCCGGGCCTCAACGTCGCCTTTCTCCTCATAACCCATGCCTCTTGGCCAATATGCTTCAGCCCCTCCCCCAAACAAGATACATAGTTAATTTAGATAAGACTACTGTTGTCAGCTTGCGCAGCTTGCATAGTTAAACGTGAGGCTGTGTCGCAGCCCGAGAAAGTGAGTTTCTGTTTCGAACTCTGCTAACTCAGAAAGCGAGTAAGTGCCTGTATCACAGCTATACGTTATTGAGCACCAGCTCTGCCGAGATGATCAACATTTGAGTGGTGTTGATGACTTGTGGGAAGTGCACCTTTCATTCGGTTCCGCAGGTGCTGATCAAGACTCTTGGCCTGTCACTAATTGAGGGGCCGCGATCCACGGATCCACCCAATATACTGTACAGAAACTTCGGCGCCGTACTGTACTGTAGGATATAATAATCCACTTGCACGGCCTCAATCGTGAGGTAAAGCCCTCGCCCCCAAAACAAAGGTAATTAACCGGCGCAGGTCTAACGAAAAGGGATTCCAACACCGGACCAGACCCTGGCGATGTGAGATGGCGGCGAGGCCGTGGCTGCATACCTCAGTGACAAGGGGCTTTGGAATAACCCGTAGTTGTTGGTATTGCGGATATAACAGGAACGGGTGGTCTGCTAAAAAAGGCCATCTAATTAACCCAAGACGCAGATCTTCCCTCCATAGGATGTCAGGCTCAAAATTAGCAACCGGCAGTTTCCTAGCCAATATATCTACTCCTCCTAGCTTAGTAAGCCCAATTCTCACCCCAACCCCTCCGTGCGGCACCACCAAAATGCGAACAGTGTGCATTAATTACAAGGGAAAATTATAGTGCGGGTGGGATGCAGACGGGACGGGTTCGCATTTTGTTGGTGCCGGAGGCGGGTGAGAATTGAGCTAGAGGTAAGTGTATGAGTGGCCTAGGTTCCCAGACTCTATCCCCACTGTCTATGATTTTAGCAATCTCGAAGGATCGAAGGATCGAAGGATCGAGTAGCTGAAATTAAGCAATGTTTTATAAGTACTTTAATATACAGTACGACTAAGCGTTGCTTCACAATCCACCAATCCCTTGCCTGCGGCGAAGAAGGTGGCGCTTTTCGATACGCAGCTAGAGGGAAATACTTTGACCACAGCTAGGACGAGAGGCATACATAATTTGCATCCACGTCCGTCTAAGTAAGTCCTCGAACTTCCTCAAACAAACAGTCTTTCCCGTTTCCTATGTCATTGCCAAGCTCACACTAAGATGGTGTTTGCCCACTGGACCTTAGCGGTCCTGCTCGCGACAAGTCTTACTCAAGCCTCATGGATTCCCACAAGGAACCGGCAGCAACATGCAGAGCGTGACGTTGTCATATCTGCCAACACTGACACCTCCGTCGAAGTCCATCTCTCTGACTTTGCCACGCTAGAGGAACTTGCGGAGGAACTTATTATCGATTTCAGATGTCTCCTGGACGCCAACCCGCTGCTATCGACTCTCCATCCTGGAGACCATTGCATTGTTCCCTATAGCTGCTGCGGCACCAGCTGCAAGGGCAAGTTTTGTAGCGAACGCCCTGAATGCCAGGGTCACTCGACTTCATCGCATGCTCCGGTAGTGACAACTGTACACACAACTATTACGAAGACTACTTGTGTCACATCCGTCACTAGCAGCATTCCAACAACACAGTCTACCTCAAATGACACTGCAGTCGTCCCTCCGCCAAGCAGCAGCAGTCTGCCCTCAAGCTCGTCCGCCACCACCCCTGATTCTCCCACAATACCTGGAATTGTTACAACGACCAATTCTCTCGGACAGACCGTAATTTCGGATAGTTCAGGAGCCGTTACGCTTCCTACAGGCATCTCTACTGCTAGCGTTATTACCTTGCCCGATGGTTCTGTTGTCACCTTTCAAACATCTACTACTGCTCCTGGGTCTTCGTCCCCGCCTACAACTATCCCTGGTGTCGTTACCACGACAAACTCCCTCGGGCAAACAGTGATTTCGGATACTTCAGGGGCCGTTACTCTTCCTAGCGATATCTCTACTGCTAGCGTTGTCACCTTGCCGGATAGCTCTGTCGTTACCTTCCAACCTACCACGGAAGCAACTGGCTCATCAAGCTTGCCTGGCATTCTCACTACGACAGATACTGCAGGAGAGACCGTGATATCAAGCTCCGGCGAGCAGTTTACAATTCCTACGGCGGTCACCACACCAATTACGCTTACCAATGGTGATGGCTCTATTTTTACATTTTTGCCGACCGTCTCCCCCCCACCAGACAGTTCAAGCCAAATCTCATCGTCAGGCCCTACTGAGATTATCACTACAACGGATCCTGCCGGTGAGACCGTGATATCAAGCTCCGGAGAGGAATTTACAATCCCTCCGGCGGTCACTACACCAATCACCGTTACAAATGGTGATGGCTCTATTTTTACATTCTTGCCGACCGTATCTCCGCCACCAGACAGCTCAAGCCCAGTTTCGTCAAGCCCTCCTGATGCTATCACCACAACGGATCCTGCCGGTGAGACTGTAATTTCAAGCTCCGGGGAGGAATTTACAATCCCTCCAGCAGTCACTACACCAACCACCGTTACAAATGGTGATGGCTCTATTTTTACATTCTTGCCGACCGTATCTCCGCCACCAGACAGCTCAAGCCCAGTTTCGTCAAGCCCTCCTGATGCTATTACTACAACGGATCCTGCCGGTGAGACTGTAATTTCAAGCGCCGGAGAAGAATTTACAATCCCTCCGGCGGTCACTACACCAATCACCGTTACAAATGGAGATGGATCTGAGTTCACTTTCTCCCCAACAGCTCCGCCGAGCTCGAGCAGCACACCATCGACGACAATACCGGTCGGCGTAATCTTTCCCGTTACCACAACTGTGGACGCACCTAAGGTAAGTCTGACCAACGAAAACGTTCTCGCTAGCAGTAATAGTAACTTGCTGGATCTCTCTTGCTTTCCAAGCTTCCACCACCCTAAGCTTGTCCTCTCTATCTAAAATCTTCACTGACGTTATCTCCAAAGGCGACCGATGGTGGAACTGTAATACCATGCAACCTCTGGTTCTTCAACATATGCATTCGCTTTGGGAAAATTGACATCGGTGGCTGGCTATTCAACTTGCCCGAAGGTATTCGCCCTCCTGGTCCGCCACCAGGGATTACCTTCCCCCCATCGCTTTCCATCTCGATTGGCATCAGCGGCACACTACCTCCCTGGCCAGCGATTACTATCGGTCCCGATAAGTTACCAACATATGAGCCAAAGCCAAGCGATGGACCTGATGATGGTTGCAAGACTGAGTCGGCTGAGATTTGCTTAACTAGTACATCTTTCGAAGTTGACACTGCTACTGTTACCACCGCCTCCTCGGTGATTTCAACGTGTGTCACTGTATTCGGTTGTGATGTTACAGACAGCGCGACCTCAACCGCGGCTACTTCAACTGCATCAAGTTCAGAGTACCCGTACTCTTGCACCCCTGGTTGTGAGGCTTGCGTGGCTAAACGTCAAGTCGCAACTGCTACAGCAGCGCCTTCCCTGCCAACGACAGACACAAAGAAGGCAAAGGACCTATTTTCCTATGCTCAAAACTTAACTTTGGCCGAGCGTGATATTCCAAATAGAGCAGACGCCGATGTTATTTCTGAATATTATGACATGATCAATAACGTGCCGGGTAGGGTTCTGATCACTGAAGACAACATGGGCCAGTTAGGAATCTCGAGTTCTCGGTTTGAATACTTTGACAACTCCGAGCACACTATCTATCTCAGAAGCTTGAGAGGCTGCACTTCCGTCATAGTGGTGTCCCGGCTTGGTAAGCTTTTGGTCATTTAGCCAGTTCTGAAGGAACTCAATACTGATACTTAGTTGTGTAGGTGTATATCTCAGCCACCTCTGGGAGCCAAGCTTCAGCCTGGATGTCACGGCCGATTTTCAGACGGGTGTAATCGATTACCTAAAGTACGTTGAGAGAGCCTCTCCTTGTTCTATACCGTCTCCCCAACCCCTCGCTAACCTTTGCTAACATCTGCCCTTGTAGCACTGGTCGTCAACCTGATCAAACCGGCGGTGTAACTGAGGACGGCGTTACCGAGGCACTTGGAGCTCTCGTACAGGGCGGTGTTTTTGGTGACGTTGCGACCACGAAGATTTTCATAATGACACCAGCGACCTATGATCTTGATCTGGATCTAGAAAAAACTCCCAACGCGGATCAGCGAGCCAGTCTTAATAACGGAGACTTCCAACCTCTCTTCGATGGTACAACTGTGGTTTCGGGTCAGACGATTCCAGACAGACTCACCCCACTCAAAGCAGAATTGGGACAACTAATGCCCGGTGTGCCAATTTCGCAATTCACCTACAGGAGGCAGACCGACGATGATCGTCTGAAGAATGATGGCTACGGCAAAGCAACGGTAAGTGTTGTTCCACTTCTCCTGCATATGTCTCTCTAAGGAACCAATACTGCAATTACATAAGTCTAACAAGAATATTTATCATAGGTCGTATACAGCAACGATCAAAAGATAGACCCGGATACATTCGAAGACATCGGCCCTCCTCAGCAGGCTATTTGGCAGTGCTGGATTCAGGGCAAAATGATGGATACTGACCGATGGGACGCTTTACCAGGGTAAGTAGCAAATCATACGTCAAAGGAGCCTCAAGACGACTAGGGAGTTTATACGAGGCCCGGGCCTGGCGTATTATCCTAATTGACCAGGCCTACTATTACATATTTGCCTGCTAACGTATGCCCAGTCAAACCGGCTCATGTTCCGCTAACCAAAAGCGCCAAAATGGTGGTCAGTGTAGCTCCCCAACGGCATCCTCTGGCGCATCGACATCGGCACCTACAAACTCACCGACCACGGCACCCACCCCGAGTACCGTGATAATTACACCTACAGGAACCGAGGCTTCTAGCCCCCCACCGACTGACCTGCCGACGCTTACCACGGCTCAAAGTACACCAGCCGGTGAAACCTGTGTATCGACCGCCACTTCGACTCAGTGCGCTCTCGGACCTCACGCAGGTATGCAACTCTTCATCGCCGTTGGCCTTGTCCCGAACGTGTCACTAACAACTAATCAGATCAAACGGCTTGTGTTACGAGTACATACTGTGCGTCCTTTGCACCTACAGAAACCACGCCAACCTCAACTGCTGAGCCTACGCCTACGGGTCAGGTATATGTCGACATATTCACTGATTCCGATTGCATCAATGTCCTCGAGCAAATTACCCTAAATTTCATAGGCGATTGTTACACACCCAAAGACAAGGATGGCCACCCAATAACATTCGAATGCTTTTCACTCACCTACATCAGTCCGGCAGCTGAAAACTCCGCTAGTCTGACTGCCATTAAGGGTGCTGGCTGCTTCTCTCAATTTGACAGTGACAGACAAGTATATCCTGACTTAATGGCCATCCAATATGACGACGAAAAGCCATTCACAATGGGGTCTATAAGCCTAGATGGCAAGTAACTTTCAAGAATAGAAGCTCTAGTGGGACACATCATATAGGGGAATGTATTTCGAATCGTTACTTCTACCGAGCGAGAAATCCGGCATCTACTTTCCCGCAACTATGATGGAACGGATACTATATACACGGATATCGTGGCTTTACTTTATAAATACCTTCTCTTCTAAAAATGTCGTAGTTTATAATCCATAGTCTTAATTATAGACTAATATTACCTGTCTTTAAGCCGATACAACTCCAATATCAAGTTGCGTAAGCGCAATAATAGGCACCAGCAGCGCCGCTATAAGTCCAGGGGAGCCGAACGCGGGTGTGATGATGTTAGTGATTGTGCGTAGGACGTACTACTACGAGTATTTGTCAACCGTTTCAAGGGCTGCAACGTTTGGAGATGGGGAATGGAGTTTGTGAGGATGGCTTCGGGTGATAATGATAGGTAGAATACCGGCGGAAGGAGAAAGAGGGGAGAGGGACTGAAAGGAGGATTTGGAGTAAAATATATCTCGATCGTAGTCCCTAGTAGCATGTTGACCCTTTTATATTCAAAAATCGAAGCTGCAATGGTATTTTCGTGCACAACGCAATATCAAGCAAAATGTACCAACCTCAATTCACCACCACGCAGCTTGTTGTCGTTATGTCAATCTGTATCGCCCCTCTTCTCGCCCTGCTTCTCTGCCTGCCGGTCCATTGCGGCTTGCAAGAACTTCTTAGTGCCATGAGTCTCAGCGCAAACCATGGCACTCGGCCAACCTGGTGCATCTTCCTGCGTCTTACAATTCAGATTTGGATCCGCGCCGCGATCCATTAAGACGTCCACCAGCTCTTGGAAATTTTGATGGTTGAGACGTCCAACCGCGATGCAGAGTGCCGTGTTGCATGTGCTGCCAACCTTGGGTTCTCTGGCATTGACATCAAGCCCGGCGACATCTATAAGATGGCGTATCATGTCTAGACGCTCTGTATAGGATGGGCTGGGCTCCTCACCCTCCCTCGGTGCTAAGATGGTGGCCCGCTCGACTGCAAGGTGCAGTGTCCGTGGGTCCAAGGGAGCCATGTGCTCTGCTAGTAGCTCCAATGTCTCGATACTGCCCTGCGACGCCGCCGCGCCGAGAATTGTCGGGCGTGGCATATGATTGCGCCTCGTCACATTACCGATGACTTCAGGCTGGTAGTCGGGAATGTCAACTTTAGCGCCGTGATCCAAGCACCATTTAACAAGATCGTGATATGTTACGACATCCCAAAGCAACGTCGAACCAACACCGGGTGTATTGATATCCCATCCGTGAGCAACAAGGATCTCAAGGACCTCTAGCGAAGGTTTGCCCATATCCTCATTGGTCGTAATTTGTCCCGGAGTCAGTGCTGCGATATCAGCGTCGTGAAGGTGGTCGACTAGATATTTAAGCACGTGAACCGCTCTCCTGCTCGCTGAGCGGCTAAGGCCCAGTTGCGCGACTTGCTGAGCTGTAAATCTCGAGTTAGGTTCAGCGGCCATTGCTAAAGCCTGTTCCATCAGCGATACATCGTCGGCCCTACATGCTTCGATGCATAATGTGTTGGCGTTCCTAGGCATGTTTGTAGTGCTATTTTCATATTCTTGTGCCATCTCCCAAGGTGGTCGTCGAGCTCTGGGGCGCTTGGCGTGGGAGGTAGGTGATGTAGGAGGCAAGTGGGTTACCGATGTGCGGGTAGTAATCGATTTGGGGGATCTATGAGATAGGGCTTGGCTGGGCTGGCTGGTAGGCTCCCGCGCACACCCACGGTTTCAGCCGTTACAACCGCTTTACGAAATGGGAGGGACGGGGGAAGGATGGGCTTTTTCTAAATTGGGAATAAGCAGCCTACCTTTTCGCGTGTTCTACACGGACCCGTACGAGAACTTTTAGCGCCGTACTGTAGCTTTGTGCAGATACTTATAGGCACCGTTATGATTCTCGCGTTCTTTAATTTTAACACTAGCTCTACTATAGATGGCTTCCTTGGCTTATCTTAACCCGCTGTGTCAGTCCATCATAGTACTAACGTATGCTTGTTGGCTGTGACACAGGGTGCCTGGACTGTTGCACCATGAGATATAGCGGGGTCTGTGTTTGGCGCTATGCTTAGTTAGGTTTTCTTCAACTTGTACTCGTATAAGTATCAGCGTCGATATAATTACGTCAGCGCCACCTTGCACCTAGGAGGCACCAAGACCAACATCGCCAGCAATTCAGCTTTTTGGATTTCTCATTCAACTAGTTATCATGAAAGAGCAGCAGAGAACACTGTACTTCTACAAATCGCACCGGCACATCATGTCCCCATTACTACCAACCTACAGACGGAACCGCGTGCCTATACTTAGTCTCAGTTCATTTCTGATCTCTCTTCTAGTCGCTTCATCTTGTATTCCACGAGCCGAGGGCTATAGTTTGTTGGGTAGAATTACACCAGATGCAGTTGCATTTGGCTTTGATCTAGGCCAATCATATGGGTGCGTGAGTTCTCGTTGCAAACACTCATTACATACAAACCCTTTACTCTTCCCCAGCATCTTAACTATCTCACTAACATCAACTACCTCTGCGTCAGCACCTCCGTCGCCCGCTTCGAGAATGGCACAACCATTCCTTTAGCCAAGATCCGTGGGAGTGCCGCTTACACAGCCCTCATGGAAAACCTAATCTCTAAACCAACAACACCACACTGGCTCTCCTACCGGGGTACAGTGGGCCGCTGGCTGTCATTGTTTCGGAGCCTTATGAAAATCCTTGGACTTGCCCCTAGCTACAAGTGCGCCGTTCTGTCCGAGATGGTTGCTGCGCTTAAGACGGCTTCCGAGGCGGCGTTGCAGATCCAGATCCAGGTCGAAGCAGTGGCAGTAACTGCCCCGTGGATGGCAGCCTTAGATAACCAGTTACCAACCGATAGTGTTATTAATGATGCGCTTTTGCTTGCCGACCTCGAGCCATGGACTTTGTGGGCTGACGGGGAGATCTACCTTGGTGAAGTCAATACTATATTAGTGAGTGAAGATCGGTCGGTATGTAAGAACGTCTGGTGTACAGGTCACTGGATGGAGGTAGAAGGAGATATCGCGGTAGTTGGTCTTGTGTTTTTCATTAGGTAAGTGACGGATACTTTACTTTATTTGCTAGTGTGTAATCTTTGAGACTGACGTGTTGTTGAAGCTTCACCAACCATTCGTTATATACATCTTTCCAACGCACCGGGTGCTATTTCAACAACCCATTAGACCACAGCCTCACCTCGATAGACCCTCGCTATGGCCTCGACAAGGTGAGCCAAGCAACATCCCCTAAGCAATACTGGAGTGAATTGAAAACGCATCTCCTCTCTCTTGTTAAGCAACACAAAACGCGAGGTCGGACATATGATTGTCAATCACTGTTTACAGTGTTAGTGGCAGGAGAGGCAGCTAATACCCCCGAGTTTCTGGATGTCGTGCATGATGTCGTCCAGGCCATACTACGAGAGTCATGGACTGCGGAAAGGGAAGAAAACGGCAAAACGGGTCACGTCGAGCTTATCATACCAGATGACTTGACGTACGGGGCCGCTAGAGGAGCTGCGTTCTGGTTGCAGACAAGAATGAATAGGACGTATTGTGCTGTAGAAGGTATCTTAGATCAGTATGATATAATAGGAGACACTCATGTGGAGTTATAGTTTTTGTAGATGCCTGAGATACAATGTAAATGTTAATACATGGTAGTAATACTTTAACTTCTAACGCAGCGAGCGATGATAATTACACTATAACTTAGCGATGTATCCACTAAATGCGCTTACTAAATGCGCTACAACTTAGTGATTTGTTTACTAAATGTGCTATTAGCGTTGGATTCCCCGTAATTTCATTGAACACCTTTCTCCAAACGAATGTATTGTCTTGGATAGAGCAGACTGCACGTACAGGTAGCCTTCAATCTTTAATAAAAACAGCTAGAAAATTTAGGAACTATTTGAATCGCCGAGCGAAATACAGATTGTCTCTTAAAAAGGACTTTTAATTGCCCAATTATTAGATTGATGATTTTGTCCACATCACTGCAGCATTTAGACCGAATTTACCCATATCACCTTCATCTATCTAATATACAAGCTTAATGTGATCGTTCTTATGTAGATTAGGCGCTAGTAGAGCTAGAAGTGCACCATCTGGGCCATCTAAGGGAAGAACACGTGAGATAGCAAGGTTTTGATCTGATTAACTGATAAGGCGATGGTGTGTGATGGGGTGTGGTAGGCGAAGAAATTTCGACCTCGGCTCCTTTAGCTCAGTGGTAGAGCGGGAGATTGCAGATCTTCAGGTCGCTCGTTCGAACCGGGCAGGGAGCTTGGTTTGCTTACATTTTTTTTTGTCGGTTGGGGCTGGGATTCTTTTGGTAGGAGGGTTTTGGTATAGTATCTCTGGTTTAGAGAGGTTGGGGGGGGGGTGAGGTTTGGCGGGGTTATTTTTGTCTTTTGTCACTGTGTTTGGTTGTGGATGATACTTGTAGATGGATGGATAGTTCTGGGTATTGAAGAAGAGCATATCAAAATAAACTTATAACGCCATACACCCAAGCGATTGCCTCCGTCACCATTGTCACATCTCTCTCCAACGTCCCCCCAATAGCGCCTTGCTAACCACCATCCCTTCCCTAAATCTTCTCAACCACCACCGCAGTCCCATACGCACAAACCTGCGCAAACCCACACAACTCCGCCGCATCAAACCTAAGCGCAATAACCGCATTAGCACCCCTCCCCATCGCCTCCCCCACCAGCCGCTCCTGCGCCGTATTCCTCGTGCGATACATCAGGTTCGTGAACAGCTTGATCTCGCCGCCGACGATGGAGCGCAGGATGGCGCCGATGTCGGCGCCCCAGTTGCGGCTTTGGACGGTGAGGCCGTAGACCGTGCCGAGCACGTTGGTGACGCGGTAGCCGGGGATGTCGTTCATGGTGGTGACTATGAGGCCGTGGGTGTCGACGTGGGAGGAGGGGGATTCGGCGGCGAGGGCTTTGGCGTCTTCGGATTTGCCCATGGTGGTGACTGGGGGGTTGGAGGTGAAAGTTTATGGAGTTGTTACGTGGGTTCTTGGTTTGTGAGGGTTTGTTATAACTTTTGTTATAACTTGTGGTGGTTGGTATGAGTGTTTGATATTAATGCGGGGTTCTGGAGTGTCTTGTAATGCTGAGTTGCGGATTAGGGATTCAACTGTCAAGCAGAACACTTCAGAATATGAAGAAGAGATAAATGCGTCATTCCGGGGAGATACTCCCACCTACTTATATACCCCGCCGCCGCCGCCAACAGCGCGACATGATTCCCAATCCAGAAGAGCTATTTCCAGAGTTCAGCCTTGCGAAATCAGGGTGTAGGCAACAATCGGCGTGCCTTGTGCCGATCGCGACTCACTGCGATTGGTCAAATAAAAAGCGCAGTTGTCATCGCTTGTGGCAGCGTTGCCGTATCCCGCTCACATTGCCAGAGTGGGAAACTGGATCATTGCACCGCCTCAAATGAAGGGAAATGGCTGTCTATAGTTTTGGGGTTGATGTGTTGAAGGTGAACTGGCGATGTTGTCAGTGAGCGCGGTTAGTTAACTCGCCACCCTTAACCATTCCATACACTGGATACCTCGTACATATCCCGATAGGGAAGAGTGCATGATGTCCGAAGGAGATTCACTTGGATCTCTTGTGTACCCCAAACTGATTTAAATCACGTGTCAATACAAATGCTAGAAACCTGTTCGAGGCATAGTCGAACAAGAGGTTGGCTCTGGTTAATGAATGCCTTGATGTGCATTTTGAGGTTTTTGGGGCTGGAGGTGGTGCAGACCGGACGAACGGGGTAGGAGGGAAGAGTTGTATCAACGAACCGTATTTGTCGAAGCAAATCCACCGACATTGAGACTCCATCAAGGGTGGTTGGAAGATGAACAGAGTTAGAGCTTGTGATAGAGTCCATCTTGGGTTTATTCGTATCCCTGTTGATGGTTGAATGTCGTGTTCGTCAATATCTTGATAGAAGTATATATGCAATACCGGTAAAAGCACCACAACATGAATGTGTCCTGTGAAGCATAGTAGTAGAAGCAGGAGAAACTCTAGGACGGCTATTTCACGCACTAGTGCATTGAAGTGTGCAGCTAGGTAATACATGTTTGGAAGAGATATAAAAATTGACTATGGCACATGGGTTCTATTTGACAGTGACAAAAGGAAATCTCTATTAGGCCTCACTGCCATCTAAGCCTTCTGGGCAACAATTCCTGTTATCCATATTAGCATTGTTCGGTGTATGATCTGGGTGTGATGTGAACGTACTCTCAACGTCAACGACGCTCTGCTGGAGAATGTTCTGAAGGGTCTTGGGGTTCTCGAGCTCCTTCTGGATCTTGGCAATGATGGACTGCGCAAGCTCCTGCTGTTGGCGCTGCTTGACCTGTCCCTCGTAACGCACCCACGAGTCGAGGACGCTCTTGGCCTCAGCGGCAAGGGCGGTGGATTGCTCGAGCTCGAAAACCTTGGCCTCGATCTGGGCAGTCTCCTATTTCGGGTCAGCAATCTGCACAAACGACAATCAATCTACAAAACGCACCTTGGAGACCTCGAAAAGAGACTTGGTGATGTCGACGACACCGCCCATCTGCTTAACGTTCTGGATGCGGGCGTTGACGGCCTCGGTGTGGTCGGCGCGGGCAGAGTTCAAGATATCGCGGATCTTGCTGATCTGTCCCTCGGCCCATCCGGAGTATGCTGGTCCAAGGTACTTGCCAACAGCGAAGAAGATGGCGAGGAGCGAGAAACCGACGACGGACTCCTCGTTGACGACATAGTACTCGTTGCTGAGAGCGAAGATGGACGCGCCAGCTCCGGAGGAGAGGATGGCGGCCTTGGAGACCAGGGAGTTGCCTGGAAGGGAATCGAGGATCGATTGGGCCTTCTTCTTTGGCTCCTCAGCGGGGACGCTGGAGTTGTATCGGGCGGTGCTGGCCAGAGTTGGGAGAGCCCGAACCGTAGCGGTTGGACGGAGACGTGCGGCCCCTGTTTTGTCGCTGTCAGCACATCGCCTACGGCTTCAATTGATCAATCGCCAATTGCCCGCGACTGGGACTACATACCAAGGGCGGTCTTTGCCACGCGTGATGCCATTGTGATGAGAGGGGGGATGATGCAGAGCTTGTGGTCTTGTCGTGAAGAACGGGAACCGACGTTAAAGCTTCCTCGCTTCGGCTCGGAATAAAGCGTCAAGTCACGTGTACGCGAGGCTGAACGAAATTCCAAAAAAGTTTTGGGAAAGAGCCTCACCATCGAGACGGCGCTCAAACACGAACACCAAGACAATTCGACATGCCGTCAATATTAAAATCGGCTACTGGTGCAGCGAAGAGGAAGAGAGTGGACTCCCAGCGAAAACCTGCAAAGCGCGCCAAATCGGAGAGCAGCGACGACGAGGACGATACCCAGGCGCAAATCCTCTTACTTGAGAGCGAAATCCTCGAATCAAAGAAGAATTACAACAACATTCCGAAATTAATTAAGCTACTTGAGTCTGAGGATGCAATTATTGCCTCAGTTGCGTTATGCCGAGTCTTTTCGAGACTTGTTGCGTCCGGAGAGTTGACCAAGAAGGCGGGGAGCTCTGAGAAAGACGAGGTGGTTGTGGCGTGGCTCAAAGAGCGGTACCTGGAGTATAAGACCGGGCTATATGAGCTTCTTGAGTCGCCGGAGGTTTCCCAGACTATTCTTGCACTGTGCATGCGCATGCTGAAGACCGAGGGCACATACGTGAAAAATGGCCAGGACTATAACTTTCCCTCGAGGTTCCTGACCGACCTGGTGCGAACGCTCTTGGGTTTGGAGGATGGAGAGGATGTGCGCAAGGAGTTCGCGGAGAAACATGTCGAGGAATACGACGATATTCGATTTTACACTTTCGAAGCAATTGCGAAGGTTCTTGAGGAAGAGGGCCAGCTTGTGGACAACGCCGTTGGTATCCTGGCTATCATCGAATCTGTGCCAGAGGATAAAGACGAGTTGGAAGACTTCTACATAGCCGCACCCACGAGGACTTCACACACCCTCTACTCCTTGTCGGCGCACAAGAGGCAGGCACAGGCTGCCTGGCTTGCAGTCCTCAAGCAGGATCTGTCAAAGGAGCAGCGCAAGAACATATTAGGGATGATGAGCTCTTATATTGCACCTTGGTTTATCAAGCCAGAACTGCTGATGGATTTCTTAACCGATTCTTACGATACCGGCGGATCTACATCACTCCAAGCGCTTTCCGGCGTATACTACCTGATTCAAGAGCGAAACTTGGATTACCCGCTCTTCTACAGGAAGTTATATTCCCTACTCGATTCTGGCATCCTTTACTCGAAACACCGCTCCAAATTCTTCCGCCTCCTGGATACGTTTATGTCCTCTACACATTTGCCCGCCGTGCTCGTCGCAAGCTTTATCAAGCGCCTGTCAAGGTTAACACTGTACGCTCCTCCTGCTGGAATAGTTGCGGTGGTCCCTTGGATCTACAATTTCCTCAAGAAGCATCCCACCTGCACATTTATGATTCACCGTGAGGTGAAAGGTGCAGAAGAGCTTCTCGAGGAGGGGATGGAAGATCCGTTCCTGGAGGGCGAAGAAGACCCAATGGAGACCAACGCCATCGAAAGCAGTTTATGGGAGATTGTGACTTTACAGTCACATTACCACCCCAACGTCGCCACTCTGGCGAAGATCATATCGGAGCAGTTCACAAAACAATCATACAGTCTGGAGGATTTCCTCGACCACTCGTACGGAAGTGTAAGTCTAGTTTCCAATTATATTAAGTGCATATGCTAACTTCGTCACAGATGCTTGACGCTGAGCTTTTGAAGGAGGTGAAGAAGACGCCAGTGGTGGAATTTGAGATACCCAAGAAGATCTTTACGAAGCAAGATGCTTCTTCGGAGGTGAAGGACAGCCTGTTGGTGAAGTTGTGGAAATTCGAGTAGAGATATTGAGTTACGGAGGTATGTGGCGTATATAGAAATATAGTGACCTACATCTGAATGATGTATTCACCGCAAGAATATGACATTTCATATGCACATTGTCATAATGCAAGACGACCCGGATATCTCATGTACTTAAAGGTGGAACTAAATGATAAGAGTGTAATATCAGATCCATCAATAATAGAATAGCTGCCAAATCCAGAAGTTTCAATAACACCTGTAATTATGCTTATTTTTTGTACCTGCATTCTACCTGCCTAATATTGCCCCATAGACAGTGGCTATCCCTTTGCGCCTCCAATGCAACCCTGACAACAAATCCTCGCCTTCCCTCTGTAAGCACCGCGCCCAAACTCCTCCCATGCAATTATGCGACATCCTCAAACTTGAGATCATCATCTTCATCGTCGTCTACATCCGCCATCTCCGAGTCATCGAGCTCTTCCGTCTCGGGGGCTGCATCAGCAGTCGACTCGTCGATGTTCATTTTATACTCTTTCTTCAGCGTCCAGTGCATGGCAAAGCGTCCACTCCGCGGCATGTCCGCCACCTTCTCCAGCGTTTCCCTCAGATATGCTTCCGGCTGCTGCAATTTCGCCCGCAGCGCCTTCATCGACCAGAAATTAAACTCCTTGAAGCACTGGAAGATAAGATCCAGTAGCTCGTTCTGAGGCATACGAGCAGTCTTTGTGTCCTGGCCAGATTTCGACTTGAGCGCTCCAGTGTTCTTGATGAAGCCACCAAATGCCTCCTGGGCGCGAATGGTTCCAGGCTGGATGAAGCCTGCCTCCCGAGACCGCGTGCCTGAGAGGAAAACGGTGCGGTTTCGCGGCTGCATAGCGGCGATCGTGCGCTGGGCCAAGAGGCGGTTCGTCTCGGGGTTGTCGACAGGCACGCAGTTGATCTCGTGGGCGACGCGGCCGGCGAGCGTGGTCTTCTTTGGGATGGCACGTTTGTAGTATGGCTGGAAGCGCTTCTTGGGATCCCATGGCTGCTTGTCGGTTGGCTTGTCGAACTTGGGACGGGTGAGGCGCGCGGGGAGATTGGCAGTCGCTGGGTCAAAGCCTTTGCGTGATTTGGACTTAAAGCCAGGAAGATCCTGTTCCGTGAAGACGAATGTGTTATCCACAGTCTCTGCGGTGATATCCAGGCTGAACTCTTTCGGGACCGCTTGATGTTGCGCCAGGTCGGGCCGGAGGAGCATCGTCAGGCTCACCTATTCACAGTCAGTGGCAAGTCAAGTAGAATGAAGTTGTGATATGTACATCTTTTACGCCATCACTATTCGTGTTCACAGTCTTTCTGACCGTACCCAGCCGGATCTCAGCGTCATCATCCAAGTCGTTCCATTGCTCCCAGAGGTACTTCGGCACTCGCGCGAGATATACGTTCTGGAAGTTGGGATCGGTGCTAAACTCTAGGTCCCCAGCATCCTCAAAAGCTTCCGAGTCTGCGAATGATGCGGGGGAGGCCCCTATGGTGTCGGGGTCGCGCTTGATGTATGGGTCTTGCTTAATGTGAGGCTCCGCCATTGTCCTGACAATCTGGTGAGTTCAGCGGACGTTTTCCATGAAGCTGAAGGCAACTTGTATGACCAGTATAATATGTATATGCCCTTCCCTTGCCGTGCTCACAATCTTCACGGATGAGTGAAAGAAGGTTGAATGAGACAAAGCCGACAGCTTGTGGCGAGACCTAAGAACCAGGCTGAGGAGCGCGGAAGCTACTCGCTGAAAAGGGTTTAGTTCTCTTTTTGCCTGTATTTGCCGCCTTCCAGTACAGCAAGCTAAGCGCCACTTCGCGCATCTTCCACTCATCATCACTTCATCGATCCTACAGTTTGGTTTAACATTTACCCTCAACCACGACATAATTTGAACAGAACAGAGAAGAAACTGCTGACGAACAGGATCTTGCAAATATGGAGTCCGAACAGGAGATGATGACCAGGATCAGTAAACTGGCAGGTAATTCAGCCCTGAGACTTAATCCAAGAGGAGAACAAACTCACAAACTTGCAGGTCAGATAAATCGCCACAAGAACCAACAGCCAGCGAGCACATCGGCGTCAAACTTCCAGGCACAACCTGGAGCGCCCTATCCTACTCCAAACTGTACGTATTCACCAACTGGAAGCCCATCAACCGGATCGAACCCTAACAACCACGCAGATAATGCCCACTCGAGTCAAGGCCGACCACCTTCGCGTGGAGGTTACAGCAGAGGCAGAGGATATTATCGAGGAGGCAAACCTAACACCATCCACCGAAACAGAACACTGGTCCTGAACAACGCAAACACGGGATCCAAGGCGGACGGCGCCCAGGATGACAGTTCTGGGGCTACAGCAACAGCACCGGCATGGGTCACGAAAACAGATCGGCACATGCAGCTGATCAACCCTGCGATATACGAAAAGCAAAGCCAAGATCGTGCCCGCGCTATAGAGGAGACGCGCAAGCTGAGACTGAAGCAGCGAGACGACAGGGAGAAGTACAAGCTGAGCAAACACCTGGAGCGACTGAGCGGCAACATGGGGCCCCACGGCGTAAATCAGCGCGCACCCCAAGCCTTACCGAACTACGAAATCACAGTCGAGGGCATCCGCTTCCGCGTCATGAAGGATGGCAGCAAACTGGCCAAGGTTCCTGGCGACGAGAACGCCGCGAAACTGACCCCGAAGTCGGCGACCGTCGGAGGCGTCCGCTTCTACCGCAGCAAGAACGGAAATCTTTACCGCTCTGGCATACTCAAGGCGCAACGGTACGACATGCGCGCAGCCTCGTCGCGTGACACCCCTCACCGTTCCACAAGGACAAGACTAACACACTCCCACTCTAGGCAACCCGCAGCCATCAAGAAGATAGACGAGCCGTGCAGGCTCTTCTCTACGACCGGTACCTCATTTTCCATCACCATTCCCAACTACTACCCCCAATACTATTCCCGAATTACCAATCCCCCGGTAAGCCCGCACATGAGACTAACTGATAAATCTAGGTATCTGTCCCAAGGGCCCACGCTGCCGCTACACTCACGACCCGGCCAAAGTCGCTATCTGCAAGGACTTCCTGCAGACGGGCACCTGCGCCGCAGGCGATTCCTGCGACCTCTCGCACGAGGCGACGCCCTCGCGGACACCCGCCTGCCTGCACTTCGCGCGGGGCAACTGCGCCAACGAAAGCTGTCGGTACGCGCACGTGCGGGTATCGGCATCGGCGCCGGTGTGTCGCGCGTTTGCTGTGTACGGGTACTGCGAGCGGGGCGCGGAGTGCGACGAGCGACATGTAGTGGAGTGTCCTGAGTTTAGCAGGACGGGAGAGTGCAAGACGAAGGGATGTAAGCTGCCGCATCGGCTGAAGGCGAGTATGCTGCGCAAGAACGCGGCGATGGAGGGGGAGGAGGGCAGCGATCTGGAGAGCGAGGAGGAGGAGGGCGAGGAGATTGGGAGTGACGATGTGGATTCTGATGATCTGGAGGTGCTGGGGCTGGAGGGGGAGGGGGATGCAGAGATGCTCGAGAAGGATTACGTGCAGCTGTGATGACTGCTCATTCAGCTCGTCATGGGCAACTTTGGCATGCTAATATCTAGGTCTACGCGCCCGTTTACTGGACACTCCCACCTCGTCTGGAAGAGAAGTATCCCGCTATTTTCCTCTTTTCTCCGCCCCCATCATTGGCAATCTGTCTACTCTAGATACCCTGCCTCGCCTTAGCATTTCCTTGCTTTGCTTGCTTGATTGCGTGTTGCTCGGTGGTGTGGTCAGCGGGTGTTTGGATTCCGAACCTCGCTTGGGAGCCCAAGGAGGAAGTTTTGGACGGGGGGTTGGGGGATGGGTGGATGATTGATGGATGCGAGATGATAGATACCCCACTCCCTCACTTTGAGGCGGGGAGTTTTATGATCTACGTTTTTCGTTTGGCGACCCTTTTTCTTTTGTTTGGCGTGCGCAAGGGAGCAGGCAAGGGGGCAGGCAAGGAAGTGAAAAAAGAAGAAGAAGAAAAGAAAAAGAAAAAGCAGAAAGAATAGCACACTCTCAAGAGAAGAAACTATAGGAGAGAAGATACAATAATAAAACTACAAATTATCTGAGAAAATCCAAGCCCACAGCATCGAGCATGAAATGGAAAGTGCATGCATCGCGCCTTCCTTGTATCTCAGATCCCATTCTCCGAATATAGATAGAAGCATGTCCCAATCGTGCCTTCCATCTCTAAAATCTGCGCCGAGTATAGAATGAAAAGTGTATGCATCGTGCCTTCCTCACATCCCAGACCCCATTCTCCGAATATGGAAGGAAGCGTGTCCCGATTGTGCCTTCCATCTCTGGAATCTTTGCATGACATAAAGTATAGAATGGCAAGTGCGTCCATCGCGCCTTCCTCATATCACATATCCCATACATGGAAGGAAGCATGTCTCGATCGTGCCTTCCCTCTCTAGAATCTGCAATGGATGATAATGTGCTACCTGTACAAACAAATGGTTCTCGTAGTGCGTAAAATTATTTGATTTGATTCAATGAACTTAGTCTGTCTAATACACCCAGTTTCCTCAGGAGGGAGGCATGCAAAATGTCCACTCCCTACCCCGCAGGATCCGCGAGAAACTCCTCTAGCGCCCCCGCTGTAAATGGAATCACCTTGACATCCTCTGCATGCTCGGTGAGAAAATCATACCCCTCCCTCTCCGCAGAAAAAACATACTGAACAGCCCCCTCCCCCTTTCCCCGCTTCCCCACGCAAAATACGTTCTCCTTTCCAACCTCCTCCCACGTCCTCATCCCCTGGTAAACGGCGCCTGCCCCATACGCCGCCGTCCCTATCACAAGGGTTGCATCACGGTACTTCCTCAGATGGGGTGGGAGGAATTTCTGGTTGCGGCTGTGCCAGAGAAGTTCCTTCCACTCGTTGCTGGGCCAGGATACGATCTGTAAATCTGGGGAAGGGAGGGTTTCGATCGCGGTGTTTGGGATAAGGAGGGAGATGATGGCGATGGATTCGCGGGGGGCACGGCGTTTAGCGTATGCGGCTTGGTGGCGCGCGAGGTTGTGGTCGGGGGTGAAGTAGTAGAGGGATCTGGTGCCGCTGAAATCTGAGGGGGCTGGGGTTAGGATGGCCCCGGTTCTATCTAATTTGCCGTTTTGGTCAAGGAGTCTTGTGATTTGGCCGCGGTCTATGGATTTGAAAAGGGTGGTGTATCCGGGCTTATTAAGGGGGGGCTGGTTGTTGAAGTCGGTCTCTGGTGTGGTTGGTTGCTGAGAGTTAGAGGTAGATGGCTGGGTTTCTGAGAGCCCTCTGTATCGCATTTCAATAGTTTCCTTGGCCCAGTACAGGCAGGAGTTTGAACGCCGGATATGGGCGAAGTTGGGATCCATAATGGCATCTTGTGTAGGCATATTGATGCCACATGCATCTAGGCAGTCCCGCCATTCGTCGTCATTGTCCCCCACAGCATCTACTCTATTCGTAACTGACCAGCCAACAATGAAGTCGTCAAACATGACTGTTAAACCGCCATCATCTGGATCAGTCTCTCGGCGTGGGTCGTATTCTCCCCTTTCCCAGTGTGTCCATCGGTTCCATAACTCCTCGACTTTTGTAATGGATAGCCCTACGTAGATGAGGGTCTCAAAGGAGACGATGGAGTTATCAGACATTTTGATACTGAGGAAGTTGAGGAGACGGGTTTGTGTGACGAGGTTGGTGATGGTGACTATGAGAGGAGGGACTAACTTGGGATTATATATGATAAGATTGACTCATAAGTCTAGTCGTGTGGTCTAAAAGTCAGGAGAGGGACCCTGAATAGTAGTAGTGGTTATAGCAACTGTAATTAAGAAATCGATTTAAGACCATATGATAAACTTCACTCATAAATCTACTCATACGGCCCAAAAGTCGGGAGATGGACTATACACGACGACTGAGATTATAGCTACTGCAATTAAAATAGAGGCTCTAAATTACTCCCTTTCTCAGGGCTATAATTGTTATATTAGTCACTCAGAGATAGAGCTAGGCACTGATGGTTCGATTTTCTATATAAAAATGGCGACTATATTTATGTCTAAAGATTTAAACTTCAGAACTAAAATATACTAACTATACTAACTTCAAACAGCCCTATCTCTACAAAACGGCCTCATTTAATATACCCCAAGTAAAACACTAAAGAAAAAACAGCAACAAAACCCAACCATTATCTAAGAAAAACCCAGACCACAAACAATACAAAAAGACCAACAATAGATGAGCAAGCAAACCAGTAAGCAAACACGCGATTATCGCAGTGCATGCATGATATGATTCGATATAATTTAATCCGATCTGATTACCCATCACCACCACCAGCACCCCCGTGACAAATCTCAACCCCCCCCTTCCCAAACCATCCATCCATCTTCCCAAAAGTCGCCTTCCACGCGAGGAACCAAGGGGGGAGAGGTCGGGAGGTCGCGCTCCCTTGCTTCCTTGCTTGGTTGGGACGCATTTGTCTTCCTGTGCATCACCTTACCTCACCTCGCCTTACATTCCCGTGCTTACCATGCGTACCATGTGTTAGATCACTGTGGCTGGGGGGTTATTATGACATTCTGTTTCCGATTCCCATTCTCATTCTCATTCTCATTCTAGATCTCGGCCCCATTCTCACATCCCGCTAGATCCATCTTACTTTCCAGCCCCTCCGTCTCAGTCCCTATACCCGTCTCTCACTTCCCAGCCTCTCCCTGAGTTCCCATCTCTTCACCGCCGCAAGAGAGAGGGAGAGAGGGTCTCCAAGCCCTGGGGCGGTGCACACACACACCGCGTTTGAAAACCAAAGAAAAAAGCAAAAAGACGAAGAAGGAGAAGAAATGAAACTCCCTGCTGCCTAGTTGACCCCACCAGCGACCCAGTGCCAACGCCCACGTGTAAACCACTCACTCATCCATCTCTCGGCTTATACGCTCATAGTAAGCAAACGCGTCACTGGACCGCTCGTTGGTGAAGGAATATGTGGATCCTAAAATCCAAAACAAAAAATAGACACCCTAAAAAACACACCCACCTCACCGCTTATTCCAAGTCTCCCAGAATCCCCGTTTGCGTTTGCCTTTGCAATGGTGAGACGTGGAGCTTGGGATAGAAACGGCTCCCACGTATACTAGGTGGGTAATCATATCGGAAAGATGGAAGGGAAGAGAAGAAGAGCGTGTGGGGCGGACGGACGCAGGTACGTCTGTTTGCAGCAGTGTTCGTTCGTTCGTTCGGAGGGAGAGTGTGTGGTTGGAGGAGGAAGATGAGGAGGAGGGTGTCACGTGATGGGTTGAATGTGTGTGTGTGTGTGTTTGGTTGTTAATTACGAAACTGCTTTTTGTGACTGGCTCTCTATCTGTCTGTCAATATATTAAGTGGACTGTTCAATTACTCATTGACAACACTCACATTCCTCGCCCCTGCCTACGCTCAACCGGGGAACAGCGGGTAGAGAAGGCTGATCGATCGAATGAATCGCTCTTGGGTTATTTACCGCCTTTTTTCTCTTTTCGCAGAATGAATGTAAGGTACACGTACCCTGCTGTGGAGTGGAATGGAGACCGGTACTTGTCTACGCACCAAAAATAGAGAGGAGGTGAAGTCACCGCTCCTTTTGGAAGGGGTTGCTCACTCCACCTGAACCCCTTCGCCTCTCCGCTCACAAAAATCAATGGGCTGGGCGATGAGCGGTGGGAGAGAGAGAGCCGGAGCGGGTCTGGCTAGGGGACCAGCGGTGATGGATGGGGTTTGGTAGTCTCAGTCTCACAGTACCGTACCCCGGCGGTGATGGATTGATTTGCGCACAGTACCCTGATGATCCATCGCATCCCTTAACTCCAAGACAGACAAACAAACAGAAACCCGGGACCCAAGCTTAGCTCCGCGGTAGATAGCGGACCGGGAGAGCGGGAGCGGTGGATCGGTGCGGGTCGGGTAGAGAGGGAGGGAAGGGTTAGGGTACCGAGTGTGCGGTGTGCGGTGTGCGGTGTGCGGAGGTTGGGAGGAATTTCAGTTCAGTTCAGCGGGTGTGAGGTGACTGCAGTGAGTGTGAGTGTGAGTGCGGTGCAGGGAAAAGATGAGGTGTCACCCGCAGCAGCTGGCAACAAGAATAGGCAATTAATCCCCCATTTTCTGGGCTGAACTGATTCAGGTTTCTGATATTGGCTGGCTGGATGGTGCAGCGGGAGTGGGGGATTTGCACCTACAGTAGAGGAATGTCACGGCCATCACTCTCGGTCTCATACCCCCTTCCGTCCCGTACATCTGCTCCCTTCCTACCCGACACCCAGGCGAGGATCACACAGATCCCCCGCGCGTCGCGTACGGACATCCTCCGATCCCGCGCAGGAAGGGGGCGAGACATGGCGTTCCGGCGCGTCGGAGCGGTATGGTTGTGGGTGGTTGTGTTCCAGTTCAGTTGGGGTTCAGTGTGTTGACGCTGGGAGGGGTCGTGATTCAGCGAATGGGAGTGATTCAGATTCAGCGGTGGGTGGAGCGGAGTTACGTATTCTCCGTGTGTGGTAGCAACGACAGTCAGGGACAGACAGATAGATGGAGGGGGTGGGGGATTTTCGCGCGCCCCGAGCCGTGGTCCGTTGGTACTGTAACGTAGTCTACTCTAGAACTGGCTGGCGCCGTGGAGAAAGGGAAGGGGAAGGGAAGGAAAGAAGGAAGGAAGTCTACAACCAACCCAGCCAGCGATCCCGCGAATCTGACACCCCCCCTCTCATCCTAGACCTTCCCGTATTCCCATAATAGTACAAACCGCCATACCTACCCAAGCCAAGCAGGCAAGGTAAACAACCTACCTCCGTCAGCTCTCACCAATAAGAAGCGCAGAAGCTGCTTTTTCAAACGGACGAGGCGAGGTTGGGCAGCATCGGCGCCGTATGCACGTCTACCGCCTGTCCAGGCTGGGCAAACTGCCTCTCGCTCGCGTCCCAATCAGGTCGTCACGACGGTGGGCGGGCGAGGGGGGGTGGCTGGATGGGGAGATGGGGGCGCGTCCGCGAGGGGGCGACTAGCTTGGTGGGTTTGGAGCGCGAATCGTAGGACGTGGGGAGGTGCGAGAGGGGGTCACTGGTGTGGTCACTGGTGCGGGATCAGGCGTGCGTGCCTTTTTGCTTTTCTGGAGAGAGCTTGGACGACGCGGCTTGATGGGGATGGGCTGATCTGTCTAGGCTGGCTGGCTGGGCTGGAGGTGGGAGGTGGGAGTGGGCTTGTGCTTGGTTAGGGCTTGGTGAGGTCGTTGTGGCCTATGAGGATGGATAGCTGGGGGGGGAGAGGGTGGAAGTGAGATGGACGGTGGGTGAGATCAGATATTCCTGCCCAGCGAAAGTAGGGCTGCAGATGCCCAACCTGGTGAGTGGTCGTGGACGTTCTGTTCGTGCGTGCCTTATGGGTTTAGGATGCTGCGGTTTATAGTTTCTTAGCAGCTTAGCACTTTTACCAAGGAAGACTCCGTATGGTATTGTATTGTATTGTATGTGGGCGCAGAGAACGGCGGACGGACCTGAAGTGTTGAGGACGCGCGTGTGAGAGAGTCAGTCCACCGACTGACTTGATGTCACATCGGTGCCGTATAGGCTGTACGAGAGGCAGGATGGGAGGCGCTTTTGTAGAGATCCGTTTGGATGGGTTTTGGGGTGTGTTTGTGCTATGTTTGGCGATTTGCGTGAGTGAGATAGTCTCGTGAGATCGGCGTGTGAGGTGGGGGGTGACTATCGGTTTGTCTGTCACTGGACTGGATGTGAATGGATTCGACTGGATTACTGGATGTTGGGCTTGGTGCTTGGTGTTTGTTGTTCTGTCTCGCGATGCTGCTATGGTAATGTTGTGCACAAAACTGTGGATGTAGATGTGCACAAATGGTCAGCCAGTCAGTTGGGGAAGGAAGGAAAGGACTGTCGGTTGGTAGGGATATTTTGTGCCTGTGTATTGTGTGTTGAGAGTAGAGTGTATGAGGGTTTGTGTGTACGCCGTGTGGATCTGTACTGCCTACTGCGTGTGTTTGTGTTTGTATGATGTCGACTCTGTATCTCTGTGTATCTCTGTATGCTGTATATCTGCATCTCTGCATCTCACCATGTCTAAGGATCTCTCTGTACTCTCGGAGTGAATATCTGTATAATCCGTGTGCACTCTCTCGGCTGTATTGTATAATCCGTATGCTCTGTAGCTGTATCTGTATAGTCCGTACGCTCTGTAGCTGTATCTTTGTATAATCCGTGCCCTCTCTGTATAATCCGTGTAAACCTCTATCCCACCTCTGCATAGCTATCTCTATCTCTGTGTCTCTGTCTATGTCTCTGTCCATGTCTCTGTCACCCCAACTCCTCCCATTCTCACTCGTCCACTCGGTCTCTCTGATCCCACTCTGCTCCAAGACTGCTCCCGCTACTCCCACTACTCCCGCCACTTCCACTATTCCCGCCATATCTGACACCCTGACTAACTCTGTAACTGTATGTCTGTATATCTGTATGCCAGTATGTCATAATGTCATAATCCGTGTTGCCATGTCTCTCTCTCCCTGTATCCCTCTTTCCTTGTATCATAGCTGTATCCCTCTTTCCTTGTATCATAGCTGTATCCCTCTTTCCCTGTATCTTCTTTCCCTGTATCTTAGCTGTATAGCTGTATCCCCTCCCTCTTGGCCTTGTTTCCTCCCTTCCCCCTCCCCCTTCCTACCCAAGCCAGCCTCAAATCCGCGGTCAGTCGCTCAGTCAGTCTTGTCAGCCCTTCTCACTCATCCCTCTCTCCCACGCGCAAATCACAATCCTCAGATCACAAACCTCTTGCCCCCTTCCCAACCCCACTAGGCCTCTCACTTGGCGGCCTCCTCTCCCCTCCCAGTCACAGACCGCATCACAACCCACCGCTCTGTTTGGTCTCGGTCGTCCCTGCCTGTCTCTGTCCCTGCCTGTGCGGTCTCTCCTGTGGTCCCTCTAAAACCCATCATTCCATCATTGACCCTCTCATGAGTCTCCGATCACCACCCATTCATCACCCTATCCCTCTCATCTCTTCCCAATCTCCACCCCCCCTTCACCCTTCACCCTGTGTCGTTCGCCCTTCCCTCCACCGTCCTCTCATACTCGTCCTCTCATCACTTACTGCTCCCTGGATAAACTGAAGGCCCGTCTTCTGAAGACCCATCACATCCTCGCCCAACATTCTCTCAACACTCTATTCCCTACAGTGGTTGCTTGTACTCTACTCTCACTCACACACTGGAACCCCACCCGCTCTTCCCGCAGCTCTTCCAGTTCTTCCAGTTCTTCCAGTTCTTCCAGTTCTTCCAGTCTTCCAGTCTTCCACTCCTCTACCTCTACCATCTCCTCCTACCCATCTACCGCCCATCTACACCCACCCACCTCCATCTCCACCACCCACCTCCCATCTTCACCTGCACCGTCCCTTCCCGTGCATGCAATAAATAAATACACACTACCCTCCCACCTCTTATCCCACCTTTTGTCCATATCATCAATACCAACAGTTTATATTTCCCCCACACACAACATCGATACGCTTCCTGCATCGATCACGCCTATTATTACAATTACTACCTTACTTCTTTTACTACCCTACTACTACTCTACTACTACTATTACTACTTCATCCTTCCCTCCCTCCATCCATTCATCCTACATCAACTACCACTACTACCACCAACCAACCTCCTCCCGTTGTATATCAAATACCAACACCAACACCGCTTTTCATCCTCCACTTCCTCACCTCACCTCACATCCACCGATCGATCACTTATCATTATTACTCCCTCTGCACTACTATTTACCTACTTCTCCTCCTCAACCCCTAGCACCGGCAACAGGCATTCCTCTTCCGCTGCGCGTACTTTCAAGACATCGACTCAACAACATCCCGGTCGCATCGTCCAAATTCGCTTCACCGCCATTATCGTCCCGCACCCAACCTCTTCTCTCCCTCGCTTCCGCCACGGGAACATCAAACCAACAACGAACTACAACTACTACAACAACCCTTCCTCCTCCCACCCCAAGGCCAAAAAATATGGCGGGGTTTCAAATGAACAATTTCTACAGACCATCACAACTCTCCATCGACACACAAAACGAGAGGTTCTTCGACGACGACGACGCCAGCATCCTCGACGAGAACATCTTAGACGGTAGCGCTCTCGATTCCGGCCTCGAGATGTCCCCCTCCATGAGCAGGCGAGACTCCTACGCCCTCTTTTCCCCCAAGACAGAAGACTGGCAACACGTCGACATGCAGCCCAGCAACTCGAATAACCCGTTCGGCGAGCACAACCCGAACAACCCGTTTCTCAACATGGGACAGGCGAGCAACAACTACCCGCAACAACAACCCCACAACGGGTGGTCGCTACCGAACACTTCAGGGTCCTGCACCCCGATGCAGACCTTTGATGGCCTACCTGCAGAGTTTCAGAGCAACTCCGGCTTCAGGACAGCGCCCGTACACACTCTCTTCGGCAATGGAGCGACGCAACCGCCGCTCTTCTCGCCCGCCAGCACAGTCGTGGAGTCCATGCCAGCGTCGCCACAGAAGGACTGGGCCGTACCGGAGAGCATGGAGCACCGCGGGATGCCCAAGCGCATGCGACCCGGCAGTCCAGGGCTTCGCTCGCATTCGCCGTTGATGCGACGGGACGGTATTCGCAAGAAGAACGCCCGCTTCGACATCCCCGCCGAGCGCAACCTCTTGAATATCGATCACCTGATCCAGCAGTCGACCGACGAGGGCGAGATCAAGGAGCTCAAGCAACAGAAGCGCCTCCTGAGGAATAGGCAAGCAGCGTAAGTCCCCAAAACCCCACATTCTAACGGTACATCAACTAACTATATCAGTCTCGACTCGCGGCAACGCAAGAAGCAGCACACTGAGCGTCTGGAAGATGAGAAGAAGCACTACACCGCCCTTCTCACCGAGCTCGAAGAGGAACTCGCAGACGTCAAGATTGCGCTCGATGCCTGCACACGCAAGGAGGCTCAGTACCAGCAGTACATCGAGAACCTGCGTATGGAGAAGGAGGAGATGCTGCGCGCACACACGATCGAGACGGGCGAGTTACGCAAGAAGGTCAGCGTGCTGAGTGACCATGTCACCAAGCTTGAGGGTGCTGCGCTTGCGCAACCCCAGCAACAGCAGGGCTTCTCGAGCGACTTTGCCGATATCGATGCCCTCACCATGGATGGTGCGTGGGACGGAATCTCCTTCTTGCACGACTTCCCCTCCTCGCCTACCATCAAGGCGGAAAACCCGTCGCAGGCCCTCACCGTCTCCAAGTCAGGCGACTCATCCACCGTCCTGTCCGACGCCGATAAGCCTGCTGCACAAGGCCTCCTTCTCATGCTTCTCCTCTTCGGCGCCTTTGTGGCATCGAAGGGCTCTTCGCCGTCTATCCCGCGCATGTCCGACGATGTTCGTGCAGCCTCTGCCACCATCCTCTCCGACATCCTCCATGATGCCGGCGTATCCGCTTCTGCCGTCATGCCTGCCGGTGCCATGTCCTCTGTCGCTGCATCTGCACAGGCACACGCACAGGGACACGCAGACTGGACACAGCCATCGCACGTCTCACTCGCCGACCTTGATCCATCGCCACTTGCCGCATACGCGGACTCTCTCACCGCCCCGTCCGCACAGCAACAGCACGAGCAACTCTTCTCCCTGTCTGCCGCACAGTACAACGCTGCTGCCTCTCCGTCCTTCTCCGCCGCGCCGGCGCCGAGTAGTAGCGCCGGCCGCCGCAATCTCGCTGACAGCTTAGCTGCCATGCGTGAGGGTGCGCGGGCGAGTAAGACGGAGGTGTATACGCGTAGCTTACTGTGGGAGCAGGTACCGCGAGATGTTGTTAGGCGGTTTGCAAGGCTGGTAGAGGAGTGCGAGGGTGGAGGTGGTGAGGAGTGCGAGGCTCTCGGTTGAGCGGTGATGCACTCACTCATAGGCTTGACTATATCAGCCAAACTCTCAACTCTTTTTTCTTTTGTTACACACGACCACGACACGATATGATCACGAAGATAAACGCCCACGCACACGCCCCTCATGTCCTCGGTCTCTGAACCGACAGTTCTTTTACTCTTTATGTTATCCAGCGAACCCAGCGAGCGCGCGTTGATTTTTTTGATTTTTGCCACGAGGCACCAAATTGTCCAGAAATTGTTTTACTCATTTGCATTTTCCTCCATTTTCCTTTACCTGCACAAATTGTCCACCCATCATATCTTGTCACACCCAATCATGTCTTCAGCGATGGATATCTGAGTTTTCTGTTTTAGTTAGTTTTACTGCATTTAGCGCATAGGATGGTTTTGGTTTTTTGGAGATTCAACTCTTACTTTTTTCCCCGGTTGGTTACGGAACGGGCGGTTGGGTAGGGAAGGGAAATAGGACGGGAACATTGGAAATGGGCGGAAAGGAATTGGGATGGGAGGATCACGAAATGAAATGAAATGAAAAGATTTACACGAGCATATCACGGCCTCACAGCACACCACACACACACACACGCAAATACCATTTTCTTCCGTCCATCGTCTACGAAGTTTCAACAAACATTCTACTTTTTCTAACTTCTTCTTTTTCTAACGAAACGACCCTTTTTTGACGATGATGAACGAAATGAAAAGATGACGATTATGCCACGAGTACAGAACAGCCTGGGATTTTGAACAGAGACAGGGGGAGGGATGCATTTATGACGTGATGAATCATCATGGGAGATGACTGAATGAAGACACGCAGTTTTCTTGGGAGGGAGACTGGGAGCAAACTCGGGGCTGGGGAGATGAGTCTCTGGCGAGTTTGAGGAGGGTTGGCTCACCTCCTCCTTCCTCTGTTGAGGATAAGGAGGAGGGAGCACAGGGGAGTTGTGGATGAGAATGGGGGGTGTGAAACGAGAGGCACGGGGAGAAGATGAATGGTAATGGTGATCGATGAGATTTGGCAACAAAAAGGAAAATTTATTATCAATATCTTAATCTACTCTACCTAACATATCTAATTTCAAACACCACCCTTTTTACACACATACAAATTCATTTCTATGATGCTTTAGATGTGAGATTTAGTGAGATTTGCTTATTTGCTGCTGTTGTGTTGTGCCTGTGCCTGTCAGTCTACCTGTTTCGGTGGGTTTCAAACACCCACCAACCCAACGGCTTATTTAGTTAGTTACCAGAACCAAAAATAGAAAGAATCCCGATTGAAGAAGAAATATAAACACAGCGAGTGAGCGGGGATCCCACGCGTTCCACCCACCACTGTTGTAACTATGTAACGAGCGAGCACACTACACTTAAACACACTTCACACTCTACAGCACAGCACCACAGTAGAGTACACTACACACAGGCACAACAGCTCAAGCTTCACCCCCACTACACCCTCACTCACAATAGACAAAAAACCGAACATCCGAGTCCCGTGAGGAAATATTACACTGCCTTGCGTGCGTGCGAGGTTTGTCTATCTATTGTATCCTATCCTATCCGACTTATCCAGCCTATCCGACCTATCCTGTCCTATACTATGTAATGTGCGATTCATTGCACTGCGTTATCCCAATCCAACCTATCCTATGTTTCCAAAACGGCACATATCCAGCGAGAGAGCGACAGAAAGTCCAGCCCAGCCTGCCAGCCTAACCCAGTAGCCCGGCTCAGGCTGGCCTGCGTGCATGTCGGTACCCAACGTAGGCCGTCACGACCCCTACCCCGCGTGCGACCTGTAACCACGACGTCGCGGAGCCAACCAACCGTCAATTATGAGAAAGTAGGCGTAGGGTACGGCGGTATGTAGGCTGTATGCGGGCAGGTAGGAATGCATGAACCAACCCATACACGCCCACGCACACGTCTAGACCCCGCATCGATATAACATCCCGTTCGTGGTAGCGGTCCATACAGAGGAGGGAGGGTAGGGAGGCGGGATGGAGAACGGTAAGCGCGCGTTAGGACGTGCTGGTGGTGGGGGGGTCGTATTTGGGTTTCCAGATCCTGGGTGGGGGGTTAGCTTGTTTGACTCGTTGGTTTGGTGGCGGGTTTGGCGGGATATGAGGGGGGTGCCTGGGGAGTGTGTGGGGATAGGCTAGGGGTGTTTGAGGTGGAAGGGCGGGCAGTGGTGGGTGCTGGTGGCGGCGTATTGCTGGATAGCGGGATAGAAGCTGGCTTGAGCTTCATCCCCGTCAAGCTGAAGCTCTTCCTGCGCAGCACACGCCAACAACAGGCGTAACTCTGCACTGCATACCACCACCACACCACGCCACACACAACACACACCAGTGCATCGCATCTCCCAAAACTAAGACACGCCCGAAACGGAGGGCATGGAACGGTAAAAAGAAAAAAGCAGCACAGCAGGAAGTTAGGGTAGACTCACCATCCATTCCCAATGAGTTTATTCCCGCCTTTCTCGGCGAGACGGTAGTACTTTGCTGACTCCATCTGTGGTGGCTGTGTAAGCGCGGTTCTGCTCGGATCTTCGGGGTTTGGGGGTTGGGGTTCGCCTTGTTTGTGGATGGGTGGGTGAGAGGAGAGGGAAGGGGGGGAGGATGGTGCCTGATGGCGCCAGTGGGAGGGTGTGAGGGCGGGGAATCAGACTGGTCTGAGATGTGTGGAAGAGGGATTGGGGGTGTTTGAGATGGTAGATGCTGGGTAATAATTCGGGATTGGAATCGGGGATAGGCAAGGACGAATAGGAGGGAGATGGGGTGAAAACACACCTTATCTTTCTTACACCCGAACCCCTCAAGATAGCACCACCCAACCTCATTCATCGCGTCTAGAATCCCTTCCGTTAGCCGGCTGTGCATACGTGTGGGGGTGGGCCAAGAGAATGCGAGGGTCGTACCTGTGTCCCCTAGATTCGCGGCGGTTTCGTAATACTGCGTTTCGTCAGCTCCTTGTGCTACCGATTGACTTTCCCCTCACTATCGCCATATACCACCGACGATCACGAGGCGCACGCCACACCACTTACTTGCTTAGCAGCCACGGGGTCCTTCTTGACCCCCCAACCTTGCCTGAAGGAATTCGCGAGCTCGAAAATCGCGAGGACTAGCTCGCCCTTTGCGGCGCCTCCTTTTGCGGAGCCGGCGCGCAGAGCGGCTTCTTCGATGGAGGCGGCGTTTGAAGCGGCATAGGTGAGATATTGCATTGCCTGCGCTGGATCCGCTGTGCAGCCCCATCCGTGTCTATTCAATTGTGTCAGTAAAATGTTGCGAAAAAGAACCATGTAGCTGATGACCCAAGGACCAGCAAGGAGGTGAGTGAGGATAAAATCCCATACCTTAGAGCAAGCCCATAAAGCACCTGACTCAACGCATTATTATCCCCCCCCGGATCCGCCAACCGGCCAAACATCCGCGTCGCCTCCTCCAAGCTCCCCTCCTCATGAAGCCGGATAGCCTCCTGTATATTATCATCCGCCTTCTTATCCCCCACCACGCCCACGTTCTCTCTCCTCAGCTCCTGCCCCAGCGTCTGTCCCATCCCCACCCCCGCGGTCGCTAGCAGGCTTCCAACGCCCCTCTCAGGACTCCCGCTCGCGCTGCGAATGATAGCGCCGTTGCTCCTCGCAAGCAGCGTGGCGCGCTTCTCCCACTGGCGCTCGCGCTCTGTTTGGTCGCCCCCCCCTTCGGCATCGGGGGCTACGTCTATCGCGGGGAGGTCGGTGGGGATGTTTGAGCTGCTGACTTCGCGGCGGAGGTGGAGGCGGGCGGAGAGGCGGCGGCGGGTGCGGTTTTCGGGGTCGGTGGCGGAGGAGGCGGAGTTGGAGGATGTTGCGGAGTTGGCGCGGGGGCGCGAGAAGGGAGATAGGGAGAGGCGGTTGCGGCGGGGTTCGGGGGAGAGGGGCGGAGAGGTGTTGGTGTTGATGTTGATGTTGGTGTCGGTGTAGTCTGGGGGCGGAGAGGTGGGGCGGTGGAATGCGAATTCGGGGTTTGAGGGGGAGGAGACGGGGGGGTCGGGACGCTTTTCTTTGTCTTTCCTCTTGAGGAGGTCGCCGAGGGGCATTTTGGGCGGTGGGTGTGGTGATGACGGATGTGTTCGGGTTTGGAGGGTGCGCACGTGCGGGGTTGGGCGAGGTTGTAGCCACGAGAGGGAGCGAGACGGGATGGAGATGCGATTAAGAGGGTATTGAAGTGATCAATGTGGTCGCGACGGTGGCATGGTAGCTTGGCATGATTCTATTTCAGTGCTTTCATGGCTGAGCGTTGGCGCGCGGCGGAGGATGCAGGAACGTATACGAGGCGCCGAGGCTGTGTGCTCAGCCTCGTCATTTCGTTGATAGGTACCTGCGGTAATATCTGGGGAAGACACTTGCGAAGAGGCAAGGAGATTATTCTGTAGGGTGTTGTAAATAATAATGGCCATGCTGTAGCTGTTGATATTTGCCATGATGTAAACCTTTGATTGACCCCTTGTCTCATATGTGTCTATGCATTGAAGTTTGGGTAACTTACCCTGGCTCCCCCTCCACGTTCCTTCCCCACATGAGCTGCGAAAGGGTCTAAAACATATTGTCTTGACAGTATGAACAATGTCTCGTCTGAATTTCTCATTTCTCATCTTTCATTGCATAGGTGGTATCATAGCTACAAATACATGCGCACAGTTAAAATAAAGAAACTCCTCAACCCCCCCGACATCGAATCAGCATCCACCCCCCGCAGCTCCAGAACCTGCTCCAGCTGCAGCATTCCGCGTGCGCCTCTGCGCACTGTAATGAAGTGACACTATCGTCAACAAGACCATCATATCTAATTCCTGCCCCAGATCTCCCCTAACCTTGACAACAGCTTGCGAGGCGCTCATCATCCCCGAGGACGCATACTCCGCAAGCACCTCGTCCGGCCTCGCTGCCGCGACCAACTCCATGTCCCCCATAGGACGAAACGTCCTCGTCGTCACGCGCCTCCATAAGAAAGTCATATCTTCCTGGTCCGGCCCGCAGCGAAAGACAAACGAATACTCGGAGTGCGTAAATATGCTGCCCCTGGTTACCTGTGTCCAGGTTTTATTCCCCATCGCTGGATTGCCTAGGCAAACTTCATCGGAACCCCAGCTGTGTAGTTCGACTGCCCCTAAGACGGGACCGGTTTTGCTGCCTGCATGGAGAGTGATGCTCGGGCGGCCGAAGGTGTGCTTTTTAGCATAGTAAAAGGCCCTTGCTTTTCCTGGGCCGTTTTCACTGATATCGAGGCTTTTGTTCCCGAAGAAAGTAAGTAGTTTTAAGGGTCCGACAATGGACGTGTCGTATTTGGAAGACGGCGACGGCATGGTGATATTGGAATTTGATTGTTTGGCTTGAACTGTCTGTGTAGTTGAGGCAACAAGAAAGAGAAATGTTGGACTTACAGCGATCTTTTATGGATTCTGTGGTTTGTGAATGAAACCGTCACCTGTCAGATGCCGCGCCCTCAAAGCGCGTGATAGTTACCGCTTTAGTCGAAGGATTCTTGCGGATCCACGAGGCGATTTACAAGGCAAATCTTGGCAAGATGGCTCACCATAACCGAACGCGCCATTCAATCTAACTTGGGTACAGTAAGACAGTAAAACCCGTAGATATTTACAATCGTACTATGGGAGGGAAGGAGACTATAATTGTAACGTGCCATCTGATGGGCTATTTGGAGGAAACGGCTGTGACGCTGTGGCGGAGCCAGCGATTTACGCTCAGCTTGGTCACGTGCACAACCCACTGCGGACATATTTTGTGGATTGTAGGATTGTTGATACGTCATCGTACTTATGCCACCGCGGAAAAGTCGCCGAAGAGGAAGGGGACCAACAGTATCCAAGCCCCACTGCCGCTTTAGGAAGTTATAATAACTACAGTATGGATCAAATAGCGAGTCTTAATCACGTAGAAGTTAGTTCCAGGATCAAGCCATAGGGAGGGATTTTCAAGATTCAACCGCGGTACAAGTGGATATCAATTTCTCAGTTGTACAGTACAGACTCCTCCAAACTTTTAGCTGCACGAGTGAATATTTTTTGAGTAGTGAGTAGCCTCGTTCCATGTAAAATACATTACAGCAAATCCCCACGCCTACTCATGTGATTAGTACAGAACATCTTCATGGGAAGTAAACTCACAGAAGTCCCTGGTTCATCCCTTTCGTGATATCGTTGAACTGCTATCAGATCCCATCCTATGTTCCATAGCGCCAAAACTGAGCGAGCCCCATATCCGCACACACATCCGGTCCCTCCTTATTAATGCTCCTTCCCGTCTGCACCAAAGCCGTGCCAGCCGTTGAACTCGTCCGCAAACCTAATCGCACCAGACAGATACAGTCCATCAGCATCACCCCATGTCGACGCAGCCTCTTTCAAGGCGCGAAGTGCTATCCGATTGTCAGCCACATATTACAGTACTGCCAGATGAGCAAGCCTACCTTTCACGTAATGTGCATCAGTCGAAAATGATCCTGCAACCGCCTTGTGGACCACATATTTCCACCCTTTATCTCCCACCTGCGTCTTTTCCACTGGTTCCCAGTCGATTTTCGGCCTCAGCTGGCCAATATAGACGGCAATAGTTAGGAGGAACCATTGTCTCACGACGCCAATGTGGAACTTCTTCGGGATGAAGGGCAGGAGAATCCTCACTGCATGGCTCGTGGTGAGAATATGGACAAGGAAGAAATCATAGTCTTCTGCACCAGCCGCAACAGTGGCAACCAGTAAGGATGCGGCAGCCTTCTGAGACTCTTCAAACTGCTTGACGGGGTCCTCAATAGCCCATGAATTCCAGTGCTCGAGGACGAGGCTCTCGTGGTGCTCGAAAAGGTAGGTAGAGTTACTGCCACTCTTATTCTTGAAGATGCCATCGAAGCGCTTGTCGACGCCGATTCTCTCCAGGATTTCGAAGATAGAGGTAGTGGGGTTCTCCGAGGGTTTCGTATATGATGTGTCGTCCGAGTACTTATGCAGGTAGTTATAGGAAACTGCGGCAAGCCCGAGAGCTTCCATGGCGATCTCCTTGCTGTTGAACTCGAACGCATAGCCGAGCTGTATCAAAGGATGACCAACTGTAAGTGTTAGTACAGACCAAAATACTTCCATAGAAAAACATACGACCGCTGATGACACAGTTTATCAAGGGGTTTTCGCCCTCAAAAAAGAATTCCTTCACGACTATCTTCCAGTCGTAGTCGTGCTTCAACGCGAGCTCGTCCTCGAAAAAATCCACATATGCCCTTTGGTACCTCCTGTCACCCAAGAACTGCCTCCAATCCTGGTCTGTTATCTCAGCTGGAGAGTCCGTCCACTCATCCAGAATTTTTGACATTTCGCTGTAGATATGGTTCAGGTGATCCTCATTCGCCCCGAGTATATATGCAGAGCATAATATGTGAGCCATATGGTTGTCGAATTGTAGATCGTGGAACAAGACGGCGAAGTTCACGTGGTTAGCTTTTATCAGGTGCTTGAGCGTCCTTGCCCTCTTCTCCGGGGCGGTCTCTACATCGTGGATGTCGACCGAGGGAATATCAATTGAAGGATGCGACGCCATACTGAACGAGGTCATAAATCGATAGGCGCGGTTGACCACCGGGGCCCAAGCTATCATGGGGGCTGACATGGCAGCGGCGTCGTCCGTCTATGTTATGATATAATAAATGATATAGTAAATGGCATACACAATATCAGATGACTTGGAGATACTCAGATATTATAAATCAATCCTTGTAGCATGGTGTGACTTGTGCAACCTGGGTGACGACGACGAGCTAAAGTTGTTGAATGCGGGGAGCTATGACGGCAGGTCCCCGATCGCGCTAGCGACACCAATACTAGCCCGAGCTTCTCCAAATCCCCAACCTCACCTCTTCCGCATCCAGGCACCGCGCCCTCAAGGCGCCTCAACCCAACGCGCCCGCACTCCTCCCCTGCGTGGCCATCGCGAAATACACCACTTAGCCACTATAATGATGCCCTCTCCGCCCCTAATCTACGCTGAGCTCCTCCCCAATATCCGCCAGATCTCCGTTCTCGCCGCCCTCCCCACTCCCTCCGACGGCACAACCCGCGTTTCCCTCTCCGGAGACCGCGCGATCCTTACACTCGTCCACAATGGCGCAACAGCTTCCCTCCAGCTACCAGGCGCGATAGCACCGACCTATAACCCCGCACAGCCGCATCCCAACCTTGCCCAGTTATCCTGGCGCATCCCTCTCGCGGCCTCTCTGTTGCAACCACGCGCTGCGCCCTCCGTTACCGCGCCGTGGTCCGCCGGCGCACTCGCGGGCACGTCCTCGTTTTCCTGCCGAGGATGCGGACAGGTCATCCTGTCCCCCGGGCGCGTGACGACGTGGCGCGACCTGCCTAGCGAGAACTGGGCCGAGATGATGGAGTTCTGGCACTGTCATAAACCCGATGTGCCGGTTGGGGAGAAGGGGGATGAGGAAGGGGGGGATAATACCACGAAGGGGTATGGGGCGAATACGCGGATGATGGCTCAGAAAGGGGTGGGAAAGGTTGATTTGACATACTTCCTCCTGGATGGGGAGGATTGTAGCGGCCTCGAGGTAAGGATTTTTGATATACCTGTTTTTGTTGGGTTTATTTCGTTTTCATATGTCGGGCATCAAGAAGGCGGCCTGCCAGCTCATCGCTTCAGTGGCAAGGTCACCGATACAAATGCCCTAGAGAGACCCCTCCACTCCGTCCCATGGTGGCGAGTGTACCCTCTCACACCGAGAATGGGTTACTCTGCTATCAGGATTCTCTAACTTTAGCATGAGAGAACGCCTTGGGAGGGACGAGAAACATGCCCATTACCCAATCCCCCGTCATCAGCACTCAACTATCTCCTACAGACCACCCCTTCACAGCCAGACTAACCCACTACAGACCAACCCCTCCTCCCTCACCCTCAGTTGCACATCCTGCGCCGCACACATCGGCATCTCCACACCCGCAGGCAATCAACTGTACAAATGGTCACTCTCACTCACTGCTCCCCTAACCACCGCAACTTCCTCCCCTACAACACAACTCGCACCCACCTCTCCACCTCTCCCCCACTTCCTCCTCCCGCAACTCCACGCCCAATCCTCCGCCCTCGGCGTCTCGAAATTCATCATCCGGCCACCGCCACCACCGGCTGATGCTAAGAGCGAAAGCAATGCGGATGCAGAGGTAGGGGTATATGTATGGCTGTTTGCGCCATCTCTTACCGTATCTTTTTCTTCCATCTCTTCCCACCCCACCTCTTCCTCGCCAGCCCTCACGCCCAGGAACTCCTCACCACCACCACCCCTCCCAGCAAGCAAGCTCCTCTTTCGCCCTTCTCCTCCCAGAGACGAGGCTACCGCCGTCCTCGATGCGCCGAATAGCGCGGTGGAGGAGGTACGGCTCCCGGCGTCGGTGGTACGCGCTTTCGCTACCCTTTTACAGGAGAGCAACGCTCGGCTACCCGAGGGAGCGCGTGTCTTTGCTGGGGGATGGGATGTCGGGATTCTAGAGGTGTGGAATGGCGGCGAAGGAGTGGTGTGATTGAGCGACCCAATAAGATATGAAATAATGAGCCTTTTAAATTACTAGACTGTTTTGTCATTCAGCATGCGTTCTTTCTCGCTCATTTCTGTCTAAATACGCAAGAACAAAATTCACACTCTCGTTCGCAACCCCAACCAACATAAATATGGAAAGTATTTGTCCAAACGTCCACTCTCGTTCTCCGATTCCGATAGTATTCCTCGATATAGTTTGTTCCAGGGACACCATCGCATAAATATTGAAGCCAACGCCAACAATCATCCCCATCCACTGTTCCACCTTCGTTTCCCCGTCGCTCGTCGGCGGTATTTGCTCAGAATACCGAAACGTCTCCCACCCATTCGGATGCCTCCTCGCTTGCCAGCTGAAAAATGCGTAAAAACAGACCATGAGCACCGCTCCAACCAACGACCAGAAAGCAGTGAGTAAGAGCGTGCCAACCATGATCCAGCGCAGTGCTGCGGAGGTAGCAGGAATGCTGATACCAAATACGACATAAATTATATCCGCATTGCATTCTGGCTGCACTCCGAATGTCCTTGCCGTATACCAGATATAAGTAGCAAAAGCCATGAAAATGCCGCTGGCACAGAACTTTATCCCAAGCCATACATACATCCTCAGCACTCCCACATTTCTGTATTTGGCCTGGCGCGGGAGATTTATGCCGAGGAGGGCGAGGAGATGGATGACGCAGATAGCGTGGAAGAGAGTTAATTTGTTGAGGAAGGCTTGCGTTACTGCTGTGAAGAGGAGAGCAAGGCCTTGGACACTTAGTGTTACATCTATGGCTTCTCTAAGCTCTTTTGTGTCTTCCTCGTTGCCGATCTGGGAGGCAATAAAGCTGATTACTCGACCGCCGAGTGCAAGAGCGTAAATCGAAATTCGGATCTATATATGAATTAGTTAGATGTATTTATTGGGCTAAGAAAATCACTGACACCTGTTCCCGTTACATCGGGGTTTGGTTCAATAGTGCACGCTGCACTCAACATTTTGCTATGCGAAGTCAGAGTAGAATCCCGCAAAATACAAATTTATTTTGACTATTTTCCATTGGTTTTAGTTTTATTTTATCTTGTATCTTCTCGTTGAAGCCTTCCGTGTCTTCTCTTTTATCACTCTGCTGCTCAGCCTCAGCTCAGCCTCACGTATGCCTCGCGTTTGCAGGGTTCTGCGGTGATAATCCTAGCACTAGAATGTCAAATCCCCGCAACAGATAATGACACGATACCGAGAAGATATACATATCATGGACAGATAGAATACCGCGTGGCTAATCCTGAGATTTTATTTATCGTCACTCACATACCATAGGAAACCCCAGATTAGGGGCCAAGATGGATTTCTCACCCCAAGCCCATGTGACAGAGCGATCTCCCCTCTCCCGACGAAGTAACACCCGCTCGCCACATAATTATAACAACCCCTCGCTAACCATCCTACAGTAGCTGTTACAATACTTATCTACCTCGTCGACCTGTTTTTCAACCTAATCGCCGGGCACTATGCCGCCCTTACCGGCGCGAGGATCAACTCCTGGTCCCGCTCTAGCAGTACCGCTCAAACCCCGTACGATGGCGCGGAAGTAGCCATCCTCGGCGGCCGAGCGGGGCTTTTCAAATCTGGTATCCTCGCCGTCTGGCATTTTGGCACCGCATACGGCGGTGTGAACATGCCCATAGCGGTTTTATTTGCGATGGCGAGTAGTAGATTCGGGGTCGCGGTTCTAGTGACGTGTTTTGTTTCTACGATGGTGCTGGGGACAGGTACGTAAACCGTCTCTTGATAGTGCCCATAGTAGCTACTCCTGGCCTACCTCTACAACCCCATAAAAATATTGACGAAGAAAATAGTAAACGATAGCCTCATCAAACCCGCCCTCGTAGCCTCCCTCTTCCTCGGCTCCGAAACCTCTCCCGCCACCGCCGCAACGAGTATAAGCCCAACCTCTCCACTCTGGGATGCTTTCTCCGGCTACCTATTTGCCCGTATGGCGCGGCGAGAAGGTATGCCCACTAAACCCCCTTCCCTCTCCACCGAGCTTCACATTCTCACCTCTCACCCTCCCAAATCTAGGCTTCGAAATATGCTCCAACAAAGCCGGCTTTGCCGCTGGCCTAGTCTACGGAATATTCACAACCATAAGCCGCGTGATCATCGTGTTTGCCCGCGGCCCTACAGTCTCAGATTCTCGTACCTCGATGATGGGCTCGACAACGAGGGTGCGGAATAACTTCGAGAGCTATACCGTCGTCGATCCCGGGGATAGGAGGACAGAGGGGGTATTTACGAATACCTGGACGTTTTTGGGACAGACTCGTAGTAATAGTTATGGGTCGAGTTATTCGGTTGGGAGTGTGAGTGGAACGGGGCTGTTTATTGGGAATCAGAGAGTGGGTTGAGGGGATGCGCTGAAAAGTTTCTGCTGATTATTGCTATATGATTACGAAACAAACACAGTCTATATTGTTTGAATTTTGAACGTAAGTAGGTATCGGGTTGGTTTGACTACCCTATTCTACAAAAAGTGACCCTATTTGCACCATGTCCGACAAGGAATGCTCTAGCAAATAAATAGGTTCTATGCTACGGCAGCATCCTCAACTATATAAAAAATATATGAGGACTAGATAGCTGGTTAGTAATCCCACCCATCGCTATATTAATTCTTAGCTCTACAATAGTTCGTCCCTTTGCCTACCTAATGTTATGTAGTATGTCGTCGTCCCCGCCCCCAAATCACCCCTGTAACATTAACGCAACTCTGTGTAGGATTCCTCCCTTGGGCATCACTGCAGGTTTAAGCGAGGAAGCCACTCAGACGTTGCTCAGCCACTCTTTGAGTTCTATTGAAGCAAAACTGAAAACTAAAACATTGACCTGCTAGCAGTTTTGCTAAAGGAAAAACCATAGCCGTTTAAATAATATGACGCTTCTAGACCGCGTCAAGAAAAAGGTTGGGAGTCGCAGAGAAAAGAGAGTGGAGCTCGGCTCGCCCGCGTCGTCTGTTAAATTGGAGCAGACCTCCGCCTCGGCGCCTGTGTCCCCGGAAGTGCGTACTAAACTACCACCTGAGCGAGCTGAGCCGTCAGAGACACAATCACCGAGTCGCCCACAGTCGCCGAGCCACCCCTCCACGACGACGCTATCAATCCGGCCTGCGGATCAACTGAGTGCCTCTGCTACCCCCTCGACGAGCGACAGCCTCGATCTATGGAAATCGGCTTATGATCAATTCCGAAAGGAAGGTCCTCAAGAACTGCTACTTGCCTATGATACGCACGTGCTTGGTAGCGCTCCAGTAGATACAGATCTCTCAAGCCGAGAGTCTATCGAAACAGCGCTAGAGAAGCTATTAAAGGACCGAGAAAATAGGCAATGGAAGGTTTCAATCCGAGGCCGCGATGTCAATATACGAGCGCAGGTTATAAGGTTGACTAAAATCCTTGAATGGTCCGATCCATTGGTTAAAAGCGCCGTGAGCACTCAACCCTACGCGGCACTGGCGTGGTCTGGTGTTTCATTACTTTTCCCGCTCCTTACAAGCGGTACCACGGAGAATGAAGCAATGCTAGAGGGATTCAGCTCGATCGGTGAACTCCAGCAGTTCTGGCAGATCCAGGAGAAGACATCCCTCCAATCCAAACATCAACATCACTATCAAAGTCTCACTGAACGCTTGGTCAAATTATATTCACTGTTCTTCACGTACCAGGCTTATGTTATATGCCACCTCTCCAAATCGCAATTCTCGCGCGCATGGGGAGATCTGAGCAGTCCTGGATTTTGGAAAAGTAAGGTAGAGGAGATTGATAGCTGGAGCGAAAATTGCAGCAGGCTCATTGGTGTATCCCGTGAAAGCGAAATTCAAGAGAATAGGGATAGCTTACTACAAGGGATACAGAATCTACGGGAGAGCAATGAGCGGCATATCAGAGATGAGCAGGAAACAAGACTTCTTGGAGACTTGGCAGAGGCAGCAGGAGACTATGAAAGATACAAGGATCTCAACCCAAAAAGGGTTCCCGGCACCTGCGAGTGGTTTCTGAAGGATGACAGATTTCGCAAGTGGCGCGATAATACAACTTCTAGTCTGCTTTGGGTTTCAGCAGGACCGGGACGTGGCAAGTCAGTCTTGTCAAAATGTCTTATTGACGAGAATCAACTGGCCATTACTACGATAACTATTACGTCATTTTCTAATGAACCTGCTACTGGCAGACAGTCAACTATATGCTACTTTTTTTTTAAAGATGGCGGAGATGGCCCCATGGATAGTGCTCAAGCGTTGTGTGCAGTATTACACCAACTTTTCTCTTGCCATTCCACCTCTAGACTGATCAAGTATGCGCTTGAGAGCTACAGGAACCATGAACGAACTCTCACTAAGAAAGCGTCTGAGCTGTGGAAAATCCTATTAGCTTGCGCCACATCTCTAGATTCTGGTGAAATCATCTGCGTCCTTGATGCCCTAGACGAATGTAAGAACGAAAGCGGGCAGAAACTTATCAAGACACTAGAAGAGTTCTATTCTCGAAGTGCGAGGCCATTGACGAATGACTCGAAGCTCAAGTTTCTTGTGACGAGTCGTCCATATGATAATTTGGAGAGTTCTTTTAGAAAATTCCCCAAAGCTGTTTATTTACGATTCGATGGTGATGACAAGTCAAAGGAAATCCAGAAGGAGATTGATCTTGTTATCGACTATAGAGTGCCACATATAACGTCTGGCTTCGCCGACACGGATCAGCAAAAGATCGGTGAATGCCTTAAGAGCATGGAGCATCGTACATACCTCTGGCTACATTTGACGTTCGATATTATCGAGAAGCGCCCTAGTGAGTATAGTAGGGCGCTTGATATTGAAACGCTATTGTCTAGTCTGCCATCCCAAGTATCTGACGCATACGAAAAGATCCTAAGCAGGAGCACGAACCAATCATGGACGAAGATTATCCTCCAAATCATACTAGCTGCTACACGGCCTTTGACTCTCGACGAAACGAATGTTGCGCTGGCACTAGCTATTCGAAAGGAAGAACCGGAGTCACAAACGAAACTCAAGTCGGAACTATGGCCAGCGGACAAATTCCAAAGCGTTGTCACAAATCTTTGCGGCCTTTTTGTTAGCGTCTACGACTCAAAATTGTCGCTTATCCACCAGACGGCAAGGGAGTTGCTAAAAGAGGCCATGAAAAGGTTGTTGAGGTGCTTCTAAAGAATGGAGTAAATATAAGAGGCGAAGGATGATCATGGGCAGACGCCACTATTACTAGCTGCCAAAAGAGGCCATAAAGCCGTTGTTGAGCTACTACTGAAGAATGAGGCAGATATAGAGGCAAAAGATGATAATGGGCAGACGCTACTATTACTAGCTGCTAAAGGAGGCCATGAAGCTGTTGTTAAGCTACTACTGAGGAATGAGACGGATATAGATACAAAGGATGGTTATGGGCAGACGCCACTATTACAAGCTGCTTGGAATGGAAGCATGGTCACCATTAAGCTGTTGCTTGAGGGGGGGGCTGATATAGAGGTGCAGGATGGTAGCGACTGGACACCGTTAACGGTAGCTATTACCATGGGACACAAAGCCATCGTTAAGCTGTTGCTCGAGGAGGGGGCTAATATTGAAGTGAAGGGTGATAAAGGTCAGAAGCTACTATTACTAGCTGCTAAAAAAGCCTACGACGCCATTGTTGCGCTGTTGCCCGAGGAGGGCGTTGATACCCTGATTGCAGATATGGAAAGTCATGAGGCCATCGTCGAGCTGTTGCTCGAGATGGGGGTCAAGGTAGAGGTGCAGGATTTTATTGACCAGACACCGGTATCGGCGGATACTGTGAAGGCGCGCGAAGCCGTCGTCCAGTTGCTACTCTCGGCGGCAGAGGAAAATAGTACAGAATAGCACCATTGCTCTCGGCCTCTACTTGATATCGGGCCCAAGTAGCAATAGCTAATGGAGAATCTAGGGAGGAGTTGCCTTTCTTAACCTTTAAAAATTGTTAGGCTAGAAATTGTCGATTGATATATGTCGTTGCCAATTTTATGTGTTCTCAAAGCCTCGATTGTGCATCAAGACATGAAATTAAACAGTTGATAACATTAATTATTCAAGCATATTAAACCCGAAACCCCCAAATCACACATCCCTATCATACCCCCACCCCCTCACGCTCCTAATAATCATAAAACACCAACGTCCGCACCTCAATACTCTCCCTCGTCTCCCCCTCCGCATACTCCGCATCCTCAAACGCCGAATGCGGCACCCTCCTCGCCCTCCCATCCACCAGCGAATCAAAACACTTGATAAACAGCGGCTCATCCGGGCGCTGCGCGTACTTGAAGTACCACTTATGATCCGGGTTGGGGCGGACCGTGTAGGTTTCCCCGGTGCGGTCGGGGTAGATGAGGGACACGGGTATGAGGTCGCTTTCTGGGACAGTAGGGGCGGAAGCCAGCGCGAGGGGGTCGCGGAGGATGGGTTTTATTGGGCGCCAAACCTGGGGGTGGTTGTGAGTAATTGTGTCGTTTTTTGTTTGAGAGGGAGAGAGTGTGTGTGTGAGAATGAGTGACGAAGAGAGAGAAAAAGGGAGATCGCAAGAGAAAAAGAACAAAAGAGAGAAAGCGATGCAGCGAACTTACATTAATAATCTGAAACCTCTTCTTGAGCAGCTCATCCGCCTCCTCGGGGAGATGATACTTTACGCGATTCTCAGACGCTTGGTAAGTCTGATCAATGTGAACCCTCTTCCCTGGGCCACGGAGCTGTGTCGTCCCATCGCGGGAATCGGCAGGGGAGCGGCGGATGGTGTGGTCGAATATGAAGATGCGTGTTGCGCCCGTGCTGGATGGCGGGGGATTAGTATTATAAAGGATAAGGGGGGTATTTGCTGCCTGGGCGGGATGGATACTCACACATCTTTCAAAAGCTGTTCCACCTCAGGATAATACTCCGCTTTAATCTTCTCCTCATCCAAAAATTCCTTCTCCCTACTCTCATGCTTGGTATACTGGAACCCATGGCTATCAAGTGTGTATTCCCCCTCATCCCCCGTGATATCGTGGATAACCACCTTTTGAGCTACTGTGGGGCGCTCATAGGTGTTTGGTTGTCTGTTGGTCTGGTCTTAGAATTGGAAGTTATCTTCATATGGGAAAGAGAGAGGAAAGAGAGACTCACCCGACGTAGTAGGGGACTGGTGGAGATCCATCACCGGGGTCTTGGTAGTAGTTTAACTCTGTGGCGACGTCATGTTTAGGAACCTTCGTTTTCTGGGCGAGAGGTTCGATGACTTGGTCGAGGGTGGGGGCGAGGGGTTGTTGGACTGCAGCGCTGGCCATGGTTGGATGTGTTTACGTGGATATTTCTTATTTTTCAAATCGAGTGTTTTATAACTTTCAATACTAACTTTTAAAAGCGAACGTTTCTAGAGCTTTTAAATACCATTCCCAGTGCTACACATGCCTTCCGGAAACCACGCGAGGTTGATATGTAATATCCGATTACTATCTCAGCACGCGATAACCCCAAAAACGCATGCGATCCCCCCAACTTGTGCACTCGACACCATCGCTCACCCAATAAGACGGATATACATGATAAACATGCTTTGAAATCAAAGTGAGGGGTATCATCGCTATGGTGCAAATACGCTGTGTAATAATTCGAGGTTTTAATGACGCAGGGTGATTGGATCTGCTGGATGTTGGAGGGGCATTGTTAAATCTGGGTGTAATATCACATCATTCGTCAGGTGTGACTTTCTGCACTTGTCTATTATTAGAACCTAGACAAGCTTTGTAACTGCCATCTCAACGTCAACGATTGCCGGTATTTCTTCAAGAGTAAAACATATCTCGCTGGCAAGCGTAGACATATAATATTTGAAGCTAGCGAAAATACCTTCTACTGAAGTTGTCATCTCCTATCCTTCGTTTGAACGGCTCTTACAGTGAGAATTATGCCCTCCAATATAATGTCAATAAAAACATTTGTCCCCACGATAGACATAGAAACAAATCTGCTTCTATAAATCCTCTAGTATATATATCATTTACCCATTTCACTAACTGAATAAGTAGCTCATGGTTCTAGTAACCATGGCTGAGGTTAGTAAATATCCCGAGGAGGTGGAGAGATATTTCCACAGCCCAAGTTGTTCCTAGGGGCAGAAATGGCACATTTAAAGTAAATCACCGTCAAACCATCCCTCCTGTTTTTCTTTTTTCGTTGAAAGTGGAATTGGCTAGGTTGCATCTATCTATGCATTATCGAAGACTACGATCAAGTTGCACCTTGGTGCTCCTATTCCCAATGGATCGACCAGGGTGGGAACACGTGGGATTGTGGAAATTCTCCCGGAATCGAGATGCCCCATTCCTCAATAAGGTTTCGACTATAGAGAAGAATCTCCAAAAAAAGTTTAAGAGAGCCAGTACCTCCAATCATGTGCCTGCCAAGTCCTCGAGACCATTGAGGCCCCTGAATCCGGGCACGAGGCTAACTATTCCCCTCCTAGCCATGGTGTAAGGCCAACGGGTTTCCTTCTAGTGGGAAATACCCCACCGGGGGTCGGGTTGATGAGAGCAAGCTCCTCCTCTTCATTAAGGAGACCCTGCATGCCCCCCGCACAGGAGCGGGGGGGACGGAGGACGGGAAGAGGAAGGGGCTTCGATAACACCAAATTACAACGCGATTACAGCCAGGGATTTGACACTAAATATCCCCTGCACGTGGTAGTTATCGTTGGTACTGACTACTGGAAAGGCGAACACCTTAATATCACTACACGGACATGGCCAAACCGACAGGCTAGAGTCAATATCAAGCACTATAGTGCTATCGGTGTAATCGAGAATCAATAGCGTCCGGCGCATAAACGCGGTCAAGCTTCGTCGACTTCGCCGGCAGATATTATATAGCACTCTGGTAGGTGTGATTGGGGTCACTGGTGTCATTTGCCGGGTTTGGCGGCGAGCGACGCACTCGTTTGGCAGGGTCGTCTAGATCCTGGGGTATAAATCACATGCCACGAACAGGGGTCTGGTGCTTGTCTGCACAGGCCTACATCACCACACAAAACGTATCCATCCAGGCCGCGATTCCATCCCTATAAAAACGATTGGCAGGGTAATTCCTATATTGGAATATGCACCGAATACTACATATACATGTTCTAGCATCCGTTACACGTGCCCGAGCGAGAGGGGGTTGGGGGTAGTGGCAAGCATGCCTCTGTCAGTCTAGCAACGCGAGAGCAGATTTGGTTCCATGCAGACTGATTGCCGTTCCCTTGCAATACGTGGATAGGTGGTGATATAGGGTCGCAACACGAGGTTATATAAGTTAACGTCATTTACGAGGATATCTATCACCGCCACCATTTTCTAGCATTCCTGCCTCCAGCGCCTTTCTTTCTAGTGCTTCTACTCTTTGGGTGCTAGCTAAGCACCCATCTACAAGGAGGTATGCGATTCGCCACAGTCCTACTAAGCGTGCTGTTGTCGCTGCTGGGACTATCGACCGCCCTTACGATTGGAGATGTTACGCGCAATTCCATCACGGCTTTTGCGAGACAGGAGATTAAGGAGAGGAGCCTGCTCTCGGATATTCTAACCGACATTGAAAATCTCGCCGAATGCAGTGCTTGCGAGGTGAGTGGGGGTTTCGTTTCCAGCAATTTGCTCTGTTGATACAACTACCCCTACTTATCTGCTACTGGATTTTATAGGCTTTGCTTGGTGTTCTCAAGGTGTTGGCTCACTTTGGCAACGATGATTTCGTGAAAGTCATTGTGACAGTTTGCCAGACGCTGGTATGTTAACACTGTAACTGTACATGAACGACTACATATGCTTATTCGATATCTTACAGAATGTTGAAGACGACGACGTCTGGTATGTTGACCCCTATTGCCTGCGGAAGTTCGCTTCACTTTCTGCCTGAGCATATGCTCACTCTATCGATTGCCAGCTCCGGAGCCATCAGTCTTGAGGGCCCTATTTTAGCACACGACCTTCGCCAGATGACCATTGGGACCAAAACGTCAACCCTGTTCTGCCTGACTGTTTTCGGGCTGTGCCAATGGCCCGCCGTCGACACCTCGTACTCTCCCTCCATGACCCCCAAGCCGGCGACCTCGCGCCCCGCATCCAGCGGCAAGACGCCGATCAAGGTAGTGCACATAAGTGACATCCACGTCGACCTCGACTACACCGTCGGCGCGAGCTGGAACTGCACGAAGAACATCTGCTGCCGCGGGTACACCCCCGCCGACGAGCCGGGGAACAACGACACCCCCGCCGGGGAGTACGGTAATGTCCGCTGCGACACCCCGCTATCGCTCGAGGAGAGCATGTACGCCGCCATCGAGACGCTCGTGCCGGAGCGAGAGTTCGCAATCTTCACGGGCGATGTGGTCGAGGGCGCTGTGTGGTCTGTTACTAACGCCGAGGTGACCGAGGACCTTAACAGCGCGTACGCGCGCATGCGAGCTATGGGTAAGACGTACGCTGTGACGGGGAACCATGATGCGTGCCCCGTTAACTCATTCCCGCCGGCGGACGTCAGCACGACTATCAGCACGCAGTGGGCGTATGACGCCATGTCTGCTGGGTGGGAGACATGGATCGGTAGCGCGGCTGCATCTGAGGTGTCGTCTAACTTTGGCAGCTACTCTGTTGTCGACGGCTCCGGGCTGCGCATCGTCAGTATTAATACTAATTTCTGGTATAAGCAGAACTTCTGGATGTACGATAAGAAGAACTGGGAGAGAGACCCGTCGGGCATGTTTGCGTGGCTGGTGAAGCAGCTGCAGACGGCTGAGACGGCGGGGGAGAGGGTTTGGATTATTGGTAGGTTCAGCGAGTATTGATTCGGGATTCGCCCGAGGGGCATAATGACAAACTGACTGATGTCCGCAGGTCATATGCCGATGGGTGCATCAGATGCTTTCCATGACGCCTCCTACTACTTTGGTAAAATCCAGTTCCCCCAAGCCTCATTCACAAGGTGGTGCAGGTGCACACGCTGACGGTTATCAGATTTGATCATCCAGAGATTCGATGCCACCATCGCTGCCGTCTTCTATGGGTTCGTCTTCCGTTAATAATTAGACCTTCGGGAACAGCCCAAAGCTAACGAGGACATGCAGTCACACGCACAAGGACCAATTCGAGATTGCGTACAGCGACTACACAAACCAGGGCTTCTCCACTGCTACTATGATGTCCTACATCGCCCCTGCTCTCACGCCGACCTCTGGTAACCCAACATTCCGGTAAAATGCCCACGCCTATTGCACCCTGCCGCTCCAAGACAAATAGCTAATCTTTCCCCAAGCGTATACGACGTCGATCCAGTGACATTCGGCATCCTAGACATGACAGTCTACTACACCGACCTCACCTCCTCCACCTTCCAAATCGCCCCAACCTGGGAGGTTCTCTACTCCGTCAAGGACACCTACGGCCGTCTCCTCGGCATCACCGACACCGCAGCCGAGCTCACCCCCGCATTCTGGCACAACCTCACCGCGCTTTTCGAGACAGACGATGCCGTGTTCCAGGCGTACATCGGCCGCAAGACCCGCGACTACGCCACCTCGACATGCACTGGGACCTGCAAGACGGGGGAGATCTGCCAACTTCGCGCGGCGCAGTCGCAGTATAACTGGTCAGCTCCTCCTTTCCCCTCCCCCCTTGACAGAAACTAGGGCGGGGACTTTGCTAAAACATGAGATGCAGCGCGACTGTCAAGCCCGGGATCAACTTCAAGCGTGATACCACTAGCGGTGTTGTGACAGCAGGAGAATGTGACGGATCCCAGGCCATTCCGGTCCTGTCGTCAATAGCGGACTCGAGTGGTGTTCAGGCGCTGCAGGATGCGCTGGTTAGTGTTCTCGGGAGCTCGATCTTGAATACAGAGGTTTCTTCAAATTACACAGTTGATGGAGCAACTGTTTAATGCAACGACCGCGTCTCGTAGGACTCCTGTATACGCAAACAGGCACAGACGAAGGTGGCTAATTCAATAGTCTCTTGTCATTTTTGGTGGTGCTACATTTCTCTCAAACTATGAACATATTGAGAGTTTGAGTGGCCTTAATAAGCTGTTATAAGACAATTCCACAGATTAAACTCATCTAGCTCTTATACCTAAGTCTGTTTGTGCTACGTATTATCACACAAGAAGGAGTATCTCAACATCATGCTAGAAATTCCGGGATTTCGAGCGGTCCTCATATACCTAATGATTATTCTAGGCTTGTGGCCCTAGTTCCACATTGAAACCTTTCAACGACATATGCAAATGAAATGCCGATCAATGATGCGAGAGAGTATTATAACTCTTTATATGAGATTCTCTTTCTGATTTATAATTAATGTAACTTAACATAAGTTTGATAATGATATTAAGATTACTTAGGGACCGGTTTAAGAGAATCTAAATGTAGATTACTGATCTCAAAAAAATTAGTAACTTAAGAGAATCTCGTCGTTAGCCTCGGTACTATCGTGCGAAAGAGTGGTAGAGACGGATTTAACTCGGATTACTGATCCACCAAAAAATTACTCACCACCAAAAAGTTCTAATCATTAAATTTAATACTAGACTCTTGTTGTTAGCTACTTCGTAAGCAAACCTCGTTCGAAGAGACCTCGGCAGAGCAAACGTGGCAGGCCGATGGTCGTACTTCTGATGCTCGTATCGTAGTCTGCACGTTAAAACAGAACACAGCAATACTTCTTAGGAGTAACTACAGTTAATGACGAGCTCCGGAGATTTTAATCATAGTACTTAGTTAGCTTGGATGGGATATACGATGGGCTTTTCCCACTGCTAACCCCTTAACGAATGACGCAAGAATCTCAGCATTTCTCGTCAAAAACTAGTCGCGTGCGCGCTAAAGGACAGACATTCTTATGTCCACCTAAGCTTGCTAGGTACTGTAATGGTATTCGCTAGTGATAGACGTGGCAAAACCGGCGCTTCGTAATTCTATGATGTACTACTCGGACTTACTTCGAAAAGGGCAGATGTCCGCTGCTCAAAGCTCATTAAGTCCGCGATTACAATTACGGAGATCAAGCTAAGGCTGAATAATGTTTATTATTACAGAACTACAAAGAAGAATGTAGAATCCTTATTTAAATAAGAGAATATATTGCGAAAGCTGCTCCCCTTTCCGCTACCATCTTCCTTGAATAACAAAAGCTACACACAATACCAGTCATCAATCAACCCTCATACTCTATTTCCAATGGCTCCATTAGATAACGCAGTGATCCCCAAAGGATCCCTGGTTCTAGTCACCGGAGCCAACGGCCTTCTAGGTTCGCACGTCGCAAAGCAGTTCCTCGAATACGGCTACAAAGTTCGCGGCGCCGTCCGAGACACCACTAAATCCAGCTGGATGCTCGAGCTGTTCCAGAAGGACTACGGCAAGGACAGTTTCGAGCTTATCCAGGTTGACGATCTAACCGCCAAGGGCGCATTTGACGAAGCAGTCAAAGGCAAGTTTTAGCTTTTATTACTACGATAAAAATTAATCACAGAGCTGAGCTGACTCTAGCATTGAAAAGGTGCCGCAGCAGTAATCCACACCGCGTCAATTATGACGTTTAATCCGGACCCTAGCAAAGTGATTCCCTTCGCCGTAGATTTTGCCGTCAACGCTCTGCGGGCTGCATACAAGGAGCCGAGCGTGAAGCGGTTCATCTTCACATCCTCATCAACCGCTGCTGTTGTTCCCTCGCCGGATTCGCCCCCCGCCAACATCACCGAAGAGTCCTGGACGGACTTCATCGTCGCCGCGGCCTGGGCCGACCCTCCCTACACCCGAGAGCGCGCGATGGCGACATATGCCGCGAGCAAGAACCGAGCCGAGAAGGCAGTCTGGGAGTACCACCAGGAGAACCGCCAGGAGCGTCCCGATCTGACCGTGAACACTGGTAATATATTTCCGTTTGCTTGCTTGTGAAAGCGCTATCGTGGTGTGCATTAGCTGATTAAGGGATCAGTCCTCCCCAACTTCAATTTCGGCAGATCGCTTGACCGCGAGAAACAGGGATATCCGAGCAGCTCTGGCCTGGCCCCTAGCCTATTCAGGGGGGAAGTTACTGATTTCCACAAAGGCATTACACCTCGTAGGTCAACATCGTTTTCCTTTAGTGACGGTGTGCCATGGTTGTCTGACCACATGAATAGAATATTTCATCGACGTCGATGACGCCGGCCGGCTTCACGTCGCGGCAGCTATCCTGCCTGGACTGGAAGACCAGCGCATCTTCGGATTTGCAGGAAGATTCAACTGGGATGCTGTTCTAGACATTTTCCGCAAGCATTTTCCGGGGCGAACGTTCCCTGACAACTTCAGCAGCGGTGAAGACGGCAGTGAAATCATCCCACGAGGCAGGGCTGAGCAGCTGCTTCGTGATCTGGGACGTCCGGGATGGACTAGCTTGGAAGAGTCGATTTTAGCCAACATTGAGGGTCTGTACTAAGACATATAATGATTAATAGAAGACTTTAGTACCGTATAGTCGTGCCCTGAATCCTCGCTACGTGATCGCATTTAGTGTCAGTAGTTGCAACAAACCGGCTTGCACCTGCTGGCTCGAATAAACTATAGCTCCCTAGCTCGAACTTCATTACAGTAGCTTTCTTTGTACCCCTTTCATAGAAGTTGCTAAGATCCTGTTCAGCAGATGGTAGTTACTCCCTTTTAGCAAGATTATCACACCACACGTTAAAAAAATATAATAAAATTCCGACCCGCTGTCCGTAGAATCTTGCCTAACCCATCTGTACTATAGCCAAGCTTTTTATCTATATCGAGAGGCTCGTAACCAACCACCTGTGAAGTATTCTTCGGGAGTCAAGAAACGCGGCTGTTATGGACTTCCCAGTAACTTCTTGAAACGTCCGGACGAGGTGAGGTCGTTTAAGTCGATATGAGTTGTAGCAACTTCTAGATTAATACCCTTTGATTATACCGGGTTGTCGAATAGCTAGCGGCAGTACAGTCCAAGATTTTCCCAAGTGGATATATCTTAGGCGATAAGACCTCTCTTCCATTTACTCATCTCCAAGTACCCCTCTATCTGTCAATTAGCCAATTAGTCGACCACCCTTTCACATCACTATCAAACATCTCACATTCACATTCATAGTCACAGACAATATATCAAAGCAGACAAGCAAGCATGTGTGTGTGTGTGTGTATGTCTTACATTCCCCCATCCAAATCTGCTGTATGAATCCCACCCGAAAGAGTCCACATCCCACATCCCCGGAGCCACCGTCGAGATGATTGATCAAAGGAAAACAAACAAAATGCTAGCTATCCTAAAGCGGCAAGGAAAGAAAGAAAGAACAAACAACAACGGATAGTTCTATCTAATGCATCCCCCGCGCACACGCCTCTTTCCCTCAGTTCGGTTCGGTTCGTCATCAGCAGCGTCCATTACACGCACCGCCGCTCTCTAGCCAGCGGTGTCTTTTTCGTCCCATTTCCCACTTCCTCCACCCAACTTCCCTCGGAATATTGGGTAAACCCTTCCCTCCAATTCATATCATAACATCATAAAAAAAATGCGCTCCCTCAGCATCCATCGTAAACAAGTAACAACAAACGTATAACATCCCAAACAAGATGAGATAACGAGAGAGAAAAAAGAGGAGATGCGACGTCGTAATAGCACAGAGATCTAATCACCCCCCTCCTTCCTTCCTTCTCACTCTCCACTTCACCTTTCCTCCTCGAGGAGAAAAGGCAAACAGGCTCTCTCACAAGCCACCCCATTTTCCATCAAACCCCTCATCCCCACCCCACTCCGCCGCCCCAGCACCCCCCGCTCCATAGAAGGCCATAAAGATCTCCTGCGACGCAGTATTCCCCCCCTCATGCTGGTGTCCCCCCAGCGGCGCGACCTCGCCGAAAAGCGCACCCTGTCCCTGCGGCGCACCGGATCCAAAGAGCTGGAAGTCCGAGAACTGCGCGCCCATGTTGTTGTTGTTGTGGGTATCGGCGTGCTGACGACCGGGCATCAGCGCCTCGAAGGTCTCGCACGACGAGTCCGGGGTGTAGAGCATTGTGTTCCCCTGTCCTACTGGGCTGAGATGCTGCACTCCCTGCGCGCGGGCGGGGGTGACGGTCTCAACGCAGCCGTACGACGGATCGTATGCACGTTGGAAGATGGCTGGGTCGGGTGTGGGGAGCTGGTGCGGGACGTCGACACGGGCGGAGTAGAGATCCTCGTAAAGTGTGAAGTCATTCCCGGACGGAGCGAAGGCGGAGCCGAAATTTGCGGCAACGTCGTCGAGGAAGAGGTCTGAGGTGTCGACGTAGGGTGATGTGTTGGAAGAGGGGAGCGAATTGAGGTGCGAGTCAACGGGGGAGAGTGTGTAGTTGTTGTTGTGTAGGGTTTGCTCAGCGTTGTTGTAGGCGAAGTCGGAGGGGTAGGTGGGGAAGTCAAGTGGAGAGCGGTTGAAGTCGTTGTTAAAGCCGTTGGCGTCAACTCCAGCGTCCATCTCCCAGTTCATCTCATCCGGAGACGAGAGCTGAGCCTCCGAGTCTGGAGTGCGGATGGTGGTCGTCTGCGGCGTGGGCAGCGCATTCTGCTGCTGGGCCGGCGTCGCCTGGTCACGGTTCTTCCCGTTGTTCTTGGAGCGCACGTACACCCAGTTGTGGCTCTTCTCCATGTGCTGCTTGCAGTTCGACTCGCGCTTTGACTGGTACGGGCACGGTGGGAACTGGCACTTGAAGAGGCGCGGCGACGCTGAGTGCTTGTCGTTGACGTGGCGGTCCAACTCCTTCTCCGTCGGCCATCCGTACTCATGGTACTTGCACAGCGGCTCCTGGCACTTCCAGGGCCGGCTGTGAGTCTTCTCGTGCTTGGTGAGGTCGCACGATCGCTTGAACTCTTTGGTGCAGCCAGGCTCGCTGCACTTCTTCGCCTGGATCTCGGCGGTGGCAGAGCGCTTGCGGCGCGCCATCGAGCGCATGATGGACTCCTCGTCGTCGAGCTCCTGGCTCAGCGAGCGCTTCATCATGACGCTGTTCTTCTCGTCGTCCTCGATGCTCTCCATCTTGATCTGCTTTCCGGTCGCGAGCGAAACGGCTGTGCCGTCGTTCTTCACGCGGACGAGCTCTGCTGGGCGGCCATTCTTGGCAACACCGCCGTAGAGTTTGATCTGCTCAGATCTGGAGCGCAGGTGGTTAGCAGTGGTCTTCTTATACCTCCGTGAAGGAGCCCTTGCACCACTAGACTCTATGCGCAGAGTCATAGTGCTGACGGACAAGGCTGTGGCTTCAATCTGGGGCAGTGAAACATACGGTTGGACATCCATGTCGTCAGTCTCTCCCTCCTCCTTCTCGCGGCTAGCCTGGACAGACTGGGCGTAGTTCCTAATCTGGTCGACCAGGTCAATAAAATACCCTTGCGTATATGGGCGGTCGTTGGGTCTGGTCTGTTCTCTCTCATTCAGGAATTCGACGGTGGCCTGAATGCAGCGGATAGAGGTGACGCAGAACTCCAAGTATAGTTTTGCAGTGCGTGCGTGTTCCTTTAGGTGCGAAGAAAACCAGTGAGTGAAGGCTCTCACGGCGTCATCATCGTTATGGATATCACTTACAGGTGCCATGAACATCAGTGTCTTCTCGAGGTCTCGCAGACACACGATCTCCTTCTCGTTGATTCTGCGCGGGCAGTCCGCGACGATGGGGTGGAAGTCCTTCAAAGACGGCGTGGCGAGCAGCGGTTTCAGGATGAACTCGTGGATCTTGTTCGTCGCGCGCTCGCTAAGGCGCGGCGTGGTGTCTTGCGATGAGCGATGCGGTGCGGCGGAGCGCGTGATTGCAGATGCTGAAACGGTCGATTTGGCGCCCTGCTCGTCGGTGGGACAGGTGAGGCCGCCGGCGGCGGCGACGCCTCTCTTCTCAGAGGAGGCAGACATGATGGAGGATCCTAGACCGCTGTCAGATGCGTGGTGGGTGGACTGGCGACGGTTGTGTCGACGAGGTCGCAGCGAGCCTCTGCCGATGCTGAAGTCGGATTGCGAGGCAATGGGCGACATGGTGCTTCGGGTCTCGCGGCGGTTTGTATCAACGGTGTGGTTGAGGAAACCCTGAGGAACGGGAAGGCTATCGTCACGGAAATTCTGAGTGGTCGGGGTGGGTGCACCAAGGTCGACAGCAGACAAACCGCGGTCAATATCTCCGAGTGTCAGGGCAACACGACGCTTATGAGCCTCGACAACATCCTCAAGCGAGGTTTGCGAACGGCGTGGAAGACATGGTACGATAAAGTGATCGGATACTGGAGAGGGTGGGTTGTGAAATGTGGCACCTTTGCGAAGCTTATGAGGAGGGGTCATTGAGATTGTATCGAGCATCGAAGTGGAAGCGGTAGCGGCAGACCGAGGAGTCATTGGTGACGAGGAAGTGGTCTTTAAAGAGCGTCGAGGATGAGGAGGGGTCATCGTGGGCGATCTTATTGGACACGTCTGATGAATTGACGGCGAGCAGACTGTGGGGGTGGGAGAACCCAGTTAGCCCAGGCGTTCTCTGAGAGGATGGGATGGATTGATGAACAGTGTTGACTCGAGGGAAGGGAACGAATGCACTGCACTGCAACTCCACTACACCGGAACAGTACAGTACAGAATGATGTACAGGCTGGATGTTGGAAGACCCAAGCAAGCAAGCATGAACCAGGCCAAGTGAGTCACCTCCGTCACACCCTCGGAAGCGGCCAGAGAAAACCGGCGGCCCAAGTGGTACACCGAAGAAGAGAAGCGACTCGGTGACCCGCTCATTCGTCAATGCAGATGGATGGATGTGCTTTGAAGCAAACAATCCGGGGAATATATAAGAGCGAGGGAGGATTCGGAGCAAGCAGGGGGAAGGAAGAAGAAGCTCTTACAATCAGCCTTTAGACTCGCGACCCCAGGCAAGCTGAGCCAGCAGGCAGGATAAAGGCGTTTTCACGTAAATAATGTAAATCGCGGGTGGTGGTGGCAGGCAGAAACGAGGCTCTCGGAGATGTCGGGGTTGTTGGTGTTGAGTTTGCTGGAAGTGAAAAGAACAAAGCGAATTGGGTGAGATGGGCGGCCAACGCGGCGAAGAACGAGATAAATAACGATAAAGCAGTTGAATCGATGGCCTTGTTTGTGAGGGATGTTAACGATGATTTCGTGAGTGGCAAACACGGTGTTCGAAAGAGGAGAGAGGGAGAGAGATTCGAGTTTGGAGAGGATGGATTGGAAGGGTGGAAGTTGGATGGTGGTGGTGGATTAGGCAGCAGTCAGCAAGGTGAGCGGGGCGGTGTTGACGCGAGTGGGGACGTCACGGCGAGAGGTGGTGGGTGGTGGGAGGTACAGTTTGTACCTGTTTAGCGCGGAGTCACGATTTTGGTGTTTTTTTGGTGATGGGCGTTGGAGGTGGAGACGGGAAAGGAAAAAGAGTGGAGGCGGACGTGCATTTAAGTACGGAGTCGAGACCCTCGAAACCCTCGATGGTGTTTGGCGCAGTTTGTGGTGATTGAGGTGGTGAGGGCTGAGGAAGTGACTTTGGAGGTTGAGGGATGAGGGATATGAGGGGAATAAATGGGTAATTGTATAATGGGCAGGAATTGAATTCGATAATTAGGCGACGATAATTAAATCAGGATGTGGGATGGGGGTAAAATAGAGGTGAGTTTTATTTATGGATGGATTGGGTATTTTTGGAGCGAGGAACGAGGAACGAGGAGCGAAGGGGGAAATAGTGAAGCCTAGAAGAGGTGTTTCGTGGGGAGTGAGTAGTGGTGGAAGTACCCTTTGGCGTGTGCGAGTATGCAAAAGTAACAAGTCGCGCAGGGACAGGCACAGCTGGCTGGTCCTTGCACAACTCTCGTATCGGTCGTCGTACTGACACGCGCACTGACACTCGGAGTGACAGAAGGAGCCGCCGCCCATAACATCACGACTTGAGTGACGAAATCACAAACCACAAACCACTACCACCACCATACAAAGTTCACCACCAAGACTCCCATTCCCACAACCAAGCATTCCCACCACGCAAACAAGAGTAAGGCACACCACATTCCCACCCGCATCCCACTCCAAACGTTATCCCCATCCCCATCCCCATCCCATCACAAACGCATACGCAGTTCCCTCCACCATTGCGTCCCCCATTACGCATCCACCCATCCCCTTCAAGCAGCACCAGATTCCAGGCAACAGCCTCTCTTAACCCACAATAAAGGTACACCCTCGTACTCGATCCTCACCCCTCGCCAACCCCAATCCAGAAAAGCGTAAACGGAATCGGTGAGCTTAAAATGGACTCCAACGAATCGGATTGCTATGTTAGGGGGTTAGTACATGCACGGATGCACGGATGGCAGGGGTGGGAGTCGGGGTCGGGGGGATAGATAGCGGCGACCGACCGGTGAGGGATCGACTTGTCCTATCGCGTCTGATCACGAACAGCTTACATAACTTGTCTACCACTTATTGAGGCGGCACGTGTTTTGTTCTGCTCCTTCCTTCTCCGTTGGGATTCGGGGTTGGAAGGATTGGGTTCGGTGAGTACTGTACGTGCACACGTCGCTGCTTCATGGAATTTATGAAGCACGCACACACCCACGCACGTCACATCTCTCCGTCTTTCCACCCTCTTCTTCCCTTGAAACCGGGGTGATGGGTTACGTTTGTATGGTAAAGATCTGTCTTCTCCCCCTCCTCCTTTCCCCGTCCCTATCTCCGTCCCTTCCCCTTCCTCCCGCACCACCCACCCACGGTATCCATCACCGCGTCATAATCCTCACCCTCCCGTACCCCATCTCCTTCTCCTTCCCCGTCTGTCCGTCCTCACCGAACACAAAACTGACTCCCCGTCTCTCGTGACTCTCGCTTCCTGCGGCGTAGCAATACCCCTGCACTGTCTTACAGCCCTGCACCACTACCCCTGCACGGAGACTTCCTTGCACGGAGACTTCCCTGCACGCATCAATCAATCACTGCCCATCATGTCCCATCACACTCCCACTCACTCACATCCATCCTAACCCAGCCCATCACATTCAATTCCCCCACCCATCCACGCCAACCCATCACATCACCACACTCCCACCCCCCATCCATCCAACCCATCACATCGCCCCATCCCCGTCCGTTTAGCCCCCAACACCCACCACCGCGATCCACATCCAATAGTCCCCGTGGCGCAGCACCTCTCGATGCAACACCACACCCCACAGCTCGCACCAGCAATGCACAAACGATAGCACTGACCACAAGGCTGAACGTCTCCCTCCCAATCCGCGTCTCGCATCCGAGCTTTCCCCACTGCTTTCACCCCGTTTACTGCTGTTCTGTTCAGCTCGCCGTCTTGGCGCGGACTGATGCGGTTCTATCCTGCCCGACGAGAGACTTTCTTGGGTGGAGGAAAACCCCCACGAAGCCGCGGAAGTGCTTCACTCTTCTTCTATTGTGCTCCACTCCTGTGCTCAACCCCGGCCATGCATCCACTGCTCAACACTGTAGAAGGAAGGACGGCTTATCCCCGTGCTATCCCCTCCCGCCGCCAGACCGTCTAGTCACAGACGCCCCACTCCCACCACCACGCCGCGCCACGAAGGATCGACACATACATACATACGGGTCCAGACAGCTTGGCGACGTTGCACCGCCACTGTGTCAGGTCCGTTGTAGCCGTTGGCAAAGTGTTGTATGCAGGCACCAAACAGTATCGTGACGCGATGAGTGAGACGGTGATGGTAAGTAGTGTGCCCCCCACGCGTAGAAGGTGCCAAGAGAGATGGAAGAGCGGCAGAGACGGCACGCCGAGGAGGGCGAAAACCCCGCAAACTGGAATGGGGGTGCAAATGCCTCAGTGCCGGTGCTGGGGTCGTGGGGTATGGAATGGTCTGGCCATGGTGATGGCTATGATGATGATGGGTGCTGGATAGAATATGAAGTGGTAATCGCGCAAAGGGTACTTGGGATGGTATAAACGGATAGTTCGGCATGGAAACAAACACCCTCATGATGGTTGATGATATTGCATCTCCGAGTCTGATAACTGTGTCTTGGATAACTCCTCCCCCCTCTCTCTACCAACTCAACCCTCGACTTCTCAACCTCAACCGCCCATCGCATATGAAACCCAAACATCAACCCCCCCCCCCCCCTTTTCCTCCCAACACCCCCCTTCCCTCCTCCCTCCTTCTTCAACCCTTCCCCAAACCACAAATAACCCCCCCAAGCCCAACCCACCCGCCCCTCCCCCCCCAACCCCAAACACAGCTAAGTAGCACATCCAATCCCCATCATCCTATCAATCCACGGCTTCAACCTCCTATTCCTCTTCCTCCTCTTCTCCTCCTTCTCTCTCGCCTCACTGACTACTCTATCTGTCTCCATCTCTGCGACCTGCGTGTGCGCGTTCTCTACTGGGGCGGTGTGCACTGTGGCGAGACGGGTGGTTTCTTCTTTCTGTTGGGGGGGTAAAGTTGGGATGGTATGGAAGGGGGGGGGCGGGGTTGGGAGGGGGAGAGGAAAAGGGGGATAGAGGGGTGGAACGGGGGCGTACGAGGTTTTTCCGGAGGTTTTGTATGTCTCGACGCTTTTGAGGGAGTTGGTCTGTCATTTTAACCACGTGCGACGAGCTGTACTGCGCTGCTGTATCTGTCGAGAGATCGGACGTCTAATCCACAGAGGGAGCAGAGAGCAGATATTCAAGTGTGAGTAATCAGTGGTGCTATACTGATATACTGAATACTGATATACTAATACAAAAAGTCGAAAACTTCTTATACGACGTCGAGAGTCGGGAGTGATATACCAGTAATATAATATATCACTGAAGCCAGTTTGCGGGGGATGGCGGAGGCGGCGGGTAATTTGAAGCTTGGTTGATGGCATCTTGGCGCGGAGGTTAAATTTTGGGGATGCCGATGTGCTGCGGTGTGTGTCGATCGCTGTTAGAGATGGATGGAGGGGAAGGGGATGATATGGTAAATTTTGATTAAAGGTATGTGGATGTGGGTGGGTGGTGCGAATTTCGACTTGTAGTTGGCATGCGTGTATAATATCTTGGTGGTTGTATCGAGATGGAAGACAGGCCTATTTCCTGGCCCAGAGTGGAATCAGTGGCTGTTGTAGGCACAACCATCACTGTTAGAAGTTAATGACATGAGAGGCACGGTTATATTATATCCTCTCCGCAGTTATTATTAAATATAGAGACAGTTATGAAGTTTCATTTCAAAATTGACGAAATTTCTTATTTTTATAGCTGAACTATTTTTAAAAATTCGGACTACTTTTATATAAAGCTATATAAATTAAATAGCTACGGACACGATCCCGGATAGATGAGAACTGGGTCTACGCCGTTCACTCCGCCTTATAAGTGCTTCAGCTTAGCATAGCATGAATGAAAACGTACACCCCTCCCCCCTCTAGGCAAATCCCACACCACAAGACCAGCACGGGACTAAGAATCCCCAGACGCCACGATTCCCTCTCCCCCCCCCCACCCAGAATCAATCCTCAACCCCACCTCCTCCCCCTCTTAACCTCTTAAATGCCCACCTCCCAATATCATATCCATACACCACCACCACCCTCTCCCCCCCACAACCCCGCGATACGGATACGCCCTCCTCGCCGTCTCCTCCACCCCCCCACCCCGAGTTCTGATTTTGAGCGACGATATGACTGCTGTGAGGAAATGGGATAAATACAAAACATTTCCCAGCTCGGCATTAGAGCGTATACCCCACCCCATGTTGCCTCAAGTGCCAAATCAATTAACCACTCTTGTGTATTCGACGCGCAACGTGGCGCCACAGCAGCATGACTGGTGGTCGCAGGCTTTGGTAGCATGTATTAAGATAGATTATATTCTTATGACTTAAAATACTAAAAGTAGACATGTACTAAATACTACTACAAGCGTAAAGGGGATATATCTAACGAGACTCACACTACTACTAACCTTGAGAACAGTGATTGGCTCATATGGAGCTGGTGTAGTGGAGTTGACAGTACCATTCCAGCAATACCTATTGAAGCATTGAGCACAGACGTCAGGAACGTTGGTCCCAGTCCGACTCAGGCTTCTGGATAGAATTGCACATCCCACGCATGTAGGCCACTGTTCATCCACAGTGCCATTGCCCATCGTAGCTACATCGTAGCCATTTTGGATGATATTATTGCGTTCCGTATTATTGTAGCTCAGGTCGAAGGTTGAGACATTCGAGTAGTATACATATGGATGGTTCGGCAGATACACTATGAGAGGACTTGGTCCAGTCATATTGCTGGCATTGCATCCAAAGAACGTCGGACGGGTGTTCAGTCCTAGATTGATGAAAGTGTTCTGATCTGGGATAGACGGAAATACCGTGCCATTTTCCAGCGAGGTGTTAAGTGACCGTTGAAACGACGCCACCATTGCGGTGCCATTTGGCCAATTCGCAGAAGTGTCAGCTGAGGCGTCAACTGCAAAGATAATATCAACGTGGCGGATCGGTTGAAGTAGAGGATGGAGAGGAATGTTCTGAAGGTCCTCGCCGCCATCCACGAGAGTCAGACTCTTGCTCTGAGAGTTCAGGTTCGTCTTGTTATTATAACCATAGAACGGGTTCGGCCAGTCTGCGATATCACTGTTGCTTTCACCAACATTTTGAAGAATATTGCTGATTGAACTCCTAACTCTGTCTGAAACACCAGATGTCGCATTAACCGTTAGGTAGAGCTGGTTGAAAAGCGAAGATGACGTCCCCATAACAAAGCCAGCGTTGTCAACGCCTCGGACACATGCTTCGCTGGGAGGGAGAACACCGCCGCTGAAATTGGAGCCCACATAACGAAGAGGGGCAAATCCAAACGTCGTGGGATCAAATGTCCCAATTTCCCAGGGGTTAAATTCGTATATGGTGGTATTGGCGGGGATTAGTAGTTGGCCAGGTGCTCTTTCATCAGCGACTATGATAGGCATGGGTTCATTGGCAGCTGCGAATCCTGGGTCATCGGCGATAGATGAGAAGGTGTAAGCTGCGGCATGTTAAGGCTATGCACTTAACCATATATCATTTCCATACCTGGACCGCCATTGGTAGGGTTGACCAACTGAAAAGACAAAGAAAGTCCCCAGTAATCCGTGATTGTAGTGTTAAACCCAGCGTCGGCTTTGCTATTGACATCATTGTAAAGAGTGTTGTAGTAATCTGTGGTACTTAAAGTAGTTGGTCCTGCAGACCATCTATTAGCCTAAAATAGTTCTCTCAAGCTGAAGTAATACCTTTAAGAATAGAATTATCGAACTGCCACAAGGAACCCGTATTGATGATATCTTGTACGGACGTAAAATTATTGACATAGAGACTTCCAACTAGCCAGCTACCTCCAGACAGTCCAGTTAAATATGTTGTAGCTTGTAAAAGGCCTCCCAGTTGACCTTGATTGGTTGAGTTTGTAGTCCGATTATCAAACGCTGCAAGAGCGCCGGCACCATTCATCAAGGCCCTATAACCCCCACCAGAGATGGCAATGCCAATGTTTGGTAATTCACTAGCGTTACGAGCAATGTTGTCGATGTAGGCATTGGTATCAAGTCCTGTGATGTTTGCGCGTCCAAGGAAGTTCCGCATTGCCCAAATCGTGTTGTTTCGCCTAACTTCTAACCAAGCTGTCTCGTTGTCTGAGAGCGATCCAGCAAGTCTTATCGTCGGTCGTGTCGAGGGACAATCGACAGCTGCGGGAGCATAATTGTTTGGTGCTTGCATAGTTGCTCGTTTCCAAGCGGCCAAGTTAGCAGCGGCAGGGTCAACCACAGCAACTACGTCCATAGGCGAACGTCCCGGAAACATAATATTTCCTGTAATAACTATTAAATACTATTTATCTATAAAGATAATCTCAAAGGATTTACCGTTAATTATTGAGAGAAGTAAGCATAAAATAAAAAAAGATGGCATGGGCGATCGAGTAGACATATTGCAGGCTGCAATTATCAGAGGAAACTTTATCTGAGCAAGAATGAGATTAGCTGGACGATAAAGCATGGCGCTGTGCTATCAATATATGTAAGCCATTGCTAAATATCCGACTACACTACCATGGTAGGTCCTCGCGCCTCTCTTTTCTTCTAGCCACCGCTCCATTTCGCCGTGCCAAATTATGGTGAAAGGGTGTAATTATTGCGTCACAATCCCGAACGGAAAATGAGCTAGTAACAAAAGCATATGCTACTAATCAAAATTTAGAGAATTACAAAAAACTGCCATTGCGTAACTCTCCCCTTATTACATAGTAGCCCTGCTCAGGATGTTAAATATGGCCTGATGGCGGCTTCTATCAGAGTGACGTCAGGTGCCCATTTGACCTGCAACTGACCTCCAACTGAGCATCTGACATCATTCTGAGCACGAATCTCGACTCAACCGGCCGTGTATGCACGGAGCATTAAATACATTTAATTCCTTATTTAGAATGTCACAATTCTATGCTCTCGTGGGGAGATTCAAGTTCTTTTTTAAATTTCAGATATATATATGTTTGGGCCGGAACATATATATACTCTACCCAATTCAGCTGAGTTAGCCATCACGCCTCACGGATCCAACCAGATCTTGCGATAGATCTCTCCATTGGTGCGGATCTCAGCTCCAGGGGGTTGGCCGTTCATTTTGAGGCGGACGGATGTTTCAGGTACCTCGTATAGCGTATAGTCTTTTCGGATGCTTACTTTTATTGATGATCGGATAGCTTCGATGGCTGAGATGATCCTTCTTAGGTTTGGAATGCCATTGTTTGTTATAGAGGCATAGTGTGTGGAAATTGGAAGAGGGGACCACGCGGGAAAAGTGTGCCGCTCGGTGACGAAACGCGTTATCATGATTGCGATCCCCCTTTATCTTTTTTATATCCTTTATAGTAGACCTATAGGATTATACTACAACCTATCTGACTTGCACTCCTATATCCTATTTATTATAAGTGGTGCCCTGTGTCCTTATAGGCCCATCTACAAATGAGTAATATTAGTGGTTAGGCTGGAACATATTCAACAAGCCTGTAAATATATTTTGTATACTAATAAATATTCCTATTAAGAAAGTAAATTCCCTAGATCTAGGCCGGGCACTGATTACTAAGGACTATAGTACTTCAGCATTAGAGCCTGAGGTCCATGCCTTTTCAGCTTCCTCATATGCATCGTAGCTATACAACCAGGGTTGAACTTGAGGGCATGTCCTATCGATAAAATTAGTTCGAAAATTAGAAGAGAATTGAAAAAGCTGCTTTACCATCTACTAGGAAATGGTTCCCCTGTAAGTCCAGTCTCCAGTTGCGAGAGAAATAATTCATCTCTAGCCTCCTGGTCCGGGCCATTCGGCATGTGGAAAGACTCGCGCTGTAGTGGAAAACTCGTAAGCAGGGACATCCATCTTTGATCGCGGAAGGGGGAGGGGGGTAAATAAAATACCTGTTTAAACGTCTCCCTCACAACCGCCTCGCCGCGAGTTTTCCTCAACTGTTCGTATAATTTCAAGGCTCGAGGTACCTGGCTACGGGTTTTAACTTTGCCTAGGAGATGGCCGAGGACGGCGCCGTCTTCGAGGGCGGAGTTGGCGCCTTGGGCGAGGTAGGGGAGCATAGGGTGGCATGCGTCGCCGCTGTTTTACTGTTAGAAATGAGGATATAGGAGGAGGTGGGGGGTACTTACACCATGACGAAGGTTGATTTGTCGTTGATCCAGGAGTCTAGCTCGCTTCCTATGAAGTGAGTTAGAGAGAGTAACAGAGCTCAGGATTGATATACGTACGGTGCATTAATTTCCACTTATCAACCGTTTGCACTATGTTTAGGAATCGCGTGAGGCTAAAGGGTTAGTTAGTCGATGTCCAGTTGCGTTATCAAGCATGTAGAGATCTGTGACATACATAGGATCCCAGTCTTTGAAAAGGACCTTCATTTCCTCCACCGAACCAGATTGCCGACTAACACCCTCTGGAGGATCATCCGGAACAAGTAGGACGATATTATACATCTTCCCCGCACGCACCGAGTAACCAACAGCATGAGCTCCTGGACCAATCCAGAAATGCACCGATGGGTTGCTCACCCATTCTCTCAGCTCAGGGTCTTCAATATCGTCTAATGACAGAACAACTCTATATGCCAGATCACCGGTTGGTAGAGGCGCGTCTTTGACATCCAGAAAGCAATTTCGACTTTGCGACCACAGTCCGTCGGCAGCCACAATAAGATCCGATGAGAACTTCGCCCCGGAAGCTGTGGTAACTTGTGGGAGGTCAAAATCGATTGATTGCACCCTTTGGCCTAACTCGAATTTAACACCGAGGGCGAGGGCGCGCTGGTATAGGGCTAGTTGCAGATCGACGCGGTGGAAATCGAGAAAGGATGCACCGTACTTGTCGCGAATCTTTGTATTGAAATCTTTCTCCATGGCTAATACTTTGCCATCAGAGTATCTATGCACAGCCAGGAATGTTGGTTCGGCGGCTGTGGCCCAGAAGGAGGCGGGGAGGTCCCATTTTTTCAAGAGGCGCGTGGCATTTGGTGTTACTTGGAGTCCTGCGCCTACCTTGTGGAACAATTAGCGGGTTTGAAAGATATAATCTGTTGAAGGATTGAGGGGAACTTACCTCTTGTAGTTCAGATGCCGATTCGATAACGGTAACGGAATGGCCGGAGATTGTGCATGCGATCGCTGTGCTGAGGCCGCTCAGCCCGGCGCCGACGACGATTATTTGGAGGTGAGGCATGGGTTATTCTTACACAACGGTCCTGGGCTTGCTTGCCGGTTCACGTCCAAGACAGGCTGAAATATATTTGTCGAATATGTAAGGTGCTGTGTTCCTTATCCCAAGTTCGAGAAAAGCTACAGTGAAAACAACAAGGGCAAAATGAATACAAATATGAGGGGTCGCGGTGATGATGCCGAACAAGAATGCCGAGCATAAATACTTGGCGTACTATCCAAAACCCTAAAGCTCCCATGCTCTCACGATCCACCATCCGCTGCTGACCATATGTTTACTTATCCAGCCGTCGTCGAGCTCCAGCAAGCTCCCCCGGCGGATAATGCATAGATTACCCCGCAGAGCGGGGAAGTTAGCACCGAACCACCCGGGTTGGTCTAGATGAGTACGTAGAGGGTGTGGGGTTTGTGGGGAGTTTGTGGGGAGATCGTGGGGTGCTAAGAAGGTCATGATCTAGCCTTCTTCGCCTTTATGTAAGTGGACGTATTGAGCGGATTGAGCGTGGACGGGAAGTGGACATGACGCCGAGGCCGGCAAAGAAGGATGTTCCGAGGGCAACTCGAATGTTAGAAGTGACAAGTTAGTATTCTAGGGAGATGCAAAAGCACTTTACCATGAACTTGATTAAATTTTGCTATGCTTTATTAAAACTCTAGTCTAAGATATTGCATAATAATCTTAATCTATAGTATTTTCGACCATCTCATTTTCAATTCTGCAAGTTTTTCATCCACTCAACCACATTTTCTGCCCATTCTTCTGCCTTTTTATCACCACACATCAACGAGAATGGCGGACTAATATGATTGTGTCCTCCCATCCGCTTCAATTCTATTCCCTGTCCGCTCCCAAAACAGTCATCCCATAAACTAAAAAATCGATCGTTCGTCTCGACAATTTCATCCTCGGGATCAAATTCCCCCAACGTCACCAAAATATCCGGCATACCGTTACGTGCAATCTCAAGCGTCCCCATTGATTCCTTTCTGGTCTTCAAAGCTCGCAGGAGACCATTTGGACAGAACAGATCATGAGATGATTCTTGCTGCGTGCCAGATAAATGTGGAGGATAATAAGTCTGAAGAATCTCGGATCGGTCAGGGGTCGCCGCCTTAAAATCGAAAGGGACGCTTATTAATGCAGCGCCGCGTAAAGAACAGAGTTGAGATTGTCGGAGCGCATATCTCCGATTCTCAAAACGCGCATCCAAGAGATACGTAGAAACGTGTACACCACCTGCAGAATTGCCCATGAGAAAGACGTCGCGCTTCTTTTGGGCCTTATCACCGCAAGACGGTAGATACGTGGATTCGAGCCAGTCTAAGACGGCTCTCACATCTTCGCCTCCGGATGGGAAAACGGCATCTTCGCCTGTGCCCAGGGCTACATCAGTGACTCGACGGTAATCGGCAACTATCATGGTGAAGCCCCTCTTGGCGAAGAAGGCACCGAAATTGTGATAGACTAGCGATGATGGGACGAGAGGCATAATTTTGTCGCCTCTGTTAAGCCCGCCGCCGTAGAAAAAGAGGATAATGGGTGAAGATGGTGAATTGGTACATTCTTCGTATACGTCTAATTGTTGCCGTTTGTGTTGTCCATAGGTGTAAGTTGTTGAAGGAACTGAAAGAATCTCGGATTTATTCGCCAGAAGGAGGGGCTTGAAAGCTTCCACTGTTGGCATAAAAATAGAAGCAATTGCTTTGCTCGGAAATTTCGCGATGGTATCCATAGCGCTCGAGGATGGCCAGATCGAATTATTTTAACGATAAAGTCAGTATCATGGGACTTGCTTCATTAAGAGACCAAATTTCGGGACAGCTTCTCTCACTGACCAAAAAGAGTCGCATAAATTATATAAACTAAACGCGAATAGATGTATAACAGACGACTGGCGTGCATTAGGTTCAGACTGCCGTGACAATTGCCGTTGCTGGGGGTGAAGCGTCGAGCTTGAAGGTGGACATCTAGACGATTTGCGGGGGTAGTCCACATTGTTACATCTGTGGTGGGAATCCCAGAAGTGGACATAAATCTATTTGCTTGGCATTGGACGGGGGTGCAGATGGTGGTAGTCCACATTGGTCTATCAGAAATCAAGGGTCCCGAAGCCCCGAAACCCGAAGACCACAGGGCCATGACAGCGTTGACGAATATAGGTGCGAGTACTCTTGACCTTCGATTGAATCTCGCATACTCTACAAAATAATAAGTAGAGCCGAGATTCTGGAGTCTCATACCAAACTTTTATTTGAAATTAATTTAACTACACTAAAGCCATGTCCGAATCGATTCCAACTCTCACTACGCCTCCGGGCTCGTCTACTCCATACAAACTCCCTTGCTTTACTGGGGAGCTATGGACTATCCCGACCTCAAAGAGTACCATGCGCCTCCTCGCAACAGCGAAAGAGACAAGCAACGCATTTGCTGTTGTTGGCACTGGCGGAACGTTTGATAACCCAATTGGTTTCCATTATCACAGAGAGGCACACGATGTGTTTCTCTGCTTAAAGGGAACGCTTAACGTTTGGGCGAATGATTCTGCGAGATCTTTGGGTCCAGGAGATTTTGCAAGCGTGCCACCTGTGAGTCGTCTTTGATATACTATTCTTCATTCTATTTTTTTATACATCGCTAATTCAATGTAGAACACAGTCCATCAATACCAAATTGCATCTGCTCACACTGAGTTCGTGGGGCTTATAATCCCCGGTGGTTGGGAAGAAGTATGTGCCCTTGTCAACTAGATTCCAATATCCAGCACTGCCTGAAATCTCTCCAGTCATCTAACCCCCTAGAATCTCCCATTGTTCTTAAACTACGTGCAACTAATTCATTGCCTAGTTTTTCCGCTTCGTCGGCGAGCCCTTTTCAGGGCCTCTTTTCCCCACCCACGATTCACGCTCCCCATTCGAAGTCCTCATCCCCAAACTCATCGCTGCAACCGATAAATTTGATATGGTTCCCGTGCGCGAGAAGGCCTCTTTCGACCCACAACCCTGGGATGGTACGGAATCCCAACTCCCGGGGGTGTGCGAGATTGGAGGATATTTCCTCAAGGCAGACACCGGTCCAAAATTCGCTACTGGTGGCACAATTGTGCGACCTCTTGCCACAAGAAAGGAGTCAGATGGCAAGTTTTCGATATATTGTGTCGAGGGCTCGAAGTTGCACGATGGGAAGGGACTCGAGAAGACGACATTTAAGTTCGAGAAGACGCACCATGTTATACAAGTCATAGAGGGCTTACTGAGCGTTGTTATTAATGGGAAGCAAACCATAGTGGGGAGCATGGAGACGGTTTTCATACCAGCTGAGTCGGAATGGAGGTGTGCGGTCCATAGCGTAGCTGCGAAGTATTATGTTTTCGCGAACGGAGGTGGAATAGGAGAAGTCCTCACAGGGACAGGAAGTCCATTTGAGTGGGTGGTTGTGCCGGAAGCTGGAGATTTGACTGGATGGGATGAGAAGCAGCTTGAAGGGTTGCAAAAGGAGCTAGAATTCGTCATTTTTTAGGTTACATATTTATATTCAAAGATGTTATCAATTATAAACGGAAGGAGACAATGTCGCTATTTCACTTAAGGGTAACAGCATAACCGTGCTTGCTGGCTGGTAGGGGCGGCTTACGAGTTGGTAATGTCTCGAAAGTGTTATCTTTCTGCAGTTTTGTTCTGCATTAGAAAGACAGTAAACCCTTTACAGTATATATGGTTGAAGTAATGAGTTGTACAAACCGTAGAACGTTATGTGACCGGAGTTAATGAAGCCATATAGAAATTAAATTAAGACACCCTTTGAATATCTTACTGCCATGCTGATCACCCATGTGAATATCCTTCGTGGTTTGGGTGCTTGTTCCTATGATCACATTCACACGTCACGCTATTCTTTGGCTGCCTGTAAAGTGTATTGATTTTCTCCAAGTGTACGGAAGGATTAAGTATGATAGATCAAAGGGCGTATATTATATAAACTACACTATGGCCCCATTTACACTCCAATGGCCGCCTGCCTTCTAAGGTGAAACTTCCTCGGCGATACGCGATCAATATATGCGGCATCTGTAAAGTTTGTGTTAGCAAGCAGACCTGTGTAGTTTTTGGTGGAGTGAATGATGATCCGTCGACTCGGAACGTGGCAAGGAGAGGGATAAACATACCAATATCTTCGACACTAAGCCCAGATGTCTCGGGAACTACGAACCACGAGATGCAGAAGAGCAAAACACTGGTACCAGCAAAAACAAATCCGGTTTTAGCTCCTAGATTGCCGCTGTCGATGTTGTACATGCTTTGAAACCCAGGTCAGTAACCACCTCCTAGGGACTTTAAGGACATGGAGAATACTAACTATGGTACGATGAATTGGAAAAACCACGAGGAGAGTGCCTGGATGATGTAGCCGAACGATTGGGTATGTTGTCGTAAGCGGTATGAGGAGAGTTCGGGCGCCATAGTCCAGGAGGTCGAGACGCAGGTGTAGATTTGAAACGAGATGAGGACATTCCTACATGACACGTTAGTTATGCGCTCAAGACAATACTGAATAAGTAACAAGTTAGCGACTCACATCAAGACAGCGATGGCCCAAAGTCCAGCCCTCGAGGAATCGAATGACAGAGCACCAATCACCGCCATTGCAACAGCATTGCCAGAGACGCCAACAAGCCAGAGTGTTCTTCGGCCAATGACATCTGTAAAAAACCAGCCAATGGCAATAGCAACACAAGCCAAAAAGAACCCTCCGATGCCAATGTCGAAAGAATGCACAGCTTCCAGACCTACAGTAAGCAAGAAATAGATATTTTGACTCAGGAAAGACGCGCCGATTAGGCCACCACTTCCGAAAAACAGAAGGGACACTGTAGCAGTTCTCTTCAAGTTTGTGCCCTTAAAGCACTCGATAAAGGAGCCTTCTTTCTCGCCAGCCGTCTCAGCCGTCAGTGTGGCTTGTAGCGCATCTAGGCGTAACTCAACATTGTTCTTCTTGTATAAACGATTCAACGAGGCCCTTGCATCATCCGTGCGACCACGAGAAAGAAGCCAAGTGGGTGATCTGAGGGAGAGAATTAGAGGGAATGGTTGAGTGTATTTTGGATTCCGCACTCACTCTGGTATGAAGAATGCAAGTAAGGGCAATGACCCAACGACCCATTGAAGCCCGAACACAATGCGGAAGGCAGCGGGATCCAATCTTGTTACAAATGCTCGTATGACGCCCAACCCACAACCTTGCATAACTACTGCGCAGAAGACCAAGCCCTGCTGAACTGGCGCTCGTAGACGAAGTGGGGCAACCTATCTCGTTAGAAAAACGATCCTGTTGTGCGGTGGTCTTTGAACATCCTTACCTCTGATGCATATGTCGTTCCCACAGCCAGTAACCCACCGACGGCAAAGCCGTTGATGATTTTACCCCCGAGCAATATGCCTCTAGTTGTGGCAGTGAACTGGAGAGAAACGCCGACAATGCTCACAATGGAGAAGGCCATGATGACATATCGACGGCCGAAGCGATGTGCAAGAGGGCCGCCGGCGAAAGAGCCAACGGCTTGGCCAAGGTTGGTCATAGCTACCCATAGAGAGGTCCAGATGGAAGGAATAAAAAGATTGCCAGCCGAGTCGAAAGCTCCAAAGTAGATCAGAAAACTAGGCATCGCGAGGGTCGCTCCATTTGCAATAACGTCGTAACCATAAGTCATGCCACAGAGATAGGGCACAATGCCTGAATCTCATGTCAGCGCTGTAGTCCCAAGGCCCAACCAACGTAGGTATGGATCGGATATGGTTAATACACAGTATTGGTTGGTCAACTTACAGTAGAGAAGGATACGCTTGTGGGCTACAGCAGCTTGCCACAAGGTCATTTGGTTCTCAGCCTCCATAAATTCATGCTCCTCGGCCTTTTGATCCAAGTTGGAAGGGGAGTTGGAAAGGGAGTTCTCCACCATCTCAACAACAGTGTCGTCTTTCCCCTTTATCGATGTTGACATTGTAAAAAGATTTATTGAGGCTGGGTTAACTTAGAGATCAGATGAGTGCTTCAATGTGAGTCCCTTCTCTGTGTCGACATGAGATATAAGGAGTAGGAACAGCAGCAGATATAGCTCCTTGATAAAGCACACAACTGACATCTACACTGTCACGTTGAACAACCCCCAAGCAACGCCACTTGTAGACACGGGAGAGCTCTGTGCGGAGAATTACTGAAGAATTGCATTGAGAACCCTCCCCGGAATACAACAAGGATGAGACAAAACCTACCCCAGAGGCGGGGTTTGTGGGGAAATCGAGGAAATGGAGAAATCGAGACGAGCTAACCTGCACGCGGGGCAACTAGAGGTGGAGGCGGCGAGTGGACATCAAAGACGGGCCGAGGTGGACAATTACAGGGCCCGCAAGTGGACATCTATGTGGACGCTTTTCTTGCTGGACGTCATGTTATGCCAGAGTGGTACCAATTAAAGCAGACGTTGCTTTTTGCAGCAGCTATGTTTACGAAATGATTTGCACTCGTTCATACTTTAATTGAGTCTGTCGCTGTAAGATGTGCCGAAAGGATATCGGATCTAAATCATGGGTGCGATGGCTTCCGATGGCGCTACATGCCCGTTCACCCGACCACAGTCACTGGACGGAACTTCAATCCGGTCTGCAACAGTTTCTTTCCCCACGTGGATTGCGAAACAATAATTTCAACAGATTTCTTTTTTTAATCTTCTTAATATAATAAATGAAGAAATAATATGGGCCTCAATTACATTTCGGCTCTCTTATATAGCAAGACAGCCAAATCCAAAGCTGCACCCCAAGTACTCATGCGTGTGAGGACCTCTGATGCACTTCGAAATATCAATCTCGAAGCATCAGACGAGGACACCATGCAATTCAGGGCATCTTCGCTATTTTCGATTAGACCCCTCTTTACTACCGCAGTAAAGTGACCGGAGTTTATTTTATCATTAATCTCTATCAAATGCATGAGCCCCTGTTTTTGTTCTCTTCGCGCGACATTGATGAAGGCCCAAAGAGTGATGTGGCAGAGGAAGACAGTTATGATGCTGTGGACACTGTACCTCACAGTCGAGTGTTTGTCGGCGGATGAGTTGTGATTGACTGGTGCGAGTGAATCAATTATTTCTATACATAGCAATGCCGCATCAAGCGACTGCGGAGACATTCTGACCCAATTTGATACCTTTGACATTGCTTCAGGAATCTTTGAAGGCCCAGATTTGCCAATTGCATTCTGAATGTCGGTGAGTGGTATCTCGAGGAGTAGTCGACCAAGATTATAGAGCAGGATAGAGGATTCTTGGAAATGATCCAACGCGTTGGATGGTCGCGGTATATTCTTTGAATAGTGATTGTATGTTTCGCTCCATCTGTTAAGTGATTCTATAGGATGTTAGTACAACCGTCTTTGCGACATGTGATAATATAAGAAGGGAGTTGGGGCCTGTTACCTAATAGTTGCATCTTTCTTTTGGCAAGATGCTTCCAGATGGCCCATCCTTCTGTCTCTGAAGGACCACTTAGCATTTCTCTCATTTGGTTCGCGGCGTCCCTATGAAATTCTGTGGTAACAGTAGAGTCGTCATTTGCATCTCTATTGTCGTACGAAACATCACCACCACAAATCTTTCCTGCAAGTACTACTTCTTGAGAATATTCATAAAGCTGACTTAATATCGCAAGAAGCACAATGAATTGGCTCGATGGGTTAAGCTTCATTGGAGAAAGCTCAGGCTGCAAGTCTCGTCGATCATTCTGTAAACCTCCGGGCCCAGTGACATCAGCAATGTGAGGCACAATAAAAGAGGAAAGCGCAGTAGTGAAAGATATTGATGGTGGGACAGAGGCTGGCCCGAGTAAGCGTTTCCAGTGTCGTGATGATGGAGCCTGCCAGAACTCTTCGTCGCATGGACACTCTAGTGATGATAATTCGCCTCGCGAAATGGTGGAAGGCAAATTGAGTAGAGTTGGGAACTGGCAGTCGAGCATGAAAACTGCCCAGCAGAGTCGTTTTTGACTCTCATCAAAAACCCACTCCCTCCATTGAATTTCGAGACTGCTAGCTCCTGTATTATTCTGATTCAGGATCGGAGTTTGCGGAAAATCATTGCCAAAGCCCTTGCGCCGGCAAAAATTCACCACAGACCCTCGTAGAGATTGTGAAAGCTCAAAGGAACGTTTGTTCCCGCACCACAGCCCTGTATGACAAACTAGAAGAAAGGCATAGATAATCATAGGTTCTCTCACTAGCCCATGGTCGTATTCGGTATTCATCAACAATCCGCGCCTCACCCGATCAAGAAGCATAATGGTAAATGATCTCGTATGCCTTTGATGGCTGTATGTGGCGCCAATGACGACCATGGAGGCCAATAGGGCCGGAGGGAGATCTTCGTCCATCACCAAAGTGGCTAGATGAATAACAGGCATTTGAGGATGGTAATGCCGAAAGAAGAGTGCGATAAATAGATTGATAACATCCAAGCTTGGAATATTTAGAGGAGTTGAACTTTCGGCCAGGCGATGATCATGTGTCCAATCTAACCAGTCGATCACAGCTTGATAGGTGTTAACAGAAATGTTGTATTTAGGATCGTGAGCCAAAAATAGAGGGTCATCGCCGGCAATTGATATCAATTCGGTTCTCAGAACCTGAGATGACCGTGGATTCCAAGCGAACGGCCATCCATCCTCGTCGGACACCACATTCGGTGGAGAGGGTGCTCGACTTACATGTCCCACTGCAGGATCATTGCGCGGCGTAGCCCTAGCAAGCCTCGTTGCATGGGTTGCACCATTCGTGGGCTGATAATTGTTGTGCTGAGAATGTTTCTGCCTGGCTCTGCTTGTATTCCATCGATCAGTTGACGATGATTGACCAAGAGATGTATCAGCATCATCCCAACCAATACCAGTCTCGTTCAACGCCGAGTAAAATTCTCCTGTGAACCAATTGTCCATGCTTCTGCCTTCGACGTGTGGGCTAGGAGGATCCAGGAAGGAAAAATCAAACGGTAGATTTGCAACGTGACGCCAAGTCGCGTCAGATGTCTCCAAACCAGGTTGAGTTGGAGTATCTTCAAGAGAGCTAGAAAGTGTAAGGTCGGAATGGGTGGTTTGAATGGAGTGACTTGTCATGTTGTCGGCGCCATGTTGTAGAACATATGGAGAATGATCCTCCCTAAGAAGTACCGCATCAGAAGGAGCAGTGTGGTTTTCGGGCGGTGTGTTCAAGTGAGAGCCATTGATGACAGTTTTTGTCAGGCCCCTTTTTCTTCTTTTACTGACTCCGCTACTTTCGCCGGCCACATTTGTTATGTCATCATTCCGTAGGTGTAATGCTTCATGCCTCTTCAGTATATCGCTTCTGGTGAATGTTTTTGAGCATATAGAACAAGAATGTGTATTTATCGATCGGTCTATAAGGACCAATTAATTAGTAGTTGTACGCGTTCTGTGTATATAATATATTTTGAGCTATGCTCCAAAACTAGTATGACCTCAGTGCTGTATCGAATCGAATACTCCTACACACAGCACCAAGCTGAAAAAAAAAGGAATAAACCTCAGCAGAAAACACTGCTGTAATGAAGTATCACAAAAGCTTCACCTACGTGTTCTAAGATGTCGGGAAAGGTTTTCTCTCCGACTAAAGCTCCTCTGGCATTGGGGACAGGCGAACGAGGCCGTCGATGCAGTTGAGGTGCCTAATTCCAGTGCTACTGGAGGCATTGTCGGTCGCTTTTGTGACAATGTCACTATTTTTGTCCACTTGTGTGGTGGTTTGGCGGACTGGCGAAAGTGGGAGCAAGGGACGAATGTGGTTTTCCGTCGGAGGTGGACAGTTGGAAGTGGACAAGGGAGATTCGGTGGGACTTATAGAGTAGTGGACAATTACCCCTACCCACTAACCAGGGTCATGGGTTCGCTCCTGGGCCGCTCGGTTGTTCCGAAGATGTCCCCTGCCAATCATGTCCCGCTCACATCAAATAGATCCATAGCGACCCCAGTTAATCGTTAATCTTTCGGATTATCAGCACGAAGCCCCGCCAGCCATTAACAGTAACGCAAACAGCTCAAATCTCCCTTTCTCTATAGTTTTACAATATATAGTTAATAATGCCTAAGTCGCGGTACGAATGAAGGCATTGTGGGAGTATCACGCCAAAGGTTGAGAATGGCGTCTCATCTGATCACCCAAAACGCCCTCAAGCCATCACCTCTCATCGCATTGCTCAACCGAATAACGCCGTGCTCTCAAGAATTTCTAACAAATATTTGCTCTTTCTGGTCGGAACCTCAAACAGACGATAGCTTGGTGGTATGCGCTATTTTTGATAAACGATATAGTTTCCTCAATGGGTACGTTTACACCCCTATCTCGATATCCACTGTCGACGAATCCTCTGGGGAGATAATCTTGGACTATGGACGATGTGAAGGAGGAGTACCTGTTTTTGAAATATCAACGGCAACCAGCGAAAATGAGACTGTGGAGTTTGATGTTATATATAGCGAGACCCGGGAGGGCATTGGTAATGAGCAAGGTGAGTAAAAAACATTCAATCGATCTGAGCGACGACGCTAATAACAACAGGCGATGGGCCATTCTTCTTGTTCTCAAATGCCATGAACACGTACCGTCGGGAAAGTTATAAACTCAAGACTTCCGATGCGCCTACGAGACTAGAAGCCAGATATACCCAACAGTCACAAAGATACCAAAAGCTGATCCTACGGACACCCAAATCAACGCTCAAATTTTCAGTCATTGGATTCCGCGACTTACGTCAGAAGACACCCATAATATCTTCATTTAGATGCTCGGATGAAGCATTGAACAATATTTACGACGATGGGGTCAGGACGGTCCAGATGTGCACGATGGCGGCAGGAGAAACGCTTCCAAGCTGGGAAGTCACAGACAGTGGTACAAGAGTCTTTGGTCAACATTGGGCGCCTTGCAGATATGGCACACGCTGGGCCGATATAACAGTTCAATTTGATGTTTTAATAGAGCAGTCGGGCGCAAGCTGGGGGATTCATATGGTTGCAAATGGACTCATATTCTCCCTGGATGTCGAAAAACGCTTGGTTACCGCATTCGAGGGGTTATCACACGTCAACAGTGTGTTTCCAAGCACACCTCGGGGGTCATGGACATTGGGAGATGAAAATCTGGGTAACTGGATTGCTGTAAAGATCTCTACCATTGGCGCTTCTGTAACTCTAGAAATAGATGGCGACATGGTTGCGACTCTGGACGACCTGAACATCCATCCTCTCCTAGGTGGTGCTGCAAACAATACCGGATCGATCGCATTTGGTGGACCCTCTTCCTATACAGCTCTGTACCGGAATTTAATTGTTGCCGACACCGATGGCCAGATTTTATATGAGAACAACTTGCTGCCAGAAAATAAGCAACGCACGATGGTTGATTTTGCCGTTGGCACAAACCAGGTTCCCTGTACTATAGATGGTGCAAAAAGGGATCGCGCTGTATTTGGGGGAGATCTATACGTCATGGGACGATCGCTCTATTATTCGACAGGCCGGTTTGAGGCTATTCGGGGTAGCATTGACCTACTAACAAGCCATCAAATGGAGGGAGGATATTTGGGAAATCTTTCCCCGGCCCAAGCACCGCTTCATGATGAAAATACAGAGCCACCAACCGACAAATTTTACTCTCTGAGTTATTCACTGTTGCTAATCACAGCGATCAAGGACTATTGGCTTCACACCGGCGATGAGAATGTTGTTCGTGGGGTTTGGCATAAATTAGAGAAGCTTCTGCATTTCACCGAGACGTTCCTCGACAGCCGCGGCTTGGTTGTTGCGCCACCGCCGCTTTCAAGTAAGTAACAAACTCTCCCATCTTTTAATAATTTCCTGACTCTTTTTCAGTGGATTGGTTTCCCCTGGGTGGTCCTATCTTTGGGGCTTCTGCTAAGATAAATATGGCGTATTATGAGGCGTTGGCCTCAATGGCAACAATGAGCGGCGAGCTTCATATGACTGACTGCTATACAAGCCGTTTAGAACCGCTCAAACGCAGTATCAATGAGCATATGTGGAGCGAGAAAGGACAAGTCATGAAGATGAGTTGCACATCGAATCCACTAGGTATCTGCCAAGACGTGAACGCCTACGCTGTTGCGACTGGTATTGCACCGCCGAAGTCGGATCGGTTAGCATCTGACTATACTGAAAACCCTACAGCCTACCAAGGTATCGAAGGTTGGGATAGGATAAAGATTATTAGCCCCTATGCGACCGGCTTCGCAGCGGAAGCTCATTTTATTGACAATGATCCTGAAGCGGCAATCAAACTTATCAAGCACGTCTGGGGCATGATGGCAGATCCATCCAACGAAAATTATTCGGGCGCACATTGGGAAGCAATGAAGCCCGATGGTAAGCCATTTGGACACGACACTTCGCTTGCTCATGGTTGGTCAACTTGGCCAACATTTCTTTTACCTCAATATCTCGGAGGTTTAACGCCACTCGAACCGGGGTGGAAGAGATGGTCTGTTAAGCCGCTGCTTGCTGGATTGTCGGAGGTTGATGTTACTTTGAAAACAGTGGCGGGTGTCATACAAATGTCATTGAGAATACAAGATGGAAATAGTGAAGGGCAGATTCGAGTAACGGTTCCGAGGGGAACTCAGTGTGTGGTAACTCCGCCTTCTGGTTGGTTATTAGACTCCTCTGAAAAGAACACTTCTAAGAATGGGACATTGGTTGTGGAGGGAAAAGACGTAGAAATCGTTGTAGGTATAGTAAAGAAGGTCACTTCATAGAATAGAAGAATGATGTTATAGTTGTATTTACTGTTTATGACTTGATGATATATATGTATGTAGTTTATAGATCCTACCTAAACTGTGATGCACAAAAGAATGTTATAAGGAATTGTGATCATCTTATGTTATACTCATCGGGCTGTCATATTATGCTCGCTGCTCACTCTGCTTTATCATCGTTTATAGTAAGCCCGGTGTATACTATTTTAAGTAACGTATTTCACAAGCGAGTCGGACACACAAGCGGGTCGGACACCAAAACACCAAACTGTGACTATTACTACTACTACTACACCACAACCCTATATAGTGACCCTTACTCAACTGCAATTGATTCCTGGCGCCTCTCGCACGTACGGGTATTATGTCCTATTTTCTCACATCGACCACAGCGCCGCTGTCGGCCCTTAGAACCCACCTGCCGAGCGGTCTCACTTACTACCTCCGTACGGACTTGAGCTTCAACCTCAGCACTCTGAAGGATATCCTCCCCCTCCTGTATAGAGAGACTACCCCCTTGCATTATACGCCTCTTACGCTTCCTTTCCCTCCTCTTTTTCTGTTCATTTGCTACTTGTAGAGCCTTAACTTCTGCCTTAAGTAGAACAGCAGAATGCATCATCATTTCCGCCCCTTTAACAAGGCAGCTAACAGCATCATTAATTGAGGTAGGAGAGCTGTTCTGATGTCGTACAATGCGGTTCTTAATGTGCTCTGTTTGAAAGTTAAGCTCCCTTATAGTTTGAGGAGTCTTTGAAGTCCAATTGCTACTCTCAACTATAGGAGGAGTTGGAGTCCTTAAGTGTAGATTTAAGTGAGAAAGGACACTCTGTGGCTCGTACGGAACTAGTCCTGTTGCTCGGAACCCACTCTTAATGTTCTGCTCTGTAAATGTAGCTTTGAATGCTTCCTTAAATGCAGAGAGAAACTCAAGCTTTGTGATATGGTTTAGCTGGTTCCGTACGAAGGTTTCAATCTGACGTCCGTACGAAAGCTTTAGCGGAGCAAAGCAGCTAACATCAAGTGGTTGGAGAATGTGCGACGAGTGTGGTAGCATACAGAGAGTGATTATCTTCTGTTCTATACAGTAGTGTTGAAATTGAGCTGAGAGGTGGCTCTCGTGTCCGTCGATAATAAGAAGGCGATAGGTTCCAGTCGTACGAGTGCTTGTATGTTGATCGAAGTGTTGAATCCACTCGTACCCAATTGAATTTGAAGTCCACCCATTCTCACTTAGCGTAATCACCCAATTGTCTGGTAATCCTGAGTCCTCATACCAAGCTGAGAGGTGATTCTGTGCCTTGAAAATAATGAATGGCGGGAGTGCCCATCCGTACGAATTGACACCTTGGATAATTGACACCCACTCTCTATTCCCTGGCTGTATAGTCTTTGGACGGCTCTTTGCTTCTGAGCTTGTGACTACCTTTGCAGTAGCAATAACTCCCATTGCGAAACCTACTTCATCAAAGTTGTAGATGTCCTGCTCTAAGATGCCGTATTTTGCAACTGTGTTTCGTACGAGAGAGAACCACCCTTGAATTATCTTAGGATCTTCACATTTTGCTCGTTTGTAATCGTACTTCCGACTAAACTTTGCTTTGATTTCCGTACGACGCTTAATGAAGTTAGTAGTCCAGTTCTTCCCAACAGGGCTCTCGCCTCGTTTGGAGAGTAGAAGGTCTGCCATTTCTTGCACAGCTTGTGGCCGGGGTGGAAATCCACGTGAATCTAGGTCGAGGATATACTGAACAAGAGCTGACTCTTCGTACGGAGTCAATTTTCGTGAGTTAGGAGTAGAGTCGCGTCGGGAAGCCATTCCTTTAATCCGATCGAAGAGTGTTG